TGGCCGCAACGAAATCTTTGTTGAACACTCCGCTGGAGTCAAGGAAAACTGGCTAGCACCCATTGCCATGAGCTCGATGTTCTCCCAACTGGGCAATCTCTTGAAGTCGTCAATGTGCGACTGGAGTTGTAGAACAAGACTCCATTCATCGTCTGATATCAGATTGTGCTTTCGCCTGGTCAACAGCTCCATGCAAGCTAATACAGCCTTTGGGATCTCGTTGTTAGCAAGCGACCGTAGGCTTTTGCACTCGTGCTTGTGTCCGTGGTTCCAGGCCTCCTTCTGACATGCCTAATAAATCATAAGCAATGATTCTATCCAACTAGAACTCTCCGCATACCTTGCTACAATATCGGAAACGCTGGCATCCCGCACACTTCGAGACGGTCGTATCTGGTGGTACATATAGTCGTGTGCCGCTTGATGCTCCCTCAGTCCAGACATAGCAATTCGCGCACGTGTCGTGGAGGTACTGAGTATCTAAAGATCCGAGTAAAGGCCGGTCGATTGCTGTAATCTGCTCGCCAGCTCCGAATTCACGACCAGCAAAAAGACCATTTCCAATGCTCACGCCTTTGCTGTTGGTTGATTGGCTGATGTAGAAAGGTGGTGACGAGGTGCTTGTTGATTTGGACATTTCCTGTTGATCCGTATTGTAGAGACTGAAGAGAATACAATGGATAGTTTGCCTTGTGATATGAACGATTTCAACACGTTTATCGTATCACACAGCGTTGTGGTGTCTCAGGAGTGGAGCGAGAAATCGTGAGTGGAGGGTCGCAGCTAGCTCGGATTTGGCCTAGTCTCGAAGCTCTTCATCTGTCTGCACTCGACATCGCATCTAACTTCACACTTTCTATATTCACTAGAGGAGTTAATGTCAGAGTACTTTGACTCGTTCGCGGAACCATCTTTGTCTGAGCCCTCTTGACCAGCAGTTTCTTGCTTCTGGCGCCGATCCAGGGAAGTCTGAGCGCAATGAAGAATGACAGAGCTGTGGCTCATGAATATTCAATTAGTAGCAAGGTTGTCAAGTCTTGGCCAAATCGCCTCTGCAAACATTCTCCCAGAAGCCCTTAGAAAGCTAGGCCAGCATCGAAGCAGAACGATCAGGCGGTGGTGTCTCTTGTGCCTCATCAGCCCTGCCATCGCCATGAACATCGAAATCTCGGAAAGCACTCGTCTCAAACCGCCCGTAATCAACAATGTATCTTTGCCTTCAAAACACTGTCTTTCTTCCTTCCTTCCTCTCATCGTCCCCTCGACATTATCCATCAAACGCCTCAAGCCGAACCATTAAAAGAGTAATTCCCTCTTCGCACGTCCTTCCCAGCCATCACCCCCTTTCACGACATACATCACACCGCCGAAGTTTCCCCTTCACAACACCAACTCCACCCCTCCACCAATCCCTCTCCACTCAAACAAAAACCACCCCCGCCGCCCCCGCCAACACACCCACAAACCCCATCTTCTCCATCCCCCCAGCAGCAGCAGCAGCAGTACTCCTCGTCGCCCCCGCCCCCGTCGCCGTCGAACTCGTACTCCCACTCGCTGCGCTCTCGGTAAAAACGAACGTCGAGTTCCTGCTCACGCCTGTTTGAATGGGTGGGGGGCCGCGGATGGTTGGTGTCGCTGAGGAGGGGGAGAGGAGGGATTCTCGACTCGATGACGCTGACGCTGACGATGTCGCTACGATAGGTATTGAGGAGGATGATGTTTGAGCGGTCGACAGTCCGAGGAGGGAGAAGAGTGTTAAGCGGACCGAGTGGGATTTCATCGTGAAGAAGACTCCGAAAGCTTGTGAGATTATGGATATTTCGAGCTGTATTTTGTGTGAAAGAATATGACTGGTTCGGTGCGTTCAGATTGAACGGGTCAGGCTAAGCAGGTCAATGTAGTTTTTTTTTCTGAGAGAGAGAGAGAGTAGAGAGCGAGTTGTCCTTCTAACACTTGGGCGATGCCTTCCCTTCCCGGGCAACCCTTTTCCTTTCTATAACTCCGAACACATGCACGCACGGGCATCGCACAATTCTCCGGTCCTGCATGTTACTGGTCCAGTCGCTGAAACGAAACGATGTGGTTGGTTCGAAAACCTGAGATCTTCCCGAAACATAGGTGTGGTGTTGGTGCGCCATCGGCTCTCCGCAAAGCGGATGCCGGAGACCGAAGCGGGCAGCGACGACATTGAACTTTTGAAGGTAGGTAATTGTGGGATGTGTGAGGCATGGGAGAATTACTCAAAGATCTGATTTCCGCTTTCTAAAGGGGGGGTATGTCGGTACGAAATTACGAAACTCCACTCAGGGAAAAAAACACACAAACCGCGCTGTGATGTCGCACCTCTTCAGGGCAAAACACACACACCTTCTCTCCCTCACATCTACTTCCCATTCTCCCCCACGCCCTCCAACCTCCCCACCAACCTCTTAACCGCACTCCACTCCTCCCCCCTCGTCTCCACACCGCCCAAATCACTCCCGACCTCAAAGACCGTAACAACGCCATCCATACCCCCCACCGCAACTCTGCGCCCCTCATTCTTCTCCCACGCCAACTTGTTCAGACTGCGGTTCATATACCCCAGGCCCGATGGCATGCTCGCGAACGCGCCGCGCTTGCCGTCGCTCGGCTTGATCGACTGCACGGGGACTTCGACGTCGACGTTGATGTCCCAGACCTCGAGGGACCCGGCGCCGTCGACAAGCGCGAAGACGGAGGGTTTCGTGGGCGACCAGCGCGCATCATAGACGAGGTCTTCGCGCGCAATGTCCAGCACGGGAGTGACTTGTTGCGCGGTGCCGGATGCGAGCGTGGTGTTGGAGGCGCCGGTTGCGGCGGGCGGGCGCACTTTCCAGAGCTTGACGCTCCAGTCGACGCTGGAGGAGAGGACCAGGTCGCCGAGATCGAGCTGGCCTTTGGCGGGGTGAAAGTCGAGGGACATGACGGGCGCGGCGTGGCCGCCGTATTTGACGCGGCCGTCGACACCGGCTTTGGCGCCTGCGCGGTCGTAGCGATGGCATGGGTAGATGGAGCCTTCTTCTGTGCCGGCGAGAAAGTATGTGGGGTCGGACTGCGGGAAGGCGATGCAGGTGACTGCCATGTCGTCTGTCTTTGCTGGGGGTGGTGAGGTAAGTTCGAGGAACTCTTGTGGCTGTGAGAGCATGTCCACTGTCCAGCCGCAGACCACGCCATCCGTCGAACATGAGATGATGTTGTTCGCGTTCTGCGTACCGACCACGTCGATCGAGTAGACGGGATGCGTGTGCCCTGAGCCAGTGAGCGGCGTCTTCTGCACTGATGTAGCGCCCGCTCGAGTGTCCCATATCAAGACCTGGCCCGAGTATGCACCGCCAATGATGAGGTTTGGGTGGAAGGGCGAGAATTTGGCAGTAATGATGTCGGACTGGGCGTGGAAGATCCATTCAGGACGGTCATGCATGTGCATATTCCAGACCTGAATGAGTCCATCTGGGTCGTGAGGAGCGGATGGGTTCTTGGTATACGATGCGAGGACGAGTTCCGGAAACTGTGAGACTGTTAGTGGTAGTCATTTTAAGCGCGCGTTGTCACTCACCTTGGTAGAGAAATCCAGATCTGATATCATCCTCTTCTTGCTCCACCGCTCGTCCCAGAACTGTGCAATCTCCTTTATCCGCCTGCCCCTCTTGCCTCCAGTCGAGCCGTAGCCTTCATCTTCTTCATCGACATCTACGCCGCCGAGCGCATAGTCTGCGAGGATGTCGTAGTCGAGCTGCTGGTCCAGCGCCCTCTCCAGCACCTTTGTGCTCCGCTCGACGAATCCAATGAACTCGTCCGAGTTCTCCACCGCCGTCAGCTCCTCGTTCGACAGCGTCTTGAACGGAAAGTTCTCCTCTGAAGTCGAGGGTATGATGCCATCCTGCGCCGCTTGTTGCGCGACTTTGAGCTCCTCCTCAATCTCCCTTCGCAGCTGCGTCCGGATCTCCTCGTCCCTCTCCTTCTGCCTCCGACTCAGTCTCTTGCTCTTCGGTGACCGCGTGGGGCTCTCGTCGCGCTCTGAGTCGCTGGCTCCTGCTCCGGCACTCCGCGACTTCATGGGCGTCCATTCTATGCTTGCCTGCACTCCTTTGCTGTATGTGATGACCTCCTTCTCCTTCTTGACCTCGTCGGTGACCTGGCCGTCGTACTCGTAGACGGTCGCTAGCGGGCCTATTGACAGCGTCTGCATCTCCCTGTCCACCATGCTGCTTATCGAGTGATTCGAGGGGCCCTCATTGTCGCTGCTCAGCTGGCCTGCGCTCACTATCGAGGTTGGGCGTGTCGGTCGTCCTGCGCCAGCTGGGGAGCCAGGTTGTGCGGAACCAGGTCGGCTCTCCCCAATGAGGCTATTGATGAGGAGGTTGACGTCGTTTGATCGCTTCTCGAGGTCTTCGCTTCGTCTCGGTGTCGGTGAGAGTATCTGATATGGTCAGTACTTGATTGTATGCTGTGAGTATGGGAACCGTACTTCGCCCAACGGACTACCACTGAGTGATTGCCGGCTTGCTGACTCTTGCTTCCTCAACTCGCGCTGGCGCTTCAGCTCTGCGAGTTTCGCCTTCTTTGCGAGAATCTCATCGCGCCGCTGTTGCATCGTAGACTCGGACATGGTGTGGAGATGTGGAGGATGTCGTAGGGGGTTTGACTGCGATATTGCAGGCTGTGGCAAGAATTAAGCTTTAAATATCCCTCAAGTAATTCAAAGACAACCTCACGCCCGTCTCACTCTTCCGCAGTGCAATGCGCAAGTATGTTTGTATGTAGCTTCGCACCCCCGAAGATCGCGCCAAGCACCGCGCCAGGAACACTCCCCTAGCGCCGTCTTCCGCAGACGTGCCGAAATCTTGAACCTCGACTTCACGCCCATCGTCACCCACCCATCCCCATCCGCCCCGACACCGCGCCGGCCACTCCCATCCGGTCCCTATCCGCCCGCGCACCACCGTCGCACATACTTTTACTCTGCCATTGGACCCGTGCGACCTCGGCTTCACCATGTCTGCTTCTACAGGTGTTAATGTACGCTTCCTCACGCCATTGCAGCCCGATGCAAGCTGTCAATCCGTCAATTGCAGCTGCGTGCAGCTTCCCGAACGATCCACGATAGCTAACAACGTGTGGAAATAGGTCCTCCGCTGGTCCGCCCTCGGCTTCGGCGTCTTCTACGGCGCATACCACCAACTCAGCTTAAGCGCACGCGACAAGGCCAACGCATCGAAGAAGGAGTGGGAGCACAAGGAGTCGTTGATCAGGCAGGCAAAGGCCGAATGGGCACGGTCGCATCCTGAGCCAAAGGCTGCGGGTACGTCTCGTCGAATATCTAGACGTTGTATTTGGAATCATGTACTAATCGAACAACAGTCTCAGCAAACGCAAACGACCCCAACGCCGACCTCAACACCATCCTCGGCATCACAGACAACTGAGCGGCGAGGCTGGCTTGACGTTTTCTTGTAGCATGGAGGCATGAGCATGGGGAATCAGACGCATAATACGAAATCAATCCACCTTCGCAGCAGCCGAGACGCGAGAGAAAAACAATCCATCCGTCCAACAAGTTGTGCTGCTGCGTGCCGCGCAAAGGGGATAAATCTTGCCTTCGTATATTTTGTACCCCAACCTGTACAGTATTAGACGCCCGAGTGCGGTTTGCGCTTTTGAAATATACATGCTTATTCTACTTCTCTTCGTACACAATTCTTCACGTGCTTTTTCAATCAACATCCATGGATCGATCATGCGTGATCAGCACTTTTCTCATTTGAAACCGCGGGGTCATGTATTCTATACACAAAAGCACTTTGCCTTTCCTCCACCCCTCCCAATCCCCCCTCCAATATGCATATCGCTCCAAAACAAGTACCAAAACCAAAAAAAGGAATGAAGAACGGAAGAAACGGAGCCGTATCAAACGCCCTACCAAGGTGGTAGTAGGTGAGTAGAAATTGAGCGCATGCAAGAGAGCTAAAATATAAACAAGAAATTGGCTCTCTGCATGCTGAGCGAATTTTAGGTGACGCGTTCGTTCGTTTGTTGGCCTCCAATGTACATTTCTAGTAGTACATAAATCCCTACGTTTCTAGTCTTTACAATACCTCGCCCACAATCTTCGCCGCCTCCTTGTACGTCTTGAGCAGCTTCTCGCACTTCTCGCGCTCGGCCTTGATCGTGTCGTCTTCGTACAGGAGCTCCTGGAAGAGATCTTCCTTGTACAGCGACGAGACGAGCCTGTTTTGCACGACGTCTTTGGAGTGGTTGACGAGGAGGTGCATAATGGCCTTAGGAACTTGGTCTGCGACGGTTTCTCGCACAATGTTAAAGTACGAGGAGATGAGGCGGCGGATAAGTTCTGTCTCAAGAGCTTCGCGCTCAGTGAGGGCGGGTGCTGATTCTGGGTCGGATGGCTGCGGCGTGTTAGGAAACGATCACGAGTAAGCTCATGTACAACTTACGAAGCCACCCTCAAAACCGTGGTCCCGAATGGGACTCATTGGAGCGTCGTCTTCATCGGGAAGCATCTCCAGAACGTGAGTAGGTTGTCGAACTTCCCGGGTCCGAATGCTCTGTGCGAAGCTGGGTTCGACATTTTGGCTGACGTGCCGGCTTCCGGGCCGGTTGTCTCCAGGTTGCTGTACAGTGTTTGCTGAGTTGGCATACGCGGTTGCGCCATCTTTCCCAAAGAAGTAGTTCAGGAAGCTGTCGCGCTGTGGTGCTGGGGGCGACCTTTGCCGGTTGTTGAGCTGGCCTGATATGCTACCTTGGCCGTTCAATAAACGGCCGACTGCTGGTGACATACTGCGGCTCGCCTGTGTTTGGTGTTTCCGCAGGGGCAGACTCTTTGCAGATGCGGGGGTTTCGAGCTCTTCGCCATTCTCGAGTAGCTCACCACCGTTGGCCTCAGCAATGTTGAGCTCCTTCAACCGCCTCTTCTCCCTCTTCTTCTTCTCCGCCTCCATAGCAATCTTCTTTTCCCTCTGTTCCTTGTCGTTGATGACGGCTGACATGGCAGCTGCTGCGCCAAGGAAATTGGGATGATTAGTGTTGATGTATGCTCTTTGAATGTCGATGAGCGAAGCGACGTAGGTTGAACACGGACCGAGTTGTTCTCGGAGCAGATCGGACACCACTTCGATCAGCTTGCCCTGCAGTCGAGGGTACCTGGTCAACTCGGTTGATCCGCAGGTGTGGCAGATCTTAATGAGCTCTTCGTAGACCAGCTCCACACAACGCTGACTCGGTATCTCCAAAAGCTTAATTTGAGGTTTTACCAGCAAGTCGAAAGCCAACTCTGGTACAAACAAACTGGGCCGCGGTCCAGTGGAGTTACGGATGGCTGTCCGGATGTCGAGGACGGAGAGGTTCATGGTGGGGTCAACCTGCTCTAGGGAATTGCCATAGACGGAGTTGAAAATGTAGTATATCCTGGCACCACCGCACAGCTCTTTAGTAGATATTTCGGTCGAGGTTCCGTCAATGGACGATATGAAGGACGAAGCGAAGCGGGTCATAAGCTGGAGTATGAGAGAGCCTCGGTGTTCCTTTCCGGTGAAAGCGACATCGCCGTAGCTGGCCAATTCCTGCTGTGTCTGTCCCATCAGGGTGTTCAGCCTCGCCTTGATGTCTGGTAACCGGTCGCGGATATGTGCCATGAGGGTCTGGTTCAGGCTCTTTGCGAGGAACTGGGTTCCACACTTGTTCGCCATGTTCCGGTAGGCGGGGTGGTGTCGGAAGAAGTCGCGCTCGTCGGAGAGAGCATCGTGGAGCGACTTGCTGGTCTGGATGTCGTGTTGTGAGCGGTTGACAATACCGATAAAACCCAGCTTGAGGGGGTACACGCGTCCAGAGAGAATGTCCATGGCGTTAGTGCCGTGGTCCATTAGATCCAGCTTTGTGAGGACACCGATGGTCCGCTTTCCCATGGGGTCGACATGGCGGGCGAGCTTCAGCGCCTCCGAGTTGACGAGATCGACGTTGGCGGGCGAGACGGCGAGAATGACACTGTTCGGCTTCGCAATGTACTCGGTGATGAGACCGCGTGTCTGCTTTTCGATGTCTGTTGGCTGGTCGCCAATGGGAACCTGCAGCCGTTAGCTCCTTCCCGTGCAGCGAGCGCCTTCGCACGAACCTTGGTCAACCCAGGCAAATCGACAAGTGTCAAGCTGAGCACGTGCGGCGAGTAAATCTTGAGGTTGATGGGCTGCCTGTTGATGCCCTTGTTGTTTCCTGCTATCCTCGACGTTTCGTTCTCAATCTCCTTTCTGACCTCGCCGAAGTCGTAGAACTTCCGCCCGGGGATGTGCAGGAACTCTCCCCATTCCTGCTGCCCGGCAACGCTCGCCGGAGTGTGGGGCACGTGGACCTCGTCGTCTTCGTCGGCATCGTCGCGTTCGCTGGGCAGGTTGATGAGCTGGAGAATGAGCGGCCGCCTGGTGACGATGCCGCTACCTCGGGGCAAGAAGTCTCTGCCGACAATGTTCTCGAGCACCGAAGATTTCCCCGATGATTGTGATCCTACGACAACCTGCTCGAGTCAGTACAGCTCGCGCCGAACCATGCGGCAAACTTTTGACGCCAACTTTTCCACCAGCAACGGCCTATACCCGCGGGGTCACACGTACAATCTGGGGCAGGTCGAGGGAGTCATTTCCAATGGTGTTGAAAACAAGGTCCTGCAGCCTGTTGACAATGTTGAGGAGCTCCTCTCCCAGCGAAGCCATGGTGTTGGTGGTGGTGTCGTTGCTCTGCGCTCAACGGCTATAGCTTGTGCTTCAAACGGGCGGTCAACTAGCTTCAAAAAGTTCCCGTAGTTGCCAGTTGCGTGCGATGAGACGGATTCGGCGGGACGGGCAGGTGCGGGCGTTGGGCAGATCGCGTGCCTGGATGGATGCACCGTTATTGTGAGGCTCGTGATGGGCTGCGGTCCTCCGTCATGGCGAATCTTCCAGGGAACTTTGGAAGCGAGCAAGTCGCAACTCGAGCGTAGTCACGTGCCAGCACCGCGGACCCCCGTTAACAACGCATCATTCTCCTTAATTTTGGGTCTCGACGCCCATACCCAGCGCATTAAAGCGAGCCGACGCGGAAACCACCCGGCATGCCTATCCTTGTTCACCGCCAGGAGCAAACATCGCAGCACACTGCAAACATATCGCCAGCGCTGTCGACGCTTTCGCCACGCATGCACTGCCTCTGCAAAGGGAAATACGTCAATACGTCAGAGCCTAGCAGATCACCCGTGATGGACTTTGCCAATATACGCATGCAATCCGATTGGCATGGCATGGGCATCTCCTTCATGGCATCGACCCGCACTGCCGTAGGAGCCGCACTTTGTACGCAATGACTTGCTAACATCGAGTCGTCTCACTGCAGCTCGTGACTTTGCATCATATGCCCCGCATACTTGCTACGCCTCGCCAGGCGGGTTCCAGAATGTGAACGGCTGGCCGCAAACGTTTGCATTGTTTGGGCCATCGCTCGGGTACAGTCGGACCGTCGGCCAACGGATAACGAAGTCACGTCCTTATCGCTGGATTCCCTGAGTAAGGTAAGGCTGCCGTCACACGCGACACCACCTAATGATCAACATCTAGTCCACCTCATATCGGTGGTTCTCTGGACCTGAATCATGGTCGTCAGGGCCGAAGCCTGCTCAATCTTGGGCCGTAGCGATGCGAGCACCGCAATGCTGGGGTACCTCGATAGCTATTCACCGGACTCAGATCTCCATGGATGCTGATTGGCCCACCCAGCAACGTAACACTGACCGTGTTGTCTTACTACCAACGTCGTCTCCCGAGGGAAGCCTATCATAGTAGATAAGCCCTCTCTTATCAGGCTGACCGCCAAACAAAGCAGGAATGGGCGTTGGGCGCCGCTGTACATAGGCAGCAGTAGCCCTTCGTTGTGCTCATTCATTCCATTCTTATCTCTCACCCACACGCTTGATAAAAAAGCGTTGGCTCCCCTTGGCACAGGTATAACTATACAATCACACTCTTCGTCGCTCTCAATCGACCTACTGCTCCCCACCACAACCACGAAAGTTCCATGGCCTCAGAGTCCCTCATTCTCACTACCGAAAACTCACAACACGACATTACTGTCGGCACGATTAAATGCACAGCACCAATTCCCTTTGGAGGCGAAGAGCAATGGCTCTACCTGCCGGCCACCAAGAAGTTCGACCTGTCGCGGGGGTCGCAGCAGAAGATGGTGTTTGAATGTGACGAGGAGGACCGCAACCACAGCGGCTTCATGATCGATCCGGCCACATCGGTTCTTATCGTCGTCGACATGCAGAACTACTTCATCAACCCTATCTACCGGGACCACGCCGCCGGGATTGCTGCCATTGAACCGACCATCAAGGCTATCGAGCGGTGCAGGAAGGAAGGCATTCAGATCGCGTGGCTCAACTGGGGCCTCAACGACCATGATCTGAAGACCATGGCTCCTGCCATTCAGCGCGGCTTCAGCAAGACCTTGGGCTGGCATGTTGGTCTTGGAGCGCAGCTGCCCGGCCGACAAGGAAGATGTCTGTTCAAGCGAACCTGGAACGCCGACCTCTACGAACCCATGAAGGCAGTGGCTGAACCTGGCGATCTCTTCTTTGACAAGACGCGTATGAGCGGACTGTGGTCTACCAAAGAACCGCTCCACGAGTATCTACGAGCATCTGGCAAACAGACCTTGCTCTTTGCTGGAGTTAACACCGACCAGTGTGTGTTCGGCACTGTGTCTGATGCCTACTCTTACGGATGGGATTGCATCCTGCTCAACGACTGTACGGGCACCATGACGGGTCGCGGCGCTCAGGAGCTTGCCGAATACCAAATCTCGCAGAACATGGGCTTCGTGACTACCAGCAGCGCGCTCTGTGAAGCTCAGATGATGTGAGCACGCAACTTGGTCGATGCGTTGTCAGCCAGCTCCTTGTCTTTTATGCTCTTAGCATCCTTTTGCGAAATACCCTAGAAGTCTATGGACTTTCGAGAATGAATCAATGAATTAATATGATCTCTTATCTATACCTATGCTTGGCCATTCAAAGTCGTGGTTGCCCGATGCAGTCGTGGATCTGCAGGAAGCGTACGAATGACGACATAGCCGAGTAACCTCAACTAGGAAACATGTCACGCAACAACTGAACACTCCCACTGACCCATTGAATCGTTATTCGATGCTGAAATCCATTCTGTATCTTCCCTGACCTTGTGAAATCGTTGCAGTCACAATACCTCATGACTAACATGTTCATCAAGAGATTGGCGGCCCTTGTTTGCTCGCTGCAGCTGTTCAGCCCAGCGCTCGCTCTTCCAGGCAAACAACAACCTCTCAGCTCACACAACTCCAAAGGCTTTCAAGCAGTTCGAGCAGAGTATGTCTAACCACATGACAAACATATCACGAGCTCACTAGTACCTCCCAGACTCAAAAAAGCCGAGATCATCCCAACAGGTAACTAGTCGACACCACACCCATTCTACCAAACCCCGCAACTCACCACCCCAGTAATCGACGACTTCCTCCCCAGCCTAACACTCAGTGTCTCCTGGCCCAAAACCCACGCCAAACTCGGCAACACCATCAAGCCCAAACACCTCCAAAAACAGCCCACCATCACTCTCCATGATGAAACCACCTCGGACATGACCTACTACATCACCCTCACCGACCCCGACGCCCCTTCGCGTGAGAATCCCAAATGGAGCGAAATGTGCCACTGGATCGCTACCAACCTCACCTCATCCTCAAACACCATCCCCATGCCCATCTCAGAGTCTGGTCCAGACGACGTAATGCCCTACAAACCCCCCGGCCCACCGCCCAAGACCGGAAAACACCGCTATGTGTTCCTCGTCTTCGCGCCGCGCAACGGCACCAGCGAGACGCTGCACCCGTCGAAGCCCGGGGATCGGCAGCATTGGGGCTTCGGAAAAGAGGGGAAGGGCGTGAGGGAGTGGGCGGGGGAGAATGGACTGGTTGCTGTCGGGGCGCAGTTTATTTACGCGGAGAATGAGAAGCAGTAAAGATTGATTGATGGACATTGCTATGTAACCCAATTTATTTGACGGCGGCCAGGACTTCGCCTTGTAGCGTGCACAATTCTACCACTCTGCTCACGCCGCTGATTTCTGCTTTGCTGGCGAGTAACTTCTCTTTGACGAATTCGCATGTCGTGGCTTCGGCTTCTAGCGCGGTGTTGCCCCATGCTGCGACGTCCTTGGAGCCCGCGGGGAGAAGGTGGCTTTCGCCTGAGAGACGGAGTAGCGCATCTTCGATATCCTGGTCCGCCGCGGCGATTTGTGACTGTAGGTAGACTGATTGCTGAAGTAGTGCACGATCGTTGTTGGATGTGCGCGCGAGGTGCGGGAGGTGTGGGAAGAGTTTTGTGATGGGCATTTGCGGAGCTGTAGTTTGCTTTGTCGAGGCAGCTTCTATTTCTGCTTTTTCGTCTTGTTCCACAGTTGGCGGATGTTGCAGGCTCTCGTAGCTTTCGATCAGGCTGGCTCGAGCGGTGGTGTACTGGGTGTATACATCCCTGACTCTTTGCTCGGCGGATGCGAGATCTACGGGCGCGTTGTCTTTCAATGGGCGCTTGATAGGCGATGCATCTTCTAGGAATATCGAGTCTTCTTCCATCTTGACTAATTCGCCCTGCACCCATTCGACCATTTCATCCTTTGCACATTCCAGTGCATACACTTGCTGCTGTAGACTAGCCTCACCTCGGGAATGACTCTGGGCTTCGACTCGGGCTGCTTTTGCCCTATCCATATTCGCGCGCGATTCGAGGACTTCTTGCTTCAGCTTGAACACCCATGTCTGGTCGTCGTTTGACTGAGAAATGTGTTCCAGACGCTCTGCTGGAAGATCCGGTTGTTCCCCAATAGTTTCTTTGACGAGAGCTTTCGGGTCCTTGGGTGCATGGGAGGGTCTCGCACTAAGCAGTTTCTCCAACGAGTCTTGAATGACTTGCAGCTCGGCAAGCCGTCTGCGCTGACGCAAGAGAGCAATGTAGCCTTGCGTACTTCCGTCGTCGTTGTCTGCCTGGGCTTGCGTCCGGTTCTCGTCAACATGGCGTTGCTGAAGATCCTGAAGGGAAGCCTGGAGCTCTCTATGCTTGGCTTGGGCTTGGCTATGTGCTCGCAAAGCCTGTAGATATTCCAGACGGCATCCTTTCAGGCCGGGTGGGTTGGTAGAGGCTGCTGATATGTTGTGTGGGCACACGTGGTTGACGTGCTCGTTCTTTGTTGCTGTGTTCACAGGTCTGAGGCTGGTCGTTAGATATTTTGAGAGCGTCCGCCGTATCCTGAGCGTGTCCTCGCGGGAATTTATGTACGATGAAAGAGCGCGATCCACTTCCGATATGGGACAGGTGGTGGGCGCCGGCATGTTTGCGGGTTGTTTACACTCCCCGATGTCGCACTTTGAAGGATAGCACAGGTTATTGAGCCTTTTACCGTCTATGTGTCGGTCACTTCGTTTTCAGCTAAGGCCGTTTTATTCTCCGAATTCGTTGTTGGTTGTACAGTACGTAAATAACAGACGCTGGCTGTCTCTCGCGCTAACAGCTCTTGAAATAGCGAGCGGAAAGCTAAGCCAAGACGCGTTTAGTGCCGAACACGCTGTCACATGCATCACCGCCCATTTGCAGTTCCTTCTATACGTTCGCACAACTTCCAAAAAGACTCTCTGTTGATTGGCGGTAATTCTGTTTATTTTGAGCCTGAGAGACTAGCTCACATGGCAAATATGTACAACACCTAGATCAAGTTGTTTTGATCTCTTTCTATCCACCTACCATCCGAGCAACGGGTCGGGACCAATATTTGCCGCATGCGAGATTGCTTGCATGACCTCTAATATGGCAGAAGGTGCCAAAAAAAACATGATTCGTTTATGATCAAATGTTTCACTGCTATAGTAGCAGTTAAAGAATGGCCAAGTGTACAAATATCCTCGCTGTCCCAGTCACCACAAGTACAGGATCTGCACTGCGCCTCTACCCTGCGAGCAATAATTGTGCTTCGACAGTTGGCTTCTGTGGATCCGTCTTGGGCGTACTAACCTTGGTAAGTTTGAGGAATATATACCGTCACTCCCTGAGTCCTCTTAGGTATCAGTCGCTGATTTGGGTTTCCTTTCAGGAGCGGCCTGTGGACCAGCTCTAAGTCTGAAAGCTCATCATCTTAAATGATAAATCGCCATAGTCTTCGCCACCCTTGTCATTCTTCCACGAACCCGCATAATGGTGTAGCACAAGCTTTGGCGGCAATTGTGCCTTCTCTTCTTCCGTGTACGTGTTGGACGAAGCCGCGAACGAGCGTCCTGGCATGACGAGAACATCTCCGACTAGCTTTGGTTGCAGGAGCTTCGACAGATCGTCTTCCCCAATCGTTTGATTCAGCTGCTTGCTCAAGCTCTTGTACACGCCGGTTGTCAAGCGTCGCGGTCCGGAGAAATCTACCACGTCTCCCATCATTTCCAGAGTCACGTTCTCCACCGTAACGTTGTGCTCCATGGGCTTCTGATGTAGCGTCTCGAAGATATCATCTATGACCTGCATCGTGTGTGTCGACCCCTTCTTCGACATAATCGTCCAACTTGCGAATTGCCGGACGAATTTGCCTGGCCATCCCCAGTCGAACTCCCAGCCTACCACCAGGTCGGCGGTCTCTCTGTATTCTTCTGGAACCTACTCGTCGATCGGAACGCCTTCGCAGGATATGTCGAGGTCGGACCAGGTCGTACAGCATAACGTATCGCAGTATGTCGGCTTTGAAGATTGGAATTGGGAGCGCAAGATAGTCTTCCACGATATTAGACCGCAAGACGAACACCCTCTTTACCATCTCGTCGCCGCTTTTTCCTCTGTCATCGATTCGACCTCGTAACCTGGATTACTGTCGATGCAGGTCTTGGTCCAATCACGGATCTCGTCGCTCATGCCATGAGGTCCCAGTTTGTACCAAAGCTTCCTCGGTATGCCCCTGTACTCCTCTACCGCCTGGGTTGTGGGTACCGCCGCTGGTGGTGCTTCCTCTGGCTCTGATGCTGCGGGGTCTGGTGGAGCTAGCATTGGCGGCGCTGACGACGGTGCTATTGGTGCATGATTAGGATCTGGAAGCCAGTACCGTGGAACGTCCAAAGATTGAAAAACAGTATTACAATGAAGGCTGCCAGAAGCGTGTAAAGCGGACTCAGTATAATAAGGATCCTGAGTCAGCCTACCCCTAACGTCTGCCGAACAAAGAGGCACGGTGGGAACGAGGCTGAAGCGAGCGGCAAATGTGATTACTGGTGTTGAGAGCGCATACGGCGCACATAGCCCAGTCTGTAATGTTCCTGGTCGCTTTCTTCTGTAGCAAAACTTGATTAGTCGAGAAGGCGCGCGAGTTTTGCAGCGTTCAGGTCACTCGGCAATCTGATGGCGGTTTATCAAAGTTGGTCCGGGCTTCGAGGCACTTCGCAATTACAACTTTGCTGTACCGCAACAGTACATGATTCAATAGACTCCGGCGCTTACAACAGTACATGATTCAACAGGCTCCGGCGCTTACAACAAGTGCCGTGATAGGTGGCTCAGAAGACGATTCTGGATTAAAGTGTGTTTTCTTCGTTGTGCGCACTGACAATCTGCTGTCGAAGTTTGCGAGGCACTTCGTGTTCTTTGTTGGTCGTTATCACAGTATACCCAAATCGGCCTTAAGCGCTAACTCGGCACACGCATGGCCCCCAGTTATGTGTGACAGCTGCAGATTTCCTAACTCTTTCGGGGGTAGCACTTTTGACATATGTCGTCTCTTTTTCGGACAGGGCAGATTCCTAAAGGAAGACTGGGAACCTACGCCATTGAACAGGGCCATTTTATAGCCGAAAGCTAAGATATATAGTATCATGATCTGTTTGGGGTTTGACGGCGCGAGCCTGTGTACAGCTTCAGTCCATGTGAGGGGCTGCCAGTCGTTCCACCCTCGTCGCTTCCTACTGTAGTTGAGCTTCATTCAGAATGGTGTTGACTTGTACTACTTGTGTTTGCTAAGGAGCGAAGATTGTCATGATCAAAAGCGTCCAGGCTCGTCGAATGGTTCAGAACGAACGACTGCAACGTCGGAGCTAAGCTAGGTGAAAGTGCACATTCAAAGTCAATTTGTAACGCAAATGCGCCTATATTCCAAGACTATGATAAGACAATGTGATGCGCTTGTACACAAAGAGTTTGTTGGTTTCGTAACTCGACACTAATCATCGTTCCACCACTCATCTTCTAACAGTTCCTTCGCGGTTGGTCGATCTCTCCAGTCCAGCATCATGATTCTGCCAATAAAGTCTTTGTCCCGCTTGCAGACTTCTCTCTCCGTCGTGCGTGAAAATGATGTAAGCTTCTCTTGTGGTATCGCTTGCATCAACCACAGAATTGACTGAACAGTTTTTTCGCTAGCAATGTCTGCAATCTTTGCAGGGAAAGGCCCAAAGTAGCGAAATTGTTGCATCATAACTTCTGCCAGATATTCTTCGTGGTCTCGGTCAAGTTTAGGTCGAAAGAGGTTGAAGTCCCCACCGTATATCAGGCTTATGAGCTTGATTGAAGCAGTGTCAGTATGTGAATGGGATGGGAAATGGCTAAAACAACGAAGGCTAGACGTACCAAGGTGCCGAACGACCAGATGTCTGCAGCAGTGTTCCAGGGCATCTCCATGAGAACCTCTGGACTTGACCACATTGGTGTGCCGACTCGCGTTCCAGCTGTAGCCCACTCGGAATCCACAGGGTAACATCCACCGAAATCACCAAGCTGGACATCGGAGAAGCGATTGTCGTCATCTCGTTGTAATTTGACAAAGACGTTGTCCAGTTTGACATCTTCAACTCCAGTCAGCTAAGTATTAGGAATAGAGAGAGTTTATACCTGTATGCACAAAATTATCTTCGTGAATAACCTTGAGCGCTTCGAGAACGCGACGGCATGTATACTTGATCTGCTTCCGGTTCAATATCGCCCTAACAGTCTCCACTAGGAGATCGCTCTCGAGGTATTTCAGAACGATAGTCGCGGGAAGTGACGGATCTTCGACTTCATCAATCATTGGCCGAAGGAAAGGAGTGCGATGCTGGAGTTTCCTGAGAACATCTCGTTCATTCTCGACCCGTGGATGATCCTCGACACTTTTAACCACGACAGTTTCCCGGAACAGACTCTCCCTTGAAAAAAGGTTAATGTCTTATTTGGCCTCCAATCGCAAATCGCCTACTTTGCTGCGAACCAAACGGTATCTTGGACCTGCTTCGTGATGGTGTAGGTTCAAATCCTACCCTGAAGGATTTGCCCGATTCGCAAAAGCAACGACATGGGGACGAAGAAAAATAGTGGGGAATGGGTATGCATTAATGAGGATGCGAAAGAGAGAGTGGCAACGGCCCTGGAACAATGAGGCCAGGCGGGATGCCAAGACATTTGGCGGGAACGTCAACCCCATCAAATCACGCGGCCGGCCCGTACGTCTTCCCATGACATTCTGAAGAGCGACTACTTGAAATAAAGTCAATAAGTCTCATATGTAACATTTCTCAAGGTGATGATGAAGTCAGGGCTGCCATGAGGCTTCCATGAGAACGCGTGCGCTTGACAAGGCACATCCCAACATGGTTTGTAGAAGTGGATAAAAGTATTGACCTCCGTAAAGTTCAAACGATTATGAGAAATCAAATTTAGTCGCAGAAGCAAATTCAGGAGTGGCACAAGGAGAAGTCCGTTTTGATGCACGACTGTGCCGCAATCTGTGCGCGGTTATTCGAAGGCGGCTCTCCAGGGCTTTCATCTCCATCTTCCATGACCCTCGCCGCAATAAGCGCGACGAAACAGACTGACGCTTCAAAATCTCTACAACAAGAGCAATTCAGTTCGAGCAAAAAAATTCTACGAAGTGAGACGCCGAGGTCTAGCGCTCTGTGTCGTGCTCGATAAAGTAAACATGAGCCCAGGCCCACCACCGAGACCGGATCCAACACAGCAAGGAAAGGACAACTCCCACGTCAATGCAAAATAGAGTCCATACCCCCACCACCGTCTTCTCCTCCTACAAAGTCCACGAAAGTCTCAATTCCATCAAGCGCAGTACCTAAACCTCCGCCTCTGCCTCCTAGAGCCTCCTACCTACCAACCGTTGACAAGGTCCTTTACATACGCCTCATGGCCGCAAGCACAAGTAAACAAGACAGGCCATTCCAGCCATGTCACATGTTCTTCTATGGCTCACTTATAGATCCCGAAGTCATTCAAGCAATCCTCAACCTCGCAGAGCTTCCAACAACGAAACCTGCAATCATTTCCGGCTTCCGTATAAAACTCCGGGGCATGTACCCAGCTCTGGTACCTAGCGCGTCAGGATTGGTGAATGGCACTGTATGTAAGGTCGATACAGAAGAGCATTTTAACAGGCTAGCCGCGTATGAGAGTCCTGCTTACGACTGGGTTAAGTGCGATGCAACTTTGGAAGATAGTACTGTGCTTCCTAATTGTCGCACAATTCTGTTGGGCTGAGATACCAGATAGCAACGAACTTGAAGAAGGCAGTTTTGATTTGCGGCGATATCAGAAGTGCTTCAAACCATCTGTTACTGAGCGAGGGTCGCCTGCATCCTGGAGCTATCCTAGATCTGGTCCCAATTCATTGTTGCGCGCGCCTATGTGGGGCGACGACTGAGATAGGAGGGGCTAGCCGCTTCTTGTTTCTAGAAAGGTTGAAACGATGCTATAAGTAGCAGATGCAAGTGCATGCAACTCAGCAGAGTGATAACAGTAGAAGACGCTTGAAGCTTGAAACAGTAACACGAGTTGCGTATCTAGATTCACTAGTCATCTTGAATCACGGCATCACGCAACGCGGTAGCAGTAACCAGTCTTACAATAGATAGCGTTGCTGCATTGGCTCTGGTATCTATCTGGGCATCAGGTTCGTAGCCCTCGCCGCGTACAAGCTGCAACACTCGACTTCGAGAGCCATGACCCAATGAAATAACTTGCATACTTGTCAACAATCAAGCTAAATCTTCGGCTTGATAGCCTACATAGCTCCACGAAACTAGGTGCTGGGACATCGCGAGACGCTGAATAGGGCTATCAAGCCCGAAGATTAGCTTGGATTGTTGACAAGTATGCAGCTGTCTGACTTAAATAAGAGATGAAAGAAGAGGAGCATCAAAGTATCTGGCCCCTAGAGATGTGCATTAGCTGCGAGATGACTATCAAGATTAGGCTCCTCGTCTAGATACAGAATATAAAGAGGTAGGGAAAGCTAGTTAGCATACTTATTAATAATTAAGCTAATCTTTAGCTTAATCGCCTGTCTAGGTCTAAGAGGTCTAGTACCTAGCTCGTAGAGCTATATAAGCTACTAAGCTAAAGATTAGCTTAGTTATTAATAAGTTTGCTAACTAGCTTTCCCTGCCTCTTTATATTTTACATCTAGACGAGGAACCTAATCCTGCTAGTCTTCTCGCAGCTAATACAACGTCTCTGTAAGTGCACTCATATAAAGCAATTTCCGCCCGTATTGCACTCATCCTGTGTAGGTTTCTCTTTTACTGTCTCTTCTCGACTTCTTTCTTCAGTATCAATGGTGGTTTGTTCCGTTGGAGCTGCCGTGAGTCTGCCGCGAGTGCTATGCCTGAGCCTTTTGTGCCTCGGAAGATTTCTCTTATCCGCAACGCTCTCGCCACAGATCTCGCAGGAGTACCGCTTGTTTCGGTGCTTTGCCTTATGCTCGCGCAAGTTTTTGGCATGAGCATAGCCTTTCGTGCATTGGTTGCACGTATAGAGTTTCGGAGCCTTCGTGCCACGTGTCAATTGTCGATGCTGGACAACCTGTGTATGGTTGCCCGACTCGTTGCGTTCGGTAGCCATGGCAAGGGGTCTTAGGTGGCGTGATGAGAACACGACTGTCGGCCGAGAATGATTGTGCTTTTGCGAGCTTGCAGTCGAAGACGGGCTTGCAAGACTATACATACTTGACAGTGATGCATCAGTGGTGCAGGGCGTGACTTCTTGCTTGGCTTTTTGAGAAGCATTTGCGCCCTCCATATGCTGTGCATCTCCTTGAGCTCCATTCGATACGGGGCAGGTACAAAGGTCAATCATCCACGGGACCAGTGAGAATCCTGATTCGATTGATGTAGAAGGTTGGAAGTGAAGAGTATCGAGGCCAAGGTTGCTGGCATCGATGGCGGCATCAGAGAACCAGTCGTATGGGTACGGTTCGGGCTTCCACTGCTCGTGTACTGTAGTGGACCAAGATGAGAAGTTTGGATGATCATCGCTGTCGCTCGAGATTGGAAATGCGCGAGACCGTAGCCTCGCGCTACGCGGTTAAGATAGGTGAAGACTCTCTCTTAACGACGAAACTTCAAAGAACCGCCAAAATAGGAGGGATGAAGCTCGCCGGATGAAGAGGAGAACGAGATGGGAGGGTGAGCTGAGAATTATATGCAGGACGACATGAAGCTTGCCTATGGTGATTGGTTGAAAGAGGGGGTCTCAATGCAACCCTGGAAACCTTGCAATCCTTCGGCTGTGCGCGTCCTCCAAAATCACTGTTAGTCGTAACGCCTTTCCACCATCTGTTGTCCAATCAACGGCTCAGTCTTCATTCCCAGCCGCGTGAGACCCTATAGAGCAACCCAATCATATAACAGTGCATCGAGAGACCCTGCCAAGTTCCAATCAGGGCTCACTGACGGGACTGACACGCGAGGGATCAGACCGGAACAGCACGCTGACAGCATGGGCACTAAGGCCAATCTGGCTCGCTTACTGCAATAATAACACATGTGATTTCCCGAGTCTGCTTGCGTTTTCGTCTGTGGCGCATGTTATGTGATGCACCACAAAATGGGTAGGGCCTTGTCGCAATCCTATCGCGTGTGATATCCAATTTGAGGGACGTTGACCATGTTTGAGGCTTAGTCCATGTGTCTGCCATATTCAATTACTCCCCGCTTTGCTCCCCTCATTTCTTAAGGCGGCAGCTGTTGTACAATATGCATGCTTCCGACTGTCCAACCAAGGTAGCCTCGCGTATGTCATATTCGGTATAATCGCGGAAGAAGAGAACGAGCTGAGCAAGAGAGAGCTGTACCCAGCTTCTCAGTGGCTCACTTCAGTGCGTACCTGATCGGCGTATTCTTGCATTGCCGAACACCATTCTTCGTGCCTACTTCAAGGGTCTCAATGACCGGTCTACAAGACGACCCTTGCAAAAGCCCGAAAGGCGAAAGGGTCTCTTCGGAAGTCCTCTGTCTAGGTAGCAATGAGCGGCGTTTGCATGAGCCGCAGTTTGACAAAAGAAGTGTCAGGCATTCCGAGTAATACGGAAAGAGATCCTACCAGAGCCAACGCACAGCGCAAGGACATGCAAAGAGACCCTGTCGTCAAACTATCTCGCAAGATAACTCGCAAAAGAAGAGGATATGAAAGCGGCTTCATCCCCCCCAAACAAAATATGAGATCCCACAATCAATTGGCTATCGAAAACCACCCTCAATATAAAGTCCGAAGACCTTCTACACATTGCCGTTCCGTTAAATATCTCCGAATCATATTTCCCAACTCTTCCGGACACCATCAGAGCCATCCGTATCACCTCAATCACTCTAACCATGTCGAGCCACAATAATTCTTCCTCCCCCAGTGGCACAAGTCCTCGAACAAAAGACATTTCAAAGCAAACGAACCCAACAGGATCAACCGCCGCAGATATACACACCTTCCTTTCGCAACTACCTCCACGTACGCAACACGGCCTGACACAGCACACGATACTGACCCATCGACAGGCCAGCATTCATCTCTACCCCAGAGCCCGTGGACAGTGTCTAAAGGCAGTTACACTAGAACGGATGGATCTGATGTATATGTTCGGGGTCCTGATGATTTCCAGGCGAACGCCTTGCAATCACGGACTAATGAAAGTGTTAAGGGTGTGTATGAAAACGAAAGCATTGGTGAAGGCGGAAAGAATGGAAAAAGGTAATTGCAAGCTTGACGTCTGGAAAAATAAAATAAAAAAATACCTCGTTCCCACTTCCTACACTTCCACACCGCATCCCACCTTCCTCATATCCCTTATTTCCTCATCGCCTTACCCCCTAATAACGTCTCCCTCTTCTTACTATCTACGCAAAAAAAAAAAAAATTAAAAATATACAATAGAGAGGATTTACTAGTAGTTACTTACCTGACTACTAGTCCTTTAGTTACTAGCAGGACTCTACTTATTTATAAGCTAAACTTCACTAGCAAGTATTTTATGCATAATTGTAACTGCAGGAGCAATGTTATTTAGGTGCTAGGGATCAACGCTTTTATTGCTATTTGTCTTGTTGTGGTCTGTTGTGATGATTGTACACGGGAGCTCTCAGCTCAGAGGTAAGCGCACTTGCCCACTGGGCGTATCTACATACTTCGTTCGGCAAGACGACGCTTGTCGGCTTATTTCCGAAGGTCAGGCTCCTCTTGCAGGGTGGCGTGAAAAAGACGAGGATTCCATAGCCAGCCAATCGCCCGGAGAACTTATCGGATGAGCATTCTCAAGTCATGACATCCAAACACGCGCCTTGCATGCACAGACTCACAACTTCGAAGTTTTTGTTGTTTCGCCCTGTTCCTGTATCATTCGACTTCAGAAAACAGTTGTATGGCATACCACCAGACTGTTCCATCGCCTGACTTTGATTCACCCATTCTGGGATGAAGCCTCCACCAACACATTGTCGCTCATTGCTGCCCTTATGGGTGTTGTACATGGCGCAAGCCTCGACACAGTCACTCGGCGTCGAAACAGCCATGGCGACTAGCTCGTCGTTGCCCCAACCTGTTGCGCACCATGTGGTGTAGGGCCAGGCAAGGAATTTTGTAATGGACTTGAAAGAGCGTTGTTGAGTAACAGGGGTGCACCCCGTGGTTGGTATCGCGAAAGCGCTGGCCGAGGTCGGTGTCGATGTTGCTGAGGCTGCAGGTGACACTGGCGATGTACATGCTTGAGAGCCCGATGCGCCTTGCTGAAAGGTGGCGCGATCTTGCTCATATGACTTCGTTGCAATGTGTTTGCCCAGAAGTCCTCCCACTACGCCAGCAGCAACAGCTACAAGTATCGCATAGACCACGAGGCATGGCCAGCTCAGGAAGAGTGCGCGTCGTGGTTTCTGGTGAGAGTCAGGAGGCAGCTCGACGGTGCTTTCGATTGGAGGGCCATGACGCGATTCGTGGATAAGGGCGTATGGCGGCGAGTTCTCAGGCACAGAGTAGGTGTACGATGTTACTAGTTCGGACTTAGGAACTGCTTCGAGCGTGCAATCGTCTATGTTATTGCGCATGGTTCAGACTGGCTGATATCCAAGAGAGCTTCTTGACAGAGACCAAAAACTGAAGATGCCTCGAACAACGACCTCGGGAGGCATCATCGTAATTATAGCGGTTGTTACATTGGATTGCGGCACAGTGATACGAAACACAGATGCAGGGGACGAGACTGTTGATGCGCATGGAACTCCCTACACCAATCATTACGCGCGCACATTCAGACCCCATGCAAAGCGCCTTGACGCGCATCACTCCCCAATTCTGCATCTTCCACACAATGCTCTATAAATCTAGATAACAGCAACAAAAGGCGTCCCAACCATAAACGGGAGTTGCGGATGATACGTATCCATCTCCTTCGCCAAAACAGCAGGAAGGTCCGGCACAAGTTCCCAATCAAAATATCCATCATCGTTGATCCTTGCCATCTTCTCAATACGCAGAATCTTCGTCGCTGGATCGACCGCCACGCTGGGGTCAGATGCAGCTGTGGGACGAGGGGAGCGATAAGTACAGACGGTATTGGGGACTGCTGTACATGCGGCCCATGAGCGTGCGCATAGCTGAAGATGCCTTGTTGCTTTCATCATTGCTAAAACCTGTAAACAGGATCGTGTCCAGTGGGCGGACTACTGTTCCTGGATTGCAACTGCAGCAAACAACCCGTAAGCAGTACCTCGAAACGTGGTTGATCGGACATGTGAACTTGTTATTCAACGTCCTATAGTCGTATGTGAAAGACATGTTGGAAGTTGTTGTAGATATTGTTGTTGTTTAGAGGTGGAAAAGGTGAAGTAGGGTAGTGTAGATTTCATTAAAACGGGTATCTAAATTGATGACATTCACCTGCCTGCCTGCCGTTTGGGCATTTACCATGCTGTTTTCCTTCGTGCGTAGAGTGTTCATTGATCGTTTTCCCTTATCGGTGCAATTCGTTGGTAACTGAGCCGCATGTTCAACGATGACCTCACTCTTCTTTGCACGCCCAGTGAGATTCCCGCGTAAACATCCATTTCCAGAGCTGCCGTGTCGTGTGGTTTGTTCGTTCCTCTTATTATCGCTGGCGAATGATTTCTAATAAAGCCCCGTATCAGTCTCGGCGGAAATCGAATTGAAGAGGAATAAAGCTTGCGCACCTGTCAAGAACTCCTCACTACAAAGCACACAAGTCAGCAAATGCACATTTATACCCCGTGTCATATCCCCTTTTCGGGTTAACTTTTTCAACTTACAAGCTCAACGTAATATACCCATCACGATCCTCATCGTACTTCTTAAACACATCCGTCATCCTCTTGAGGCTAATGCACGCTTGCACGAACAAATCGAAACTGAGTGCGTTGCGCCCGCTGCGGTCGTAGGTTTGGTACAGCAGCGTGACGAAGCCCTGGGAGAGGCGGTATCCGAATGCGATGAGCGCTTCGTTGAATTCGGCGTACGAGATGGAGCCGCTGTGGTCGGCGTCGAAGCGATCGAAGAGACTGCGCCAGGCGGAGAGAAAGCCCCAGAGACCGCTTTGAGAGTGTCAGTCAGAAATCAAGTGGTCATGGAGAATAGGATAAGCAAATACGCACCAGAATTCGTCAAAGTTCACGGAGCCGGAACGGTCGGTGTCGAACATCCTATCCACGTCAGTCCCAGGCCGATTTCAAACTCAGCTAGAGACATACCGTATCATCATCCTCACGGTATGTGGATCAAACGGTGACCAATCGCCATTCACCAGCGCCGTCCTAAGTTCCGCCTCAGTCAAACTGCCATTATCTGCCCTATCGTCAGCCCCAAATCCACTCTTTCAACCCGCACTTCAACAACATACTATCCTTATCCACCGCGACAAACAACCTCCACAGCGCCTCGCGATCATTCGCATCCCTCGGCGGCGCGGGCGTCGGCGGCGGCCTACTCTGCTGCGCAATCGGCGGTCTGCCATGATACCCTTGGGGCGGCGGCCCATGTCCGTAATTCGCAGGCGGCGGACTACCCACGCCATATCTCGGGTCTGGCCTGCCGCTGCCGTAGCTGTTGCGCGTATCCAGGGCGCGCGTCCTGGAATGCGCCGGGCGGCGGGCGGCTTTCGTAGCTGGTCGGGCGCGGCGCGTAGTCCTGGCGATAGTCCTGGCGCTGGCTGGGGAGGTCGGAGCGGCCTGAGGGGGGCAGTGAGGGCGGCGGTTTGTTGTAGTCGGGGCGCGCAGAGGAGGTGCGTGGTGGGCGCTGGGCGGACGCGGGGTTGGAAGACATCATTTGCGCGGCCTGGGGGGAGTCAAGATTTCGAATTCTCGTTCGGTCAGATACACTTTACACACCTGCTCCGGTTCGGCGTGCATAGGCAGCCTGTCCGGGTTGAAGCCCTTGTTGTATGCCATGGTGGGGTTGGTGTTGTGAGGATGCGCGCCGCAGCAGAGAAGCGGGCGAGAGCTGATATAGATGTGTGACGACCAGGTCAGCCCGGAGCAATTCAATGCTTTGAACTTAGGCGCGCAGCTGTCGTGTAAGAACTTGAGGCGTCGCCGGAGATGGTATAGCTGCCCAACTTCACTGCCCTGCGGCTGCGGCTGACCGGCGGGGCGCTTGGCCTTATGACGCTGGCCTGGTCAGAAGCTCCAACCAACATGACGTCGCACGAAGTTGCTGCAAGGGCATGTGCTTTGCGCTGACTGGATCCTGGTATCATTGCAGCTATCTACACCGAAGACTGACTCTTCATGCTCCTCCATATGTCTAGCCACTTCTCTGCCCCCCTGAACTCCCTGGGCCAGTATCAAATTTGAAAAAGAAACAGGCCATCATCGTGGGTATCCACAAACGCCTCAAACACCCCAAATGTACGATATGAATAAACCATCCTACAACAACGCTTGCCTGCAATAGAGAAAACAAATACAAGAAAAAAGGCGCATAATGGTACAGTATAGAAGAAAACTTTTGGCGGGCATAGCCCGCCATCACTCTCGAAAAGAAAACAACTCAAGCTTTCACCCTCTTCTGGCCAGAGTCGGACCCGTCGTCAGAGGTCTTGCGCTTGCGCTCCCGGTCAGCAGAGTCGTCACGCGCGAAGCTCGGTCCGCTCTGTACTACCGGAGTCTGAAAGGTCAGTGGGCTCGGTAGCATGTTGGAGTCACCGCGCAAAAGAGAGCCCCACTCCGGGTAGAAGGCAGAAGGCGAGGGGAAGCCAGGTTGTTTTCAACAAAGCGGACTGGGTAGTCCAGAAAATTGGGGTTTCCATGTCATTTACGGCTGCCAATAGGAGTTGCTGTTGGATGGTGGCGGGGGGCGAGCAAAAAGGATTTGGCGGCCCGGTTGCACCAGCACTCATTAAAGAGTTTGCGCTGGGTGACGGGGGAGGCAGGACAACACCAGAAGAATGTGATCCTTCTGTGCCCGTCCGTGCAGGGGTGGCCCCAGTAGTGCCAGAGTCCTTCGGCGATGAGTCGGCAGTCGCGCTTCCAGCATCAGACTGTTCACTCGGAATCTGCACGCGCAGTCTGGGCTTCTTCGGGTCCGTCTGCATGCTGTTCGTTCGCGAGATGGGCTGGATCGCGGGCATCCCCGAAGTGGACTGTGTTCGCTGCGGGGGCTCCTGCGCCATCTGCTGTGGCGGGGGTTGAGGCGGGGAGATTCCGTTGGTGTTTAGTCGAGACATGGCAGCTACATCGATTGATTGTGCTCGGTTCTCCTGCTTGATAAACGGGACCTCGCTGCGGGACGAGCTCACATTACTGCTGCCCCAATGCGCTGCGAGCATGGACTGGCTGTCGTCGATGGGCGTGAAAATGCTGTGCTTGGCCGAGGCGTGCAGTGGTCGTGGCTGGGGTAGGGGCGGGCTCTGGAAGTCATGTTGCGGCGGAGACGGAACGGTGATAGTGGGCTGCGCGGGGCGTTCTTGTTGCGGTTGCGACACAGGCTGTGATTGGGAAGATTGCTGCTGCTGCTGCTGCTGCTGCTGTTGCTGTTGAGCCTGTGCTTGAGCCTGCTGTTGTTGATGCTGCTGCTGCTGTTGTTGTTGTTGCTGCTGCTGTTGTACATGTTGTTGTTGGGCCTGCTGCTGATGTTGAGCTTGTTGCTGTGCGTGCTGATGTTGTTGCTGCTGCTGAGCATGCTGCTGTTGCTGAAATGTTGGCGGCATAGACTGTCTCCGCGGTTCTTGCTGCATGAACTGCTGGACCTGGGGGATTCGACGGCGGCGGATGTGTGTACTGGAAGTGCGGGGACAGAGGGCGGGCCTGGCGACGGGCGCCGGGGCCATCTGGCTGGGCATTCTGCGGGTTGTAAAAGGGCCGGGTTTGGGGCATGTAAGGCATAGTTGCCTGGCGGCGGCGGCCGGTGCTTGGCTGACGGGTAAGGGCTGTGGAAGGCGCCGAGATTCCAGAGCTTGGGGCGCGTCCGGAATGTGGGTCTCGCGAGTTTGGCCGGGAAAGGTGGCCGGGCTGCGGCGAGGGGCCTCGCTGGTGGAAGGGGATGCCGCCATTGGGCATTGGCGGCGAGGCAGACGGCGTCGCGTGGCGGATGTGCTGGAAGGCCTGCGCGTGCTGCAGATGGTGCGGCATCATACCGTGCTCTGGCGGGGTGTGCGAGTCTCGAGCGACGGCGCCCTCCTCATCCTCCTCATCTTCGTCGTCGCCGTCCTTCTTGCCCATAAAGTCCTCCGGACCCTTGTGCTCGTGTGCGCCGCCATACTGCGTGACCTGTCAGCGTCATGATCGTTTAGCGCAGCTCTCCATCCAGGGACACGGGGTGCATACATATTGGTACCGGCCAATCGTCTCGTTGATGTCGCCCGACGAAAACTCGTACAGCTTCTTGTTGTGGCCAAAGATGATGACGGCAACGTCGACGGAGCAGAGCACCGAGAGCTCATGCGCCTTCTTGAACAGACCGCCTTTGCGCTTCAGGAACGTCCTATCCAGGGTCAGTGTTGGCTCGCGGCTACTACGACTACACGGTACGCGCGGCGCGCCGGCAGACTAGACAGGACGGCAGATTGGCTTACACGGAGCGGTTGCGGTCGTCCTTGATGGCCTTGATCTCAATCTTGCGACGGCCCATGGTTGCGGTGGATGATCAGACGTCCAGGCGCATTAGACGTTGACGCGATACGAAGACGGGGCACGGTGATGGGTTGTGGCTGGTGTCGAGGGTCCTCGAGGAACAAAAGAAGTTGGTACTAGCGTGCGCGGCGGCAGGGACAGCGAGACCCACGAACACGCTGGATGGTTTCAGGACTCAGGAGACGGGTGCCCCAGGAAAGCGGCAGAAAATGGCGCGCGCTGTGAGTGTGTGCAGAGAATAGACCCGCGACTCGGTCGCTAGCTATATGTCTGTGATGCGCACAACGGAGCTCCGAGGCTGCACTCGCTGTATCTTGAGGCTCTGGGTGTGATGTGCAAGAGGAAGCGATCATGGAGCGGGCGGCGCTCCTAATAATAGCACTCTTGCGTCTGAGGAGCCCAGGCCATGTCTGTCTGCCATCTTCGCTAATATGCCCCTTCGCGGCATTTGCCAACGATGGAAGCGTGGTGTCACCCGCTGTAGCGCCTGTCATTGGCCGTGCAATCTGTTTCTTGCCAGCTAATTCCTCCCGTGCCGGTTAGACTGAGCCGGCAACGCCCAGCTGAGCTATTTTTGGGGTCATATCAGGACCAGGGTCCACGGCATCACACTCGCATCGCACACCCATGGACTCTCCCACGAGTATCATATTGAGACAGCCCGTGTGGGCATTCTCCCAGCTGCAGGGCCTGGGTATTCACCTGTCCGTGTTCCTGCAGGAGAATGGCCCTCAATTAGCAGGACATCTCACCGGCTCTGCAGCATCCGCTATATTTGCTTGCGGCATTGAGGGAACCCACAAGGGCGGTACCGCTGTAGCATCGATCGAAAGGAAATTTGTTGCAAACAATGTGCTTCGGATTGCATTCGCGTCGAGTCCAGCTTGTCGGCATTGCACTAGGCGAGGCTGATGGCAGAGCCACGGAGTGAGGTTTGTACTCATTCGCACAGGACTGTACATCTTCACATTCCATGCTCCGCCTTGCTCGTACCACCCGACCCAGCACTCACTACTCAGCAAACCCCTCCGTCCCTGACTGCGCGCACACATGAAAAGGGTTTGTCCCTGCACCACCCTCGGCTGCGTCCCCCTCTCCGCTCACCATGACGAGCCTCACCTCACCCCCCAAACATGCCGTCAGATCGAACATCCACCCCAACACGCACAAATCCCCCGATTCTCACGCTCTGCACAAACGCCCCGCTCACTGCAACCGATCACAAAATTCAATCCAAACAGCACGCTTCCACTCCGCGCTCTAGCGTTGAAGTTGGAATAGGCGTTCGCACGACCCCGGTCAGAAACGCACATGCACCTAAGAATAGATATAAATAGCAACCCATGCGGCAACCACATGTTGATGACGCAGCCGAGTGATAACCGCACTGAGTTAGAAGGTACAGCGGAAAAGGCGCGTGCCTTGGATTGATCGCCTTAACAATTCCAGCCCATTGTTTTTTTTGTAAGCTATGTGTCTCGTCTATCATTTCCTAAGATCTGACCCGCGTAGCCGCCCGTTTTCGCCAGGGAACATGGTAGTTTGGGCCTGGTGATTCGCAGCTTTGAGTTGGGTATGTCCCCTGAGAGTATGCACGCCGCAGAAGCGAAGTGCCAGGCCCACGGCCGTAAGTTTAACTGGCCTGATGTTTCCCACCCCGTCAACCCATTGGCTCAATGTTTCTATTCGCGGCCTCGAGACATCGACCATCCTCACTTTCTGCGCGGCTAAGGCAAACATTAGGTTCCAGGCGAGACTGCCGCGGGCCGTTGCGTCTAAACCCACGCAGGTACACCGCACGGGTACTATTCTTGGTGCCACACTCTAAACAACGTTCCTCCATCTCCTCGGCTGACATGAACGAACGCTGACATCGGCCTCTCACGAACGCGTGGTCGATGCAGGTACAGCACATCTAACTCGAACAAGCTTCGCGACATTTATTTCAGTTGCTGTCTAACTTCATCTAAGTTACCTGTATTCTTCCAACCGCCGTGAACATCATCATCTCTTGAATATCGCAAGGTATACAGCACGTATTCTTAGCACCATGCACTTCTACCATATCTTTCACCTCTTCCAATCCCTGCCAACGACTCAATCTCATAACCGCCATCCAAGACTTGACGTCTTCGAGGACGCAGTATTCTTAGCAGACACAGGAGATGAACTCCACAATAATCTCTCACCCACTGCATTCGACATGTAAGATACAACTACATTCTAATCTTAGCCCACCACCACGCCCCGCCCGCCCATCTCCAGACCATGAAACACCTCCACCCCTTCCTATCCTCCCTTCACGATGCAGGTACGCGTACTTGCTGCATGAACCGGAGCCGTGATGGATGTGGGTCGGTCTGACTTGTTGCACATCACCTCTACATCTGGCGAATTTGCTGTGATTCTCAGGAGGAGTACTCAAGCCGAGAAGAGTGGGTCAGGCGTGGAGAGTGAGGGGAGGGCGTCATGGGTGGTGATGCTATTCTCGTCGAGATGAGAGGGGAGCAGTACGCCTTACATCCAGTCTGGCGCGTACAAGTCCTGGTTGTTGAAGCCTTCGTCCCTATGATGAATCACAAGCAACGTCGTCCATCACTTGACGGAAAGATACACAGAACCATCGCTCAGAAACATCTTTCATTACTCCCTCGAATCCCAACAAGCCTTCTCGCTACATACCACCGAGTCCGACTACCCATCTTCGAACTATCATCAGACAAGTGTATATTTCTCACAACGTGATACATACACATCACCTCCCACCACCAAGAAGTGATAAAGAACAAGTCCAAAAATGTTGTTAAGAGAATCAAATGGTATATGCTCATTGGTGGGTATTAGAACATGAGAAAAAACGTTTGGAAATAGAAAAAAGTGGACGACAAGCACAACAAAAGGGTATCAGAGCTCTCTTCTTCTCTTTACACGCTGCAAAAGCAAAATGATGTATGTGTATGCTGAAGGGTGCTGAGCGAGCCAGTCAGCGCATACTCAATGCAAGAAAATGAACGCAAAAAGACATACGTTGACACAAATTAAGATCCGTCCCTTCATCGCATCCCCGAGTTGTAGGTAGATTGCTGACCGTCCACGTTGCCGGTAAGCTCGGCGACTCGCGCCTTGATGCGAGCAACGCGGCTCTCGATCGTCTCCTCGCCGCTCGTTTCGCCTTCGTCCGTGCGCTGGCTTTGGCTTTGGCTTCGACTGCGACGAGACTGCTCCTCGCTTAGTCTTGCGGCCCGCTCAGCAGCATTCTTCCTGATCTGTGCCCAGCGGTCGTTCGTAGGGACAGAGTCCGTCTTCAGTGTGATAGACTCTTCTGATATGTCGTCCCGATGCTTTGCGACAAAAGGCGTAGGAGTGACCGGGCTTGGTGGAGCGTCATATCGCTGTGCTTGGTGGCCGCCACGGGAAATGCTTGGTGCAGCGGCAGCATCGTCATCGTCACTGTCTTCAGGGGCAAAAGCCGGCATGTCTTCCATTGGTCCTTGATCGAAACGAGAGAAAGCTTGGTCAGCTTCTTGCTGCTCATGGGCCTGACTGCCAGGTACAGCTGGTGGGGCGGGTCCATGAGAATCGTCCATGGCAGTCGATGATGGTGCTGGACTGTACGCACGCTCATATGGCGCTGAAGGTGCTTGAAGGTGATCATGCTGCTCCTCGCTAAAAGCCAAAGACGGTTCCCGTACCTGTGGCTGATGGTCTTCCACACGGGATTCGCTTCGAACAGGTTCGGGTGCGGGTGTGTGCGTAGGGTAGTCTTCAGACTCGCGAGGCTGAGTAACAGCGGCAGATGTCGCAGCTGGCACATTGGTCTTCTTGCGACCGAAAAGTTTCCTGAAGCCTCCGCCTTCCTTCTTCTTCAACTTGTTCGATGGAGACTTCTTGTCTCCTCCTTGCCCCTTGTCTTCACTGGCGCGTACCATCGACTGTGGAGCAACAGGTGCCGGGGGTGCGGCCTGCGGTTGAGGAGATTGAATCGGCTTTCGCTCGGGGACAGCCTTCTTAACTACAGGATGGTTGTTCGTCTCGACTGTTGGGAACGGCTTGTGCTCGGGGAGGGGCGAAGCAGTGGGAGAGTCGTTTGGCCAAGGAACGGGGGTCACAGTGGCATCTGGCGTACCGGGTTGAGGAGCAGGAGAACGTGAAGCAGCACGTCCCGCTTTCGGTGTGGCCATGTCAGGGTTTGGAAGTGCTGGTAGGTCACGGTCTGTAGCGCCTGGCGGCAAAGGCGACAGACGACCATTGTTGGCAGTCGTCAAGAGATTGTCCTTTGAGCCCCTACCAGCGCTGACGTCTCCGAGGTACTGCGCTCGCAAAGCATTGCGATCGATTGCAGCCTCTCCAAACTTCTTGTCCCACTTCATTGCCGGACCAGCTTCACTCAGCAAATGCGGCTGCAGCGTCATCACGCTGTTCGTCTTGGTGGACGTTGCATCGTCCGCTCTGCCTCTCCGCTGGGCAAATTGCTCTACCTCCTTTCGCTCCCTTTCGTTCTGAGCTAGCTTCGCCGCCGCAGCTTGAACTCTTGCGTGTTGGGCTGGTGCAATGCTCGTCTTGCTCATGGGAGTGTTCGAGGTTGTCCGATTGTACGGCTCGTTCCCACCGGGGGTCGGCTTCTTGCCCGTGGATTTCCTGCGACCCAGACGCCCTCTCCTTGTGAAACTGAATTTGGACTTCTTTTCCGCAATGTATGCGCCTTCTTCGGGGCCAGGTGAGGCACCCTTGACCTGCTCTTCCATAACGAGCCACTTGGCGCCAGGAATACGTGTTTCGATCAATGCGCACCGGCCAAACGCGGCCTTGCGATCCGTAGTCTCCTCACTGGCTAGACTTATCATCCATACCCACCAGAAGGTCTCGTCTAGGTCGAACTGGGTGATACTCGCAAGCTCACCTGGCTCCAGGTCCTCCTCAGTCTGAATGCCGTTTCGCACATGTGACTGGGAGCTGTGAACACGGGCTCCCTCGCCCAGTGGGGGAAGCTTTTGAGTCGGAAGCAATAGAGTGGTCGGAGCCGATTGGTTGCCATTTTCATCAGCAAAGCCTGAGGACAGGAAGTCCGCCCAGGAGGGAGTAGTGGGGCGGCCAAAATCCGTGTTCTTTGATCGTGGACCAGATCGCATACTGGAAAATTCCCGCATGCCACCAGTGCTCGAAGTTCCATGCACACTGCTTGCTGAGCTTTCGAGTAGTCCCGAGAAGCCGAAATCCTCAAACTTGGACCAGGACGGATCTGTAGTGGTAGCTTCTGCGGCTGCGGTAGACTGGTTGGCAGTAGAAATGCACTCAAGAACCCTGCGACATTCATCGGTCAGCGCTTTCACGGTGTCTTCGTACGCCGAGAACTGCTGCAATGCTGCGTCATCATCGCGGTATTCAAAATGCTTGGCGCGGCGCAAAAGTGCGAAAGGAGTGGGCGAGACTGAGTCGACAATCATGATGACCTTTGTTGTGTGAGTCTGCATCAATGTGGGGGTCTGGGGCGGGTATTCTGTCTGTGAGAGCAGCGATTGCAGCGATCGTGGGAGGCCAGAGATGCCTCCAACCGTGTTCGACTCTGGCGCAAGCGAGCGCAGGTAGGCGAAGAAGAGGTGGCTCGCAGCATCAGCAGCCCTAGTAGACGGTCAGTATGGGATCTAATCGTTTCAAGAAGACAGGCTCACTTCTCCCATGTGCGATAGCCACCGTCGAAGCCCTTGCCATCCTCGGCGAACTCAAAAGCCCACCATCCTGCTAAACGCGACAATTTTCTGCCACCCATGCCATTGGTCTTGCCTCGTGCAGCAACCGCCGACAAAAGATCGAAGAAGTCAAAGATGATGTGCTTGCGCGCTTCGCAGTCGACGCTGAGCGGGATGAAAGTATCGAAAGCATGTCGGGCGAGATTCGAATCTGCATGATGTTCAGCAATTGCCGGTATTGCAGTAATATAGTTTGGCACTCACCAGATTCGCCAATTCGGAAGAGCTCGTAGGCGTCCCATGTCACGACGCCGCCAGGCAGTCTGCTCCAGCACCACTTGATAATGCTGCAGAGGGTCTATCTTGCGTCAGTGCTATAAACGGCAATTGGTCCGCGTGGGGTAGCGTACCAATGGCTCAGTGAGGCGCAATTCTGTCGCCAAGCCTTCGCCTCTGTATTGCCCGGACCCTTCATAGTCGGCCTTGAAGAAGTTGCGTATGAAATTGCGAGAGGCACTGGTATCGGACGTGGGGCGGAATGGGAGCAGTACGAAGGGCATATCCAAGGCTGTTGCGCGTTAGTAAAGGCTCCCTCACAGCCGGATCGTGCATTTGCATGTGCATACCCCTCGACTTCATTTCTTGCGTGCAGCCGTGGATCAGCTCTTGAATATCCTCTGGCGCAACCTCTTTGCGCGACCAGGATTCCTCCCATCGTGGCTTTGGCTTGGCGACGGGCTCGTCGTGGTTGGCGGCTTTGGAGGCAGAGCGCGGCCCGTCCTTGGACTTGAAGACGTTCTTGAAGAACGGCATCTTGCTGTGGCGCGGGGAGCCTCGTTACGTGGTGGGCTGCATTCGTCGCCGTGCGGCAGATACGGGTACGGGGAGTTGCGGCGCGTGCGTGTATGCGAGCGGACGTGACAGTCGGGGCTACGACGCAATTGCCGAGTGCGGGTAGGCGAGGTGAGGGTGTTGAAAGTGAGGTCGTCGTCGTCTACGATAACTTTCTGTGAGCTCGGGACGCTTGAGCAGCTGCTAGGTAAAAAGGAGAAGCGCGAGGCAGCTTGCCCTGAAGGCAGACCCTCCTTTGGGACTGAAGCGAAATAACATGACAACCATGCCCAATAATTAGAGGGCGCTGTCAAAGCGCTAGTACGCACTAGCGTCCGCCAAGACAACCTTAAATGCTGGGATGGAGCCCATTCTTCCTATCGAGCCCCCTGTGCGCCAGCACAGCAGCCCGGCAGTCCACAGCCTCACGCCAGGGTCCAATTCGACATCGCCCCTCGATTGGCTCGCTACCGTGATGCGTTGTCTTCATCATTGCATCACTCACCGCGAATGACGCGTGGGTGCGTGGGGACGTGTCGCGAGCTTCCCGATGCCACCCTGCGTCTTCCAGAGATCGGGTCGTCGCAACGACACACAGACACAAAAGACCAGAGATGGTCCACCGTGCAACGCTGCTTAGCTGCACCGGATCTGCTATCCCCTGACAGACGATCCTGTTGCGAAAAGCACGAGCGGATCCCATCTCGCCGAGGGACATTGCGTTTCATCGTGTGCATAAAAGCCACAACATTCCGCTATCATCCCAAGGGCTTTCCTGCTATGACATCCAAGGACACACTATACTTCCTCCAGCTGTCAGAGAAAGAGGCACAGTAGAACCTTATGTTAGTGCGCGCTGTTACCTACTCGCGAACACCATCAAGGTCTGGCGTGTAATGGCACTCTACTTCTGACGGTGCTGCGCGTGCCAACAATCTGTTCGACGAGCAAGTCCTACCGGGTCCTGGTATGTCCCATACCGCGCCAGGGTGGAGCCGCTAGTTCTGACTTGTATCGGGAATTTAAATCATCGCCGCTGTCCGACCTACATTCTAGTCCATAGGTGCCCAATAACAAATTCACCATTTTCCAACCAAATCTGATCCCGCTTCCCTTTGTGTCACCTTGTCACTTCTCGTTCAGCTAGGAAACTCGGGTTTGGGATATTGGTGACCATTTGCAACAAAGCATCATACGATCAAGTCTTCCATGCGGACCGATTCATGGCGATCGCAACACTTCAGCAAATGATCCTCGTGCAGCCTGTGCACACAATCTCAGTGTGCATGCACCGTGAAGACCCTTTCTCAGATGGCGGTCAAGTGGGAGTGGTGAAACCGCAAAAAGAACTACCCGCAAAGCAACTCCGCCTCGCAATTTCCACCTCCAAAGCATCGATTATACATTCCTCTTTTCGTAACAGTACATGAATCGCGGAACACTGATCAAGTGATGTTGCGCTTCACGCGGTGAGCTGGCGCGCTTGAACTGTAGATACAGGAGGTAGGCGGTGGTGAAGTGTTCGCACATGTGACAGGGGATTTCTACGCTAACGGCATTGGCGCACTAGCCAGTTAGAGTGCCTAGGTATCACGGATGACTGCATTACAGAAAATTCACGTTACTCCAAGAAGCACGCCAAGCATACAGCATCGATGTAGAAGCCTTCGCAGAAAGAGTGCTAGGGTATCCGCCGTGTCCTCAGCTGTGCAATAGACCTTGAGACTACGAGACGAATGACTATCGGGCAATCAGGTTGCAATTCAGCAACCTTGCTATGTCGCGACTTTGGTCCAAGTCCAGAAGCGGCCGAGTGTCATCAATTTCGAGGTCCCAGAGATTTACTCTCACGCTGCAGAGAACGCCGAATATAGCAGCTGCGAAGTCTCATATGCGAACATTCATCTCTACCTAGTACTTACCTCGAGCTTAGAGGAAAGCCTCAAGTGGTCCTGGAGCTATTCGAAGCTTTGGTCTGCAATTTTCGTAACTTTCAAGACCATTGTAGCAATCTTGCTGCGTTGGTCATTCGTGGCTGGTTCGGCAACTTGAGAGTTTGGCTCGGTGTATGGCACAACCACCAAAAATATCCTCTCCAAGCAGCAACTAGGAACTCGTTCCAGAATTCTCAGAGCGCGTACTCTCCCGAGTCTAATACTGTTGAAGGTCCATTCTCGTGAACGCAGGGTTTGGGTCCTTGAGAAAAGTGCTACCTTGGTAAAGCATGCCGATAGTTCAGATACTAATTTTCTAGCTTGGATATTTCAAACCTCGTGGCCTTTCGAGCTCTTTCTTATGAAATCTTTCGCAACTTTCACTTGCATACCACAGCTTTGGCAATGACGACTTGCATTCGCTTCATAACCCCCACAACATTATCCAGTTCGATATGACGCTAGCAACCACACCCCAACAGCCCTTTCGCTTCCTCGATCTGCCTGCAGAACTTCGTTGCTGTGTGTACGACCAGATCGAAATTTCAACTACCTGGTACAGCCTAGATAGAATCATGACGCCCATAGGCGAGCGAGAATGGCCAATCCCGCCCGTGAAGCAGGTCCACGATTCCCGCATCACCCTGATCAAACCCTACACCCAGCCGGCCTTGAGCCTCCTCCTAACCTGCCGCTTCATAAAGCAAGAAGCCCACTCCATCCTCAAACGCAAGGTACAGCACTACAAATCCCAACCCCTCCGCTACCTCGTCGACTACAGTGCCACACACGCACTCATCCACAAAAGAAGCCCGTTGCGCCGCTGTCTCGGCTTGCTAGCCATCAACGGCAGACCCAGGCGGTTGAGCAATCATCTTCGCTCCTTCATCGACCTCTGCGCTGTTTCTCTTTCGCAGGTGCGCCACACGCAAAACGCCATCGATGGACGCACGGGATACTTCTCTCGCGGCAAGCGCGCCATCGAGTTGACCATCACGCACAAAGATGGCGTCGTGTATGGCGCAGAGGTCATGGAAACGATATACTTGCTCAGCGCTTTCACATACATTGGCCCCGCGCGCTGTGTGATCATCTACAAGTCCCCACTCCCGGAAATCGATGCCGAGACGATGAGCCGCACGCCATTCAGCGATGCAGCAGGCCTCGAGGCAGGCATGCAGCGCGCAATTCCGAGAGAATTAGATGGTGAGCAGGCGAAGTTTGCGAAGGGGGTTTTCATACGTCCGCTTGGGGAAGAGGATTTTCAGAAGCATTTGGACGGATTGGATTTGTATTAGGAGATACCTATATCATCTAGCCTTCGAGGAATGGCAGCATTAGGAATGAAGCTTTGTCCCCGCCCGTGTGTAAAACGTGCTTGCCTACGTTCATGTCCAGCGGCTCTGTTGGCTCGAGGCCGTCTAATTCTGGTAACCTGCAATCATGACCGGCGATGATGACTGCAATGCCCTCGCCTGCGCCGAATACCATACCTAAGGGCCAAATCGGAACTTCTAGCGCCACTATCTTCCCTGGTGTAATCGACTCCCTAACACGATGTGTGTAGCTCGGATAATCATCCTCATTCTTTTTCGGCTCTTGGGACACCATATGCGACGCTCTCAAAGCGCCCGCGGGACCTTCGTACTTCGCCACATTGCTGTTATTCAGCTTGTGGATGGGCACGGGTACTGGGAAGTTGTTGTGCGCGAGCAAATTGCCGTTGATGCCGATTTTGCGGATTTGCACATGGACATCTAGGTCGTCGTGCGCGGCGCAGGACATGTATAGTTTGGCCCAGGGGAGCCCGGAAAGTTCGGTGTATGTGGGGAATGTTGTGGTAAAGGTGATTTGGTCAGTCAACGAATGGCCTTCGTAAGTGGCTTTGGCTGCGGCAGTGGGCTTGCTAGCATCTAGTTGTAGAGCAAGGCCCGAAGCATCAAAGTACAGCTTCTTTAGATATGTGCGGGGAAGCGGGAAGGTGGTGGTGTCTTCTGGCCGCTCGACGACGGAACGGACGACGCTGCTGACCATTGATAGCAGCGAGAGCCTCAGGCGTGGCGTGTCATGCCAGCCATTATCTTTGCCTTTGGCGAAACAGTCATAGAACTTCTGCAGGTCGTCCATTTTGTCTTTCTTGTAAACATCATACCCTGTGTCGCGTCAGATTTGCCAGAACTTCCAGAGCGGAAGACCTACATTCTTGGTTGGCGTGGACTCGCAACCATGTCTTTTCAGAATCACCTTTGGCGAAGGAGTCGAAGGAGCCGAATGAATGGAGGCGTGATCTATATGGTGTCAGTCAAGCATATGTCTTAGTGTGTTGCAGATATCATACGAATAGGACGCTGTCAGGTACATCGGGATCTTGACGTTCTCGGCATATATGCGCTTTGAGTCCCAGTACTCGTTATTCAAGGAGCTGGCTTGGAGAGCTTTTCCAATATCCTCGCAGCCGTTGTAGCCAGCCATGTTTTCCGCAATCCTTCAATTCTCCATTAGCACTTGTGCGCTCTTCGAAAAGTCTCAAGGAAAGAAACTCACAGCTGTGTAAACTTGTCTTCCTTCACAGTAACGCCGCCGCGGCAGAACGTCTGCCTAAATGGATCTGTTGCAGCTTCCCAAGGTGCAATCGCCTTAAGAGCTGGATGTGGACATACACTAGCGTGATTAATCTGCGACATTGCGAGCCAGGAGTTACCCATCAAGACGGCAGTTCCATCACACCATGACTGCTTAGTACACCACTCAATTAGATCATAGATATCTTGCGCCTCCTGAGGACCCCAGAAATGAAGATTGCCTTCTGAATGCATCGCGCCCCGAGCATCAGGATCGACAACACAATATCCACGCGCCACCCAGTCAGCAGGATTAGGTCCTTCGAATGTCTCGTAGCCAGAGAGGTCGTTGTAGTCGATTCCAAGCCGGTACGGACCCATTATGTCGTAGTTGTAAGGACCAACTCCACCAGAGCATTTACCGTAAGGACTCCAGGCAATCAAAGCGGGTTGTTCAGTTCCGTCTGCAGGTCGGAATACATTTGTGTAGATTTTAACCCCATCTCGCATGGAGACTGCGCTGTCGATGTCGAGAATGGTATCGACAGGAAAAGCACAATATCCCTCGCGCAAGACATGTCCGCGCGGAAGATGCCTAGAAACACCGGGCTGGAAGCCTTCGTAGTGGTAGAAAGGATGCTCTTCTGGCGTGAAATTGAGTGTCTTGAAAGCCAAGGTCGGAGCGGAAGACATGTTTGCACAAAAATGGCAGAGGGAAATGCTCTTTTTGATCAAAACTTTTGAAGACGAAGCAGACTGAATTTATACAGCTGAAGTGTACCAACTTCGAGTTCGCTGAAACGCATAGTTTAGATATTAGTATACCTGCTACCTTGGTCAGGTTAAGATGTGGAGAGGAATCTTTAAGCCCCACCGCAATCAGGTCGCTGTTGTGATGTCAAACTGGCACTTGAACGAATCAGGTTGACGTAGAAGCAGGAGCTAACCCACCGCATACGCAGTCGGACCAGGGATGGGTGACTTCCGGGAAACTTGATTCCCGGATCTAGGATTCGGATACTTGTGGCCGATTTTTAGTAGGGGCTTACTGTACGATCCGGGGTAGTGGCTGTAGTGATGTACGAAACCCCACTCACCCGCATGCTAAGTCGTCGTACAACAAAACCAACGTCGATACATCGACTAAGACAAGTACAAAGCGGCATTTTGGAGTGAATATACCGGTAGTTATACAGAGAATACTACACATGACATAGTCCAAGGAGTGAGACCTATTTCTCTTGATGTCTTGACGAATACTTTCTTGTCCGTAACTGTCTCAAACTTTCGAACTACAAACTATAAGTACTCTTGACCCTGTCTCCTGCTTTTCATCCATGGCCACAACTTTACTGCATCGCGATAGCTTATCGCACTTTGGAGTAGTTGGCTTGGCTTTTTTGCTGAGCGTCTGTTATGTAACTTTCTTTGTAAGATATTTTCCCCTTCAGCGTAGAACCCATTGCGCAGATGAAGCTTCAACTAATGCACCAACCTTGAAAGTTAGTACGACGTCTTCTTCTCAGCCCAATCAGAACTGTTCCAGGACCTCTCCGGGCTCGCCTCTCACAATGGCCCATGATAATTCAGGGCTTGAAGGGCCGCCGGATATACGTCAGTCGTTTTTGCTCCCCAGTAGTTCTCAAACCTAATTATATTATTCGTACAGGAACTTGAACGACTCCATCGTAAATACGGATCCATCGTCCGCATTGGTCCGAATGAAGTCTCGGTTGCCGACTGGAGACACATGCGAGCGATATACAGCAACCCAAAGACCGTCATAAAGGATCCTGCGTTTTACGATGGCGTAAGGATGATAGGAAAGCACAATATCTTCCAGATGACGCAAGTGAGGCCACATTTACTGGTATTCGAGTGACTGACAAACGTACAGAAATCCTTCCCAGCATGCAGCACGCCGAAAGCTGAGCAGTCCACCGTACGCGCTCAGCTCCATTACAAGATTAGACCCTCTCATCCAGAAGAATGCGGATAATCTTGTGAATCGACTGATTCTCGGTGTAAGCTCCTCTGCGTCAGGTACCGTCGATGCATATGAGTTATGTGCTTTGTTCAGCCTCGAAACAATGTGTCAAGCCGCCTTTGCGAAGAAGTTTGACAAGGCGGATGGTCCAGAGGGTTCGTTAGAGCTCTTGCGATCTCTGGAAGGGAGTGCTCTTCGCTTTTTACCACAGAGCCTGTTTCCATTTCTCGGATCTACTGGTCTCGGCATCAAGTTACCAGGATTCATAGGTGATGCTTATCGCTGTCACCAGATCTGGGAACAACAATCAAGAAAAATGGTAGATCACTTCCTGGAGAAGTCATCTGCAGACGATAAGTATTTACTTTCTCCCGTCGCTACCGGTATCGATACGTTTCTTGATCGTCGACTAAGCCATGAAGAACTCATAGAAGAGGCGATGGGCTACATGTTTGCTGGCAGCGGCACCACCTCATCAACGCTGACCTACCTTTTGTATGCGATTTCGCTTCCTGAGAATCTTGATATCCAAGAGCGATTAAGAGAGGCTGTCCAAAAACTCCCTGCAGACGACGTAACCACCATACGACAAGACCCGTATGTAAATGCCGTCATCAAAGAAACATTCCGGCTCTTTCCCAACTATCGTCTCAACACTACCGCGCCTTCTTCTAGAGCCACTACAACTAGACGAGTACCGACTGCCCGCAGGAACAATTGTTGGCATGCAAAATTGGATGCACCACCGAGACCCTGTCGTCTTTCCAAACCCCGACCAGTTTTTGCCCGACCGCTGGCTTGTGCCTAACGCTAGTTCTCATGCGATGGAAAGTTCTCTGACCCCGTTTAGCATTGGCCGTCGTAATTGTATCGGACAGAATCTAGCATGGGAGGAGCTTTACATCGCAGTAGGTGCGATCATGCGTGCAGGTCTGAAGCTGTGTTTGGGACCTGAGATGCAACCGTGGGAAATGGAGATTGTGGATCGATTCAATATCGCCCCCAAAGGACAAAGATTGATGCTCCATGTAACTAGAGACTAACTAGTTCATAACTCGATTTGCACGTCATCTCTTAAAGCAAAATCTTATAGCCTTGCCTGCCTTCTCTAGGAAAGCTGCTTGACCGAAGGTGTCTGCTGTGGCATGGCGTCTTCAACTTGGACGACGACGTGGGTTGTTTTCATGATTGACCACCATTCGCAGCCAGAATTGCATAACGGTTGCAGCAAACGAAGTTTAGGATCTACTAGGTTTGTTAGTTCAACCTCATGATAGAAACAACCATAGCTTACCAAGCCACCTGAAACAAGCCAATCACTCAATCCCATCCAAGAGCTTTTCCTGTGTCTTACGACAAAGCACCGTCCTACCACTGACGTAGAGACTATAGCCATGGCTATTGCAATTTGCATTAGCTCTGTATTTTGATTCGGCCATTCCTTGGAAGGCTCGTCGTTTATCTCTGCAGTGTGTGCACAGGTGCAAGTTAAAATGGGATCTCCGCAGAACCACAATACCTGAGTCGGATGACGACTGTAGAGCGCATCTGGTCGGATATATAGGACTTCGAAGGGGCCATCAAATTACCAGACCCTAGGAACAACCCAGGAGCAGGTTGGTCGTGTTGCGCTTGCATGAGATTGAGCCGTACGCACCCTTACCGAGATCAGCTGCAAACACACCAAATGCCGCGCAAGTGATGGCATGATAGTTTCTGATTTTTCCAGAATTACAACCACTTTTACGAAATCATTGGATCGCTGGTATGTCCTCCATCTTTCTGGTACATCGTGTAGTAAGTGGACACAAGACCTTGCTGCTACATGTAGCAACTGTCTTTCTACATGAACTTCACTTGGCCATGGGTAAGGAGGATATCATCACAAAAGCAATAAGAAGGCGCGTCCAGTGCAATTCAAGTGGCTTGAGACGGCAAGACCAAAGGATTACCCTTACTTGGAAAGTATGCAGCGCAGCAAGTGCGGCTGGCTGGGTCACTCGCCTGGCGAGGGTTCGGCATCCTAGTCATCTGCTGCACCCGACGAATGAATTCCATCAATGAAAGTTTCTCAGGACGCCACTGCGTGTTCTGTGATCGAATATCTCTGCTACACCTCAACTGACTTCACGCATCAATGGATCGATGCCGACTTTGACTTCAGATTTGTACCAACCTCCACATTTAAAAGGGACGGCCTGGGCGGCTAAGATCGTTGCTGTTGAATCACCACTCAAGCCATTCAGTCCCCGATCTGTTCTTCGGTAACAAAGATGCTCAAGAGTATCTCTCCGCGGCAGTTGTTTTGCGCGTCCACGGAACAGCAGTGCAGCCAGTCACAATGAGTAGACCGAGTGTGTGTAGACACGAGGCTCGAGTCATCGCTTGATTGCGCGGGGTGTTCGTTTCCTTTTTCGTCTGACGTGCATGTTTGCGACCGACGAGCATCTAGTCATGTAATACCTTGACAGTTGTTTAAAGCAAGGTGGTACACCGATTACTTTTTGCGCGCTTCCAAAGTTCGTCGCCTTCGGTTCACCTTGTTTTAACTCACCGCAAATTCCACCATGCGCTCGCTGTTAGTCCTTTCATCATTTGGTGTTACAACTTGTGCAATTTTCACGTACGACTATGTCATCGTAGGAGGCGGTACAACAGGACTGGTAGTCGCAAATCGTCTGACGGAAGATGCTTCGAGTAAGCACGTCAGCCTCATCTTGCACAGTACTGAAGCTGACGACGATAAATCACAGAAACGGTACTTGTCATTGAGAACGGCATTCTCGATAATGGCACCACGTCCAGTATACCCGGCAACTCGGGAGGTCTCAATCTTGCCGCCATGTACGACATCTACGGCGCGCCTGTTCCGAACCTTGGCAATCAGACGTTTCGTGTCACTGTTGGTAACGTGGTCGGAGGCGGCTCTTATGTCAATGGTATGCAATTTGATCGCGGCGCTGACGCGGACTACGATGCATGGGCTGAGCTCGGTAACGAAGGCTGGGGTTGGAGCGACTTAGAGCCATACTTCAAGAAGAGTAACGAATTCGATGCGCCAAGCCAGGAGACCATAAAGCAGTTCGGCATCACTTACGAAGACGATGCCTATGGCAATGGCCCGCTCAAAGTATCGATACCGGACTACCAGTACCCAGATATGAAGACCATCTTCCATTCATGGGACGACGTCAACATCCCTCATCCAAAGGAGGGCTTCAATGAGCCAGTCGGTGCGTACTGGTCACCCAACTCGATCAACAAGAAGACTTCGACGCGTAGCACTTCGCGTTCTGCGTACTACGACCCTATCGTGTCGCGAAGGAACTTGAAACTCCTAACAAACACTCACGTGGACGAAATCACTTTTGAAAAGTATAGGGTCGGCGCATTAGTCGCCACTGGTGTAAAATACACTCCCAGACAGACCAACAAGCAGACCGAAGTGTTTGCAGCAAAGGAAGTTATCCTGGCTGCTGGTGGAGTGTTTACACCACATCTCCTCATGTATTCTGGCATCGGACCAAAAGATGTGCTTGTAGACGCCGGTATAGTCGTGAAGAAGGTAAGTCAGGACTTATTACAGGATCGAGCTTCCGCTGACATCGTCTGTAGGACCACCCCGCGGTTGGCTCCAACTTCCAAGATCACGTTCCAAACTACATGAACTTCGAACTCCAAGGGCTCAACCCTGAGAATCCGGGAGCTCTCAACACGAATAGCACCTTTAACCAGACCTCTTACGATCAATACCTCAAAGATCGCAGCGGCCCATACTCTGTCGGCAAAGCTCAAGGGCTGGTGTTTATTGCACTGCAGCATTTTGACTCAGCCTTCAAGCAGACAGTATCCAAGATCCGGTCGCAAATCGCAAGCAACTTCCTACCACCTCGTTACTCCAGCAACATGAACCTCCTCGCTGGGTATGAAAAGCAGCGTGAAATCCTCGCGCATCAGTTCTCTGAAGCTGATGCCGCGGTGGGCGAGCTTGCTATCCATGCTGACGGCTTCTCTGGTATCGCAAATAATAAGCCTCTCTCGCGCGGTACTATCACGCTTAACAACACCCATCCTGAAGCATTCCCTATCGTGCAGTGGAACACTTTCCAGAACCCGATCGATGCCGATGTAATGATTGCGCTCACAAAGTACAACCGTAGACACTGGGCGAAAGAGTTGGCCATGTATAAGCCAGTTGAGACAGCGCCTGGTCCTCAGTATCAGACTGACGAGCAAATCATCCAGGGTGGCATTGAGCAGGGAACTCTTCGGCCCAGCTTCGCGCACCCAAGTGGAGGATGCAGTATGATGCCAGAATCCTTGGGTGGCTGTGTGAGCAATGAGTTGTTGGTATACGGCGTCCAGAAGTTAAGCGTTGTCGATGCCAGTATCATACCTATGATTCCGGCTGCGCATCTACAGGCCACCATGTATGCGATCGCCGAAAAAGCAGCAGACATCATAAAGAAGAGAGCTTGAGAAAAGCATGTCAAGTGTGCCTCGAGGACCCTGAGAGGGCGCACGAGGCCCCCACAGAAATGAAATCGGAAGGTTGTCGTTCGGCCACGGTGAAATCAAACCTCTTTCACGATCCTGAGCATAACAGCAAAATTTCAGAGGGTGCAAATTTCATGGCCACCGTGGGTTGTTGAAATTGTCTCCAATCATTAAGAATCATAAGCGCTTCCGGCAGAATCCTAGTTTATGCTTTCTGATAGGATCAGCGACTTATGCGACGGTTCACGATATACATTTCTAATGTCTGCATATTTTTAAGTTTGCTTAGAGCGTGTGTATGTGGCAGAAGAGAGAGTGGAATTCAAAACTGTGAATGTGGGCTAAGGCAATCGCCACCTGCGTCCAGTCGAACAACGACGTGTGCTGTGAGTCACAGTGAGGTATACGCGAGAGATGCCAGGAGACTTGTACTTCCGGCCGACCAAGGTATCGAAGGCAGAATAGACTACGCACGTGACTTCTTAGCCTTGGTGTATGCTATCTCACTTGAGCAGGTAGTGGCCCCCAGAAGTCTGTAACTAGGTAGTAATGTCTGCCTGAGTAATGACCTCTCGGCTTACATAGAGTAATGCAGTGGCGGATAACGAAGACTTGAAGCCTGTAGTACTGGTGACGATCTTTGGGGACGTCTCGCGCCCCTAGATACGCTTCACGTGGCTGATGCATTATTTAGTACAATTTAGGCACAACTAAGGTCCAATGATTGCTCAAGAGCAGCCTATAATCTCGGGATTTGCACCTAAATAAGTGAGTGAAACAATCTAAGCTGGATTGGTACACCTGTACGACGGCTCGTGACACACGATCTTGGCAGTACTACCCAGGCATTTGCCTTATTGTTGTTATGGAGACTAAGACTCTTCCGAACAACAAACACTGTAAGTAACTCACCAGCCTTGCATTATGTAGCGTGGTTAACCAATTCAGTCAGTAGTAGTAGCCATATTCCGTCAATTTCGCCCCGTAGATGCATCGAGATTCTTTCCTGAGTCTCGCACCGTGCATGCTATGTTCCTTCCCTGCCTGATCTCGCAATGGTCACAGAAGATCAATGTTCCGACCTTCGACCTGTCACAGCGACACGCTTTGAGGCAGCGGCAGACTACGACGCAGTAACACAGCTATATAACGACTTGGGCGTTTCTCACAATCACATTCGTCTACTCCAAGTTCGATCGCGCGGTGGAGCTACCAATGCGCCCCTAGACTGCCGGCTGTATGTGGCAGATCTAAGCTCTGCACCATCTTATACAGCCTTATCGTACGTATGGGACAGACCTTCGGTGGCTAAGAGGCATATCTTGTGCAACCATGTTACCTTGCCTGTTACAAGGAATTGCTACTCAGCCTTACAACACTTGCACGCCGCCAACGGAACTTTCGACATTTGGGTTGACGCAATATGTATCAATCAGAAAGACGAAGACGAAAAGATGCAGCAAATAAAACTTATGGGCGATATATACTCGCAAGCCAGGACCACATACATTTGGCTTGGACTGGCTGATGCTACCACGAGTCGGGTCGTTGCCTTTCTGGGTAGAGCGGGATTTCTCGAAAGTTTCTTCGAGGATAGCATTATCAGTAAGGAAGAATGGAGGATACCTAGCGCTGTGAGTGCCTACATGCTGTATATGAGAGGTCGTTGGGGCTGGCGTAGCAGCATGGTGCCACATGCCCCACCGTGTGAGTTGCGTCTTGCTCTTGTTGTCATCGTGAGTTCTGACTTGCAGTTTCGGATCAGACTATTTTTTCGGCCTACTTCTTCCAAGGATTTGGCTACGGCGACTCAAAGACAACGAATGCACATACGACGAGCTGGACAAATATTTCGACTGCAAGTGGATAACCCGGATCTGGACATATCAGGAAGTCATCTTGTCGCGAAATCCCGTCCTGGTACGCGGAGACACCCAAATATCCTGGGATCGGCTTGAATATAGCGTTGTGTTCCTTGCAAGTCTCCATCGATGGGTCAGCAGCTACAATCGCTCTTCCGACTCATCCGAGCTTCACCATTGGGTCGACACAATGTCTGCACGAGAACTCCATCGAGCACTGGACACAAGTAGCAATGACTCTGGATATCGAATACTCGTGTATTGGAGATTCTGCCTTTCCATTAACGAGGTATACATGTGGCATAATCGACTGAGCTGGCTCCTGACACTGGGCGCAAGTTTAGGACCTATAGTGCTGCTATCAAGAGCACTATTCGAAAAACATGACCATGTGTCCTGGATAAAGGCAATGACGCTAATCGCCGGCTCTCTGGTTTTATTTTTATTTTCCAATTTGGTCTTTCGGGTTTTCATACCCGGACTCGCACCCAATCCACGTTACTCGACAATTCGCAAAGGAGATCTTGCGAGGATGGGACGTCGCATGCAGAGCAGCCTTCACGAGAAAATACTGGATAATTTAAGCGCTCGTAATGCGACAGAGCCCCAAGACATGAGCTTCGGTCTCCGTTCTGTTCTCGAGCGGCTGCCAGGTCAGACCAATCTGCCAATCATCAACCCCAACAGCTCATTATCGGACATATACCAGCAGCTCACTAGGTTCCTTCTCGAGGACTCCAAGTCACTCCGAGTCTTGAAACTTGTGGCAAGAAGTCGCTGCATTGGTGCGCCAAGTTGGGTCCCGGACTACTCGAAAGTTGCTGATGCTGACTCTATCGACGCCAATACGGTCCACTTAATTAGCCCTCATATGCTGATCGTAATTGATGGTAGCCCGAATGGCGCTGACATCTTGGCCAAAGCGGTGCTGCGGAATGAAGCTGACATGGTGTCAATCTGCGCAGCAGTATATGGATTCGAGCCCCCCTACAGATACCATATCGACAACGACAACATACTCATTGTTAAAGGAGCTTTTATTGACAACATCACGACTGTTCAGAGCGGATCGGTCCCCGAAGAATGGGTGGGAATCGGGACGGCTTCATACAAGGGACTAGCATTCGGCAGCTGCAGGACCGGCGACAGGTTAGTTCTTATTGTCGGTCTTCAACGACCATTAATCGTAAGAGACGACGGAAACTGTGTCAAGATCGTGGGGTCTGCAGTCCTCTGGTACAGAAGCACAGGTGTATATCTGTTCCAGCGGCCCCTCGGTGGCTTTACAAAAGGCTACGTACGATTTGGCGAGGTTTGGCATGCTCACGAAAAGAAGAGGAAAGAAGAATGGAAGAGAGAGCACGGCTGGACTCATTTAGATGCCGAGCCTCACCCTTCGACATATCTCCAAGACATTCTCATATCGTAGGCTCCAAGCCTTGCTATCATCCTTCAATAACTCCAGCCTGAGGAGTCTCTGAGCGCATACAAACATGAACCTGACGAACTTCAAATTCTGATCATCAATTGTTCTTCAAAGGATACTATCAGCGCATCTAATTAGCTATCCATACCGTCGAGACCACCTTCAGCGCATCTGCTATCAGCGAACCACCTACCAATACCGTCGAGACAAGCTACGAATCACCTCAAATCTGCTGAGCAACCACACACCCATGTACTGCACTACATTTTCTTCACCTCATAGTTCCGATCACAATGCATCACCACAACAAAAAACCCTTGCTAGAACACACAATGTCTATCTCTCAGTTCATTTCATATCTACATTATATACTCGCCAAAAAGAAACGGGGGTATAAACTGTCATCACATCGCTAAATCTCAAATCCCATCCCCCGTCCATCATAACCATGATCCCTCGTATCCTACTCCCCCACCTTATCCATGCTTGGCATAAGGCGTCCTCTTCTGCCTCCTCCCCACACAAAACTCCACGACCCACGCCAGCAGCACGACAAACATGACGCCCGTGGCCGCCCAGGTGAGCGCCAGGAACTTATTCCCTTTACTTGCCTCGACGCCAATATCGTTTCCGTACTGATTAATCAGATCCGTGGCTTTGACCATGACGGCGGTGACGAGCGCGCTCGCAAGCCCAATGGCGATGAACGCCAGCAGCGCCATGAGGAAATTGAGACACGCAGATAATCTGCCCGACGCGATGACGGCGAAGAGCGCCGCCACGAACGCGACGAAGATCAGACATATGGCGATGACGTAGAGTACGAACATGGCGGCCATGAGCGCGTTGAGCGCCTTGACGCCGTCCTCAATGTCCTGCGGCCACTTGAGATCCTGCAGCGTGACGCGCTGGCCCGTGGTCCTGTTGAGCGCCTCCTCGACGATGCGCGTCGGGTCGAATTTGTACATGGCCTGCGACTGGCTGCACCCGGTGACGTTCTTGCTGATGTCGTCGTCGCTGATGGTGGCGTTTGCGACTTCCAGGGGCGTGTACTGCCCGTAGCAGTAGTCGAGCATGTGGGCCGAGTAGAAGTCCTCGATGCCCAGGCGCGCGGTGATTTCGCCGATGCGGTCGTTGATGGCGGAGCTGATTTCGTTGGGGATGGAGTTGAGGAGGTTGGTGAGGGGGTTGGAGGTGTCTGTTGGGCGGGATTCGGAGAGGAGTGTTTCGCCAAGGAGGGAGGTGTTGAGCTGGGAATGGGGTTAGTATGGGCGAGTTTGGGATGGGGGAGGGGAGGGGACGGCATACGGTCAAGAGGTGGTAGTCTTCCATGAAGGATTGCTTGTGGCCTGCGAAGAGGCATAGGAAGGAGAGGATGAGTGCTACGATGCAGCATAGCACCGGGACGAGGGCTGTGAGACGCATCGTGGGTATGTTGGTGTAGTGTTGAAGGTTTGAAGGTGGTGACACTCCAGTACTACTGAAGCGTGTAGACGTAGACAAAGGTGTGCGCTGTGAGGGACTGACAACAAACCGTTGGACAAAGAGCCAGTCCAGTCATTCAAATATACGACGCACATACTGGCGCAAACCTTGGAATGCACTCAACTCCTGCCTCACGTCACTATCGCCGGGGTTATGCGCGGTCAGTCCCGCAACGCGTAAACCTGCCAGCCTCGAGATCAGCCACTTTGACTGCTACTCTAGGCAATTACCCAGCGTGTCAACGTGCTGGTGCCCAGTTGTTGTCAGGACCCTTGCGCGATGACGCAGGGCGGCCAGGGTCTAAAAACTAGGCGAGTGGTACTTGCGCAGGGTCGACTGGACGACAGCGAATCTTGGTGCATGCATCGAAAAAAGGTACGCCGGAGAAGATCCGGTACGGGCGCCACACAAGCGTCGTGGATAGGGTGGAGATGCACTGCCTCTTGCAGTATACGCAAGTTGGTGTCGATGCCTGCAAAAGATTTTCGTGTTGAAAGATATTCGCATTCAAAATAGAAACACCGACACGTGAAATCGAGGCTGCGGAAATCTTCCGTAACCTACTAGCGGTGAGAGGAAGCATGTGATGCGCTCTACTCACCACGCATAGAGTTGTGATGTATGTCGAGTAGGAGAGTTTCAGTCGCGCTTTACTCAACTGTGCATGCCCCTAAAGTTGTGTGGTATCTTGCAAAGTAGAGTTTCAGCTGCCTTTACTGTGCGCATGCCTATATCAGTAAGAGGGGTGTCTCGAAAAGCCAAGTTTCAGCAGGTATATGCCCAGCGCAAGACGAGACAAGGAGTTGTTCAGTGAAGAATACAAAGTCTATTGCAAATGCGAGTGGATCTAGCACGTACTCCTCCCTTCGTCTATTCATGAGGCGTATCTATCGTGACGGTGGTTTTCATGATGACGAGCATGCTGTGCTCTTATGCTTTTGAGTGGATGGATAATGGAAACAAGGTGCAGAGATGGATATACTGGCCTGTACATTCGAGCGGCTCATGCTCATCTCTATGGACCATGAGCGGGCGACTTCTTGGAGCTCTTTGACGGCGGGTGCGATGCTGATGGCTTTCTTGCTATACCGTCGGTGAACGCGGCGAGTATGGGGCAGCGATGGAGTGTGGTGGTGCCCTTGCTCCAGCTTGTGTACGCGGCGGTTCAGGCTGTCCCGGCCACTTCTTCTGCTCTTCATGCAGCTTGTCCAGCGGCTCTCCCACGATGTGGTACTTCTCCCAGTTGATCGGCGGACAGCGAACGATGTTCTGGGCCTGTGGTATGGCGGGGAATTTGGGAGCGCCGGCTGCAGGTGCTCCTACGTCTGCAGAGTCCTTGCGCGTGTCTGGTCCAGCATTTGCATTTGCATTCCCTTGGGCGGCAGACACCGAGTCGGCCAGGCCGGCAAGCGTGGGTGTGAGTATGTCGTTGTATGACTGTGCTGCCTGCGCGCGGTTCTGCTGTATCGACTGGACAAAGCCCTGGGGGTCTGCAACGGCAACGGTCTTGAGCTCGGCCAGGGCCTTCAGGTCGCGCTTGCTCTTCTCGCGCTGCAGCTGCAGGAGCGAGATGGCGGAGCGCAGGGCTATGACATCTGGATTGTCGCTCTCGGATATGGCTACCGAGGCGGGCTGCTGTGTGAAGGTCGCGACTGGTGGGGGGGCCGGGCGGGGTTCTTCTGTGCGCTCAACAGTCGCGAGTTGGGCCACGGAAGCTCTGGGCGTGATGGGTGACACGGGCGGGCGGTTCGGCGACGCAGACTCAGACCGCCTGCGAGAACGCTCAGAGGCGGACGAAGCGTCGCTCGAGGACGCAGGCCGCGCATTTGTGTCTACCAGGAGCGCTGGCATGACGGCGAGGTGGGCGACGACTGCAGGCGCGGCGCCCGAGAATCGTCGCGAATTACCCGATCGACGGCTGGTCACGAGATGGAGTCGCGAAATGGTCGCGCAGAGGCCCGCAAGTGGTGGCAGTGGAGGATGGCCGGGGGCACGGATAAGGAAGGGCAGCACCTCGCCCGCGTGGTGGCGGCCATCAGGCGGCGCTTCCCACAGTTTGGCCTCGCCCGTCCACCCTCGACCCGTCCATGCCAGATCCGAGTGCGCGGCGTGGGCGACGTGGTACACAGTTTTGCGCGTGAAGGCCGCTCTGCCAATGCGCGTGGACACACGGCATGCCGCAAAAAGCAAATGTCTCCGTGGCTGATCGGGAGTGTGGGGAGCTCGTTAATCTGACCACAGACCAGGTCCAGCAGGACGCGACGCCATGGGAAGCCATCGCAGCCCGCAAATACCAAATACTAGGCATGCAAATTGTTACACGAGCTCTGCTTACTTGGACATCAGGCTGAACATGGGAAGGACTCGCTTATCGTCGATCTAGACTGTCGGACAGACCAGGATCCATGGCAGTGATCCTGTCAAGACGCTCAGCAATCTTGTGGCCGTGAGGGAGTCCCTAGCCATGTTTCGAACTTTCACCAGAATCCCTCCATGAGGCGGTGATGTGCAGTGCCATTGTGTGGCTTCAGACTCGTCAGCGCCGGATGGGGGCTGGTTCGCTGATCATCTCCGCCAATGTCTCACGTCTCAATCCTAGGCATACCAGGAAAACAGGCAGCGCTGCATTCCGCTGTCACGGACGCCTCGCGCAAGTGTAGCCGGTGGAAACGTGGATCAGCCTCCAACGCAAGCCACACATTCACCTCCATCATGCTCCGACCCAATCGCACGTGCCGGATAGCCTACGCTGCGTGGGCCGGCATGGGTCAGGCTCCACTGAATAGGCGTATTTCCAGTAGCGCACGTCTCGAGGTACAATGTTTCCATGGAACTGCTGGTTGCTTTTCGCTGTCCAATGCGCCTTCCATGGCGGTACCTGAGGTGTAACCTGGCCATCGTAGTGTCCGTCTTGGGCAGGACTTCTCATCCTCACCATCACCGATTTCTTTAAAACCTCGTGCCCTTCCCCCATTCCCACACCTGGCTGGCTACCATCTCCCACGCCATGCGCAGCGCGCCCGCGACTCGCCGCCAATCAGTCGACCAGTCCTCACGCACCGGCTGTCGCTACTAAACCCTAACCGTCCACCCCGACCGAATCTTCGCCGTTGCTCCTTAAGCCATGGCGCCCGGCGCAGACTTAACAGCGCAGTGCCCGCCAGCACGCATGCCGAAGCTCAAGTACAGAAATCCATTGCCTACCACTGAATCGACACCCTCGCTCGAGTCCCGTCGCAACAGTGCACATCAATCCCCCGACGCTGAGGAATCACGCTCGCTGTCATCCACCAACCCTTCTCCTTCCAATTACACGCCGTCAATTGATACGGCGAGCCTGACGTCATCCAGTCTGGCTTCCACAGCACCCAGCGTAGCCTCTTCAGATGACGCCCAGTCATCAAAGAAAAAGAAGAAGACGGGCGTCTTCGGCTTTTTGTCCCTCAAGGAACCTTCCAAGGATGCATTCAAGCAATACGCTGAGGCCCAACGCAAACAGGCCGCCGAGAAGGGTGCCCCGTCACCTCCATCGACACGTGGATCAACATCAAGCAGCTTCACCGCCAAAAAGCTCCCAGACAGCGTCCCCAAAGTAAACTCAAAATGGGATGGTGTGCCGGAAATTGTCAAGAAACAGCAGCACAACAAGTCTAGCGCATCGAGCAAAAAGACCAGGCACAGTGTGCGGTCACAGAGCTCGCAAAGCTCTCGATGCAGCGCCGAAACATGGGATTCCTCGAGAGTATCTGTACTGACGGATGGCACGCAAAATCCTCCCACCTCTGTCGCTACACCTGAGCCGTCAACGGGAAACCTAGACGCCCGTGACGGATCCCGGTCCGCTTCACCCCGGCTGTCGATCAGCACACTTCCTGAACTGTCATATTACTTTCCGCAGCCTCTACAAGACACCGCAACGCACTCTGATGCCCAGCCTGACGTGTATCACCCTTCCGTCTTCGAAAACACACCTCGATCTTCGTCCTCCACGTTTAACCTAGGCTCTCCGTTGGAGGGTGTATTGCCTGGCCTCCGCTCAGACTCCCCAGCTTCTTCCACGGGTTCCGCGGACACTGTCGTTCGAGACACTGCGGATGCCATCTTCAAAAAGCTCAACGATCAGCCTCAAAAGAGCTTGTGGGGCGATGCACCCGCTGTGCAATTGCCCGACGAAGAGGCCCGGGTGGCAGTACCCGAGTCGCACAATTTCCTGTTCGACGACCAACCTAGCTTGGAGGACACGCAGCCTGCGACGCCTCCTTCAGTCCCCCATTATGCTCCTAGCCGCCCAGTTCAAAACTTCAGCAGACCCATGTCGTCACACTTCAACACCACGCCTCCTCCCGCAATACAGGCGCCATCGTACAGGACCACGCCTACCGGCCCAGCACTGCCAACGCTCTACGAAACGTCTCTCGCTAGTACGCAGTCTTTGAACATGGCAGAATCTATCCATTCAGTAGACTCGGACGAGACGGTGCAGTACGAAAGAGACACTGACACGTACTCCATCGCACCTTCGACTGTCGCACCCTCCGTGCTTTCGGCACACTGGCACGATTCCCCTCGAGAACGCCTCGGCCTTGGTGGACGTCTTCGGATGAACGCTCAGACGCCGTGGGAGAGTCAAGGGGAAGAGCCAGGTAAGCTGAAAAAGTACAGGCTTTCCATGTTTGGCAAGGCCGCACCACGAGCATGAGGGGTCTCAGGGACCCAAGACATGAATGATCTTGATTGCTTAGCAGTCTGTCGTCGCTACCCGCGCATCCCGATCAGGACTGCGGCCAGAGTCGAAATTTGAGCGTCTGGCGTTGTATCTTCTGTCTGTTCGTTGCTCGGTCCGGCGTTTCCAGCACGACTTTCACTCGGAGCATTTATCTGTTGCAATCTTCCTTCCTACACAAATTTTCTCAATAAGTAGATACCCCTCGTTGCGATTTCTTTTCACGGTTCTCGGAATTGCACGACGGCACGGCATTTTCCCTTTTACAGACATGTTCGCGAGACTACCAATACACACATAATCAGAAATGATAATACCATCACGACCACTTTCCAATTCCACTGAGCGATATCTTCACATACTCCCACCGAGACGCCCTTACTCCGTACCCAGCGTACTCTAACCGAGCCATTCTAACGGCTGCAAAGGGTCACTGGACCTGCCCTCTCCGATCGACAGCGCACCGTCGAAACCTTATATATCCCTTCCCCACATCCATACACACTAGCCTTCTAGCGCCACAAATGCCGAACTATCGGACCCCGTGCTAAGTCTCTGACATGTACCGGTACGCAGTACGACTTTTGTCGCCGCTTATACTAGAAATGCACTACACTACCCCTAGTTCTGGCTCGCAGGCCTTCTTATTCGCCATATATGCGACGGCAAATAAGCTCAATCACACCTTGACTAATCTCGACCAGAAGGAACTGTACAGTCAGTCTGTGTGGCGGCGAACACGTGTTGCCTTGAAATCCGAGCGCAGGGGACAAAAAGCAAATACTACCTCCGGTGATCGGCAGGGTGGGAAGCAGTCCGGATGGAAAGTTCCGGTGCGGGATTTCGCCCGCGTGGCACGGTTTGGCGCGAGTTTGCGCTGCGTGTACATGTACCTGTGGGCGGGCGGAAGGGGGAATGACGTGCTGCACTAAATGAGAGCAGGGCGCGTGTTTTTTTCTTTATCGATGGGCGGGATTCTGGTTGCAATATGGTGGTGCTTCGGGGATGGGGAGGAGGAGGTGCGAAATCCAGGTACGGAGAATCAGAACGTATGATACACACGGGTGTGGCGCAGTTGCGGACAGCAGGTCCGCCGGAGATGTTGAATTGCATGTTAGCCGGAACTCCTGCCTTCTTACATCCTGCGCAAAAGTTTTTTCTTCTGTCCTGTTCTGGTTTTATGTCTTATATGCCATAAAGTACAGTGCGGTCTTGTAGGGTTGCTGAAAATCTTGTGGTAGCTTCTTGCGTCGCGAGATCTAGGAAGTTGAAAATTGTTGTTTTGCTTGTATCATGTTCATCCTGAAGCAGGTTGAACCACTCTATTTCAGTTATATGGATTAGATACCTATATCCGACTTTTCTCTCGGGGACTGAGATGTAAGTGATCCCAGCCGGATGCTCTCAGCTTCCACCTTTGTACACCGCTTGGTATGACAGTGGGGCCCGGCGCCAGAGAGAGAAGCTCACTTTGAGAGCATGTCTCGCAGCAGGTCGTCGACACAGACCTTTCAAGACTACCACTCAGTGCTCACAGATGCCGTTTCCGCAACCGTGATACACATAGTTGACGGTGAGCTCGCCCTTGTTGACGTCGTTTCCACGGTAGACAGGCGAGCTGCCACAGACTGTTATCTACGTTAGTCTTTTCCATTTCCGAAAAATTCGTCAACTGGAGTTCACTTACACTTGCAACCGTGATCTACGATCGCCTTCATCGCAGCCTTGATCTCGTCGTAGTCCAGATCAGCGCCTTCTGGAAGATTCTGCGGGAAGGCACAAATGGCGCTTCCCGTGTCCTTTTGGAGTTTGCAACGTCTACAGGCGATTTGTTCGCCGTTCTTGTAGTTGTTGTGGTGATCCGGATCTGCAGAGAAGACAATTGGTAAGTGGAGCTGGCAAAATCAGAGCACGCGTGGGTGATTGGAACTTACGAAGATTCTGCATGATTATATCAAGCTCCATGATGCTCTTGCGGAAGCAAAGGTCATTACACATGCCACTGCCGCGGCAGTTGAGGCCTAGGAGGACATTGTCGGGCGAGGCAATGCTGTCGGGCGAGGCAATGCCGTCGGGCGAGTCAGAGCGAAGGCTGATGCCGGGGACAGTCTCGGACGGGACGTAAGCTGGGTTTGTTGGCTCATCCTCCGACGATGGAGCAGAGTCACCCTCTGAAGCGACAGCTGAGGCCGACTTTCCCTGACACAGACCAGTCTCGCAGGCACCTCGAGTGAAATTGATCTGAACATTGCCGTCGGTATCGTCCTTGGCACCAGGAACAACTGGGACGCTTCCACAGCGCTCGCATCCATGCTTGACGAGGGCTTCGATCGAAGCCTTGACAACTTTGCCAGTCACGGTGGTGCCAGGCTTGAGCTTGGTGGCGTAGGCGCAGATGCCCTGCTTGTAATCGGCTGGCCGCTCTGCCTCGGTTGCGCATCGAGCGCAGGCGATGAGAACATAGTTCTTGAACTCTTTGTTGTCGTCTGGAAGCTTTGTAAGTAACGGTGGCACGCTTCGTAGACCCTCGATGTAGATTGTTTCACTAACCAATCTGATCCACCAGGTTCAGGATAGTGGTAGAATTAGGAGGGCAGTAGCCACCCCCACAGCCGAAGTTGCCATCACAGCTAATTCCCTTGGCTGGTAATTTCTGGCGAGGCGACATGAATTGGGCGCTGTCTCCCACTGGAGCAATTGTTAGTGATGTACTGAAAATCGACTCTCCAGATATCTTACTAGAAGGCAGGGCAGTCGCAACCAAGGCCGAAACCAGGGCAAAGGCCGTCACCTTGGCGAAAGAGTTGGAAATCTTCATGATGGCTTGTTCAAGGTCAGAGTTTGTGTGGCGTGTGGTGGTTGATTGTGGAGGTGGAGATGAGGAGGGTAGAGGAGAGGACTCTTTATATATCGCAGAGCCTCCCCGGTTCCGCAGTCGGAGGGGTAAATTAAAAACGGAAAGTGCGGGTGAGTTCCAGGTGAGAGTCATGTGGGGCAGGAGCTCCAGCTGTTTGTGTGCAAAGTGAGAACTTTTCGGGTAACAAACGGATTGGGGTGAAGTTGCAGTAATTGAGACTTAAATTTGCGCGGGAATCGCTTCTACTAGCTTGATCCCCCAATCCTAGGTGTAAGATGGCAGTGACCAAATGTTTTGCTACGCATGATTCATCTTGTGAAGAGGGTTGTTCACACCATAGCAAGCAAATGTCCTGTCGACTGGGGTAATGTTACCTTCTTGTTCACTATGCTACTCCGGATTGAGTGTCAACGTGAATTGCAAATACTTCTAGCTATTTGCAATCGGAGTTCAAGTTGGAAGAGAAGAAATGAGCATTTGAGAGTGTGTGATACACGTCACGAAGAATGATCATGGAAGTCACGTTTCGTGCACGCGTTTTGCTGTGCATTCATAAGCAGTGAGTAGGTATATATAAGAAAGCACCCTGCATCGAGCATACAGTTGAGCACATACTTTCGGATAAAGCTACGTGGATGCCCTATACTCGTGGGTTAGTTCCCCGAGACACGCTAAACGTTGAGTGAGCGGTGTTGTGTGCGTTTGTTGCGCCTTACACTTTCGTGAAGTCATACAATACTACAGCACAAAAGAATGGGCATTAGAGGCCTTGAGCTAGCATTTGAAAATTTAACGAGTCATGTCAATTACAAGAGGATAGTGGATGGCTATGTTTCAAACCGCCTTCTTTGCGCACTGCTGCTTTTCACCTTCGACAGCCCTCATCCTCACCTGCTGCTGAAACTAAGTCAACACACATCTAGCTGTTTTGGGAGTGATACCAAGAATTGAATGACACGTATCACTTCAACTTAGGCTTCAAAGGTACTTGAGATATCCATGTAAGTGTTCATTGAGGTCAGGAAGTCGCTTCCACGACGAGTCGCTCGCTACCTGTAGACTAAACCCAAGAAGGTGTCATGATTCCCCACCAAAGCTCCCAAAAGCTACACCCACATCCTCAAATACATAAACACACAACCCTTGCAGATGATCCAAATCGACATTCTTCCCCCCCGACCCTCAAAGTCCTCCGCATGATCGCACAATCAAACTACAAGCGCTCTCCAGACAGACACACCAAGACGTGTAACCACCAATACACAAGTCCTCCATCTCAGGCCATCACCTGCACTCCCCCCGTCCCACTAAGCGGGGCGCAGCCCGCCCGTCCGACACATCCGAAGGACCAACCTCGTATATGCGCGTCCACGGCGCTAAATCAGCCTCGTTTGCCTTGTGCACCCTAGAATTGTTTGCCTAGTATGCTCGAACAAAAAAAAAAAACACATCACAAGCGGATAGCGATTTTCTCTTGCCCGATAAGTTAAGTTTCCTGCAGCAAATGGGGATGCGCAATCTGCACTCCTCTCCCATTTCCCACACACCGGTGCCTCCAACGATATCTTTTCCGCCCCCAAATTCCTGCCCAAAAGTACCGGCCCCTAAACCCCCATCACCATCTCACTGCATCCGGTGAGCTGAGCGCGACGTGTTTCACGGGTATGCAGGTGTAATCTGCCTGTCAGGGCTGTGCACCCGTGGACGTTACACGACGTGGGGTCGGGGTTGTTTGACATTGGGGCTGAGACTTTTTGGAAAACTGAGGGTGGGGGCTGTGAGTGAGTATTTGTGGTACGGGATGGGGAAGGGTAGAAATGCGAATTTGGAAGACAAGTCAAGGTCCTGAACGTTTTGCTGGGCGAGTGATTGTCCAATGAGTTTGGAAAAAATAAGGGGATTTTGCAATGCCAAATAACTAAATCTTTTGTTTCCCCCAACCCACCCACCAAGCAAAAATGTCTTGCGCTCAAAAGGGTATCAAACTATCCCACCAGAAGAAGATTCGTAATAAAATGCGTCTATTCCTCATCCCCATAATCATCCTCACGCTTCCTCCTCAAGGGCTTCCCATCACCAATCTTCCACACCTCTCCCTCGCCCCTAACAATAAGTCCCTCGTCAAGTAAATACCGCTCAAGCTCCGAGTCGGGATTCCACGCCTGGACACCCACAGTTCCCTTATTATCCTTCTCCAGATGCCGGCCCACATGCTCCATGCGCTCCTCCCAACTCGCGGGACCTTCAAACGTCTTATCGCAGAACAAGCAGCACGAATGCTGCGGTGCTTGACGCAAGGTAGTGAAGCAGCGTGACTGGTGCTCTTGCAGATTCTCCTCGGTTACCGGGAAATCCTTCTCGGAATGCGAGACACTGCCCTTGGGCGCGGCATGCATGCGGCGGATGTGTTGTGTGTACAGGTCTTTGCGGTTGAAGTCGTTGAAGTAGAGATTCTGGTCGTTTTTGGCGTCGGTCGTAGGCGCGCACAGGTCGCAGCGCCAGTAGAAGAGTTTGATGTGTTGCGTGCTGACGTGGCGCTTCCATTCGTTCTTGGAGGAGAAGGTGGAGTCGCAGCCGTATGGGGCGAGGGGGCATGGGAATCGTCGGTCGTCGGTGTCGGGTTTGATTTGCTTTTTTGTGGGGGCAGATGCTCGTCGGGTTCGCTTTGACACTCTGTTGGAGGTAGAGGAAGTCGAGGCGCTTGAGTCCTTGCGCTTCGAGGCTTTCGTCGAGCCGCTGCTTGACGAATATGATCGCTTTCTCTTGTTGGATCGAATGCCTTTGGGACTGTAGTCCTCATCGGATTCGGGATCGTCGTGTATTTCTGTATGATCGATTGGCTGGACTGACTCTGCGTCGCGCAGTGAGTTGCCGAGACCAGAGTCGGGATAATCGGTAGAGAGGTCAGATGCTGGGCTACCGACTTTGACGGCAGTAACTTCGTGTGCAGCTACTGCCTCATGCTTGAAGTCAACATGTTCTACTTCATCGACCACTGTCTCCGACTCGAGCTCAGGATGCTCGTATTCGATCATCTGTAGGTTGATACTACCTCCGGACAACGGAGGATGGGTTGGATAACCGCCTTCTTTGAGGTGCTCTGTTGTTGGAAATGGCAGCAAAGAAGGAGAGTACCCCTCTGTCGGACCTGCATATGGCATGGCGTGGTACACATATGGCGAGTGAATGTCACTCAATGATGCGTCCGTTGAGCAGTCAGAGGCCGAAGTCCGGTCCGGTGACGGGGTCCGTAAGCAGTCGTTAGATGGCCACTGTGGTTCGTATTGAATGCGGATCTGGCGCTGGACGGGTGGTAATGCTTGAAGCATACTGTGGAAAGGTGGGTATTGATATTGGAAGGGACGCTGCACTGGCTGCAGGCCCACCAGACCATTGTCGAGATCACCGAAGTACATGTTGTCTTCCGGAGCGAAGCTCACGTTGTCTTGGTCGTACACGTTCGTGTAGCTGAAGGTGTCGGGCCCGCAGCCAACAAAGCGTGACTCGCCCATGTTAATTTGGGGCAGGTCTCGGTACTGAAAGGTAGCCATAGCTATGATTGTTGTATGATTCGTCCGTGACCAGTGTGACTGCAATAGCCGAGCTAATTTGAGCCCAATGCAGACGGATAAGCAAGCAACGTAGAAGAATAGGTCACTATTTGAGCGGGTCAGAAAAGGTCTTATTAAGGATGGCTTGGCTTACCTAGATGTCTTGCACGACAGAAGGTCCTTCGCTCAACTTAAGGATGATCTTCTAGTCCTTCTCGTTCCAGAGCTCAGTAGAAGTAGGCCTCGATTCCTACCGGGGTTGAAAAGTAGGAGGACAATTGGGGCGGAGCACCAAGGGTAGGTTGCAGATCATGAAGGCAGCAAGATAACAGCTTGAGCTCGAGTTGCACTGCCCTCAATACCGGTCTGTAGTACCGCCATCTTGAGCTGCCCTTACCCACTTGCTTTATGGTAGATTAGTTCGCAGAGCCGCATCACTCCACCCAATCAGAGAGCACCTGCATACCCCTGCAGTTGCAGCACTCACCGGTGGAGACCATCGCTTGGATAGGGACAGCGGACAGCCACCACCTGCTTGTACGTGGGCCTCTGGGTTTGGCGGCGGGCGCAAATTGGGTCAAGCCGCATAATGAAGCCCCAGACAAAAGAAATTACGCCATGGCAATGGCAGATCACTACTGAACCGCAGCATGGCGGAAGCCACGAGTGCCTGAGGTGCGTCCCGACGAGAATCGTGCTGTGCACGCTCGGGGACAGGCGAGCGAACCAGCAAGCAACGCGAACGCTATGATGGTTCGACCGTTGGGGGCCGAAACAAGCAAAGAAGCAGCGAGAGAAGCAATAGGTAAGACGATCGCGAGACGAACCATTCGCCATCAAACCACAGTACAGAGGTTCTTTGGTGACAGGTCCATCTGGAACCCGACATAACTGGCGTGGCATGCATGTTTCTGTACTCCCACACCTGCATCAGGGGTCTAGGTGACCTGAGGCCACTCAACGAAAAGGAATGCCGGCCTTGAAGCCCCAGCCCCAATCAAGCGAATGGGGTATCTGTTAAGCGACCGAACATATAGTGTGGAGGATGGCGCAAGATGCTCATTCGACTGAGCAGATGTGGGCGCTTTTCGAGTAGACTCGATTGAGGCAGCGACAAAGCAAACGAGGCGGAGCTCTTGTCTGCCTACATGCCGTCGTTGTGCAGTGCTACACGGATACTGGAGGCATATCATCAGACGCTGGATAGATCAAGTGGTGAACAACATCGAGCAAGAACGCCTGGGCTATCTCGCGATTTGCGCATCATCGACCTCGTCCGCGGACACTACAGACACCTCTTTGATGCAGGGCTATTCCGCTGGCTAGCTATTCTGCGTTGTTTGAGGCGTGTGGGCACATTGGGGCGGTGCGCCTCGAAAAAATCATGGAAGGGGAAGGGTGAGCGAAAGTGGTGGCGGGGAAGTGCATTGGGAGGACTGGGAAGCCCACTCGCCGTCCCGCGTTGAGCACACACATGATTACATTGCTTGCCCCTGCATCGGCGTTCCGACGTGTTCGTCCTCACGGCTTCGCTGTCAAGCAACACCTGATTATCCGGCGGCTCAGCGCTAACTTGGGAAGATTCGTCAATGCGTGTTGTAGCGAGAATGTTTTAGTACGGTGAGATATGCTGCCGTCCCCGCAGATCTCCATCCGAGCACGCTCGCATTCCACAATGACCATAGCACCGGGATGGAGGACTGTCATCAAAATTCGCTATCTATCCACCTAGTGTGTGAAGTAACCATCCCTGCATCGTCCACAAAGCGGGATGGTGACTCCTCAAGTCCCTGTTTTGGACGTAGCATTAGGACGGCCCTCTACATGGCTGCGAATTTGGCGACTAGACGCTCCTCAATACCCTCAAGGATCCATTGATGGTCCAGGACCTCCAGGTTCTCCGCTTCGCTGAGGAAGAGCTTATCAGGATCCTGTTCGGGACCCATCATGCCAGCACCCGGGTTAGACATGGCCATTTGTTGCGTGACTTGATTGGCAGCTGCAAAGAGGCGTCGTTAGCTCTGACACAAAAGAAACATGTACATGCACAAGTGGAACTTACCATTGTTGCTGCCCAAGATGAAGTTGTAAACGGGCTGCAACCCGAATAGCGTGAGGAAGTACCATGACAAACTGGATACCCATCTGACATCTAGATCGCGAGTACCCACTCCCGATTGGAGCATTGACTTGAATTGCGGCGTCAAGGGAAATGGAAGTTTCACTGTGGGCCGGCAGCGGTTAGCGATGCATTGACAGTTGCTCCTCGGAAGATGCGCAGAATCTATTCCAGACACACGGTACGAACAAGGGCCGTATCCGCCCGACTCTGGCTTCGATAGTTTGCGGGTACTGTACCCATTGGCGCAGAGTAGTTCCCCTAAGAAGCAAATATGTGCCATGAACCGGGCATCTCCCGGTCAAGCATGGAAGCGCATGTTGGGTGATACTCGCAATAAAGTGTCCGCGGACACTGATGCCGGCTGTGCAATGCGACTTCGAGAGGAAGCGAAAGAAACAAAATAGACTTACTGATGACGAAGCCCGAAAAGAAAGCATTGATCCACCCCATGATCAAACTCTGTGGAATCATCATAGCCATATTCCCCTTCATCATGCCCATCATCCCCTCCATTGCCGCCGGGTCGCTCATCGGGTTCGGTCTCGGCTTGCCCCTCGACTCGGGGTCGGCCAGAAACTTGCCTTCCTGGTAGGCCTGCACCATGTAGCCTTTGCGGGCTTGGAAGGAGGCGGGCGTAAGCACATTGGCATTGGAGCGCAGATTGACGCCGCGGACGAGGGAGCGCTGTTGCCGGATCTTGGGCAGGTCTTGTTTCTTGGGAGTCGTTTGGAGGAGCGTCATGGCGTAGTGGCGGAGGATGCCAGTGAGGACCTGGGTACAATATTAGAGGACTGAACAGTAAGTGAGTGCAAAGGGACGTACCATGACCACAGTGATGGGGAGTAATATCCACCAACTATACAATCGTCAGTTCTGCGTTGCTACCTTGTCGCCGTGGCTACATACAACAGGGCGGGATCCCGATGGATCGTCTGCACCACGGGCTGTGACATCTTGCCGGTAGTAGACGAGATGCGCGATACGAGAGAATTGGGCGAGTTGGACGTGGTGAGGATTGCGATGCTTCGATGATGGAAGCTCCCATGCGGCGGCGGGCTGGCGGGATTCGCGAAACCAACCAGGGTCCGGCCGCGCCTTCCCTGAGTGGACACCTTTCCACCCACCAAAGCTTCCACTGCACCATCTGCTCGAGCTTCGCGCTCTACAACCACCCGCTAATTCCCTCTGCTGGCCGAACCCACACACAGTCCGCCCTCCAACATGTCCGCCACAACAAAAGTCGCAGTCCACTCCCTCTCCGGTAACCTCTTCATCCCCCCAAACTCACATGCACATGTCCTAACAACCCAACTACTAGACCTCAAAAACACAACCGACGATGCGCTCCCCAATTACCTCCACAGCCTCAAGTTCCGCCAGATCCACAACCAAACCGACGTGCGCCTGATCCTGGGCTACGTCGCCGTCATCATCGCCGGCGCACTATTCTACTTCGACTGGAAGTTTGGCTGGGAGGCGTCGAAGCCGTACACCGCACCCGCGGTCGCTGCGTATTTTGTTCTGAATGGCGCGTTTAGCTACTGGCTGTGGTTTGTGGAGAAGGGGGTTGTGTATGAGGGGGAGGGGAAGACGGGCAAGGTAAGCTCCACACGTCCATTGCACCGGAGATATGTGAGAGCGAAGAATCAAGCGTGCTAATTCATTTCATTCGACAGGTCCGCATAGCAACACACACCAAAAAACACATACCCATCTACGAAGCCGACATCACCTTCTCCTTGCCCTCCTCCTCGCTCTCCCAAACAATCCATATCCGCGCGCCCATGACCCGCTGGTTTACCGCCGACGGCTACTTCATCGCCAAACCCTTCCAGCAGTGGCTTGCGTCAGAGGTGCCCGTGATTGGCGCCGCGGACCCGAATAATGTTGTCGAGGAGATTGGACGGGGGAGTGCGCAGGGCGGGGACTTTCAGGTTAATGCGACGAATGCGCAGGAGATACTGGAGCAGTTGAAGGCGAGTGGGGCGAGTGTGTCGGGCGGGGCGCAGAGGAGGAGGTAAGGTTGGGAAGAGCGTGCGATGTATAGGCGTCTGGAGTGGTTGATATCCAGTGCCGTGGTTTCCTTATAGCGGTATTGCATCACAGTGCTGAGATTCCTGGCACAGCAGCACACTCGAAGCTTGCTCCAAATCATGCTGAATTTCCGTCATGCTACGTATTCCAATGCTATGCAAATAACGCCGTGTAATGCTCTTTTCCTGCCTTTGCAGCTACGTTTCCCTCTTCTTGCAACTTTCTCCTTTCCATTTAGTTTTGTCTGCATGTCTCACTCGCCATGGGCATGGCAACCCTACTGCTCCTCCTGCTCCAGCAGCGGCAGCACATCCAGCTCCCTCCTGATGATCCTCTCAAACTCCTCCCTATCGATACCAGAAGCCTTCGCCAGCCTAAACAAGCTCTTGATATCCGTGCTGATGTGCTGCTTGATAGCAATCTCCGCCTGGCTGTAGTTCTCCGCTTGCCGCTCTAGCCTCTGCACTGAGTTTTCTGACGCGGACGACGAGGGGCGAGGGTGGTTCAGCGCGGAGAAATCGTCTTGGTGGATGGCTTCAGTGTGCTCAACGCCGTTGCTGCCGCTTGCTGCTAGTGGCATCGACGAGTCGTAGCCGTTGGGGCCGAGGTTCGATGTCTCAAGGGGTTCGGTCTGTGGCTGGCGGGTATAGTTGAGAGTGTTGCCGTTGAGTGTCGACTCGCCCGTGACGGGGTTCTCCTCGTCTGGGTCGTGGGCGTCGAGGGCAGGCTGGACTTCGGAAGCGTAGCGTGCAAAGTACTCGAGTTCGGACTGTGTTGGGCCAATTTGCGTACGGCTGCTTGCCATGGGCGCGGGTGAGTGTTTTTGCATAGGTGTCTGTCCGCCTGGGGTCCGATCGTATGCCGCCCAGTACGAGTCGTCATCGTCTTCCTCCTCTTGTGCAGGTTCTGGTTCCAGCACCGCGGGCTGAGTTGCGACTCCATTGCTCTTGACTGCCTTGCGCCTGAAGCCTGCCTCGTTGGCCTCGCCCATACCGGCAAACCACTCGGTGCCGTCGTCAGAGTCTTCCATGCTCCTCAGCTCAGCCAGAAGCCATCTGCTGCCATTCTCTCCACCCGTGCACCATAGATATGTCGGGATGAGGCCGAATTCGCCCAGCTCTAAGCGCGCGTGCAGGGTTTCGGGGTCGGACCGCCGATATAACACCCGATCTGGCTCCTCCACCTCAATCTCACCCGAGGCTGGATGTGGCTCGACGTGTATCTTCTCAATGACTTTCGGGAGTCTTGAGCCCGCCTCTCGGTCCCAGCATAGCAGGGAAAGCCAGTCGCCCGAGGCCAGAAGCTGCAGTCGTTGGCGGAGTATGGGAGATAGAAGAGGCAGCAAGCCCGGCGGTGCTTCTTTCGCCGTGTTTGCTGTTGATAAGCAGGCTAGGAGGGGGGGAAGAAGCTCCCTGGAGTCGGGCTGCGGGATTGCTTGGTTGAATCCAGGCATGTCTGCGGGCGATGTGCGGTGAGGGATAGCGGTACAAAAAGACGAGACTAGAAATTGAGTGCAAAAGTTCCGAACCGTATCGTGACGCAGAAAACGGGGTGCTACTTTCGAAGTAGTCTTTTCGGGGATTTACAAATTTGTGTAGGCGGTGCTAGACTAAGCTTGTGATACCCCTACAAGCATGTAGGAATTATGGAAGTGAGGGCCTGAATATGAGGAAGAAGGGATGAGGAGGAATCTGCAGAGGATACCATGCGTAGTGCCGCTCCTCTCGTCCCATGGTTGCGGTCAAACGCTTGGAGTGGTTCCTGTGGGTGCATGACCTCCATCCGACCGAAAGGGTCCCGTAAAAGTCCCGGTAGCACCTGCCCGCCAGTTTGAGCATCGAGACGCGCCTTGCCCGCGGAAATACTTAGCCCGAGACAGAGCCTCAGGCCGTTGACGCGCACTATCGAACCACATACCTTCCAATCCACTGCTAACAAGGACGGCATCGATTGGGACCTGCAGCAGCGCTTCAGCACATGTTCGACGTGTGCCAGTCATTGCTCGACATGTCTTGCATAAACATCTGCCCCCACTTGTCACCAGAAAGTGTCGCAGAGCAGAGTGCCGCTATCGTTGCATTTCAACAGCAGCTCTTCCAATTCCAATGAGGCTGGCATTCTCGACAATCTGCGCGGCTAGACTCGCAAAGTACCGTGATGTCATATACACTCCCCCGGCGTCAGAGGCGCCCGTCCCGCCCTGAGCATCGCCGTGAAACAGCATCTGGAGAAATCTGATCGACCTGATCGCAATCGTGCATCCTCTCATTTCCTCCATCTCCATTCAGGCCTTAGGCAAGGCTCGTGGTGTGGCAAACAAACTTTGTTCGAGGACAGGCCTTCCGGACCTCGACAAGTCCGACAAGTCCGACAAGTCACCGAAGCCATCTACAACTACGGCTGGCGTCACCCAGGCCCGTGTATGAGCTGACAGCAACAAGTATGGTAGCATCCAACAACGGGTCGGCGTTTTGATACTTGAACATCCGGGGGGCCTCCCAGTTACATGCGGAAATGCTTGTTGGCGGCAACCCTTCTAGGCTCAGTGGCCGGCCCCGGGTGTGGCTCATCATGGCTGCTCATCCCAGTTGCTGGTCGCAATCCACATGTCGAGGCAGAACTTGCTGAGGCTATTTCGAGAGCATTGCTCGGCGACAGTATCACAACCTCAGCTAAACCGCAAGAGATCATATCATCTGAGATCAACACTGGCCGGACACGCTGCCCCACTAACGCCCGGCACTCTATCCGGCTTCGCTGTGAGATTCATGCTCAGGCACCACCCGCATCGTGGCTAACGAAGCTCGGATCTCTTGACTTAATGGTGGCTGAACACCACAGAGCCAGACTACTGTGTACGTACAGCACCCACCACACGAGACCACAGCGGAGAGAAGCTGGACGTGCGCAAAACGGCGTCCTACACTGCAGAATGTCCATCACTCTATTTGCATCGTCTCTTCATTATCCATGTCAAGCCGGTGCTAACACGCATTGCGCGCGTCGAGAGCGACTGGATGCTTGGCCCGTCCTTATATAGCACCCCGGCACCGGCTACAGAACTGCTAAGCGCCAGCGTGCGTGGGCGAGCAAAAGATGCGGTCACCGTCGCTCTGAATAGACACGCACAAAAGATTTGTGAAGTCATTTCAGCATGACGACAGATCATATTTGTAGAATCAACCTGAGGGATGCCATGTCCGGTGGGTATGCAACCCTATGGGCATAGCCACTTGCCCCGTGTTCGCCCTTGTCCCGCTTCTCTTAAGCTGGGGCTGTGCGTGTGTATCAAGCCTGCCAAGAGCGTGTCGCGCATCTGTGAATCTGCCTCGAGTCGTCAATCAAGCTCGAAGCTGCCGTGCCATCGTCGCGCTTGTTTTCGACAAGCTGCACTGCTCTCCTATTCACACCAGTCGCCAGAACCGCCTGCGCCCGCGTTGTTTCGAGTTCGCAAGGAGACTCGCTTGGCACTTCAGCCCACCCCCGGTCTGACACTTCTGGACATCTTGGGGGAATCGAATCAGCCTTGACCGGTGCCTACGGTTTCTTCCTCGTTGCTGCGGCCAGCACCACTGTCCACTGCGAACTTCACGCTGTTTCCGCCAACCATCTAAACGACTTCCGTTCTTCTAGTCGTTCACGCGCGCATTCGACCAGCGTCCACCGACCCACCGCGACTTGTCAACTTCGACGAGGTTCGGCACTGCCATTGCCCTTGCGGCTTCGGAAATCCACCGCGCGAGGCAGATCGCACACGCCCACTGCTCATCTCTCCGGCGTCTTTGCCTCTTGCTGCAATCATCTGTGCATTCACCGCATTCCTTCTGCTCAAGTCCCGTTGTCATCGTCTTTCTGATCGTCGCTTCTGGTGCGGTCTGGTCTGCCCAGCTCCCACTTACGTCCCACTCCACGCCGTTCAGGCAGCATTATGCCACCCTGAGCCGCAAAACACGGAGTCACGTTACTTGTCGCTTTTGTTCTAATTAGAGAACTCTCCTCCGACCCGCCGCGTCTATACGGTCCGCTTCAAATCTGCCTTCTGGTGGTCCTACATCGGTCCAGTTACGATGAATGCGGTTGATGCCCACGCACAGCCATACGATGGCCAGCGGCGCCAGCAACGCCACCCTCAAGATGCATCTCCACAGGGATATGCTCCCATGTCTACTACGGGAAACTTCTTCATGCCAGAAACTCAAGGCACATTTACATTCTCCGCCGAACCCTCTTCGATGATGTATGATGGTGCCATGACTACCCTACCGACCAGCACTACCGGTCAAGAATCCGTGTACACTCCACACATCGGCTCCTCTATTGATTCTTCACTTCACCCAGACATGGTCAACTACTCGTACCCTCCAGTAAATGGATACGCACAGATGCACAACTACAGTCTGTCGCCCAAGTTCTTACAACGGCAACGGGCAAGGCATATCACCTTCACATTCGGTGGAGCACCTGAGTCCAGAGAATGGCTACATGAGCGACCCTAGCATCCAGGGCTTGAGTACCTACGCCACGCTCAAACTTCAACCCACAGCAAATAGATGACACATTAGCAAATTTCAGCATCTCCGACAACGACCAAGTCACCGCTTTTCCTTCATTCAATGGCAGCATGGATATGTCGCAGTTGACCTCAGGAACTCTGAACATGTTCAATGCGCAACCACCGATGCTGTCCAGTAATGCACCACGAGAACTCCATCATCAATTAATATCGCCTGCGATCACCAACAACTCCAGTCCAATTGTAGGAAATGACGGCTCCACTTTCCAGCCCATGCATTATCCAAGGAGCATATCACACTTCGACACCACCGAACCCAACACGCTCAGATCCCCCAATCGACTCCGGGCACCCAGATGCAAAGTCCCGCATTGACCAACAGCCCCAGCAACAACGCGACGGTGAACATCAAACCACTTCGAAGGCATCTCACTAGTCCTATCGTTCGCGTGGAACACTATAGTAGAGACGACTCTCCTTCGCGATCGGACAACAGTAGACCGCTGAGCAAAAGAAGTCATGGTAGCCGTCCTTCCGCTAGCCACCTCTCTCCTTACCCTCCGGACGAATCGACGGACGAGGAGGAAGATGTTCATGAGCAAGTGCGTGTACAGCCTGTTGTCCGCAGTCACGAGCGCAACGAAGATGGTTCCTGGCAGACTTCACACATCTCACGTCAAGCCGGCATCAATCCCGGTGATCGTCAGGCGATGGGGGATGCATGGGTGCCAAGTCTTGGCGAGCTTGTGGAACAGCATGCAAAGCAAGAGAAAAAGCTCGTGGTTCAAGAGTGGCTCACGAAGAGCGAGGTCGGTAGCGAAGCTGGAGATACAGCTACTGGCTCAGATAATCTCGGTTCGAGCAATCTCCTCGTGCCCCATGCCGGTCGTCGTCGTGCGAAAAGCACAAACGATATGCACCGCCACGGTCCGCAAAGTAACTTTGGTCTTGGAGTACGCACCGACTTTAGCCAATACAACGATGCTAGTATACCGGGACCCGGGGTCTATATCGACGAAAGGAGCGAGTACAACGACTATGACGATGAAGACGACGAGTCTGCCGCACCCGAGTCTCCTGCTGCTGCTGTCGACGTTCGGGCTAGCCAAGAGGACACCTCGTACTTCCCTCCTGCTAAAGAATCTGTGTCGATCATCGGCACTATTGTAAAGCCATGGGTAGATGTACCCTCTCAGACGTCAAATGCATCGACGCGCTACCAGCCACCTACCTCGAATGCAGCGATGATGCGCTTCCGGCTACGTGCGAAAGATGTAGAATCAGCATCGCTCGCGGCCACAGTTGGATCGCGCCGCCTGAGTGAATCCGATCTAGGTAGTGTTCGTGCTGCGCCTGGCGTTGCAAGGCTCATAGAACCTGATCCGAAAAAGTCGAAAGAAAGACAGCGTCGACCCAGCTTCTTGGACAACATTTTACCCAAGCGAGCGCCCGCCAATCGAGCGCCTGCCAATCTCCTGAAGCGAAAAGGTAGCATCCCCGTACAGCAGCCATCGTCGGAGACGGCCTTGGACAAAACCAAGGAACCCATCATGGAGAAGCCCAAACGCATCGGTAGCTGGGGTCGTCCTAAGTCACCTCGAGTAGACACCAATCTGAGTAATCACAGTAGAGAGGGTGCTCCACCAAGTGCGAATGGTCTGTCAGCTAACAACACGGGTCCTTGGTATCATGGGGCCAGGAATGTAATCAAGCGGAGCAGAAGCCGGAGCGATATAGGCAAGTCTCCGGGACTGAAGGAACTCATGACCCAACATGGCGGTCCTCCAATGCCCATGCTCGCCTCTCCACTTGCGGATACCGAAGCAACTAAGCCGACAGCGCAGCCAAGTCCTGCTGGGGACGATAACGAGGACGAGCCAGAAGCTGTACAGATGGATCTTCAAGTTCGCACGGATCCAATCATTCCGACTTATGAGGGATTTAGGACACACGCTCGTCGACTCAACCCACGATTAGCCGACTACATGGTGGAGCGCATCACCCAGGAGCAGATGCGGAGGTACAAGCGCTTGCTTGAGTTCCGAGTCAAGCACATGAATGCTGTCAAGAATAGGAATTGCGCGTCGGAAGGATTCTGTACAGACCTTGGGGGTGAGGCTAAGCAGCTACCCCCCAAAGCTGGAAACAAAGACGCCGATGCAACCTTCATCGGCTTCCAAGTGACTGCACCAGGGGGATCCGAAGAGGATGGCGACCCTCTGCCAGAAGGTGTTGTTCAGGCCAATCAGTTCTCGTCGGGTATTCCTTTGCCTCCTGTTAAGCGACTACCTGCAGAATTTGAATGCACTTTGTGCTTCAAAGTCAAGCAGTTTTACAAGCCGTCAGATTGGACGAAGCATGTGCACGAAGATGTGCAGCCATTTACATGCACATTCCCGAACTGCGGTGAGCCGAAGTCATTCAAACGCAAAGCTGACTGGGTCCGACATGAGAATGAGCGACACCGGCAGTTGGAAAATTGGACTTGCCAGATCGCTGATTGCAACCACACCTGTTATCGAAAAGACAATTTTGTACAGCATCTTGTGCGAGAGCACAAAATTGCAGAGCCTCGCCAGCGCACCAGACAAGGAAGCAACAAGGAGGCTGCCGCTGCAGATCAAGGTAGTCCTTTCCAAGTCAACATATCAGGCATAACTAACTCAGCTCTAGAAGACATCTGGTCGATCGTGGAAAGGTGTCGCCGCGACACCGCGAAACAACCAAAAGATGAGCCTTGCAGGTTCTGTGGTAACATCTGTACATCTTGGAAGAAGCTCACAGTGCACTTGGCGAAGCACATGGAGCAAATCAGCATGCCTATTCTTACCCTCGTCGAGCAAAAACAACTCAATGCCGATAGCATCATTAGTCCCGTCGTGGAGATGCCAGACAGCCGCAAGCTCTCAATGAATCCCAACAAGTCGCCTGTCGACAACAACCCTTCGCGGTACATCCCCAACTCAAATCTTGCGCCGGGCATCGATCCATATGGCCAATACCCACAGGACGTTAAATCGGAGACAGGATCTACTGGCATGCACACGTACCCTCCACCACAGATGCTGCCATACAAGGGTCCGCAGTCCAACGGGGTCAGTGGATACGCAGATTATGCGGTTAACAACGGTGTGCCATATCCGAGTCAGACATATCCAGGACTTCAGCAGCCTCCCAAGCCACTCAATGGCTACGCCAACGGCCTTCAGATCCCCAGTCAGCCATATGCAAATGGCCAGTACGGGATCACTCCAGTCACAGCGGTCCAGCAACAGCAGAACATGTACACAGACTCCCCAATTGACCAGACCGCTTTTCCGAGCTATTACACTCAAGAGCCCCAGAATTTGACGAACGATGCAACGAACATGGGTTTCGCTACGACCAGCGGAATGCAGTACCAGCAACAGCCACAGCCACAGCAAGGCGCCTACCAAGCCATGCCTTACATGAATCCGCAGCATAACTATCAATACCAGGGCCAATAGAAATCAGCGCTGTATTATGTAGTTGGGTAGAGGTGCAGGAGTTTTATGGTTTTCAGCGCATAATATGTTGATTTGGATCTGTTATACTGTTTTGCTTTTGCTCGATATCCTCTCTTGCATGTTGGACGATATCCCGGGGGTTTTCAACGCCATACGATCGCTTATTGTAGTGTTTTCCTTTTTCGCATTTACAGGCTGGCACACAAAGGCCCATGTTACCATAGACACGGCCGCAGCAATCGCAATGAATTCTTCACAAACACCCAGGCCGCGCGGTTGAGCTAGCGCAGCGGTTGAATTGACACGCTGACGATTTCCTCGGATACTTTGCACAACGTATCGCATCGTCAAACGTTTTCATGCGCAATGTAACAAGGAAGACAGCCTGCCAACGCTGACAATCTGGCGGCCGTCGGGCGCCTCAGCCCCCCATTGGTCGCACACAACACACAAAACTGATGGAGGACCTTTACACAGCCACGCGCGAAACCCACACCGGCTCTGCGTGCAAGTGGTCCGAAAAGGACGTGCAGGCAGCAACAATGCCCTGTCCGCAGAGGCCGCCCGCCCTCGTAGGCTCGCGATTTCTCCCCAATGGCTTGTTTTTTATTTGCGATCTGCCTTCTGACGTTGCGACATTTCTGAGATCCGAGCTAGTGCACACCGGACGGCAACACGAGGGACTGAAGGACCTCGACGCAAGATTGTCAGCGCGGATTGGGGCGGTGTGGGAAAAGAGGCTACTAATGCTGCAGATGTGCCAGTGTGTAGATGGTTTGCGTACTGCATAGACTTTTCTGACGGTTCAGGCGTGAGGCTGCGGATCGAGCATTGGTAGGTTTTATAAGTTCCTATTATTCTTTTTGCCTTCTTATCTAGGCATCGAAATCACATCGGCAGGTAGCTGTGTGTGCCTCGAAGTGGCCTTGGGCATTTACGTGGTTGAATATCAGGCGTTCATGCTGACTAGACATAGCAACGATGTCTCACTTCAACCCGAGCACTCATCAAGACTTCAATTTCGTTGTGCAAGAACCATCGGATCAGTACTCATATGGGGCTTCAGCACTTCGAAACATCAATGGTGTCTCGCAACCATGGATGCAAAGACCGCGGAGTGCACATCATCACATGCGGAGCCCAGCTACGTCAGTGAGATCAACAGCAACGGCACCAGTCCATCAAAGACACTTTGATAACTCGAACTTTCCACCACAAGGCAATGCATCTCCCTTGAATAGTAGGCCTGATCATGACCTCCTTGCCTTCGATATGCTCGGGCCTCCAGGCCATGACAATCAGAGCTTTAGTCCAATGCATCGACATACTTCCAACGAGGAGTCCTGGAATAGCTTAAATTTAAGAAACGAAGGTGCCTACAGTAATCGGACATCTTTTGACCATGGCGATGGAAGCTTGAGACCCTATGGACAAGGACCTATATCCGTGGGCAGCGCGGCACCAAGGTCGGATTCAGGATATAACTCGCAATCCGTTATCAGTCATGATACAGGCCGGATTGAACTACAATGTCCTCAATTTGGCCTCATACAGCAGATTGATGACCTGAGCACACACTCTGCTCCAGCCGATGCTACACCGATGACGCGCATGCCTTCAGATCAAAAGTCACGCACAAGCCGGATCAGCAATCGGAGCATTAATCGCGGCAATCCTCTTAAATGTGATGTATGCGGTTGTGTTTCCAAATGCAACTCCGATCTAAAGTGAGTGTATCGCCATAGATCTGTTTTGCATCACTGATCCATCATGACAGGAAGCATCAGATTAAGCACTTGAAAGTCTTCTATTGTGATGTCCCAAAGTGCAAGCGAAAGGGTCAAGGCTTTGGTACGACTAATGACCTGGAGAGACATAAGAAGAGCGTGCACAGAATTGGTCTGCATGAGAAATCCTATCAATGTGCTGCGGAGTCCTGCAAAAATAAGACGAAGATATGGCCTAGGCTAGACAACTTCAAGCAGCACATCGAGCGTATGCATAGGGATGATGATATGATCGAGCTCATTAAGAAGTAAGATGCCTACCAGCGTGATCTCCCGCAAGCTGATCAAAATAGATCAACCTTTGCACCAAAGCCTCCCGGACTTGTCACTGAGAATCTGTCTGTGGCTCCAATCGATACTATGATCGCTGGAATGGAAAAGACGTTGTCTGCGCACAGTGACTATGGGTCTGCGTTATCGGCTCATTCAAGAACGGATCAGCCGATTATCCAATGGCCTTCTAAACTGAATCCGGCCGATGATTCTCTCAGCTTTAACCAGTTTCCTATGGCCATGTCCAGCTCTACGTCCTCTAGCGACCAGGATAGGCAAAATGTGTCACATGGCAATATGCAATACTGGCAACAGCAACAGCGTGGCTCAATGCAACGGACGGTGAGTAGCGTATCGCACGGTATGGCTAGAGATGTGCCACATGTACAGTCTCCAGGAGAACAGCAGAAACAGAGGCCGCTCAATGTCCCGTCTGCACCACACACGAAAGTCCAACAGAACTCAGCATCTCAACAAAAGCGCCATGCATTGTCAAAACTGTCACAAGCTGTACACAACGAGATCAAAGATTCTTCAAATCAAGTCGACCTAGAGCAAGTTCTTCTACGCATCCTCGCCGGCCCATCAGAAGCCGAAGAAGTTGAAGACAGCTCCTCATCCTCCCACAACTCCAAAGTCTTTGTTTCCAAGTCCGAAGCCATAAAAGCCGCCCAACTCCTCTCCACCATCATAAAACAAAGCCCGGGCTCAGCATACTCGCACCCACGCAAACCGACCCAAGGCTTCAACACGAACACACTCCAATGCCCGCACTGCACATACACCGTCGCCCGCCCCTGTGATCTCAAAAAGCACATGAAACGCCACGAAAAACCCTACGGCTGCACATACCCCAGATGCCACAAGCGCTTCGGCGCCAAATCCGACTGGAAACGCCACGAAAACAGCCAACACTTCCAACTCGAAGCCTTCCGATGCTCTTTACCCTCCCCCACATCCCCTACCACAGACTGCGCCGCGCACTTCTTCCGCCCCGAACAATTCAAAACTCATCTCCTCACCTCACACAAACTCGCGACGTCTTCCATCGATGAATACGTGCGCCGCAACCGTATTGGCAAGAACTGCCAGGGCCAGTTCTGGTGTGGGTTTGAGAAGCGCATTGTCGAGCTCAAGGAGAAGAGGAATGCGGCGTGGGATGAACGGTTTGATCATATTGCGGCGCATTTTGAGAGGGATGAGATGAGCATTGAGGAGTGGGTTTGTGTGGAGGAGGGGAGGAAGAAGGGGGTTTTGGGGAAGGAGAGGGAGAGGTATGTTTTTGATGAGGACGAGGTGCTGGTTCCGCCTGTACCGCCTGTGCAAAGGAATGAAATGAAGAGGGTGGCTGGTGTGGAGCAGATTAATACGAGAAGCAGTCAAAGGCGACGGATGGAAGACCATGACGATGGTCATGCAGTGACTGATGATGATGGCGCTCCTAGCAATGCAGCACGTGGGGTAATTGCACGCTATTGTGTAAGTCGGTCAGAGCGTTCTGCGGACTACAGCTAACATGTTACAGTGCGACTGTGGAGATGGACCAAACAATAGTGTGATACAATCAGGGTGTATAGTGTGTGGACATGATTATTGTCTCAAATGCCCCCTTATGCAAGAGGGCTGATAGGAGGCTTTCCCAGAGGCTTGTTCATTTGCGTAATTCTGTTAAAGGAGACACTTTGTCTGGGCCAATGTTAGACAACTAGAGAATAAACATGAATTATTACTTATAGAGGCAGAGCTGTTGGTGTCCTAAAATGGCCGTTCGTATAGAGTCGTCCACGGTGAGATCATCGCATTCCATCGAACTTTACGCGCGTGATCGATTACACATTTCGAAAGCATCTGCACCTCCACTGCTATAACGCGCACCATAAGAAACGACATAATCCAGAAAACACTTGCCATAACCGAATGAGATGGACGTTTCGCAACCCCCGGTGAAAGTAGTGGATCGGAGATACTTGGCGCCGATTCCCCCGATTGGCCGAGCGAGGACACCTGGAGCATGATAGCTCTCCAACGAGCTCCGTGACGCGGCTCAGCAATCAACAACGACCTTCCTTTTCGCAATCATCCTTCTTTCCCCAACATGGCTGCTGCACAGGAGAGCCAATTCCTGAAGCAGGCGAGCGGCCCAAACACTCGCGGCCTGCTCAGAGTCATTATCCTCGTTTTGATCGCGGGCGCCGCCGTCAGCAGCCGTCTGTTCTCGGTGATTCGCTTTGAGAGCATCATCCACGAGTGTACGTTGTTGTCAATTGGAGAGAGGGGAATTGGGACTGAAAACTAATGAATTACAACAGTCGATCCTTGGTTCAACTTCCGCGCGACGAAATATCTGGTCGAGCATGGCTTTTATAAGTTCTGGGATTGGTTCGATGACCGTATGCGCAACATGTCCCTCGAGACGATGAGAACACGAAGCTAATTGCTATGGCTGTACAGGAACATGGCATCCTCTCGGACGAGTTACCGGTGGAACCCTCTACCCCGGATTGATGGTGACCAGCGGTGCCATCTACCACTTCCTCCGCGCCATCGCGATGCCCGTCGACATTCGAAACATTTGCGTACTACTCGCGCCCGCTTTCTCCGGCCTCACCGCGCTCGCAACGTACCTCTTGACCTCGGAGATGGTCGAGTCTCCGTCCGCCGGTCTCCTCGCCGCCGCCTTTATGGGCATCACACCGGGTTACATCTCGCGTTCAGTAGCAGGAAGTTACGACAACGAGGCTATTGCCATTTTCCTGCTCGTCTTCACGTTCTACCTCTGGATCAAGGCAGTCAAGCTTGGATCCATGTTCTGGGGCGCAATGGCTGCGCTGTTCTACGGATACATGGTGTCGGCGTGGGGAGGATACGTTTTCATTACGAACTTGCTGCCTCTGCATGCGTTTGTGCTGATTTGCATGGGAAGATACAGCCCGCGGTTGTATGTCAGTTACACCTCGTGGTATGCAATTGGTACGCTCGCGAGTATGCAGATTCCGTTCGTCGGATTCATGCCTATTCGCAGCAGCGAGCACATGTCCGCTCTCGGTGTCTTTGGCCTGCTCCAGCTTGGTGGCATTTGTTGATTGGGTCCGCGCGCAACTTCCCGGAAAGCAGTTCCAGACGCTGCTCCGCGCGCTTGTCCTCTTCATCTTCGTCGTCGGATTCGGAGGCCTTGTCCTCCTCACCGTCACTGGAGTTATTGCCCCCTGGACCGGACGTTTCTACTCGCTTTGGGACACTGGATACGCAAAGATTCACATTCCCATCATTGCTTCCGTCTCAGAACATCAGCCTACCGCATGGCCCGCGTTCTTCTTCGACTTGAACATGATGATCTGGCTGTTCCCCGCCGGTGTCTACCTTTGCTTCCGCAAGCTCACCGACGAGCAGGTCTTCATTGTCATCTACGCCGTACTTGCCAGCTACTTCGCCGGTGTCATGGTTCGTCTCATGCTCACCCTGACACCCATTGTCTGTGTCGCCTCGGCAATGGCTTTCTCTGAGATTCTCGATGTCTTTTTGAGCGTGAAGACCCCGAAGGCCGCCGATGACAAGGAGACTGGTGCTGCAGACGCTGCCAAGGTTGCGGCAGCCGCAGTCCTCCCTGATGGTCTGCGCTCGACACGCAACCCCATTGTCGGCATCTACTCATACGCCTCAAAACTGACTGTTGTCGGAGCTTCCCTTGTCTACCTTCTGCTATTCGTCCTCCACTGCACCTGGGTCACCTCAAACGCCTACTCTTCGCCCTCCGTTGTGCTTGCTTCCAGGCTTCCGGACGGCAGCCAGCACATCATTGACGACTACCGTGAGGCGTACTACTGGCTCAGGCAAAACACCCCTCAGAACGCCAAGATTATGTCGTGGTGGGATTACGGTTACCAGATTGGTGGCATGGCTGACCGCCCGACACTTGTCGACAACAACACCTGGAACAACACACATATCGCGACCGTTGGTAAGGCTATGAGCTCCAGCGAGGAGGTCAGCTACCCCATCATGCGCCAGCACGAAGTCGACTACGTTTTGGTCGTGTTCGGTGGTCTGCTTGGTTACTCTGGTGACGACATCAACAAGTTCCTCTGGATGGTCAGGATTGCCGAGGGCATCTGGCCTGATGAGGTCAAGGAGCGCAGCTTCTTCACTCCCCGTGGAGAGTACCGTGTGGACGAGGAAGCCACACCGACCATGAAGAACAGCTTGATGTAAGACATTTGATCAATTCACACATGATGCATTACTGACAACAGCATAGGTACAAGATGTCATACTACAACTACAACGCGCTGTTCCCCGCTGGACAGGCTCAGGACCGTGTCCGTCAAGCGAAACTACCCGCCAAGGGGCCCGAACTCAGCACCATTGAGGAGGCCTTTACTAGCGAGAACTGGATCATCAGGATTTACAAGGTCAAGGACCTTGACAACTTTGGCCGTGATCACCAGAGCGCAGTCGCTTTTGACAATGGCCACAAGAAGAAGAGGGCGTCGAAGAGGAAGGGCGCAAGAACTTTGCGGGTAGAGTAGAGCCATCTACTGTTTCTGTCTAGAGTATTTGAGCATCTGTAAAACTAAGCCTGGAAGGCATGTAGGTTGTTTTGGGCGTTTCAAAAGAATACAATATTTCGAGCTCACGTTGTACACTTCAAAGGTGAAGATTAGTCGGGACGAAAAGCCGCATTCGCAAGAGCTTGTTATTTGTGGGGTAAAGGTATGTTGGTGCGCTTTGGATTGAGATTCTGGTGAGTAGTGCTAGTACAGCAAGGACTGACAACGACATCTTCCTTCACCTCGAGTCTTGGTATATCGCTTAGTCAATCGTCTCTCTTTATACCTCTACTCATCTTTTTTGCGTCCACCTCATGGTCCTTCCACTTTTGTCCCACCTCGTCGCCTTCCTCACCTCCCACGTGCCACCCACGCAACCCACCTCGACACCAAAAGCGCGCACGACCGCAATTTCCCCACATCACAATGGCGAACGAGGAGCAGCGACGGGCCTTTGCGTCGTACATGGGCACTGCCAGCGCGAGCGCGGGCCAACAAGCAGCCCAGACTTCTGGTGCCTACACCAATGCGGGCAACCCATATCTCTACCAAGTGTGAGTGTAATGTCGGAGCCTTGGAGCCTGGTGGCTGACCGTGCGCTGCAGAAGTACTCCTATGCCTGAGCCCTCGAGCTTCTTTTCTCTTTTGCGCAAACAGCTCACCTTTCTAGCAGCAGTTTCCTGGCATCCAAGGCCTTCCGGCAGCACCTACACCTCCGCCGGCCGCACCATCTTCGGTCGCTTCATATCCGAGCTACACAGGTGCGTATCAGGGTGGGTATCCCCAGGCTGGTTTTCGGCAAGGCGGGTATCAGCAGAGCGCCTTTCCGCAGCGCCCACCACCACTGGGTCAGAGTGAGACATTGCAGGGCCAGCAGTCGATGCAACAGCAGTCAGGTCAGCCAAACTACTACCAGACTTCCGGCAACTACAGCAATCAGCAGCAAACTGCGCCGGGATACAACTCGAACTGGCAGCACGCTGACCCGATGTCGCCTCGAAACGGAAACCCCAACGGTTACGTGGCTGCCAGAAACGCCATGGTCCCGTCACCTCGCGACTTCTCGGGAGAGATCGTCGAGGATAGGAGGAGGCAGGTCAATGAGCAGTACCATTATCATCAGTATGGTCAGCCCCAGCCAGTTGCAGAACCTGCTCCGCCCCAAGTCGATGAGCAGACCGTGCCAGTACTGCTGTGCCATACCTGCAGCGTTTGCAGCAGCATGCGCTCCGCTGGCTACCACCGCAACAACCCAGTGGTACCTGGAAAGCCACTCGTGCTCACGCCCTGTCGACGATGCAAGAAGAAGATTAAGAGTCGGCGTCGGTCGATGAGCAGCTTCACGCGGATCAGGTCATGCACGGCGGAAGACCCATGCGACTGGCCTAGCGAGGCAGTTCATGTTGACATGGAACGCAAAGAGCACAGGGGCAGGCAACCTAGCCGCGAAGATGTCTACGTGTACAGACACTCACCAAGCCGTCCTCGCATTATCCGCCAGAGCTCAAGCCAGACGAGATTCGGCCTACGAGCCCTACAGCATGAGCAGGCAACTCCGCGTGTGTTTATGAACGAAGGGAAAGTGCGAGTCTCTTCGTTGAGCCCCGGTCGACATGCTAGGTATGATGGAGTGTGGCCTCCGCCAGATGTCGTGCGCATCAACCCATCGAAGCCTGAAGTCCCAGTCCCAGTCCAGCCCAACCCTCATGTCACCTCAAGTGACGAGGTATGGCCTCCACCTGATGGTGTCCGTACTCACTTCTATAGGAAGGATGATACGAGGTTCTTGCGCAGCCAGAGTTCGAGAATCATTGAGTTGAGCCCGTCGCCGCCGCCTGCGCGTGCCCGATCGACTCGAGTCGTCTATCAAAGCGAATCTGTCGAGCGGCGCCCTAGAAGCGTGACTCCCGTGCGTGTCAGCTTCCACGAGGAGCAACGCGGTGAAGAGGCAGAGGCTCGTATGATGGCGCATCCACGACCGTATCGTCCTGTGGTAGTGGACCGTCGCAACTTTGCAAGAGCATCAGAAGAGACATCGTCAAGTACTGACTACATGCCTCGTGGACGTCAAGACTCGCCCGGTCGAGGCATTCTGAAGCCGACTGGTGGTGAGCGCGAGACGTCCCGACGACGCATGAGCATGCGTGAGAGTCAGCAGAGCACTACAGTGGAGATTGGCGGTCCTAGGGTGCACTTTGGCGCAGAGCGGAGAGAAGGAGGGGTGGCACCGCCCGGCAGAGGTAGGCCACGTTTTGCAGATGAAGCGAGGCGGCCGGGCGATGACCACGAGCACTACCGCGACTATGCACGACATCGCTATGTCGACGACCCGCCTCCTGCGCCACCGGTCGATGAGATGGAGCGCGTACGCATCCGAAGAGCATCAGTCGAGGATATGGAGTGTGTTCGCATCCGGCGAGCATCAGTGTCACCTCGTCGAAGCTACGAAGAAGAAATCCGCATCGACCGAGCTCCTCGCCTCTCTCCTTCCCCCCAACCGCCTCCACCTCCTCTAGCGCCCAGACATTATGAAGAGATCCGTGTCCGCCACGTCTCTCCTCTCCCGCCTCGTGAACGCACGCCTCGCCCTCCACCTTCCCCACCATCCCCCGAACGTCCGTTCTACCGCCACGTCGCCCGCCAGCAAGCTCAGCCGCGTCTTCGGTCGGCTACTCCTCCGCGTGTCGCCAAGCCTACGTCAGACGATATGACGGACTCGGATAGTGCGCATTCGGGTGAAGTCACTGAGGTCAGGAGCTGGAGGGGTATTGATGAGAATGGTCAGCCCGCGACGTTTGTGGAGGAGCGTAGGACGGTCAAGACGATTGAGCAGGGGAGCGAGAGGGGTGGGTTGGGAGATTACAGGAACTTGGGTAGCAGGGCGGGGGAGAGAGTGGGGAGTAGGCAGTATCGGGAAGTCTGAGGGATGTGGATTAGGCGGAGTAGATGAAGGTGTGAAGATTGGCGAGTGCATGCGGGAGATGAGATCAGAGGAACTGGTGCTTGCTTGTGTACTTTTCTTTTGCTTTCTCCTGATAATGCTCTTAGACTGCTTTTTCTGCGATTGTACCTGAGGAGGAAGGACTGCCCGTGTGGGTGCTGTCGAGCGATTGTGTCAAGTCACAATACGTCCACGTCTATGCCTCATCAGTATTAGACTGCTTTCGAAACATGTATAAAAGCCCCCCTCATACCTGCTAGATACTCGGTATCACCCACTCTGCTCTCTATACACCGCCTTCGAAAACAGATAAGAGGCCGGATCATGTCTTTTCCTGCCCTTCCGATCCAAAAACCGAAAGCAAATTCTGTAATGTGTGCGTTCCAAAAGTCCTCAAAGATCTTTTGAATGTTCCCAAAGCCGCGAAAGACTTGCCCCATGTTCCAAAACTTGCCGGTGCACATGCCTATTCTTCCTCTCTCCTGGAGACTGCCCGACATCACTCGAAGCTCCAAAAGGCTTGTCTTGCTGCAGAATGGTGCAAGCCCTTCTCTCCTTCCCCTGTTCTTTCAAAACCAATCCAGAAGAGCGCCATGTCTTTTCCTCGCTTTCGCCGAAAAGTCCATGTCGATCTGCTTCATGTGTGTGGATCAAAACGCGATAGTCGCAAGCGTATATCTGTAAAGAGGAGGGCGCTGCGATTTAAAAGGACTGTGCTGAGGCTGCATGACTTATTGCGACTTTGACACCGGAATCAGAATTTACTTCTGGGACGCAGTATGTCTTCTCTCGGGAGGAAAAAAGACGTAGATTTTGCCGCCATTTCCAAATCACTTGAATACCTTACTCATGTTGCATCCAATTCCGGGCGTCGGATATGATTGTTCAGAACTACTTTCTGGTACTTGATTTCCAAAATCTCAACTGAGTGATACCATGTGCGAGTCTGGGACTGTTCGGAAAGCATATGTCGGCCTTGCGCATGTGGGGGTTTGTCGATATCGAAAGCGCTCCATCACATCACAATCACGTGTCCAAGCGCGAACACTCTGGGAAACCATGTGCGCTCTGCTCCGCGACTCAAAACGAATACCAAAAAGAGCAATGTTTTGACATGAAAAGAAAGCAGGCGCGCGTAAATATGACGGGTGTGGGAGGGAGTTTGACCGCGTCCAAAATGATGGAGATGACTATGCATGTTCTTCTCGGCTGTTGAGAAGAAAGCCGCCCCCATGTGCAAGTCAGGTACTGGAGCATACGCAGGAACCAAAGTACACCTCGAGCAATATGAGTGTGCGGATGAAATGCTTCGATGGTGGTTTGAATTGCGACGATCAGAACATCTATCGGGATGCAAGCTTGTTACTTTGAATATCCCTGGAGTCAGCGTAGAGGGTTTTCGAGGTGTTGAAGCTTTTGCTGCAATGAGACGCATGCACTCTGACTGCTAGTCGTTAGCGACGCGTGCTAGCGAACCTTGGAGATGGAACGAGTGGAAATCAGACGATGAGAACAATGCAAGTCAAAGAAATGTGTATTCATGAGTCCAAGCGTTCCAAAGGAATTGAACAAAGGAAAAACGACCACAACGGCCAGGTATATCCCCCCACCCTAATCAATGCAAGACTCTCATGCCTTGTCCTTGCACTGAATTTCGCCATCCAGTATCCGAAATCCAGAGCTTGCAACCCCCATTAACCCATCTAGCAACAGTCCTCCGCACATTCACAGCACTCAAAACAGCACTCGCACCCTTCCTCGCACACAAAGCAACAACACAGCGTCGCCAGACACGCTGCCAAGCAACCCCGGTCCTTCTTCTGCTTGCGCGGCGCCTGCGCAGGCGCTTGCTGGTACTGCATCGGCTGCTGCTGGCCTTGCGGCGGGTAGTAGCCCATGGGCTGTTGGGGCGCGTAGCCGCCTTGTTGAGGAGGGTATTGTTGCGGGTAACCGCCTTGGCCGCCGTAGCTATTGGGGTGTTAGTGCGATGTGGGTGGTTTGGGGGTTTGGAAGCGAGGTGCAAGATTCGGTTCGAGAGATACTTACGCTGGCTGGGGAGGTGGAGGGCCGGATTGGTAGTATCCTTGAGCCGACATTTTTGAGATTTTTTTGTTGTCGAGAAAGCTTAGGTAGCTGTAGGATATGTATGCGCGCTGGATGTATCGTTTGTCGCTCGCTAAAAACGTCGTCGCAGATTCAATACCAAGCTTTGTCGCCGAGAGATATCAAGGCTTAGCAGATCGCAATCACCAAACCCTCAGGAGTGAGAGACAAGAAGAACGGGAGGACGGTGTAGGTGAGACAAGTGAGGTTGGATTAGGGTGGATCGCAATCGCAATTTCACGGGGGGCTCGCCCGTCCTCTTAAAGCCCTTCGCTCCGAACGCAGCGACCCCCATGATCTAGCCTCCAGCCCATCGCCCAACACGCCCAATTGGCGCAAATAAGCCCGGACACATGCCCGGCGGTGACTTCGTCATGCGCACTTCAGCCACTTTCTACCTGCGCAGACGTGACATAATTGACGCACCTGCAGATGTGATCTGAGATAGCTGGCGCCACAGCGCGTTTGCGCGCGAATCTGTGCGATTTGTTCAAGGTCTCGAGCAGGCGTCGTCATCGTGCAAGCCACGAAAGCGGAGACGTGTGCTAAGCACTTGCTTGGCGAAAGCTTGGTGCCCGACCGCAGTGTGGTAAGGCTGTTTAGTGTGTTTATTACTCATTATCACTCTTCACAGTCGCCAGTTAGTTTCCTAGTGTCTCGACGCTCTGCAAGTCCTCCAGTGCTTATTTCGATCGCTTTACACTTACAGAGAGGTTGCAGTTGCTAGAAAACTTCACACATCAGCCGTGGCTCAGCCTTCCAGAACGCGCGGAGAAGGCCCGACGCATGTACACGCATCCCTTCCAAATCGCAGACAACACATCCACGCAGAACACGTGCACTCTCATTTCGAAACGCGTGTACCAAGATACACGAATGCCAAGCCACATCCCAGATCAGAGCAGTTGATCAGTTGCAATAAGCTCTGATAGGTGAAGCCTGTTCATTGGTCACAAGCATAACGGTTTTATGCTAATTTATGACCGTTTTTCTTCTGAGTAGCGGCATGGAGAGATACATCAGCTGTGAACTTCAAGGCCCAAACGCAAGAGAGTCAACAGTAGTAATAATGAACGCTATATACCCACGGCTGCCCAATCACCCATCCATCTCCCATCCATCATCCAACAGCCCCATCTAGCACAACTGCGCCACCCCCAGTCTCCGAATTATGTACATACACATGTATTGGTTGGAAAGGATATTAAGATGCTCTGTAGAATGAGCGGCCACCGCCAGCCTAGAAGCCAAAGGGATTCTGAGGAGCTGCATGATGAATTAGCTTCATGGTTATAAATTTCATTGCAGATTTCAACTTACTGGCATTCGCCAAACTCGCCTTACCCGTTGGCTGTGGCGTCAGCTTCTTCGCCGCCTGTACACCGAATCTGATCGGCGGTGCGGGGCCCGTCTTCTGCGGCACCAATGGTTGCGCGGTGGGCATGGATGGCATGGGTGGCATGGGAGGCATAGGTGGTGGGGTCTGTCCGAAACCTGTGGGTTGGGCCTGTATAGCAGGCGGGAGGAAGCGGTTGATACCCGTAGCTTGCGGGTTAAGAGGCGATGGCTGGAAGCTGTTGTAGCCCGTTGGCTGCGATTGCATGGGCTGGAACGGTGGTCGTGCCGGGTCTGCAAAGGGGCTGCCATTTTGCTGGAAACTGGGCTGGAATCCTGTCTGCATCGGTTGCTGGAAGCCGGTCTGCATGGGTTGTTGGAAACCAGTTTGCATTGGCTGTTGGAAGCCGCCTGGGAAGCCAGTCTGTTGGGGCATCTGCGGGGGCGGCGACATGGAGTTGTATCCTGTAGGCTGCGGCATCATACCGTTTTGCTGATATCCGAACCCATTCTGTTGAGGCATGCCGGTCATCTGCGGCTGCATTCCTTGTGGCCCTTGAGCTTGCATGTTGGGGTTGTAGCCTGTGAGCTGGGGCTGCAGAGGCGCTGGAGGACCAAATGCACTCTGCTGATGTGGGTTCTGAGGAGCCGAGGAAGATCGCTGGGGTGGTGGCGCAATCATGCCACCAGCGCCCTGCTGTTGAGGAGCTTGTGGTCGCATACGTGGAGGAGCAAGATTGTGAGGTTGTGTCAATGCCTTGATGGCAGCGACCTGATCGAACAACGATGGTGTAGCACCTGTTGGCTGAGCCTGCACCGGTGCAGGTGCTTGTTGGGGAGGAGCCTGAGCGGGCTGTGGAGCCGGCGCAGGAGGCGTTGGCTGTGCAATGAGCTCTGGCTTGAGAGCAGGCATGTCGAGAAGAGAGAGGTCGTTCATGGAACCAGTCAACTTCGGCGCAGGCGCAGCGGCTTGTTGAGCTGGAGTTGGGGACGTTGCTGGTGCTGGAGCAGAGGCAGAAGCAGATCTTGAAGGCTTAACATCCCAAGCATTGTCTTCAAAGCCTTCCACCTGCTTGTCAGGCTTGGGGGCAGAAGCCAAGGGCGTTGAAGTACCATCTGTAGGTTTCTTGGCCGTTCCATCGCTCTTCTGCTCGAAAGCCTTGGCATCGATAGTGTCACTTGTCTGCACAGGTGGTGCAGGTCGACCCTTGCGAGTGTTATTCCTGAGCGCGCCACCCGGTCCAGAGAACAAGCCACCAGGGCCTCCCTCTTCGCCGCCATCTTCAGCTGTCTTGCTACCGAACTTGGTCTCTAGGTGTTTTGTGACGCGTAGGATATCGCCTTCTTTGAGACCCAAGGTGCGCAAAAGGGCAGGGGTAATATCAGGCAAATTCTCCTCGCCCATCTGATCCTTATGAAATGCCTGCGCGTATCGTTCACAAATTTGAGGGTTAACGCCACACTTGAGGAAGAAGTCGAACCAATCGTAGTCTGGCTTCTTGTCGACGGAGATTCCTAAGGGTGATCGAGGAGCCTGGCCCGTCTCTCTAGCACGCTGTAAGCTCCGCCTCTTAAGGTCAGATAATGGCTTGTCGTCGTCTAGTGATTCTCCAGTTGCTCGCTCGACATACTCGAGGTCTTCCACTGACATCTTGGTCACTGGTACAGCAATCTTGACGCCATTCACCTTGTGTAGATGAATCTTTCCACCCTTCATAAGAATGAACTCCGCTTCGACCTTGAAAGAGCCGGATCGGTCGGTCCATGTTCGGACTCTCGCGGGGTCTGGAAAGAGCATTAGTTGTTGGCTCAAGCTCAACACATCAGAAACTTACTCGGTTTCGACGACGACTTGGACGAAGAAGTCTTGTCTGGTGCGGAGGTCTCGCGCTTACTCGATCTCTGTGAAGTACGACGATGGTCAACGTTTGCATGCATGAGGCTAGAATTACGCGAAGGCAAATGCAGGCCAGGTCCTACCTGATCATTCCTTGCCTCGCTTTCTGGCCGGCTTCGCCTCGAGGCCTGACGAGCGAGTTCCTCTTCCTCCCGCCTGTTCTGTTCGACTCTCGATCGACCGGCGTTGGTTCCCGTGCGAGCGATTTGGGCGGCGGGTGCGGAAATGGGCACGGTTGCTGTAATCTCAACGTAATTAGCGGGAACTACACCCTCCTTGCCGTTCTTCAATCGCCGGACTTTCCACCACTCGTCACTGGCTGAATCGTCGAGAACGACAATCTCGTCGCCGAGACCAACGGTGACTTCGTCGTCGCCCTGCGCCATGAAGTCAAACAGCATGACGCCCTTCTTTTGCACGTTCGAGTTTCCGGAGCCAGCCGCGAGCACTTCACGAAGTCCCGCGCCCTTGGCCATTCCCGCAAGCTCGCCAAGAGCCAGCATAATTTCAGACGCCGTGTCCTTGGCTCCACAGTGGAAGTCGACGCTCTTGCTGGGCTGCTTCAGCTCCATGAAGATGTGCTTTCCCTCCTGCGAGTAGTATTCCATCTTCTCGGCAGTCCATTCCTGTTGTGGCCCGTCGCGCGACTTTTCTGGCGCAATCATGACGAGACCCTTGGGAACGTTGATGCCCAGTGTCATTGGCATCTTCTTGTTCTTGCCAGGTTGCGTGATGTATTCGTAGATGTTGTACAAGTGGTATCCACCACCCGACGTGGGCGTAGCAGGCTGCTCATCGTCATGGTCGTTGAAGTTGACGAATTGTTGTCGGGGAGGAGGCGATCGGCGCTCGGGCGATGGAGAACGTGCATGCGCATATTGGGTTGGAGGCGGGGATATTTGCTCAGAGGGCGGGCGCTGAGGCAGTCGTGGCGCGGGTGCGTCTTCGTCGGATTCTTCAGGCGTAAATTGTACGCGTCGTTGTCGAGCCGGAGCAGTCACGTTGGGTGGGGGGGAAATGGTTGATCGGGGTACTGCGGTTTGCTCGGATTTCTTCTGGATGATGCCCGCAAGAGCAGCGGCGGGGCTCACGCGTGGCGGGCTGTCTGGAGTCGGCGGCTGGTCGTCATCCGAATCGGGAGCGGCTGGTATCGAGGGTCGGGAGGGCAGCGCAGGCGACGCAGCTTCCGCAGCCGCGGGAGCCGCGACACCCTTTGTGAGCTCGATATAGTTTGCCGGAGCAAATCCATAGCTGGCGCCCTCTCCCACCAGGGTCCAATCCGGGTCTGTGATGTCGTAGACGTCGAGCACGGCATCTTCCTTGAACGAGAGCTCTTCGTCGGTCTGGCGGTCGTAGTCGTAGAGAGCTTTGGCCTGCGAGACGGGAGCGAGCTAAATGTATGTTGTCAGACGCTGTTCATTCGCATCCACAGATGCAGACGTCGTTTGAAGCCTGCATCAGCTCCTGCTTGCGGAAGCTCAGACACCCCCCCCCCCCCCGACGCAGCGGTTCGCGACTCACCTCCTCAATGTAATTGTTTGGGATCAAGCCCTCGGGCTCTTCCTCATCCTCCTCCCGGCCCTTCTTCTTTGCCTTCCACCAGTCGTCATCCGACGACTTCTCCAGCACCATCAGCACGTCGCCCTCAGTCAGCGCGATCTCATTGTCGCTCTGGGGCACGTAGTCGTAGATGGCACGGTATATGCCGAGAAAAGAACCATTGTGTCGGCGGGAGGTGCGGCGCACCTGCAGAAATGGCTATGTGGTATAAAGAGGTGGTGCTACAAGTGATGGCAGTGTACAATGATGCGCATAAGCTCGGCGGAGGCGGACGGGGGTTGTCGTTGCACGTCGAGGGGCTGGCAGGGGACGCCTGTTCCGATGGCAACCCGCAGATCTGCTACCACCGACGGGACGGACACGACGGTGCACAGGAGACGCTGGAGTGAATGTGTTGCCAAAGCAGTGCAAATGGGGATGCGATTGTGTGGGGAAGCTCGTGCTCGTGCTGCAACAGCCGCCTGAGGTGAGACAGATGGTCGCTGAAGCTGGACGCTTGGGAGACAGGCGCTAGTCATGCACCCACGAATCGACCGTCCCCACATCGACGTCAACCCGCTTCCATCCCGAGTCTGCCCAACTCGAGCTATTATAAGCTCATGCTTTGGAGGGTTTGTAATGGAGATTTCCCACATGGAACGAACGTCTTCTTCTGTATTGCATTGCTTGTCATCGTCCTCAGTGACCATGCAACACCTGCATTGAGCCCTCCCTTTCCTCATGTCATCCCATCGTGTCTTCACCTAATACGTAAATCTAAAGCCCTCGGTCCCTTCCAACACCCTCTTCCCCCTCGCTTGTCTCTGGTTCGTCGTGTAAAAGTACATCGAGAACACCCCCACCAGCCCTATAATCATAACATGCGAGCCAATGCTCACCCAAATCGCCGTCATATATCTCGGGCTCTCCTGCTGCCTCACGATAAAACTGCCTGCGATGCCACCTGCCCCATTGAATGCCGTCACCGCTGCAGCGCTAAACACCCTCTTCCACTGTCCAACAATATTGTTCGCTTGATACGTCGCCATGGCGGCCCAGTTGGCGACGTATGCGCCCGTAGCTAGATACGTGCCGATGTAGCGAACAGTGACCTGGTCGGTGAAGCCGAGCATGCAAAAGCCAATGATCAGCGTGATGCAGTTGAATGCTATGATGGGGCCACGGAGCTGGTACTTGTCGCCAACGAGAGAAGACAGAATAGCCGGGATCACAGCATAGTAGTATGGAGGCGCGGAGAGCAGGATAGACTTGTTCGTGCTGAAACCCATACCGCCTTGCAGGATGATGGGCAGGAAGTAGGACAAGCTGGTAGACACGAGGTTCTGGAGGAAGTAGAGCACGCAGAAACCGTAAATCTTTGGGTCTTTGGCGTGCACGAAGACCTTGGACCAGGCGAAGGGGTCAGGCTTGACGTCGCCTCTGTCGTTCTGGATACGATCCGAAGCGATCTTGCTTTCGTATTTGCTGAGGAAGTGGAAGCTCTGGTCCGACTTTTCAGGAAAGTCGACCATCCACCAGTACGTGACGATGCCGATGAAAGCAGTGATAGACCCTTGTACGATAAACATCCATTGCCAACCCTTCAAACCCCCTTTCCCGTTCAACTGGTTCAGTCCGAAGTTGACGATGCCTCCCGTGGCAAGAACAATAACCTCTCCACTCTGCATATACGCAAAGCGCAGTTGTTGCTCTTTCCTCGTATACCATGCGCTAAGAAGCACCGTCAAACCAGGGTAAATCCCCGACATTGCGATGCCCAGTAATATCCTCATCGCAATCATCTGGCGCCACGTCTGCACAAAAGCCGTGCACATCGTAATAATGCCGAAGCAAAAAGTGATGAAGGCGAACCAAATTCGCGGACCAAACGTCCTGACTGCAATCGTCGACGGCAGTTGGAAAGCAATGCTAGCGATCGTGAAGATGAAGATCGAGACTGAGTATCTGTTGCCGACATTGAGCTCCAAGTCGCTGAGCATCGAGGTAACCGAGGCCGAGGAAATGACACCAGAGTCCAGTAGGTTGAGACTGCAGAGTATGCCTGCGATGCTGCAGAGTCGCAAATCGACTTTCAATCGCAGACTGTCCTCCCATTCTTCCTCGAGTCTATCTCTTTCCCTTGCATCCGGTTCGATGATTGCGTCGTGTTCATCATCCCGCACTTCTTCCGCAGATACCTGACTGGAAATTGAGCTCTTCGTCATGTCGCCGGTGTGAGAGAAAGACGTGAAAAGAAAACGAAGCGAAGCAGCATGAGAGGGGTCATGTCGTGCGAATCTACTAGAATTGTTACATGCTTATCCGGGACTGAGTCTAAAGTGGTGCAAGTCTGTCGCTTGCAGTTGATTGCAGATCATTTTCGGGAGCCGCTTCCGACCTCGGCAGGCGCGGATTAGGCGGGGCTGACCAATGGATTTGTCCTGTGCTTTTGACATCAACCATCAGGTGTTTATCATACAATTGTTTGTGGTCGGATTTGACTGCATATTTGCCATGGTAGTCGCCGGCATTTGCTTCCATGTTCTTGCTATGCAGCTGCTCCAACCTTCACGATCTCATTATTGACTTCATCCTCTTCCCCACCACTATCCTTCCACAAAAACGGTCCTGTGAAATTGGCCTCTATCTCAACCTCATCTCGCAAGCCAAGCAATGGAAACAGTCTACCCTTGACATTACCAAACTCGCTGTCCAGTTTATGCCCATTCTGCGTAAACCACATCTTCTGCGTGGCTAGATCAACTCCACAGCCAACAGTGTCGCCTGCATGGTACGGCAGCTCCACTGCGACTGGCTGAATATCCGAACCACTGTCGAAAAGAGCACCATCGTCTCCATGATAGCCCCAGGATCGAGCGCTTGGCGCGGCGCCACGAGGCGGCCAGCCTGGAAAGAGGATGGCAGAACCACCGATGGTGCAGAAACCGATTCCCACGATAGGGTAGACTTCTTTGGAGGTTTCGCTTGCGCCAGAATTGTCACGAGCTTTCGCTTTGCTTGTGATCTCAAAGTAGAAGTTGTCAAGGCCTGGCGGTAGAGGTTTAGTAGTTGAAAGGCACACTCGTTGACCAGAAGTATGTGTGACGGTAGTCCCGTCCTGTGAAATATTTGTTAGCTTATTCGCAGCCCATTGTGAAGGTAGCGTGCCAGCCCACGCGGCTTGTTGCCTCAGGAAGTGACTGGCATGCTCTTGGCGATGGTGGCGAGCCAATTCCATGGGTGTCCAACCGTACTGGTCTTGACGACTAAAATCTGCGCCCATTGTACTGAGCTGTTGGAGCAATTGGGTGCTGCCGTTAATTGCACAAACAGCTGCGAGCTCGGGGTCAGCTACAGCTGCATCTGGGTCCTTGTCGACCAGCCGCGACACAATGTCCTCAAATGCACCTTGGTGGCTTGCTCCCGCCCAGTGCTCGTATGCTAGGATCAAGGCAGTTTTGCCGTATTCACTGCTATTGTCTCGTATTGTGACGTTGGCATTCGCTTCGAGCAGAAGCCGCACACAGCCTGCTTTGCCGAGCCAAGCAGCCCGGTGCAATGGTGTCATACCTCTTCTGGTATCTCGTGTATCCAGAGCCAAACTTGCGGAATCGTTTGATGAATCGGCTGTTTTGATGAGCTTCTCGACAACGTGTTCAAAGCCATGTGCAGCAGCTTCGCGCAACGGCGTTCGTCCCCGTTTTGTAAGCTTGTTGATCTCAGATAGAGGTACATTCTGCTCCAGCAAAGTGTCCAGCAAGAGTTCGGCTTTCTCCTCGTTGACTACATCTAAACAAGCGAAGAAGAGTGGTGTTCGATTGTGTTTGTCGAGTATGTTTGGGTCCGCCCCGTGTTTCAGCAATATCTCCACGCACTCTTTGTTTCCCATCCACGCCACATCATGCAGGGCAGCTCTTCCATACTTGATCGTTTGTATGTCTGTATTTGCGTTCGCGTTACATAACAGTTCAACGCACTTGGAATGACCGTACACTGCAGCCTCATGAAGAGCAGTGCTTCCTCTGTCATCTTCGTCGTCAATATCGGTGATTGACTTACTCTCATGCAGAATCTTCAGAATCTCCAGATCCCCATATTGACAGGCCATATGGAGCGGACGAGCAGAGTGATTGTTCTCGTTGTTAATGTCTGCTCCATGCAGCAGGAAAGCTTTCAGAAGGATTTTCGGTACATCGCGTCGCAAGAGTAAAAAGTGGATTGGAGTATTCCCTCGCCAATCACGAGCATTAATGTCGGGCTTTACACCGTCAACAGTGTGATTGAGTAACATTTCTAAGACCCTCGGATCTTCTCCTGTCCACGCGAAGCAATGGAGCGCAGTCCATGAGTCTGCTTGGTCGATCTGTGTTGGATTGGCTCCATGCTTAAGCAAGAGCTCAATGTCTGACAAATCTGAGCGGTTAAGCATCCACTTCTGGACTTCAATGGAAAGCCAGTCAGTCTTGCCATGATAAAGATAGAATAGGTGGATGCTTACATGCTGGGGTGGACCTGCCCCTGGCCATATTCGGATTGGCATCGTTCTCTAGAAGTAATTGAAGCATTTCGATGCTATTCTCTTTATCGGCAGCCACTTGTAGGGGCGAATCATCTCCCCCTTCGGGAGCTTCGTCAATGTCTGCACCACTCTCTAAGAGATGAGACGCCCAACTTGTCAAACCAAAGTATGCAGCGACATGCAAAGGCTTGAGCCGGCCCTCATGGCGAGACAATGATGGCTGCTCCAACTGCCATCGACTGAACCAGTTCTTGTTCTTAGTCACCCATTGCGTCAACTCTCCTAACAGTTCAGTCCAGCGGTTGCTCTTCGATCGCTCCTCCGGACTCCACAGTGCTTCGGCTTGTTGAATATGATACGACCAGTACAATGTTTCATAGCGACTCATCCTATATTCCAACGACTGTGTGTCAGTTGCATAATCAACTTTCTCGTCTCGATTGATCAGGTCAATTTCGCCTCTGTCCTCGTCATCCTGTGAATCATCAAGATCAATAGCATCTGGGATAATCACAGAGTGATCATCATTGTCTAGGACCATGTCACTAGATATTCCCTCATGACTACCAACCCTGTTGCTGGTCGCAAGTTCTCCGCCCAATTGTTCTCCAGTACTATGGTCATCCAAGGTACTTTCGCCTCCTTCGGCAAATGCTGTGTCTGTGGCGTTTTCATTTGTGGAGACAACGTTATGGTCGTTTTGCGAGGGCAATTCCACGTTTGGAACATCACTTGACGTTGCATCCTGGCACCATAATGGTGTTATGTCCATGTATGTGGCTCGTCTCTGAAACACCGCATTATTCATAGTTCGCATACAATCTAGCGCAAGCTTCAGGTGACCGTCTCTCGGTGAGATGGTCAAAGCATGAGTCTCTGATGTCGCGGCCATACAACGTGTACAGATGTGTGCTTCGTTGTCCGACTCCCGAGATTGTTTTTCCTTCTCACTCAGACAGAATTCGCGTATCTGGGGAGGGTCTTCCAAGTTTACAATGTAGTAACCGCTCCAGGGCTCGAGGTCAAGTCTTAGGAAAGGTCCTCGCGCGTCCTGCAGCTGCTCAATTTCGAGCTTGGAACTTCTCAAGAAAGTTCGCTCGATAAGTCCTTTAGCTTCTTCTTCCACTTCCAATCCGTGTCGGAAGTAGGTGCCATGATACATGTCCATTATCTCGTGGTCTCGTAGAGGGACTGGTGCAAGTAAGGACCAAACAAGCGCTGTGCGAAGCAATTCAGCATAATTCGAACCCATCTTTCTGAGTGCTTCGTTGTAAATACTGTTCATTCCTTCTGGTAGTTCTTGCAGTCGGCTTGAAAGTGGACGCCGGAATGGTTCTCGCATGAAAGGTATTGCGATAGTTCCAATGTACGCGAATCGAGGACCAGCCTTCTTAAGAATGGCATAAGTGGCCTCCTTCTGCTCTGCTTCTGTGAGACCCGGAATGGCTTTCAGTGCATCTAGCAGTTGTTTCTTCATATCATTATCGTTGAAAATGCCAACATCTATAGACCATGATAGTCCTGTCATGTCCTGGACCTGGCTGTAGAACTTGGAGATTGAGCGACACCCTATGAGAAATTTCACCGATCGTGGATCATGCATCGTCCCCTTAGGTGACGCGAGGACGCCTTCTATCTTTTTGGCCAGTTCCCGTTGATCCTCGGCATCGAGGCCGTCTGCCTCGTCCAACGCGACTATGATGTTGGATTGTAGTTGTGATGCGATGGCGAGAAAGGCATCGACGAATTCGGGCAATGTCACTGCCTTATTGCTCTTAGTGATCGCTTTGATTCGGTCGTCCTCTTTCCTTGATAGTGCGAAAACCTTGTTACACACTTCAAGGAGTTTGAGTTGGTTCTCATCACGACTTGCGCGCTCATACAGTAGATAGAGCAATGTGTTGCACACCGTTTCGGCGCTGAGTTTCTTGCCCGATGCACTCCCTCGACTGGAAACACAACTCATGTAGAGCAAAACAGTATTTCCGCTGTTCTGTAAATCTAGTGTCTCCACGACTGTTGCAAGCACTGTTGTCTTCCCAGAATCTGTCTCGTTTAGCCTCGTTCCAAGAGTCATTAGGAGTTTTTGACTCACCTTGTTGACCGCTGATACATAACATGCAATTATCTGACGACATACACCACTCATCGTAGCCCGTACACTTGAATATCCACTGACATGTGCCAGGATGGCGCTGATCGATCGCATCCCCCAAAGCATCACTCGTGTTCTTTTGAGGATTCAAAGCTTCCCTGTTCTTCTCGAAACTCTGTAAGGCGAGGTCCCATGGAGTTTTCGGTTTCGTTGTGGATTTGATGTCTTCCATGCTCTTCAACACATACGTCCACTGCAGCGCTTGTTCCTCGTGCATTTTCCCGAGTGTAGACTGGAAACTTCTAATCTGGTTCACTGTAGCTTCGATACCGCTAACAATGTCTCTCACGGCATCAAGCTCATGTAAGGATTTGTCCTGGAATATCGCCTGGCTATCCTCTAGTATCTTCTTCTTCCAAGACGCGATGTCAGCCATCTTCCCCTCGAACTTTGCCAACGATGCACCAAAGAAGTCTTTAATACCATGTCTTAATTTAGCCAGGGTACCAGGTCTGACATGGCGTTGGATCGAGAAAGAGAAGCTGAGGACGGCAGCATAAGCATGTATGATATCCTCGAACAGTTTCTCTACTACGGGGCTCGGTTTCCACTCATTCTTTGCGCTCGCCTTTGATCTCTCGTCGTAGAGTCGATCATAGTGCGGAATTATGATCATGAGTTCTGATATATCTGTCAAGGCTGATCCAAAAAGAGTATACAGGTCATAGTTGCTTTGAATGGCAGAAAGCGTGAGCTTGACAGCAAACCAGGCCAGGCCCACACTCTCTGGTGCTCCTGTCATGGCATAGTTGCCAACAGCAACGAAAGTGCCGATGTTGGCCCTGAGCGTATCGATCCATTCCGCTGGGATTTCTGCACTGCCTATCCTTTTCGTACCCCATTTTTCAGCCACTTTCTGCCCGAGTATTGCGGCTGCCGTCTGCGCATCCTCAGGACGACCGTTTTGCGCAAGGAATTCTCGAAGTAGATTGATGTCCTTACTATCCTGGTAGCGTGCTTCTGCATCGTGTACAAATTTGAGACGAGCCTCGCGGTAGAGTCGCGAAGAGGCCATGGTGTGTTTGCTGGCGTCAGTGAACGTCCCGCAACAGGACATAGATTGGAGTTAGGGTTTTGTTCCACACTTTGCTTGCTGCTCTGCTTGAGCTTTATCAACTAAAAATCTGTATCCTATAAGGGCTCGAGATGCATGCAGTGAGTTGTGGCTTGCGGTTGAGCCGTCTTGATCGGCAATGCTATTGGTGCTGCCCATATACTGCAGTGCTATGCAGCTACCCATTTTCGGCCGAACCAGCATGTTGACCGGTGCTGTATATTAACCGTGCGATAAGCTAGGCAGATTGGAGGGAACGCTTTCGAAGCAAAGGCGATCTGAGAAGACTCACATCAACGCGGCTGCGGGAATGTGTTGAACGACTGGAACCAAGAATTTCGCTTTCGGAATGGGAGCGACCTTTTTGTGATAACGTATTCATTAGATGTGTCAGTAGACACTCCAAGGGAACTTATCAAGATCTAAGTCTCACTCTTGAGCCTGAAAGCTCAAACTCTGAGACTAGAAGATATCGCTTGCAAGACCAGAACGCCCTAGAAGAGCAACCTTTTGCCATGACCTCGCTGCCAGCCTTGCATGCAACAGCCCAGAGCAGATACGGCTGTCAACAAGCATCGCGCATGCATTGTAATTATCGCTTTCTGTAGACCATGGGCTGTTACGTTCTTACCAATCGAAATACGCTGACTCTATGATTATGCAAGGCAAGCTCGCAGTATATCTAGAATCGCGTTTCGTGATGATAGCAATGAACGACCGTTTAGTATGGTCGCGCTTGGAAAAGCCGCACCAGCGATCGTCGAAACGTCAGGACCTGTAAACAATTCTCCTGGTCACCTCGACGTAGAGCCACAGGTCTACATTAGCCTTGGCACATATGGACGTTGATGTAACATCATCTGTACTTGGCCAGGACAGGAAGGCGACTTGGAAATGGCTTACGTGGACTCGGCTTTCACGTTCGGTTCAGCAACTGCGATTGAGCGGGAGTGACATTATACTTTCGGCTCGGGACGGTTGGTTCAGTCCGGCTGAGTTTATGGAAGCTTAGCCGATCAACAGTGTTTATCGTTTCGGGGACTACGCGTCTGTGGGAGCGCGAACTGCTGGCCCTGTGTGTGCGGTTGTGACAGGTTTGTCATTTGAACAGTTATTGATGGCACCCCTTGCGCATGCACTGTCGAAAGGAAGTTCAAAGGTCGAACGGTCGGACTCGCAATCGGACACTCGGAGACGCGAGCCCGGGAAGATCTGACCTAGAATGAATAATGCGATGAGCAATCCAATCCCACACGCTAAACCATGTGCTGCTCAACGATTCTAACCGAACCCTACCAGGGTACTTCGGTACTTGGTCTATAGGTGCATCATGTGACGTCTGGAAATGAGGCAGCTTACCTGCGGTGAAACGCACCGCAATCGCCTGTAAGTCAGCAGAGTGCATGCGAAGTGAAGTAATGATGCCGCCAGTATGGTTCAATGTATAAGACCGGTGAGTAGCAATGCTTCACAGGCGCATTTTCCGACCGCAGCGGTAAGCATTCAGATGACAATTATCGTCGGGTATTCGATGCAGACAGAGATGCTGCGGCTCAAGAAAGGTTGATCGTGTTTGAGTTCTTCTGACAGCGCAATCTTGTTGTGTTTCCAGGCATATCAAGGGTGTGACACGGATTGATGTAACGGGCGAAGGTTTAGTTCACACAATGTGATGTCTGAAGTGTCGGCAGGCCCGAATCAACACGTCCAGCATACCGATGGAAATTGCTTGTCGAGAGTAGAGCCCTTCAGCCGACGGTGAAGCACCTGGTTAGGTATCTGCACCGAACATGCTGCCACACTGTTCACAGCGCTGTGTGACCTCACAGAGCGGCTGGACCAGTGCAGCGGGTACTAAGCGGACGGAGACTGTCGACACATCAGCGCAACCCTCCTCCGGCAAAAGAAAGCCCTGGTGGCTGGTTCTGAGGCGCAACCTGGCCTTGCGGCCTGTTTGAGTTTGCCTGGGAAATGCCTGTGCGGAGGAGACAAGAGTCCAGCAACTGCGCTCTGATCGGCACCTAGGTAGCGACGCGCCTGAATGTGCCTTTCCCAGCGCGGCGATCTTCAGCTTGGACGCTAAAACATGTGGTTGGCTGCATGGCACGGCGCTGACGTTGTATCGTCTGAGACGCGGACGAGACGAGCACTGGGCCAATAGTCGCTCGAAGCCTGGGCGATGCGCGAGCTGGGCGCGAAACACGACAGAAGCGCGATGCAGCGCGTCGAGACTGTAACTTGGGCACACGCAGACTGCGGAAGGATAGCTACATGCACTCCCGCTGTGCCTCCAGACGGTGCGACGTCAGGCCTCCTGCCAGGCGCACGGTAGCATCGCTGAAGGCTGAAGCTACGGCCGTCCGGGGAGGCGCAGGATATTCCCGCAGAGTTTGGGCGCTGAGATCATGTGCTCGGTTCCTTGTTGAGCGCGTCAGAGGCTCCAGAACCGACCAGCGGCGGCATGGAGACGGCTGGGGCCACGGTCATAATTTGGTCCGCGGCGCCAATCAGGTGGCAATATGGCCGAGAGAGAAAATTGCGGAATCACGCTGTTGGCTAACCGCCCGGGATTTTGGCAGCGTGCGACGGTGATTTGCTCGAGCGGTGGAATATGCTCCACGGTCGTGAAGATGAGGTCGCGTTGTCGTCGGCTCGAAGTGATGAGACGAGACGAGATTATCGCGGCGTGAGAACGGACGGGATGAATGCCGGTGTGCGTTAACCTTGAAGGTGTCCCGAGCTCACGCTGCGAACGACGAACGTCACGACGCGCACCTCGCAGCGCGCATCAACCATGGCGGGCTCTGCAGGTGCTTCGCAGCATCGCAGCATCGCATCTCATCCCAGGCAATACCAAACGAGTCCGCGATGCCGTGGCTGTAGAAAAGAAACATTTAAGCGGTCAGTGGGCGCCGTGAATGGTGGGCGCGTCTCGCCAGTGGAAAAGCGAGGCCGCTGAAGCCTACCATAGGCCGGCATTACCCCTGCAGCCCCCTCCGGCACGCGAGGAAAGAGCGAGCGAATGGTTCTTGCCTATTAGAACCCCGCCCGCCCATTGCGTTGCCCAATCCAATTTCTGCTTTGCTTCACTCTCCAATCAATCAGTTTGCTTCCTGCTTCACCAAGCTAGCCATAGCCAACCCCAAATCACGAGTCTTGCAACACTGCACGCTCGTGGCCACAGACGTCAAACGCCTACGGGTACCTCTGTACACTACAGCGGCGCTTCCACACAGCGTGCAGCCCGCCCAGCCCCCGGTCCTGCCAGGCATTTCGCACGCGCCCGTGAGACAAGACCTGCGTTGCTGCTGTCAAATCATCGACGCGAGTCAACCTCACCACCACAAGTCTCGTGATCCAACTTGGCTGCGGCCCAGCATCGTAAGTGCGTCTCGGAACATTATCGTCGCCGCATCTGTTTGTTACCGCGACCGCCTGTCTTTTGTTGCTTTCTTGTCGCGCATTTAGCGCAATGCCCTGCGCGCGTCATTCCCGTGCTTTCACGAGCATTCACGCCGACGCGCCCTCACTACCCGCCATGCCAGTCCTCTTGCTAACAAGGCGACTGTAGGAAGGGGAACACACGGCTGCTTAACGCAAAGCGTTTCTTTGTATCCCGCCCACAGCCAGCTTCTTGCATCTTGTCGCTACCAGCAACATCACCTGCACACCGCGACACTATATACCTGCGCTGTCGCTGGTCGCCCTACTCACTAGAGCCGCAACCAAAGCACGCTCTGCTCCACCTGCCAGCGTCATCTCATACGGCGCAGCACTCGACCAGGCGCGCAATTGACGTGGATGTGCGCTGCCGCTGATTAAAGTCGGTAAGTGCGCTCGCGCGCATGCATGAACCTGCATTGCCAACGCATCACCTCCAATCGCCCGCTCGCCAGCACATGCCCACCCTCGACCTCCTCCAATTGCCCTCGAACCCGCGTCCTGGCCTAGCTGACGGTTACTCTTAACAGTGTAGACAACTCTCTGCTTCAGTCCTGACTGGTGAACGTCCGCAACGGCTCTTCCCCACACGGCGCGGCCCATTAGACTGCGTCCTCTATCGTCGCTGGTCCGCCTCTTCATCTGAGCAGGCGCACCGCCCCAAGATCTAGCTTTGCACCCAATCGCTCTCATTGCGCCTCAAGATTTGCACCGGGGCTGTACTCGTGCATCTGTCTAACGATTCGCCTCATAAGCGTGGCCATTGACAACGCATCAACCATCGGCCCTGCCGCGACGTGACCCAGCTTGTGCTTCGTGCCTAGAAACAGTACTCTTCCCGCTACCTCGCACTTGATCAGCAAACAGGACACAACCTTGAAGCTCTTCTAATCCGCCGCCTTCAACATCCAGCCACCCGGCATTTCAAGTCGTCGCAGGTCACCTCTGCTGGTAAGCTCCAGACTTCCAAGATGCGCATCATTGGACGCGTGCTAATCTCGGTTCAGCTCCAGGCTACAGCTCTCCAACCAGTCGTTGCGGCTCCACACTACAAGTCGCGTCTGTAGTCGTCTCAGTCGCGATCCCAGTCCACGTCTATCCCAATCACTATCTCGGAACCAGACTTGACAGGAATCTCATCTCCGCGCGACACGGAGGCTTCCACGAGGTCAGATACCAGATCAGGTCTGTGCATTTCAGTGGCGGTCTGGGGTAATATTCGCGACAACGCCGCCTCAAGTCGCGTATCTTAAGCCTGTACTCCCACAGTGTCTCGCACACCAAACATCTCTACCATGACCGACTACGCGCAATATCAACAGCCCCACCACGGGCATGCCCCGGGGCATCTGCAGAACTATGGTGGCGCACAGAATCCTGCAAGTGGCAATCCATCAATAACCTCGCCCACACAAGGACAGATGCATTCCTACCAACAGACGTCACCGATACTGCCTTCGCAAGGCTACGGTCCGGGTGGCGCACCAAACCCGCAACATCATCAGCAAATGAATTACGCACAGCAAGGCTATATGCCCGGCATGCCGCAGCCATACGGCATGTCGCCCTCTCAGGCGGCGGCCATGGCTACAGCAGCTGCAGCGGGCCCTGCTGGTTACCAAGAGCAGTATGCGATCCCCGGCCAGCTAGCACAGGATCCACGAGCGTCGCCTCGGATGGCTGGAGCTCAGATGAAGGTTGACGGTCGTGTGGCTCCACGGTCTCCCACCGCGGTGTCTGGCCCCATGTCTGGCAACATGCCAACACAAGTCCAGATGACTCCTCAGACTATGCAGCAGCGGCGCATGAGCACGCAGATGAGCAGCCCTGCTATGCCACAGCCACAGCCTGTTATGAGTCATGTTGGCCCAAGACCATCAGTGCCTCCCCAGATGCCTCAGCAACCTCAACAGCACCAGCAATCACCTGAACTCGTTGCGGGAGCTCAGGCTGAAGAGGCCCCGCTCTACGTAAACGCAAAGCAGTTTCACCGCATCCTGAAGCGACGTCTTGCCCGGCAGAAGCTCGAGGACGCTCTCCGGCTGACATCTAAGGGTAGGAAACCTTATCTGCACGAGTCCAGGCATAACCATGCCATGCGTCGCCCCCGTGGACCCGGTGGACGGTTCTTGACTGCCGAAGAAGTGGCAGCCATGGATGCACAAAAAGGTGGTGAAGAGGGGGAGGGCAACAAGGAAAACGACACTCTTCCACCAAAAGCACCCTCCAGCTCTGGACCGAAGAGAAAGGCGTCAAGCACTCAACTCAAGGGGACACCAATCATCAAGAAGAGCAAGGCTGGTACCGTTCAGCGCCAAAGCACCAGCGAGGAAGATGAAGATGAGGACGATGATGAGGACGATGGTTAGGTGTCTACGCACCGCCATCTTTTTTCTTCGTAGATCCCTTTTCTAACATCACCCTTTACTTTTCAAGACTTCTCTTGACTTCACGACTTACGAAGCGATTGCTTTTCAGGTACACGGTTGAACTTTTTGCATGTTGCCCGTGCTGTCATACCTCTGGCAGTTCTCCACCAAATTGTCTTAGCACTGGAACGAACTCTGGAACATACATACGTGGGCACGGTTGGAGTAACAAAGGTATCCGTGGCTCAATGATGGGTTGGGCATGGATCATGGGACGGTGCTGCTTTTTTTCTTCTTCTTCTGCTTCTTCTACTTCCGCCCGCGGACTCTTTGTTGTATTTTTTTCCCTTTACTACACTTTGTGTTATCTGTGTTTCACTTGTTGCCCAAATACCCCCCACATTCACTACTGGCGCCCGTGAGACGCCTGTTCCAACCCGTCTGCTGGCGGTAGCTCACTAGAAAGGATTGTCCTTCATCGGATGGAAAATGGATACCACACTTCGATTTTCTTGAATGACTTTGACTTGTTCTGCGCGTGATGTTATTGCTCCCTGTGAAGTGTTACATGGTGCGGACTTGCTAATTGCGTGGACCCTTCCTATGTAACACAGACTATGGACGTCGCTCAAAGCCTTGATATTGTAGCTCCAGTGATTTTAAAAATTGCTTCGACAATCATTTGACACATGATTCGAAGGTGGCGAAGCAAAACATCTAGGTCCCTGAAGTGGTGAACAAGTTCCTGAACTCAAAAAGTATGCTTCCAGGACTAGCATTCTCAAGATGAAAATGAGCAGCCATCCACAGCACACGCAGACATAACACACATTCATCGCAGAACCATTGGTATCGAACTGAACCCCACTCGCATCTACTTCTTGCTCTTACTCTTCCACGCCGTACTCCTACTCTTGCGCCCATTCGGGCCCTTCTTCTTCCCACCACTACCCTTGAACTTAAGCCCACTCTTGCCCTGCCCCTCCTTCGCGCGATGCCCTTCAAACACGAATCCCTCTTTACTCTGCGCCTTTGCGACCTTGCCTAGCATATTGAGCGCGCGGCCCTGCATGCTCTTCTGCTCGTCTGTCATTTTAGCGACGTAGCCCGACTTGCCCTTGCCATTCGCCGGCAGCGCAACACGCGGCTTGTCCTTCTTGTTCTTCTTCTCCGCGCGGCAGCGCGTAACGCGGAGTTTACGGGGCAGCATGGGAGGGAAGTTCTTCTCGTTGAATTGTAGCGCGGCTTCGACGCCGTTCTCGTCGACGAATTGCACGTATGCGAAGCCCTTGCCGACACGGGTGGCGGCGTCGCGGACAACACGGACGCTCTCGATTTTGCCGGCGGAGGCAAAGTGTGTCCAGAGACCCTCTTCGACGTCGGAGGAGGGCTTTTTCTTGACTTCGCCTTCGGCGGTGGGGACTTGCGATCGGTCGTCGACGAAGGGGAGGTTGCCAACGAAGACGCAGCGGCGGTGGTCGATTTTGGTGGGATGGGCGACGGAGTCGACGTGCATGTGACGCTTGAGGAAGACGCTGCCGTTGAGGCGCTTGACGGCTTCGCGGGCGGCAGTTGTGGTAGTGTATACGGCGTAGGCGTTTGTGCTACGGGTGGTCGAGTCTTTGATTTCCTTTTTGGCAAAGGCAGCGCGCTTTGGGCAGGCTGTTATCGAAAGGCGGATGGAGCGGTAGCGGATGGATTCGACCTTATGTGGGGGGTTGTTGTCGGCTAGATCTGCGATGAAGGATTCGAGGTGCTTTTTGAGGGCCTTCTCGGTGGACTTGGAGTTTATGCATTCGCTCGAAACGTTGCCGAGAAAGACGGTGCGGCCGGCCTTTTCGACTTCTTGAGCATCTTTATCGTCGGTTTGTGCTAGGGATTCATGCTTGGGGATTGTGAACTTTTCGCCGGCTGCTTCGGACTCGTCGGAGGACTCATCGTCGTCTGAAGCCTCCACTCGTGCCTTCTTCTCTGTCTTGCGCTTCTTCTGTCGCTGCTGCTCTTCTTTCTCTTCTTCACGAGCTAGCTTTCGCATGTACGTATCTTCCACCTCTTCCTTGTCGCCTCGCTTGCGCTGTCTTGGCGGGTTTCTCATGAGCGCCGTTGAGTGCAGACTCTGTTCACTTTAGCAAGTACTGCCTCATCCTCCTGAAGATGACTCCTCAGCGTCGGATTCGACATCTTCGTCAGAGTCGCTATCGCTTGTCCCGCCTTCCACGTCCTCTTCAATAGCATCGTCAGAGGCAGCTTCACTGTCGTCCTCGCTCTCTTCGTCCGCATCCTCCAGTTCGCTCAACTCCTCATCATTTGCCGCCTTTTGTACGCGATCCTGGTAACGTGACTTTGGGGGGGCTTGCACTGGGCCTGCCTATGTGGGTTGTTAGCATATTCGTACCTGACTGAGACTTCGCAGCAAATAGACATACACTGCTAGCAAACAACGATGCCAACGTCGGATCAAACGCCTTCTTATCGATCTTGATGAATGACTTTTCGCTCTTCTTCTGCGACTCTGGTTTCGCGGACTGTTTGTCTTTTGATTTCGCCATTGCGACAATTGTATGTTGCGGACTGCTGCTGGTCAGAAAAGTTTAGGTGGAGCAAAGCGCGCGTTACCGCATCGGGACGCGTTGCGGCAGAATGACGGTCTGTCACCGCCTTTGCGGGCATGATAATCTGATTGCAGGACAATCGCCGGGTGGTCATTGCAGCAGGGTCACAGTCCGCGCAGTTTCCACGAGACTACCCAGCTGTTCTCCGCTCCGCCCACCAGCACTCACATGCTCCACGCCCTGCACCCTGCGCATCTACGCTCTCACATACCTTGCAGAGCTATCGCCGAGCCGCATTCACCTCTGCTGAAGCCCAAGACCACTCTCGGCGTCCACGACTGTGCCAGCGGCAGAAGCGTTTTCGACTGCTCGCTGCGCCCGAGGTCCTCCACTTCACACAGCACTCGCAGACCATCGCGCTCTTTCCCAATACTCTTCTGAGCTGTATACGGAACATTGGACACGATTTGACGCCCTTTACCGCCGGGGCGCACCATGAGCGCGCATCACGAGGCGAGGAGGAGCACATCACGAACAGCTCCTGACACCCTTACGGACACTTCACAAGCAAACGGTACGTCATATAGTCCTCTATCGTCGGCCACAATACTTCATGGTAGGGGAAAACTGCAAGAATCTCTCGTTTCTGACGATGCTCTTGGCGCTACTGGCGAGCAGTTGCGTCAACCGAGGAGAGACAGCGGAGATGCGACTTGCCCCACAACTCACCCACAGCGTCTACACGCCCACTATAGGCCCTGAAGCTGATTACAACTGTAAATAGGCGCGATACTGCCACCTAGCACCGAGCGATCCGACCTCTCGTACACCAACACCCCCTCACAAGCGCCTGTAGCAGCGCACTTGTCTGCGCCGACTGTCGAGGAAGCCGCAATGCTTTCGGCACTATCAGCACCCAGTGTAGCGGCGACGGGCCCTACTCCAGTCATCGTGGCTTCTGGTGGCTACGACGACATTGCCGACAACGGATCCAGCAGTTTGAGCGAACTCGGAGACGCGTCGGACGATCAATCAGAACCAACGCCTCGACCGACAACAGCTGGCGAAATGGACGACGACGATTCCGAGGCCGAGACGGAACGCCTAGAAAACACTCCTCGAAAACTTGGGCGCACGGCCACAGATACGTCATTGGCGGAAGCATTGTACACAAGAACACCAAGCAAGCTGATGCATTCACGGACAGTCGACCAGGACGAATCGGCCCCACCTACACCTTCTGTCATGACCGACGATGCGGATGCGACTCTCGACGATGCGGTCGACGCAGACAATCCTCTCCACTCATTGTCGTTGATTGCTGCTTCCGAAGCTGCCAGCCTGGAATCTGTTGGGAAGAAGCGAAAGCGTACAAGCGCAGAGGGCAGCCCTGTTGAAGAGCCAGAAGAGGATGAACCTGCACGCAAGCGTAGCGGGACTGCGAATCTTCCAGCAGCTAATGGCTCGCTTGCTGGTGTGACCGACAGCGCTGAGCAAGTAGACATAGATGAGGAGCTCGAAGTTGCCGAGGAGCGCCTATCACAGCTCGCACACGAGGAGATGGAGCTTGAGCAAAGACAGGCCAACATCGCAGCTGAGACCGTTGGCGAGCTGGCGACAGTCGCAAAACACACGAAGCCACGGAAAGGTGGACGACGAGGCAAGCGGAAGGCCGAAGACCCTTTTGCTCTAAGCGAGCAGTTTGTCGGTGGAGAAGCTCAGGATGGCGAAGGCGAGGAAGAGCACGACGAAGAGCAAAGCGCAGCCCAAGACGAAGAAGTCGCCAAGAAGAAGAATGCGATCGACGAGCTTGCAAAGATCGAGAAGAAATTCAAACTATTCCGGGAAAAGTAAGTAATACGGTTGTCGTAAATGAGGGCAATTGCTGATAACGTGCAGGCTGTGTGACGAGCAAATAGCGCAACACGAACGAGAGCTCGAGATGCTCAAGCAGCCCAGCTGTGTCCACCCTGAATATCTGGCGATGATGAAGTGCATAGACGATCGGCGAGCAGAAAAGATCGCGTACGAGACAAAGCTTCTCGAATACAAGCAGAAGAATCTGGAGATTATAACCATAGCAGAACGGCATCAGATGCATAGTCAGTATATCCAGACGGTCCGACACGTTCGCGAGGAGATCCTCGAAGAGTGCAACCAGCGAGTGTTTGAGCTGCAACGAGGAAGGCGATCACTGGGCTGCGATGACACGCAGTACATGATCAAACTCCCAGAGAAGCGTTCAGATCAAATACGGCATCAGACGGCGTACAACCTCGAGGTCTCTATCCTCTCTGGCGTTGCCAAGTACGTTGGCTTCCCAGCAGCACCGAATATCAGCACGGCGCGCCCCGTGGACATCGATGACGATTTCCGTTCAATGAAGGTAAGTCGCTGAGTGTTTCTCCCACAGAGTCGGCAGCTGATAGCGCGCTGCAGATTGCAACCCGTCCCGCGCCTGCTCCTTCATTCCGAACATACAACCGGACAACGACCGCCGATGAAGCTGCGGCAGAAGAGCAGTTTCTCGAGAGTACTCCGTGGGCAAATCCGCGGCACCCGTCACATCATCAGGAAGCCCGTTACGGTCCAGGCCCTTCAAGAGTGCCGAGCTATCAGACGCCGGCTGGACAACGTCGCGTAGTCGATCTGACTGCTCCTAATGGTTCCGCATCAACGATCGAGGCCACTTCGAATCCACCGTCATCCAACGCTCAGCACACGAACGGACGGCTAGGGGAATCAGAATCACCAGTCTTGCAAATGAAGAGGCATCCAGCTGACCAAGGACCGTATATGGAGTCTCCTGTCTCTAATCCAAGAAATTATGGAGCACCTGGTCGAGATTCGTACGCGATGCTATCGAGTCCCGCGGCACACCAGCTCGAGACAACGCCAGATGACCAAGGCGCACACCGCTGGGGTAGCGCCGTGCGACCTCTGAACGCAGGTCCCTCGGCAACTCCATCCGGTCCACCAGGCGCAGGTCGGCCGGATACGACGCGGCTGCCCATGGGTCAACGCAACGGTCTGGGTACAGTAAGCGTTGGAAATGGCCTGTTCGGTCGATGATACCCCACTTCATCGCCCGGCCACAGGGCTTTGTACGACTGTGTCAATTCTTCTTACATGTGGACGAAATGTCGGGTACTGCTTTTCTCGGAGTTTGTTTTGCATTTACATAGCTGGTATGCATGATCCGGGGCCTTCTCATGTGCTGATGGACTACATGTCCACACTTCAGCGGCGTTTTGACAGCTTGGGCATCTCTGCTTGATACACCCTGCTACCGCAGCGCATGTTTTCTTTTTCTTTTCCTGTAATTATTTAGTCGATGATGAATGAACCACTTCGGTCTGGGTGGACCTTGTGGCGGCGCACGGTAATGATACCACCTGGTAATCGAAGTACTCCCGACTTTGTCATCTTGCAAGCCCTATCTTCGTTTGTTGTGGATCGTGTGTGGAATGCTTTCAAAGTAGGCAACAGGGAGTGAGTGAGATGTGATGAGGATTGCAGTTGCCTCTGTCAGACACTCGCCAAGGCACTAACCTAGGACTAGCGCTTGAGCCACCTATGGCACGGCTTCGGGCTCACTGCCCCCTCCCCAAGATTTGTAAGTACTAGGCCGATGATACACGCGCAATAGGCGCACGCTGCCATACCCCAATCCATCCAGGCTCGACGACATTGGCAATGTGATCAGAATTTGAGTGGGTTGGTCGTATCAAAGTACCACACAGCTTTCAGCTCACTTTTTTCGAAACACATACACTGCTATGATTATGCAAACCGAACACATCACGAGCCGCTATACTCCTATGCCAAGGGAGAGTGATGACCTGTTCGTGTTCTAGAGAAGCTATATCATTCAAGGACCTGCTGTCTCACACTCTCATGTCATCGGTCAGCACAGCCGAAGAAGTTCTGACAAGAGCAACAACGAACGCCCGGACCATTAGATGGAAGCAATCGGTCGTACAGAGGTCACGCATAGTTTGAGTTCACGCCGGTCAGTATATCGTTTGTCGGTGCCATCGAGCTGAACCAACTTCCCCTTCACCTACGTACGTCAGTGGCCACGGCCAGGCCAGCATCACGACGATTTACCCTTGACATATGTCACACGGCCACTGATTGCTATGAATAACAACCTGAAAAGGCGAAACGCCGGACGATGAGTGTGTTCGTATCTTCTTGAGTCGTTGTACTACCATGTCTATATCAACGGGGGTATGAGGATGCGAAAACTCTGCTCCGCTCATGATGAGAGCGTACCAAACTTTGGATCGATGAGAGCCTCAAGCAGGAGGTATAAAGAGCTGTGTTTCATCCGCAGAGGGGAGTTCTTTACCAGCACCTCTACAATCACTTCCTACACCTTCTCAAATCACTATTTAGATCTTTGCTTCACAGCTTCCCAACAATCTTCAAGATGCAGTTCACCGTTGTTACTCTTGTCACTCTTTTTGCAGCTGCTTTCGCTGCACCTTCTGATGTCTCCGCGCGTCAAGCAACTCTGTTCACGCTCAACACTTTCAGTGACAGAGGCTGCCAGCCCGGGAGTGCTACTGGAAGCGTCACCTTGACCAACCAAGCAACCTGCAAGGATCTTCCAGCTGGAATCAACAGTGGCAAGATTCTCGATGCGCCACGCGCGGGATGCGAGAGTAAGTCAAAGACCACAGGTAGTTAGCATTGCGCGCTAATGAACAAAATCAGTCGTGTTCTACGTCGGAGCAGGTTGCCCCTCTGGCCAAACTTACACTTGGCCTACAAACAACGCCCAGAGGCCCGATGCATGCTTTACGCTGGGTGGTCCTCCTAACAAGCCGCTTGGGTCCTACAAGGTTCAGGGCCGTTGTGCCTAGGCAAGGCGTGGGTAGAGACATAGCTTGCGACGTAAATTCCAAATGGGACGCTATTCTGGAGAACTTTGCAAGGAAACAAATGTCAGACGGCTTCCTGCTGTGGAAATGACTTCTCGAACGGTTTTGCTTTTAATTTCATATCTTAGATGCACACTCACTTACACAAATATCAACCACTTCCCGGGATATAATTTACTGGTTTCAATCACGTGATCGAATTGAATTATGCTTTCGTAGCGGTTGATGCAGCCTCTTCCTCAGCAGGCTTTTTTCTGCCCGAAAACCTTGACTTCATGCAAATCACCAATTCTAGTATGGCAGCTCCCAGCACAACTTCTGGTATCAGCAGATACCGCGCAGCTCTGAGCTCTTGGCACACTGATCCAGCACCCTCCACACCAGCTTGAGAAGCAGCACATGCCCACGTCTCCGTAGTGAAGTAGCCCTTGCCCATCATCATGTCACCCTTTTCCGCCCGTCCCCACTCCACGAAAGTATAGACTAACACCACTGCTGGTCTGCCGAATATGAAGCTCGCAACGAACACTAATCCATTCCAAAAGTATTTGCGCTTCTTTTCCTGACACTGATCAGCGTTTACGTTGGAATCTTCATGCGAGTCTTGATGCACCTGGCCAACGCTTTCGCGAGGTGTTAAATGCCAGAGAATTATGAATAAAATCATGTCCACTATGCCGCCACATCCTGGCCAGAACAATATGGAGCGACTCGTACCGCGCACATAAGGCGGAGAGGACGTGAGCGTCAGGGTATGTGCGACGAGCGCGAGGACGGTGATGGATAAAATTCCGATGGTGAAATTGAGGGTGCAAAGGACTAGAGTGAGCAGAGTAGGCATCGTCACCACGAAGAGAATGGAACCTTGATGATTAGAATGGGCATGTGTATGTTTTATACTACTTTATCGTGGCTCTATACGGAAGCTGTTCCGCGATTGGGGCTGACTTGGCGTGCATGTTTCGCACTCGCTTATTCTTGCTCGTGAAGGAGGACGGGATTGATAGGGCTGGTAGGGCGCTTGGGACGTGAAACTAGGGTTTGTGGCGCGGGATTCGGTAGACGTCGGAGCTGGTGACGTCATGAATGTGAAGCTACGACGACGTAATTGGCCTCGCCTGAACCACATACTTGTCTTCGCCCAAGCCTGGAGATCGTGTCAATATCGAAAGGATGCATATGAAGATGCAAAATGAATGAGAAATTTTTGACAACATGCGGGTGCTATGCAGCAATCCGGCACTGGCACTACATGTTATCGCCCACGAGAAGAAGTGAACAAGGAATCCAATGACCTGAAGCTATACACCAGCCAGTTAGGCCTTCTTCACAACCACACGATGTTGTGTATAGCTTCAGGTTTCATGATCGGCTGTCTACTGTGGCACCCTGGTCGCTGTCCGTCGTTGTTAGTGACCTACAGTACGCAAGCCAATTCGTTGTGTTCAGAGAACGATGCTTGATCGGATATCGCGTTAACGACTATTATGCCAGACCAAGAGTTTAGGAGTGTCATGACATTACTCTCATACGATCTCCAGGTGCCTTTGGACTATGACTCCATTTGCGAGTTTCTCCGAGAGCACGATGCCAGTTGCGAAGCCCTAAACTCGAGGACACTTCGAGATTTCTCCCATAAGCTGGTAGACCATCTCTCCAGCTTCACGGATCCTCCCTGCGCAACTGAGGCAGCTTCTTCTTCGCACCAATCTACTCTTCTCTTTCGCGAGGTAATACACTTTACTGGCGATACAGACAGCAATGAAGAAGGCGATGCGGATGACGATGCAGACAAGAGAGCTTTTGCCCTACATGAGTCTGCAGCTCTCGCGAACGAATTAATAGACCTTACCGGCGATGCCGCAGAAAAGCTACGCAGAGCGTTTCCCTTAAGTCTGGCAGAGGAGGCTAGCTTGGAAGATGTGGTTCTCCCGGATGGTATATTAATAAGTGGCCCGCAATATTGTCAGGTGAGATATTTGGATTACTTCACTGGCGTACACGAACTCTCTTCTAGAATGACCCGGAGCTCTAGGAGCACCCGATACCAAACCTGTTCCCCAAAAGATTGCAAAGATCAGAAGCTATCGCTTCATTACTCCAGCGCCATCATCCTGGCAAGCCCTGATGTATCTACGATCACATCCGCTACGCCGCTTGACTTCCCACTATTCGACGCACCATCGTACTACTCCCCATAGTTACACCATCTGACAGAAAAAGTTCCTCTGCCCACATACACTAATAGCATCGCCGCCATATCAAAGCAACTCCGTTTCCTCGGTGTGGACTATACAGCTACGACGAGCGCTCGCCAGGTAGACATCAACGAGCATGCTGGAATAATGGATTCAGGAACGCTTATTGCGCATCTACTCCTACAGAGAAACACTCAGATATGCTTAGGCTCGTGTTAATTTACAGATCTAACATGTTGTAGCTCCACTCGATCCTGCCCGTGCGGCTGTCCGCGTACGACCATCGTTACCCTCAGGATAGTGATTACTGTCTTTTCATCACCACCAACGATGGGCAACAGAGCACATTACCATTGGATATGTGGCTCTACATATCTCGACGTTCACAAGATGCCAGGAGCATTGTAACGTCTCCGCTTCCACGAAATCGCCGCCACCTAGACCCAGCAGGCGACGTTATTGGTCCCATATTCGAGAAGTTCAAATGTGGTCTAGAGTTGCGCTGCGTTGACCTGATCTCCCTCGCCATAACCTTCATCCGGAACAAAATCCCCAATGGTTTTGAATCTGGCATATTCGCCCCACGTGGCAATTATCGGCGCCCCTGGAGGAGGCTGGGGACTCCATTAGTATTCCTGTAGGTTTGAGCCAGATTATATCGGATCATCATTCTAAAGTCAAAGTTGGAGGGGTTTTGGTTGTTATCTGTACTCTCACGCCGCATTGTCGATTTCATGGTACCTGTTCAATTGCATGATATCCCCAACGATATCCCATCACGACCATTTGCCTTCTCGATCCAGAGATGTCTGAATTCATCATAACAGGCTCAGCCGTGGATATCATCGGTGAGACGATGCCGAACAGTACCATCGGAAACCATGTTCTCCTCGACGGCATCGTGTCTTGTGACTTCATTCAAAAGTGCGTCCTGTCTTTGAAACAATCCAAGTCTTGTTTCTACTGTCACCACCACAGAATTGTTGCCCACAATATCCTTCAATTCGGACTACTAGGTCGTGGTGGCGATTATGACCACTACATCGCGGCCAGGCAAGATGTTATCTTCTATCGCCCAACGGAAGAACATGCACCTCTCTTCCAGGCAATTCAAGATGTGCACGCTGTATATAAGATAAGGACAATTGAAAACGAATTCTGTTCCATAGATGTTGCTCATCTCGTTCCATCCTCTCTCTGAATTCTAGACCCGAAGACGCACGACATTAATTTTTATACGTCAGTTGAATAGGACATGACGCTGGACGACATTTATTAGCTTCGTCTAGACCAGGCAAACCTCTCCCAGTGTGGACTCGTCAACGCTATATCCAGAAATTCCACACTGGGGACCGCACGCTTGGGATGAGTCTTTGCGAGGCCGGCGACGTTATGCATAAGGCTGGATTCAATTCAGACACTCTTCGAGCGCTGTCATAGCACATTTCTTATAATTTCAACGTTTTCCATCGGGCTCTGCTTGTAGAAAGGGCGCTGATCAGCACAACACCCCGGCAAAGGCAAACGCTAGACTCGCATGGTCATGATTCTTTTCAGCCACTGAACATTGCCTGTATTGTTTCGATACTGTAGTGACCCTAATTAAAACCGCGGTCGGCACGTGTATTGCTCAATGCATCCGTAGAGCGACTCAGGATTGCATCTCGCGGACACAGATACGTTTGCCAATGGTCAGAACCACGGACTGTGATTGTTGAAGAGCTTGCCGTGGGTAGAGAAGTAGCATGGTATCCAGACATTGTCTTGTTCAAGCTTCTGATTATCAAGTTGCTGAGGATTAATCATGATTGGCAAGTATCTAAGTAAATTCGGGTGAGCATTTATAGGATGTCTGGACGCTCGCTTCACTTCATAAACACTACTGTCATTAAATTGTGAAAACACAGCGCATAAGCAGAGACCGTCTTCCAATACATAAAAAAAATGGGTGGACGGCGAATCAGAGATCTTTCTGTCCAATATTTGTGGTGCCTCTTCTCCACAAGAATATGTGTGACGTGGCAAATGAAGCTAGCAACAAAAATAGTAACGTCTGCTCACCTCCATTTGCGAAAGCATGTGCGGAAATCATTGAATCTCGATTATTGCATGCAATCACATACCTTCACTGATTGTACAGGTTCATCTCCAACCATTCCAAGTTCTGCTCGGGTGTGATGGGCGCCACTTCGCATCAATCCGCAGGCACGTGTGACCTTCACATACCGAATCTACCTCATGGCCTTGTGCCGCAGACGAATTTACACACTAAACCTACAGATACCTCAGTCCTATCAGCACGCATGACCCAAGAACTCAGTGTATATATGCTACCCCATCGCTATAACACGTTTGAGAGGACCCTTTACGGAGATGAACACGGTTTCGGTGAACGAACGTTGTCTTTGGAGATGGTGTCCGGCCAGAACGACCTCGACATTAAGCTGCCATTGCGCTGCCGATACAAAGACAATATGCCGATACTAAGCACAGTTATAGACAAAAAAGACTGGATGTTGCTGTGTAGTATCGTAAATAGCGACAGGGTTGTGAGAGTCATTTTTGACGATCGAAAGCGAGACCATCTTGCCAAACTCACAATACCTGGAGCGAAGCCACCACGTGATGGAGGTGTTGAGATGATACTTCATTGGGAAGAGACGGACGATGCCTTGCTCCTCATGGAGAAAAGTGTGCGGTGGATCAAGCGAAAGCTAAAGCAAGAGGTAAGCCATTCGTGGGAGACACGGAGTATATAGTTCGACGAGTTTAACTTGGATAAGGAATGAAACTTATCACCAGCCGCTAAGCAAATTAGGACCTCGTGAGTACATAAACATAAAAAAGGTACAGTCCATTTTCCAACCTCCATATCTCACACCTATCATCTCGACCAGATCAACAAGCCCTAACATTCTATGATCCCTAATTATAGTGCCAGCCAAAAATCTCAAGGTCTTATCGAGATGGACGTCGCTAAAAGATGGCTGAAGAAAGAATCGCAAACTCGAAACCCACAATTGTCTCTCACCGGATCTATCGCACCTGGCCATTCCCGATAGAATTACTTCCATATGAGATCCGAGCGAATATCCTCACTCGTCTCAGCTATACCCACGTGTACTTGGTGCGCAGAATCGCTTCTGTCCAGCAGGACGAGGCGTACTACTACTTTATCTCGTTCTACAGGCAGATCAACGCCTATGCACGTAGACGTGGTTACAAAAGTAGGGTTGTTGCCATGGAGTACGAGCGCGGGAAACCATGGCCGACTACCACCACTATAAAAATCCCTGGCAAGGATCGTCTGATGCACATTCAAAACAGCGGCTTTGACCCTGTGTTGCTACGGGTCAGCCGAACTATTCGCATACAGGCCTTAACACTGCTGTATCACGGCGCGACTGTCAAATTTGGATACAAACTGACGAAAGCAACGACATGTTGATTTCCGTCCTTTCTCTCGCTGGAGCCAAGCGTGAGGCTAAGCGTCGATCACTTTGCGCGCATGCGCAGCATCCAGCTCACCGAGGACATGGACAAAGACCACCGGAACGATACCTACAACCACAAGAGGCGATGGAAGAATCCAATCAAATATCTCATATCTTCACTTCATTTCATCGCGGATTGTTGCCCGCAGCTAGTGTCGTTGAGTGTCGAGCCTAATCACCGGGCATTAATCCGCTCAAAGGAGCGATTCATACTCAAACTCGTCACAGCTTTCGTCAGGATCGCACGAAAGTGCGAGAAACTCGATGAAATCAGGCTCGGACTACGGCGAAACGTTCTGGTACCCCCAAATCGATGGGTTGAGCGTGTCAAGTTCGTTAAGCTGGACCTAAAAGCCTTCGAGAAGGTTCGTCGATTACGTATCGTGGAGGAATGGATGGGCACGGAGCTGGGGTATTTGGCGGTAATACCAAGCTACATTCGTTTCTTACCTGCTGGAGTCGAAGTGTGGAGTTGAAGAAAAAATGTTATCAAGATGCGGAAATGCACTAGGACTTTTGGACCAAGACGGATAGTCGACAGGAAGACTTCGGCGAAGGCAATCTCGTCTAGACATGGGTCGAGTGTGCATCTCAAGGAGATGATGCTGAATATGTAACCAGCTTTGAAATCGAGTACGCGGGAGCTAGCGGGTATGCTACGGAGGTTTGATCCTTCATCGGGGTGGCTTCCACATGGTCGGCGGCTTCACTGCGACGTTACTGGTCAATCACATCCCAGATTTCAAGTCTAGTCCAAATCGAAATTTCTCGAAAACTAAATCTCTTCGCCGGGCGCGCAAACAACGGGGATGCTTGCTCGTGTCTCGATTGTGAAGTCATTGTGGTGGGTCCTTGTTTCCGGCCAAAGATCGGCGAAGCAGCAAATTCACGACACCGTCATTTGAAGCATTACAAATGCAAGAAGATGAGTATGCTTAAAAGCTGTAACTTTGTCACCTTAGTACTCTCTTTCAGACGGTCGATTCAATTCCTTTCCATATCTAAACTTGCTGCACCTTCACCTCCTACATCTTGAACAACATACATCATGGCTGCGAGCAACTCCGACTTCCAGGGCTGGGTGGCCCATGACCCTTCTGCGGCTGAGGGAAACATGAAATGGGGTGGATTCACCCCCAAGAGTTTCGAAGACACTGATATCGAAATGGACATCAGCCACTGCGGTGTCTGCGGTAGCGACATCCATACTCTCAGGTCTGGCTGGGGACCGTCCGAATATCCTCTTGTCGTCGGTCACGAGATCATTGGAAAGGTCACCCGTGTTGGAAAGGACGTCAAGGACTTGAAGGTCGGCGACCGCGTTGGTGTTGGTGCTCAGAGCGAGTGTTGCGAAGCATGCCGTCCTTGCAAGACCAAGCAGGAGTCCAACTGCAACAAGATGACCATGACTTACAATGGACGCCATTCCAACGGAGACAAGAGCTTCGGTGGATACGCGAAGCAGTGGCGTGGACCTGCTTCGTTCGCCATCCCCATTCCCGATGGTCTGCCGTCTGAGTTCGCCGCGCCCCTCATGTGCGGTGGTGTCACTGTATACAACCCCCTCGTTTCCTACGGCGCCGGACCAGGAAAGCGCGTTGGTGTCGTCGGTGTTGGTGGTCTCGGTCACTTTGCCCTTCTTTTCGCGAAGGCTCTCGGATGCGACAAGGTTGTCGCCATCTCTCGTTCATCCAGCAAGAAGGATGATGCCCTCAAGCTTGGTGCTGATGAGTTTATTGCTACCGGGGAAGATCCTGACTGGATGAAGACGAACGCCAACTCGCTTGACCTCATCATCTCAACCATCTCCGGATCTTTCCCGCTCGACCAGTACCTCAGCCTGCTCGATGTCAACGGCACTTTCGTTCAGCTCGGCGCTCCTGATGACCCATTGCCCAGCTTCTCTCCTCTCGGCTTGATCTTTAAGAACCTCAAGATCGCTGGTAGCTTGATCGGCACTAGGGAGCATATTCGCGACATGTTGGAGCTGGCAAAGAAGACGAACTTGCAGGCGTGGGTTCAGGTCAGACCTATGGAAGAGGCCAATCAGGTACTGGTCGACTTTGAGAAGGGTCTCCCTAGGTACCGTTATGTTCTTAAGAACTAGACGTCGGCATCGGTATAGTTTCAGTAGCTCTTAGACATTATTTGGCGCTGTTTGGTGTATATTAGCGTAGCATTGCATATAAGTCTCATCCAATGAAGATCCTTATGAATTATGTTCATGCCTTTGCTTATTTATTTCGCTATAAATCCCTCTGCCCTACATGACGAATTACATCACTCTGCCGCACAAAGTTGCATTGTAAGTTTTCCATGGCTTGTTATGTGCCATCTCGACTGCGAATCGGCGTAAGAACTCTGGTACAAGCTTGTAAATTTCAGCGATGGAAAGCTGAATATGTTCAGCTCACTTGAACAACGTTTGACAAATGTGGAAGCGTACATGTTTACCAATGCAGGTCCTTACGCCAGCACCAAAGACTAGCATAGCCTTGTCCATGGTCCCAAACGCCTCTTCACGTTCCAGTCACCGCTCAGGCTGGAACTCGTACGCGTCTTCGTCAAAAACGCTCTTATCGTACTGTGTGAACATGGCATTCATGCCCACCTGGTTGAGTCAGCGAACCAATACTGAGCTATGGAACGCATGTAAGAACCTTTGAATCAAACAGAAATGTGAAAACCTGAGACCTGCAAACCTGCAGCTGGCGCATAACGTGGTATCTGCACAACAAAGGGCGGAAACAGCCGAAGTGACTCCTGGATGACTGCCCTAAGATAGGGCACTTTCATTGCTTGGCTGTATCGAACTAGATGAGTAAGCGTGCCGTTCTCAAAGGCGACATCAATTATCTTGGTGAGTTTCACCATCTTCTCCAGGTGCGTCATGATGAAGTAGAATATAGCTCGAAGTACGCCCGAAGTACTGTCTGAGCCAGCAATGCTGCGTCTTGTCAGCTTGAAGCGTTGTATTGATTTTCTCAAGTTTCACACTGCAGCCCACATCTCAACATCGAATTCTTGAATCGTCACGAGATCCCTCTTCTCTTGCATGTTTGAGAGTGGTTGTGAGAGTATATCGGTTCTCTTAGCATTAATGGCGAGTATCCTCTCTTGTGCAAGGCTGGTTTTGCGCACTGCGGTTTGCCGAATGCCGTCTGCAGTCACGTAGTACCTTGCAGGTTCTCACTTACGGTGGAAAGCGAACAGGGTGCATGAAGCATACACAGAGCGTTGCCGTCGCAATCGAAGCCTCGCGATGCTGTTTGCAGCTTCGGCACATTGGATACTCTTTATTGCTTTCCGCCGTAGTTAATAACCTGCAATAGGGAAGAATGGTAAGATTGAAAAGAAGTAATCATTGGTATCTTAATGCTCGCAATGTTGCGAGGGGGTAGTCCGTAATCGTGTGCACAGATCTAAATACCCATCAAAACGCCTTGTAATGCATGTGTCGTTAAGTGTCTTCAAGTCGGCTTTTATGCCGTCGCCTCCCCATTGGTGGCCTTCCCGTTTGTGGTCTTCGTTGCGGCGACTGCCTTCTCGAGCGCTTGCTGGACATCAGCGACAAGGTCGAGTTCATCCTCAACTCCGCAGCTCATGCGGACAAGATCGTCGAAGACACCAGCCGCTTCACGCTGATCCTTGGGGATGCCCATGTGCGTCATTGCGCTGGGAACTTCGCAGAGCGACTCAACGCCACCCAATGACTCGGCCAAAGTAAAGATCTTGGTAGCCTGGCAGAAGCGCTCAGCAGCCTCGTGTCCTCCTTTGATGCGGAAACTGAGCATCCCGCCGCCCATTCCGTCACGGTGTTGCTTGATGGCGATTTCGCGCTGTGGATGCGATGCAAGACCAGGGTAGTTGACGGAAAGGACGTTGGGTGAGGCCTCGAGGGCTTCCGCAACTCCAGTTGCATTCTTGGTCGCCTCGCGGGCACGGAGATGGAGCGTCTTAAGCCCTCGATGCGCGAGCCAGCAATCGAACGCTGATGGTACTGCGCCAATAGCGTTTTGAAGGAATGACAAGCGGTCGTATAGCTCTGGCGAGTTGAAGGCTGCCGCACCCATGACCACATCAGAGTGGCCGTTGATGTACTTCGTGACTGAATGAACTACGATGTCTGCACCGTGGTTCAATGGATTCTGTATATAAGGTGACATGAAGGTATTGTCTACGACGACCATGATGCCATGTTGATGCGCAACAGATGTGACTTTTCTGATATCCACCAGCGTCAATGTGGGGTTTGATGGCGACTCAATCCAAATGAGCTTGGTGTTCGGTCGAATGAGGTCGGCAATATCGACTTCAATGCTGGGGCTAAACGTGACCTTGACATCGTGTGTGAGTGCTACTTTGGTGAAGTAGCGGTGCGTTCCTCCGTACACATCTGAGACGGAGACAACATGGGATCCTGCTGCAAGCGATTGCAAAATGTTGGCGGTGGTTGCGGAACCTGAACTGAAGGCCAGTGCATAGCGGGCGTGCTCGAGTGCGGCGATTGCGGTCTCGAAGTTGTCACTAGACTTAAATTAGATACAAGTTTTCTGAAAGTTGTGGTATGAGCGCACCGGTTAGGATTCGAAGCTCTGGAATAGTCGTATGGGCCGACTGGCTTGCCGACGCTGGTCTGCGCAAAGGTTGTAGAAAGTGAGATCTGCTTTGATTAACTGGGGATTCGGTTATACGCTTTCAATAACATACTGCCTCGATCACCGCACCAGTAACAGGGTCATGCGGACTACCAGCGTGAACAGCCAGGGTACCGAATCTGTGGACTGGGGAGGGTGCGCGCTGAGGCGTCTCAATGGGATGTTCCGAATGCGTCATGGTTCTAAGCGAGGGCAATCTGGAGGTACTTGATGCGAAAGTGAGCTCTCTCTAGATCCAGAGTACGGTTGTGAGAAGGATGGAAGGCGATAGTCGAGATTTGAAGTGCTTTTAAAAAGAGTCAGAAGAGAAAGTTTATGATGTGAGAATTGTAGAATAATTTATTCCTAGCTCGGCGTCTAGCGGGGCTCGCGGTCACCGTGAACCTTTGTTTGGCGATGGCGCAATATCCTGACCCGGGGCGTTACTTATGCCTGGAAACCTTGAAAGACCCTAGAAACTGTGTGACGCTAAGATCCCAACGGCATTTCTCAGCAGTCATTAGTGGAAGGCGTGGTGCTCGCGATATGCGATTGTCATCTCGGCCGCACGGCGCGTCGCTCGTCATGGAATGCTAGCGCGATGTGCCGCTTGTAACCGTAGCTTCCGCGCCCTGGAAAGTCAAACGGACAAATCTGACGACGTTGATAAGCAGTACGTAAGAATATTGGATTACCAAAGACAAAGTCCTGATGTCTATCGCGTTTACTGGGTATCTAAAAGGACGAATTTTATGTGCGATTACAGCTCCATGAAAGTCGTGTGCAGCTACAGGTCATTCTTCGCGACGTCGTCAGGCCGGCTCTTCAACTTGGTCCACCCACTCGTGCCCCTCCTACGGTCAGCTTGCTCACCTTCTGAAACGTCGGCTTTCTGTGATGGTGTAGCCCTGCCGTTCGTTGTAGTTGATGTCAGGAAGCTGCGTCCGTCACTGATGCTTGCAGCGTCACGGCGCTTCTCGCCTACTATGATCGGGTCCTCAGCTATGAGGTTCTCCATATCCTCCCACTCCTTCTGGTTGACTACGTCCCATTCTTGTGCCTGCTGTTCTGCTAGCAAAAATGCCCTCAAATCATCAACGATTTTCATTGGCGATAGACTCCAACCACTTAGATACCGCACGTTCTCGGCGATGTTCATGTATGAGTGTGACGTAGCATGCGAAAATTGTCCGAAACCTACGGGTTTCTTCCGCAGAGAGGTCTTTGATGTAATGTCTTTGTCGAGAGGATTCTCGGGTCGCTGATGCAAGTATGTCTCTTGCGATATCAGAAGTCGATGTAAATTCTGGCCCATAGGGCATATATCTTCCCACTGCTTGAAGCTATCCTTCATGCCTTGAGTGCGGCATAGCCAAGCCACGTTGTAAGCGAGTAGAGACACGCCCTCGATGAAGGAGGAGTAGGCTGGCGGATCTTCCGCGGAGAGATGACCAAGAGGTCGATCGATGAAAAGCGTTCGCGGTTTCGGTAGGTGTACGCGTGGATCGATAGTGCGGGATGCTTCTGGACTGTTGCTTGACGAGTGCGAAGGCGTTGACCCTGGGAAAGGGACCTTCTTTCCTTTGTACGAGGAAGCTGGGCTGAATACAGTCGGCTGTGGGTAGTCGTTGTGAGGAAGTGTAATCTCGGCGGGCAAGCGGATGCCCAGATATGCAGCGACTCGGACCAGGAGTTGAGCTACAGCACCTAATGACGCTGATAGTTGGTCAGGTGGAGCCTCGTTCAGATCCCTGAGATCCCAGATCCGGAGTCTTGAGCCTGGCCCAATATTGTAGACAACCTTTACGCTTTCGTCCTTGTTCCTCCTTCTGGTAGTCTTAAGCCCGGCGAGCTTCGCAGCGGTAGTGCAAAGTTGCATGCGCAGCTCCATAGTATCGTGGTGCATCTTATCCGACTTGTAGTCTATCCTCTTAAGATGTTGTTGGACCTTGTCTAGCTCGTTGGCGCGCCGTGAATCGATGCCATAAGTAGCGGATGATAGATCAGACTTTCGTTGTGCATTTGCGGCGCGCTGTGACTCGATCCGTTTCCGTGTAGCCTCCATCTGATCCCGGATATGTTTTGACTGTTCTGTGATAAGCTGTGTGCGCTCTTGTATTTCAGCCGTCTCAGCTTTGGTCCGTTGCCAGTTCAGATGGTGTGTGCACTCCTGGCGGTCGACCAACAGGCCTCCTTTTGAGTCGGACAGCGAGACATGCTGACTGGACTTGTCTTCCGAGCCTTGTATGATGGCCTTGACATGCTTCTCCACGCCGTCTTTGTCTATGAGTGTCCGAGCGAGGTCGATGCGGGGCTGTTCGAGATGGCTGCGGGCGCAAGTGATGCAGTGTAGGGGATGCGTTAGGTTGCCAGCCTTTCCACAGATGTCGCACTCCATGATGGATATATGTTATGTGATATCGCCTCCTTGTGGTCCGAGGGGTTGAGGGCGAGGAAAGTAGCGGGTGACCATGGTGAGTGGTGAGTAGCCGTGGGGGCTTGTCGCGCTTTATAAACCCATGGGCCCAAATCAGCTATGGGGGCGGACGTTGCGTTGGAGGTGTATATGTGAGTATCGTGTAGGAGGTAAGGCGATGGTCGGCAGGTAGACACCCTGTTGTCGGCGTGCGCTCATTCACTGCGTGACTGAGGCAACAGAAGCGCGGATGCGCGAGCGCGAGTCAGACGCCCGCGCCTTCCAACGTCATGCCGCGTTGTACAAAAACGGATTAGTGCATAAGCACGTGACACAAACACGCAGCCTTCACCAACCTTATACTGCGACAACCACTATGCGAAAGTCATTCGCTGGGCCGAGGAGAGACCCGTCTTGTTGATGCTTCACTCACCCACAGCACTGACCACCATTGCACAGCATTGCAGATGAACAGCGACTTTGACAACCCGTCTGAATCTTCTCTGCCAACACAGCCTGTGCACTTGCCTTCCTCTCCTCCCTTTTTCAAACAGAGTGGCGCATCATTCACATCGACAGTGGAAATGGACGGCCAATTTCATCCCAAGTCAGAGCCGCCCGCAACGCAGAATGACGATACCGCCAGTCCGTCTCACAAGCGCGTGAGCTCTGATGACACCGAGCGACCACCGTCGGCCCAGCAAGTGCGCAAGGACTCTGACCAGAACGCTGAAGAGGATTATGATGAGATGGAAGAGGACGACGTTGACAGCAATCCTGCGCAGAAGATCGAGGACTTCGACTGGAACGAGCTTCATGGCCGATACCACGAGGCCATGAACAAGTGTCGCACACAGGAGGGTGAGCTAGCCGAAGAGTGGGAGAGTCTCATGAATGTATTGCTTCATTTTGCATGCTCATTTCACGATGCTGATGAAGGCGTAGTACTTCCGCATCTGGGCAGAATCTGGTCACGAGCATGAGACAGATCGGACATTCCAGCGGTACTGTTTCCCCTTCACGTTTCCATCTTGCTCCCTCGCTGACAACTGCGCAGTCTTCAGACCCGTACGAAATTCGTTCAGAATTCAGAAGCTGAGCTTGAGAGTAAACGCAACCACTGTGTGTTATGTGTGCCCCTCTGTGTGCTTGTTTACTGACCTACTTCATCTAGATATCGACGTAGTGAAAGCTTTCGAGAGTGCGCTCCATCTCCTTAAAATGGGGTTTGGCCATTGATACAGCAACCTAGGCGCGATATACCTCGCCTACCACGCGCCCCAGCCAGAATCGGCATCTTCTCGCAGTCACGGCATTTCCCAATCATGTGTATCATTCGGCTTAGGCGTCTCAAGATGCTCAACCATGTAGTGCATCAAATAGAGGTGCTAAGGGCCGGGTCTATCATGGGCACTGGCGTTTCACAACAAGATTGTTCACAAAATATATACCCATCAAATATATTATCTAGATTTATCTATTGCTTGAGAGTCAATGATATCTGATATCTGACCCTTCAAATGCCTAAAAGCCAAGTCTATGCCACATGCTTTGGGATATGACAAACTATGAGTGAGGGCTCCAGTCAACGAATGCCCTCCCAATTCCTTTTCCTAAGCTCTATATAGTCGATGCACGAAACACTGATGCTAGATCCTTGTAATGCGACAAAACTGATGAATCTACAAAAGAGGGTTGGAGCGGTACTCGGGTACCACGCCGTTGGTCTGTGACTTCTCGGCCTGGTTCTCTGTCTCGAGCTCGTTGCCGACGCTGTCGTCATGCTCGGCGAGCCATTTCTCAGCTTCAAGGGCCGCAACACAGCCGGATCCGGCACTGGTAATGGCCTGACGGTATCGTTTATCCTGGACGTCACCGGCAGCAAAAACACCCTCGACGCTGGTCAGGCCCTCGCCGGGCTTAGTGATCAGGTAACCGTCCTCGTCCATGTCGAGCTGGCCCTTAAAAATCTCCGTCGCTGGGTCGTGACCAACAGCATAAAAGAGTCCTCGTGCCGGGACCGTCTGCTCCTCCTTGGTGACGTTGTTCTTGACGACCAGTTCAGTCATCAGGCCGTTCTTCTTGTCCTCGCCCTTGATCTGGCTTGCGCTGGTGTTGTACAAGATCTCAATCTTCGGGTGGGTAGTGAGGCGGCGCGCATTTGTCCTGCTGGCTCGTAGCTTGTCTCTCCGTACCAGAACGGTGACTTTCTTTGCCTTCTTCGTGAGGTATAGGGCCTCCTCGACTGCAGAGTCACCACCTCCGATGACGACCAGGGGCTGGTCGCGGAACATGGGCAGCGAGCCGTCACAGACTGCGCAGGCCGATACACCAAAGCCCCAGTATTGCTCTTCTCCAGGCAGATCCAATCTCCTCGCCTTTGCGCCAGTCGCAATGATGAGGGAATCGGCAGTGTGCTCCTCCTCTTCAATCTCCTCATCATCGCCCATGGGATGCAACCAGTATTTGAATGGGCGCGATTTGAGGTCGACCTTCGCAACGGTCTGGGAGATGATCTCGGTTCCGCATGCTTCTGACTGTTCGCGCATGTGTTCCTATGGCTTGTTAGCGGAGGTTAGTGTCAACTGGCGCGGAGTGCATACCATGAGCTTTCCACCTCCGATCTTCAGGAAACCGGGAAAGTTCTCGACTTCATCTGTGGTGGTCAATTGACCACCAGCTGCGATACCAAGAGCCATGAAACCCTCGTACATGACGGCTGCGCATTGTTAGCGAAGTCTAGTTTGGTGCATGCTTCGGCGACTTACGCTTCAGGTCGGCGCGCGCCGCATAGATGGCTGCGGTGTGGCCTGCAGGCCCTGAGCTACAAGGTTGTCAGTATGTGGTCAAAATCCGTAAAGACATGGTTCTGGTGGGGCTATTCCAGGTAGCACAGAACGCGCTGCAACATACCCAATGACTGCGCATAATGTCAGCACTGTCCTCACGAATAGTGTATGCGCATTACTCACTGACGACCTTTGAATGCATCCTTCGCGAATCTACTTTTGGTGTGGCTGACAAACTCGAAGCCGCAGTGGGTGTCACGCGCTGATTGTGCGATGCAGCAGCTGCAACAGGCACAGAGAATAAGGATAAGAACCTAGGAGATGCCCGTCGGAATGTTGAGGCGAACACTTTGGCGACGTGCGCGGGTCTCGCGTGCAAGATCTGACTGGTAATGGAAGTGAGAGGCGGGGAGGTAAGATGAGAGCGGGTGCCTAGGAAGAGGGACCGAGTGTCGCAGAGAACGCTGAAAGTCGGTGGTTTTGAGTCCAGCGAAGAACAGTTAGAGATCGTTGGTGTTACTGAAGGTGAACTCCGGAGATGTTACAAAGATCTTGCTGGTGGGACGACGGCGAGTCTGGTTGGAGGGGTGTGCTTCCTTCGAAATGTGCTCACGGCCTGATTGGGACTAATCTCAGCGCTGCCCGACACAATATACAAGGTGGCAGAAGGAAGAAGGATTTTCACTCACTGCTCGAGATGTACACGCCCAGGTGGTGGTGGTTTGGCTTCGAGAAGAAAAATCGCCGGCGGCGTCGGTACATGCGACGATCCCGGACTCTTAGAAATCGAGTTGTACTAGACCACGGCCACCGGCAGACTCTTGCACGGAACTACCACAACTGCGGCGGCACATGGGGCACCTTTGCCGACTCGTTAGCCTCGGCATGGCCAAGAATACCTGTTCCTCGATTAAGTTCCGAGAACGTACGGCTGGGCCAGATCTGCTCCATCTGATTACTGTTGTTGCGAGTCCAGAGCCTCTTACGTCACAGGCCGACTCCAAAAGTGGTGTATTGGTAACAAGGGTCCGATCTTATGTAAACTGTCATTCTGCTACCTAGTGCTCCGTACCTAATCCTCAGCGCCTGGTCTCTTTCGCAAATTCTCCACATGATACAAAATGTCTCGCACTGCTTTATCATCTGCAGTCGTCAGATCTGGACCGTCTGTGCCTCCTAGGGCAAATGAGCTGACAAGTGCACCCATTTCGGCGTCTTCGCGCCATGCGCCATCTACCTGCTTTGAGAAGTACTGCAACCGCGCTCCGTCCTGAAAGATCTCGTTAGTCTCACATATATTCAAAGTGGGCAGATGTGCTTACTGCATTCTCCCGAAGTTCCGATGTCGACCCCGCTTTGTGCACGTTGTCTATGGAGACAATCGTCGTCCAAGAGTTTGGCGAGGTTTGCACGAATGCGACGTCCAGCGGATTGCCCATCAGTGACAGCGAGTCGCCGTTCACTGCGCCCGTACCAACATTGAAGTTGAACAGTCCTGGCAGCCCTTCGCATGCCACAAGTACTTCGCTCGTCTTGAGAGATTAGCGAAGAGTGGAAGTACTAAGTGCAGGATCTCACCTCTTTGATGCCGGGAACCTCCCATATCCCAGAGACAGCAGTCTTGAAGGATGCATCGTCTTTGAAGGATGAGCTGAGGTCTGGTCGTGACCTGAGATGTTTAATGACAGTATCGCGAAGTGGCAACTTCTCGTTCAGTAGGAAATTCCGCCAGTCCCAGACAAGGAGATGGGCATCGCCTCCGCCTGAGACCAGTAGCCCGGATCGTGTCACGCAGAGTCTGCTCACGAACTCTTCGTGTCCAAAACAGAAGCCCTCGATGATGTGGGCTTGGGGCACTCCCCGCGATATGCGGATGTGCTCGTCCCTATCTGCTGTAATAATGTAGCTCTTATTCCCTATCTTGGCGAACGCCAGATCTGTGAGCATGGAGACATGGCCCAGAAGGAGGTCGTGTCTGAAGGTAATCGCCTCTTTGGGCTTGGCCGGCCCCTTGGCCTTCTGCTTAAGCTGCTCCTCGAGAGTTCTTCGATTCCTTCCAGAGTGGACCGTGAAAACAGTCGCGGATGGAGTGAAGTCTTTCTCCTCGAGCGGCAGCGCTGGTGCAGGGGCTTCTACCTGTTCATCCTCCGGCGAAGGTAACAGTGGCAAAGCATACACGTCTCCAAATTTGTCCGCACATAAGATAGTGGAGTCGTCAGATGTCAATGTGATTGCCGACGGCCTTCTTGACATGCAACTTCACACCTGTCAGTACATCGTACGATCGTGAATTTGCAGCACCTTACCGCTCGCTTAATTGCTGGAGACCGCTCTGGGCATCGATCTGGAAAACCCGAACGCATTTATCTTCGCCAGTCACGCCAACCAGATAGTGGCCGTTGTTCGATAGCACCAAGCTTGAGAAATTGAATTTTTGTTCTTTTGGTGTTGACAGCTTGATCCGTTTTCCTGGGGGCTCTTGTGTGTCATCATCTTTGGGATCCTGGCACGCTCAGCATCTTTCCAACAGAAAAATTATCCCATCTCCAACTGACGACATCCATCTATTTCCTCAACATCTCTCACTTACTAGTACCTGGACAGCTTGCCGCGACCATACAGACGCCACGCCGTTGCTAGATTGAACAACGATCTTGGAGCCACTTGCGCCAAAAAGCGTCCAGGCTGCCCCGTCTGCAGACGACTCGCTGCGAGCGACAAGACACTGGTACGGAAATGCCATGGTGTTTTATGCAGAGCGCAGTGCAGGGTCCGTACATGTTGTGCTTTTCAAGTAGGCGCGTTGCCTAAGCGGCACTAGCGTCGGTTGCGGGCCACAGCTCACGACCTCAATTTTCGCGTTCCGCCGAGCTGCGAGTTTCCTCTTCCAACAACCATACTACAACCCTACTAAGTCCTTAAACATCCCTTTGGGTCAACACGAACACAATGGGGGGCAAGAAAGAATTCAAGGTCGCTTACTTCGAGAAGCTCGAGACGCTTCTCAAGGAGTACAAGTCCATCTTCATCGTTACCGTCGACAATGTCTCGTCGCAGCAGATGCACGAGATCCGCCAGTCGCTCCGCGGTGACGGTGTCGTCCTGATGGGCAAGAACACCATGGTCCGCCGTGCGCTGAAGGGCCTGATCAACGACTCCCCGGAGTACGAACGCCTTCTTCCCCACGTCAGGGGTGAGTCCACGCATCCGCGCGCCGCGCAGCTTCGGCAGCAGAAATTGACAATCGCGCAGGCAACGTCGGCTTCGTCTTCACCAACGCCGACCTCAAGGAGACCCGTGACAAGATTCTCTCCAACCGTGTCGCGGCTCCCGCCCGTGCCGGTGCCCTCGCGCCCCTCGATGTCTTCGTCCCTGCTGGAAACACGTAAGAATACACGTTGCACATGCACAGCGGCATAGACTGACAATCCCTAGTGGTATGGAGCCCGGAAAGACCTCTTTCTTCCAGGCTCTCGGTGTCCCCACCAAGATTGCCCGTGGTACCATTGAAATTACGGCCGACCTGAAGCTCATTGAGGCTGGCAACAAGGTCGGTGCCTCCGAGGCTACCCTGCTCAACTTGTTGAACATCTCTCCCTTCACCTACGGCATGGGTATCTACCAGATCTACGACAACGGCCAGACCTTCGAGGCCTCCGTGCTCGACATTGAGGAGTCCCAGCTTCTCAAGGCTTTCAGCTCTGCCATCGCAACCATTGCCAGCATCTCGCTTGCTACCGGTTTCCCTACTCTGCCCTCCGTCATGCACTCCGTCGTCAACTCCTACAAGAAGGTTCTCGCTGTCGCCATCGAGACCGACTACGAGTGGGAGGAGATTGCCGAGCTCAAGGACCGCATTGCCAACCCCGACAAGTACGCCTCCGCCGGCCCCGCCGCTGGTGGTGCTGCCGCCAGCTCCGGCGGCGCTGAGGCTGCCAAGGCCGAGGAGAAGGAAGAGGAGAAGGAGGAGTCCGAGGACGACGACATGGGCTTCGGTCTGTTCGACTAAGTATCTTCGTTTGCAGCGACATTTCTTGAGAGATTTCGGTACGGCTACGGCCTGTCGAACCATGTCTTCATGATATAGGACCGACAACGACAATACGATAAGATGAACAATTCAACACGGCCTTGTGTGCGTGTGATGCTTACTATGAGCATCGGTACCAGCCGTACAGTTTGGTAAGTCTTATTCCTTCTTCACACTCTTCATACTATGCGACGATGATAAATTTTTAACCCTGATCACCATGAGGATCTAAACGCAACACAACTCTAATTTTTTCCTGAGCACCACTTATACTCCATTTCTGGCATACTCACATCACGTCTATGTGCTTTAGCTGACTTGATACAGACAGGATTCAGTGTATGCTTTTCAATGACATGCAATGGCAACTTCATTGTGACTGCTTAAGCACCTAGGCTGCCAGATTTTGCAAGATCTATGCGCGTCCAGTAGTCTTTCCAAAGCGCCTTACCCCCCAGACTTTTGCACACACTCTCGCTCTGCATGTTGCCCAAGTATACGTCTGCATGCGACCAGGCGTTGCCCTCGTCATCCACGGCAAGCCCGGGTGCATACTTCCGCATGATCTTCGCCGCAACAGCCTTGGCTATACCCTTCTGCCTGTAGTCCGGCTCAGTGTGCAATGTCGTGAGGGAACCGTCGAGTCCGAGAAATGTCCATGCTACAGGTCTTCCACCTCCCTCTTCGAATACGCCCATGCTTTTCAATGAAAGCAGCGTCTTTGCTGATCGAGGAATGTTGGTGCGCGCCTTCACTGTAACCATGTCTTGCTCTCTCATATCACCCCAACGTAGCCCTTCAGGTAATTCCATCGTTTTCGGCAGATCAGAAAGCTTGAATACAAACTTGTTCAATTCCAAATGTGCGCCTGGCATGTCCCGTCTTACTAGCCCGTTCTCGCGCATGATCTCCAATATTGGTTTAGGGCATGCGCCTACCAAGATCACTTTTGCTTCAAGCAAGTGACGCATGAATGTGCCTGGGTGGGCCGGATATTCGCCATCGGGACCCGGCGTTGGGAACTCTTTCTCATGCTGATATGCGAGGTCTAGCGCAGGCTGATTGTCCGGACGCATCGGCGGCGTAGGCAAAGTAGACATGTAGTCTAGCAACGACAGCACCGCTCGTTTGCACTCATCGCAAAATCCCTCGGGTGACTTTGAGTGATTTGGCAATTCTCCAGCAGCAAAGATCCACAGTTCAGTTTCTGGCCGCATGGACCGGTCGAGATAGGCTGCTGCCCAGCATGTCGGGACCTCCGCATCTTGTGCGAATGTAGCAAGAACGTGTGCATGTTCAGTTCGGTTGATGTGTTGTGTGCGGTATACCAGATTTATGCTGTATGGTAGGGCGGCTTTGAGGGCTCGCTGGAGGAAGGGGGATGATGCTGGGTGTTCGTGAACATGCATTCTCGGACCGATTGATCTGACTATTGTTGATTTGAAAGAACGGTCGCTATGTGAGATTGCAGAAATTGTACTGTGTCTTTGAGTCATTGGTAAGCACCTGCTGTTTTGGGGTTGATGACTAAGACTTGAGGGTCGGAAGTAGTCTTCTGTATTGGATATCAGACGCTCCATCATTCTCGCATCGACAATAGCATCAATTATACTAAGTGTCCTATTTCAACATGGTTTCGAGCCATGGCAAGCACTCCGTTATGTGCTGACGCTGGGGCTTTGAGTGTGCAGCGAGGCATCTTCACGTTGCCCTCCACAATCTAAGAACTTGTGCTCAGAGGGCTAGTCATAGCGCGAAGTTAATTCACCGGCTTGGGAAAGATGATTATGGAGGTCTTCACTAAAACTTCAAGAAATCGCAGGTCCAACGTTCGATCCATTGAGAGCCACCGGCGCGTCAGCCGAGCGTGTGGAGTCCGAAAGTCGAAGACCAGAAAAGAGTCGTGCCACATACACCGGGAGCTCTTTGTTATCGTCTGTACTACGTTGAGTTCACGTCTCAGCATCATCTTCGAACCATCTGGGAAGATGTCGAGCACATGCCGCATCCCGACCTGGTCGTGCAGCTAGTAACCGCACTATATCAACTTCGGCATACCGAGAACGGCTGCATATCAGAGTATTGTGACACGTGAATCTGTGTACACAAAAGATTTCCTTGCGTCTTTCTGGATCACGCACGAAGTTGCAGACAATCTCTATGCAGCTTAAGTAGTGTACGGCCCCGCAACCCCGATGTTCCTCCTCGAATTTAACGAGGGGCTGCAGATCTCATTCCAGCTCTAGATTTCTCGTATTCGAGGACCACGGTACAGTGTTGTCGCCAACACCACGAATCGCATAGATGTGGGGGAAACCTAAACTTTACCAAGTGTGGGGATAACTAAACTTTACCAAGCTAACCTTGTTGGTATGACGTTTTGGACGGGACCGCCTTGCCAGAAACCGCTAGATCATGGCATCAAGCACTTGAAAGTTGTCTATGCAGTACCTTGTACAAGGGCAGTCTGAGTGCTGCGTGATGGCGTTGATCGTGCACTTGTCCATTGTCAGCTCGAGCTCGCAGATGCAAGGTGCAATATCCACTCTGCCATTCGACGGAGACATCTAGAACACTGTGCTACCATGCAATACAGCGACACACGGGTCGGATCCCCAGCTTTTTCAGGAGTCAGTTGGCTACTATATGAGACTGGAAAATTGTTATGAATCGACATCTCTCGAGGCGTATGTTCAGGCCCTGATCAACACAAGGATACACGCAATGGCATTCGTCGATGTTGTTACTGCTAACAAGCCTCTCCTTGTCGCACTGATAGTGTTGGGTCTACTCACAATCAAGGTAAAAGCTCTTCGACCTCAAATCTTGAGTCCATCACTCACTTACTCAGTTTGTCTATGTCGGTCTCACATGTCCTACAAGACACCTTCCCGGGCCGTGGTACACTCGCTTCACACACTACCGCTTGAAGCGCGCTGTCGTCACTGGTCAACGTATATTCTACATCGATGCTCTCCACAAACAATATGGCCCAATTGTCCGACTCTCGCCTACTGAGGTTGGTGTGGCAGACCTCGATGCCTTCAAGGAAATCCATAAGATCGGAACAAAGTACATGAAAAGTGAATGGTACCTACGATTGGCAAACTTCCCTAAGGCTGGCGTGTTCACAATGCTGGATCCTCGTGAGCATGGTGCCAGAAGGAAGCTCCTCTCACGATCCTTCAGCAGGTCTTATCTCGTTGAGAACTGGGAGCCAGCTGTTCGTGAGAAGGCACTGCTTGTCGTGACGAAGATCAAAGTCGATGCAATGCAGAGCACTGCAGACGTATACAACTGGTGGATGCTTCTTGCTTCGGATGTTAGCGCTCACCTTGCCTTTGGCGAGTCGTTCCGCATGCTAGAAACAGGACACGTAAGTCAAAGCTCCCCAAGGTTAGAGATATACCCACTTACATCGTGTTCAGGCGAACCAGTTTATTCGCGTGCTGAAGAAACTGACCATGGGTGCAGGCATAATGGTGGAGATGCCATTCCTTCGCCTTCTACGCTTCGTCCCGATCAACGCCGTACAGGAGATGTTCAATGCCAACGAATTCATCCTGACAGGCGCAGGTCGAGCAGTCGAGATGGCACGCTCTCGCACAGGTGAGTCAAACATCTTCGCCAAGGTCATCGAAGACTGCGAAAAGGAGGGCGAGGGCCATATCGACGACATGGACGTCAGAATCGAAGCAATGAACATCATCATTGCTGGTACCGATACCACTGGTGTCACATTGACTTATCTGACTTGGGCTGTCCTCCAACAACCACAGCTGCAGTCAGCGCTCGAAGTAGAGACGGCAGGCTTGAGGGAAAACTTCACAGAAAGTGATTTAATCAATCTACCTTTACTCAACGCCACAATCGAGGAGACTCTACGCCTATATGGCGCTGCCCCAAGTAGTCTGCCCCGCGTTGTACCGCAAGGTGGCACCAGATTTTCTGGTCACTATATCCCACAAGGTGTCACTGTCGATACTCAAGCATACACATTCCATCGCGACCCCCGAATCTGGAGTGATCCTCTTACATTCGACCCACAGCGATGGATCTCGTCCCAAGAAGGCTACACGGCGGAAGCACTTTCGCCCGACGCCAAGACTGCTTTTCATCCTTTCGGCGTGGGCGCGCGATCGTGTATTGGCATCCACCTTGCACGCATGGAGCTGAGGTATGCGGTTGCGTTTTTCTTCCGAGAGTGTAGGGGTATTCGTCTAGCACCGAGCACGACACTTGAGAGCATGGAGTTTGAGAACTTCTTCTTGATCGCACCGAAGGCTCATCGTTGCGACATAACGTTTCAACAGTAAAGTGGGACTGACGGAACCAACGTCCCACGAACTCGAAGCTCTTGGAGGTATGGGAATACCTTCAAACGATGCGCGAATGTGCCGCTTATATACTTGGGAGTGAGCGCGTGAAGGATAGACGCAGGCACGCAAATTGACCAAATTAACCCTCTCTTCTCCTTGCCCACATTATCAGCGAATTTCTTGTGTGGCACTCGTTTGAAATAGAAGGTACTGGCGCTATATAGTAACGGTGTTATTTCACTCCGGATTTGTAGACAGGTGCCGATGAGTGCCTTGCTCGACCGTCTTAAATCCTGAGTGATGTGTTCTTTTTGATAGACTTTGAGATATCCATGGAAAGCGTATCGGTATACGCGATTGCGGAGCTTCGGTGGAAGGCGGGGCAAGACCGAGTTGGCCTGGTTTGCTTCGGTGCTGTGCGTCGTCAGAGTGATTGCGTGCGCGTGTTTGGCTGTATGGTCATACATGTGGGTAAGTGAGCTGGGAGGTCCAGTGCATGCCGCGGGGCAGTTCGATACACTCGGTCCCATTTCTGCAAGATTATGGGTTCTAATTGGAGGTGTAGCTATTGGTGTACAATTAGCGCGATGGGCGAGGTGTTGGGAGCTTTGTATACCTTGTGCGACTGATCCAATCTAGCGCCAATTGCTTAGGTACCGATGATTGCAGCCTATGGCAACACAGATCAACCGTAGACCATGCATGAAATACTGACAGGTGACTACTACCTCACTGTGGATCTCGCGTTCGCAAAAGAGTTACAGCTATAATGTCAAGCGAAGACGTTTCGTGGCACGTGTTATGTATTGCCCAAACATTACCATAGACTAATATTAACAGCTAAGTTCAGTAAATAGCTGTACAGAGAGCAACATCATGCGAAACAAGCTGTAGGCCTTGTAGACTTAGAGGCGGCCCCGTTACTGTGCATCTGCATTCAAAGCAAAACCATACAAGATCACCGATCTATGAAGCCAAAGATCAAACAATATTGCACTTAAGCACCTTCAAACACAAGACGGACACCTCTTCCATCATGACGAAGCTTCAGCCAGCTCAGATGGAACCGCGTCATCTCATCGACTTCGCCCCAGAACAGCAGTTCCTCCAGTCCCGGAAAGATACGAAGCCATAGCAGTGCGTCTGCGTATCCCGGATCGATGAGAACAGCCGCGCTGCTCGCACCCAGCCGAATGGATCGGATGTTCCACAATCGCAGGCCTCTTATACGGTAGACGAAGTTTTCGATCTGATGAATGAGTTCGAAACTGAATGTTGTTGTGCGGTAAAAGAGGAGGGTGGCCTCGAAGCAAAGTTGGCGGCAGGTTTGCAGGAAGTGGAGTTTTGACTGCCACTCTCCGTCCCAGTCCATTTTGTAGCCAGCGTATACTTGGATGTTGCCGTGGAAAACGTAGTTGTAGATCTTGTTGCGGATCTCTGGGGGAAGGCAGAGGAGGCGTGAGTCACGCTGGTTGGCTTCGGTTCTACTAAAGTCTTAGTTACACTGCTACAACTGATGAGAAGCCTCCACATTCACTTAAGATTGCGGCTCTCGCGACTGATCAAAGTAGACTCGCTGGCAGTAGAGACTATGAGGTCTTCTTGTAAATCCTGGGTACCACGACAATCGTGCATGTATGTCCTTTGGGAAGCCATGGGTGAGGCGATCGACAGGCATGCGTCGGAAGTTTGCAATTGTGCGTGAGGGATTGGAGGTAATAAAGCCAGTATTGGTGGCTTGATCCGAACAATAGCTTTTTCCGCACCTAGACCGATACTTCGATACAGCTGCCTAGCATGGTCACACTATTCGTCAGGCGCCTTCAAGGCGGTCACAGGCGGTAAAGACTAGGTCTATCAGCATCCATGACTATGTATATCACTTTTGAAAAGCATTTTAACATTGAGATCATGCGTTAAATTAGATCTGACCTCACAGTAAAAAGACCTGGACTTGCACGCTCTCTTCGAACTCAGACGAAGCCAGCGGCCTGGGCGCTTTGCAAGCTCCGTCAATGGGAACCTCGATTACCCGCTAACAATAACGAAATCGATCCCGGTGTCCTTCATGTAAAGCCCCCGTTTCGGCTATACCTCGATATTCTTTATATGATCTTTTTGTATGGAATGCATGGGGGCGGTCAAGTTCACGTTTTGAAGGAGATATTCTCTTTCAATATCACATGAATCCGCTACATTGGTGGGCCAATGGCCTTTCATAATGAGCCTTTGGTGTTTGCTGCGTGAAGACGACGGGTATCATCTGATATGTGCAAATAAACGAATGCATATTCGTTGTAGCGCAGGGCCCATTGCTAGCTGAATAAAAATTACATGTGAGCTTTTCTTGACCTCTTCTTTCGCGCTACCTGCCATCCAAAACTCTACACACGATCAGTGACCATACATCAATTTGTCGAGGCTATGACTTACAGCTTTCTCCGTCTTTCCACTTTGTATGACTACGTTCACAATGACAGGTACCGTAGCATTATAGGCAGTAAGCGTAGCCTTCTTCAATTCCTCGGGCGTGCGCACGAGAAAGCCGAGCCCTCCACATGCTTCCGCGAGCTTCTGGTACTTGACTTCCCAGCCCAAAGCCCAGCTCCTCAGACCCGGTTTACCACCTTTTGTCTTCTCGTGTTTTGCCTGCCAGTTTTCGGCCGTGTCTGAGTCGCCGAAGTATATCCCGCCGTTATTGATAACAAAGATGGCGATGTCCATTCCCATGCGCGCCATGGTTTCAATTTCCATAACACTGAGGTCAAACGCTGAGTCATCCTCGATAGCAACAGTCTTTTTCCTCTTGGTAGGTCCAGAAAAAACCTGTGAAGTCAGGGCATTATAGGCTTCCGACGCAGCTATCGCGTAGGGAAGCCCGAACCCCATAGTTGCGTAGGTACCAGCGTCCAAACGTAGTCGAGGGTGCTCAAGAGGAAAAATTGAGCGGCTTATATCCATTGTGTTTGTACTTTCTGCCATGTAGCATATTCTGCCTTCTGAGGGCTGAGATAGGTTATGAAGGGTGGTTTTCATGACATCGAATGCCCGCGCGTACTTCAGAGGCATTGAAGGGCCTTGAGCTGTCAGAGACGCGATCTTCTCGTTCTTTTCCTTTGCTTGCCGAATTTTTGCCATGTATTCAGAACTGTTGAGATCGAACGTCCAATCACCGAGCCATGTCAATAACTGAGTGGCAACCACGCCTACATCTCCGAGCAAAGAATGCTCAGCGCTCTCCGAATTCCGTCCCGTTTCTTCTGCAGATATGTCGACTTGGATGAATTTGGCTTCAGGGTTCCATTTCGGCGCTTCACCATGATGGAATATCCAGTTCAATCGAGCGCCCAATATCAAGACGACATCAGCCATCTTCAGCGCTGCACTTCGCGCTGAGGACGCATTCGTGGGATGCGAATCTGGAACAACTCCTTTACCCATAGGTGAAGGAATGAAAGTTAGTTGCGTCTGATTGATGAAGGTACCGATGGGCTCTTCTGCTTTGGCGTAGGCTGCGCCTTTGCCTATGAGCACCAATGGTGCACTCGCAATCTTGATCAATGCAACGACCTGATCGATTCTGGCTTCTTCGCAGCCACCTTTTGGCGGATCAACCAATTTGGGCGTTTTACAGATAAGATCAAGGTCTTATGAAGCTATCAGATCGTTGATTACATCTGCTGGCAGGTCGACAAAGCCTGTTCCTGGCCGTCCATAGAACGCAGAACGATACGTGCTGGCAACAAGTGTTGATAGTACGTCTACTCCGACTGCTCGCACTGCAATTTTCGTATGCGGAGCTAGGAGAGATACAGAGTCAAGCTCCTGGAATCCTCCTTTGGTGACCTAATAGCTTTCGATTGAGCCGCCCAGAAGAAGGAGCGGAAAATTGTTCTCATTCGAGTTGCCAACCTTGTCATGAATTAGCTCGTTGATTCGTCGATAGAGTCGTTGAATTACTCCGGCAATAGCGTGTAAAATACCAGGACCACCGACGACCTGGCACACACCTGGCCGCCCCGTCAAATATCCGTAGGCTGTAGTTGCATAGGAGGCAGATTAGTCATTACGGAAACCTATAAACCGGATACCTGTTGTGATCGCCTGTTCCGCAATTTCGGGGACTGGTACTCCCACAATTCCAAGGACGACAGTGACACCTAGTTCTTTGAGAATCTTAGCGATGATGCTGGCGCCTGTCTCTGAGGCTTGTGAGAAAGCAGCCATCGCAAGAATTGCTCCTAAGAGGAGAAATAATTTCTGTAAGATGCCAAAGTCAATGCTTGTGTTTTCATGGTCATGCTGTTGATCAAGCGGAGTGAGGAGTCGCGAACTGAGGTTGAGAGGTCGATCGCGTCGAGGCGCTGAATCTTCGCGATCTTCACCCATTTCTCGGGACTGGGAGGAACTCAGGGCTGCATAACGTGATGTTCATATTCTTTGTCATCTACGTATATCTCCTCGCTATATTGTTCCTTCACTCCTGCGCCTGCGCGTGAGCTATTGATAGTATCACATTCCCTGTGACTTCTGCGCCTGAGCTTGTTGAAACTTGATCTCATCACCATTTAGACTTCCTGCAACCTTCAGATCAATCAACGTTGCTGCCGATCCTGGCAAATTTGGCAAGGGAGGTGCTTCGCCACTGATCTTCCTCCTCGATGATGCAGCGCTCAAAGCTAACGAGGCCCGAGGAGAAGCCGGCAGTGGCGTACTGCTTCGGGGCGGTTGGCGACGATTAAGATGTATTGTGGCTGCATTCAAGCTCGTAAATGGGCTCACCGACTCTGATGTTGACTCGGAAGGCTTCTGAGCATGTATCATCTGGTTGTGCAGAGGTAAAGTGGAAAGCGGACTTTGCCGGTAGCGTAGCGAGGCATTTCGTTCGATTGATGGGGTTGAAGTATTGACGCGAATAGCTTGCGGCGCAGGAAGAGGCGGAGTATTGCCCCTCACCCGAAGTCCTTGTATACTATCGGTAGTTGTTTGGCTCGGAGTCTTGACATGACTTTGGCCGACTGGTGTAGACTGATTCGCCGTCGTCCCTGCAGCCTGTTTTCCGTACACTGCCATTATATCGTTGAAGTCATACTCAGCAGGCAAGCGGCTCAATCTTCGAATGTTTGAAATGTTAGAGCTGATGAAGTTCGACATTCGCTTCAAGGCATAGTTTTGCTGTTGGGATTCAAACGTGCTTGGCGCTTGGGTGTTGCTGGCAGCGCGAGCAGTATGCATTTCAGCCAATCGTCGCGGCTTTTGCGTCTGAGCTTCAGTATATGATTGCGAATTCTGTGGGCTTGATTGAAGCGTTTGTTGTGCACCGGCAAAAATTTGTGCAAAGTTGACGTTGAGACCTGAGCGTGCTTGTAGCCCAGGAACAGAATCGTCACTGCTAGCTAAAGACAGTGGCTTCGCGAGAACGAAGAAAGACCCATCCACAATCTTTTTGCGAAGATTGTGCCAGCGTGTGCGTGCTGGATTGTTCTCAATCTCGGGATGATACACTGATTGCTGCGATAATGACCCATAATAAGCATCTAGGTGCGCCGCGATTCGTTCGAGGATGGTCAGCAAGTATGAAGCAAGCTTGACCTGCTTCGAATTTGCGGACTCATCCATGACAGCAACCAAATCGAATGCATCCATGCCTTGTGCTGTTTCATCACGGATCTGTTCCAAGAAACTGATGTCCAGTTCGGTCACCGTTTGGGCGTATTTTAGAATGCCATTTTCGTGGAAGCGTGCTGCTTTCGCATTGTTGCTCACGAATTGTCCGATCTCCGATGTCTCGCGCATGCTTTTCGCTGCACTTTGTCCAGACTGAGCGCGAGTGATGGCCCCGATGACATCCGGTAGACGAACATCGGATGTGATACTGCTCGCCAAAGAGTAAGATATTTTGAGATATATCTCCTGGAGTTTTGCTCCAAAGAGGCTCGAGAATCCGTTCTGTAGCAGCCGCGACTGAAATTGATAGAACTTTCTCACGCCACCAATGTTTAACATTCCTCCCGAAAACCAAATTTTGGAATCCTCTAGGATGTTTGTCGTTTCGAAATACAGTGTCGTTAGGCTCTCGATACTCGTCCGCATGTACTGGTACCACATATCGTACAATCGACTGATTTCCGCGTTTGCGCATTTCGGCTTGGTGCCCAGGTGTCCGATGAAATATTTTGAGAGAAGGGAGGAGACTTCCGGATTAGTGTCGTGTGCAAGCTCGTGGAACGTCTTTGTCGCATCCAGCCCAGCACTCGCGGCAACAATCAGTGTGCCTCCAGGGTGCATTGGTAGGAAGTCTGTGACATCGTACACTCCTCCATGGACACCTATCCACATCCTCGAACCTTTCCTGTGCCCCGTATGTAATGCTAGTTTTGACATCGGAATCGTTGGCGTACTCATCGACATGGATCGAGGAGACATGAAGATGTCCAGCATGAACCGTCGCTCAGCAAAAGCTGTGGCTAGCAAGGAGTCTGCTGTAGATTGCGTGGAAGCCTGGTACTTGTAAATGGCTTGCCGGATCCCAGACATTACAGTTTCGTAAACAGATACGGATCCGCAAACGTACAGGTGTCCCCCGAGGCCACCTTGACTTCTCGACATGACCAGTTCTGATACAAGCCTGCCCTGTTCAATGATCGTGCTGTCTATGTAGCGAGGCTCTGTCTCTTGCTCGATTAGCTCTCGCATAACGGGGTCATATACCAGTCCCTTGTGATCTCTCGAAAATGCTGTGTGAAGCTCCAATGAGCCGTTTTGTACCAGACTGCGCAATTCTGCCTCATGTACGAATTTCTCGCGAGATTGAACACCAATGAATAAGACGTTGCGTCCAATACCGGACTGAATGCGATTCTGCCAAAAGCCCCTGAAAGGAGCAATGCCGGACCCGCCCGCGAACATCGCAACCGGGGCAGTCGAGGAGGACGGTAGCTGAAACTGGATCGGTCTAGACACACCAATCAAAACAGGCTCTTCGTTGGCGGTTTCATCGGAATGTTCTAGGGTCCCTGGGGCAGGGTTGAGAAAACCACTCGATACTCCATAAAGAGGCAGCGTAGGTTGCACGCTCTCGAAGATGGGATCACGTCCACTTTCGGTACGGGAGACTGTGAGATCGATGGTGCTTGGGAGGAGCTCCATCCAAGATGAGTTGCTGATCGAGTACGTGCGAGGTACTTCCAGCTTAAGCAGTTTCGGGAGCCAGGCGAGATTCTCGAGGCTGAAGGCGCGATCCCAGATCTCTTGTGGCACCTCCGAAATAGCAAGCTGTAGGAGGTCACCAAAGCTCCCTTTTACCGGCCACTCATTTGATTGAAGGATGCTGAGTATGCTTGTAGATGATGAGTGGAGTACATGGTGTATCGAAAGTACCAGGTCTTTGGTCAGAGGTGCCAAGTGCCCCCTCTTGAGAATGTCCTTGACGGTCAAGCTTACATCCGGCTTCTTGGAGATAAGCTGAACGTGCCTTGAAAACCGTTCCCACTCTGAACCCTCGTCGACAGGCACAACTCTGCTCATCAACGTGTCCAAGCCAAGTGCGGCCACGACTTTCGCAATCTCATGGCCTGCGTTAATTGGCATTACAGCGAGTCGATCGCCAGGCTGAAACGTGATGCCGGTATCCGCCAAGTCGAATGTCACCTGCACAAGTAGAGTTAAGAAGTCAGTGTATGCTTCATGATCAGCTAGTGTAGAATAACACATACCATACCAGTCGACCGGGAAGGGTCGCGATCAACGGTTTGCCTGTCTCGAATTTTGGCTTGGAAACGGCATTCTTCGAAACTGCCTCGCATCTGATGTGGCTCGACCTTGACTTGTCCACGATATGGGTTAAGCCTCTCTTTCATAGAGTCGGAGAGGGTGCGGTGTACTTCTTCCCACGGGCGTCCTTCAGAGTCACCCGCGCCCGAATTACCATTGGTCTCTGATCGCCCTGTTTTGGCGACCACTTCCAGGAAGCCGTAGACTTTGTAGCGATGAGTTCCCATGAAGCCCCGTTCACCTGCGTACGACTCGATGATGCCCTCTAGAACACCTTCCAAACGTGCATCACCACTTGCTTTGACGTATTCAGGAACGCGGTAATGCTGCTCAATCGCTGTGATGAATGCTCGTATATTCAATGGCAGCCATCTCCGCAAGTGAATTGCTTCAACGCCAAGGAAGGAGGTGTAATTTGTTCGGCCGATGAATGCATCCATCAGTAGGAAGAGAGGGAGAGCGAGTCCAGAAAGTGCTGGCACACGTTTGGAAAGAGGCGCGGAGAATTTGGCGTAGCGCTGGCCCCATTCGACCGGATTTGCAAATTGTTCGCCAGCGTTCGGATTGACGCTGATTTTGTGGAACACGTAGGGTACTAGCTTCGTCAGTCGTGTTTCTTGTTGGAGCGAAGGGTGACGGGATTAAGGATACTCACGCTGATCGACGAGCTCTTTGAGTCCTACCATGTTCCTCAATAATGCCTCGGAATCTCGGTTCATCACGGCTTCCTGACATCGAACTACGACCTCCACACCGGATTGGAAGCAGCCGTGAACTTCGGCCATACACTGAAGGAACATCGCCTCACCGCGATCTTTGAAGACCTGTCACAATTAGCACGAGAGTTTTAGAGAGCAAAGGGTACCTACAGGCCATCGCAGGTCCATGTTCTCAGTCCTGACTAGGTATGGTTGAACACTGGTCGGATCGCGAAGTTTATAGTTGTATATCGACACATCGAATTGTGTCAGATGAGGCAGAGCTCGCCCCATTCGTGTGCACACCTGACGTAGCGGTATTGTGATATTCCTGGGGATGCCTCTCGTCTCTTCTTCTTCATCGTCGTCACCGTGTATGTTTTTGAAGGCAGACTGTGGCGCAACGACACTGACACCCTCGTTGCCGTCATTGACCTCCTCGTACCTGTAAACACTAGCCAATATGCCAAGACACACTGTGGCTGCCCACAAGGCTCGGTCGGGAATGTAGTCTGAGGTGCCATATACCAAGGGCAATGAGAGTATAGAGGTGCGCATGTTGCCACGGGCGACAACGCCGGGCATGCGTTCGCAAAGATCCGACCATACACGGCCAGGTGAGGCACGAAGCGCTACAGGTGAGTCTGATGGATCTGGAGGTAGGAAGCCGTATTCAGATGACAAGTATCCGTCTTTCCATCCGGTTTTAGGTCCAATTTCTTCAGCTCGTGCTAAGACCCTCCTGGCAGGGGCGCCTAATGCAAGCGCGAGTAGATCATCGTCTTCTGGTTGCAGGACATCTGCATTCTTTAGGCCCTTTGTTAGGGACCGTGCTGGTGCTTGTGGCATAAGAACTTCATTGAGAGCTTTGCGTTCCTTGTGGTGTAGGGTATCTGGGTCCTCCGTGTTCTGATCACGTCAGTACCTTCTGTGGACAGGAGTTGATGTGAATTACGAACTTCTCTGTAAGTGATAGATGCATCCAGGTTCGGCTGGAAAACGGCGAATGCGCAACCTCGTGGGCCGACTCGTCCTGATGGGCATGTAGAGCCATGCTGGCCACTGACTGGACATGATCTCAGCGACATTATGTTCAACTCCGATTCCCTATTAGTATGCTCAGGCTTGCGACGAGCGAGAAATATAAATACAGTATAAAAAACGGCACCGGGCCTGACGAACTGAAGTTACTAGGATTGAAAAAGAACGTATAGTGAGTGGACACAAATGGCACATTCGAACGACAGGTGAGAAGGTTTTATTCTAAAGATTCGTATTGTTACCTTAATCGCCCTCATGTTCCAGATAGGCCCACATTTTGTCAGGGATGACAAGCGGCAGCTAGCGTCCACTTCGACGGGATTGTCCCCATGCATCTTACAGCTTCACGATGTTCGTGAGAGCTGTAGTTGGTCAGCACGTGGTGCGGGTACGTCCGTGTTACGACGCCGAGCTCTGCTAAGGCTGCCTCAGCGTATCGATCGTTCCTAGACCTACAGAGGGAGGTGTCAGAGTGCGTTAGAAGAACATCCAGGATGTGCGGGGAGAAGTCTGTTCATGGTCGCCAGACGGGATGTTGTGTTACAAGCGTTCACTCTTCGTAGCTAGCGATGCGACAACCAAGCTCAAAGCCACATCACGACGATCGCGCGGACTTTCGGGGGTCGGCACTGTTCTGCCATATTCCTTCTCAATACCAGATGACTCTAGCATTAAGTCCAGAGAAAAGCAGCCTGGATCCGCAGCGAGGATGACCTGTGTTCAATCCGGAAGACAGTCCGAAGTAAGCTGAAACGTTGATCTGCCCAGATGGTCGTCAACGTAACCCTGCCAAGGGGCCCAAGAACTTCAGAACTTCGCAGCTGTCGGAGAGTTTATTTTGCCATCTGCCTTCATTCGTTGCTCTGCAACATTATTCGCTGCCTGTGTCATGCATGATTGTTCGATGTTCTGATTGCCCAGGCGGACGAGTACGCGAGTGTGTCGCGTCAAGGCGCACGGCAGGCCGCATGAGGAAGGGTTGGCATTACGAGCTGCAAATTGGCATGTGAGAAGGACGCGCGGTAACTTTTGCAACGTTGTGGCGACGGGTTGCGTTCTCCAGGCAAAAGCAGTGAGAAATGTGTCTGATAGGACTGGTGAAGGCTCGAGCTTGCATGTTCTTGGATAGCTGAATGACCTCGAAGGCTGCCTCTCCTAAATTCTCCTTCACACAAGTCCTCACTTGCGGACGGTTTCATGGTTTGTTCAGGGCTGTGTAAGCCTAGTGCAATCACTCTCGCGCACTCCGGCCTTGCAGCAGCATGAGTCTACATATTATCTCTCTGCCCGGGTGCAGCTGGCTCACTGTATTAGCTACATCAATTTCCACTTACGCCCACGAGTGTGAACACTTGTCTCCTGGAATAGAGTACGAATCCATCAATAGGTCAGGATAGTAGAATAATAGCGTGGCTTGTCCTCTAGTGCTCAAGCAATCGCATCCCCAAAAGGTGAACCCTCCCTGCACTCCAAGCCTGGCTTGTGATCCATCAGATCAGATCTGGTACAACAAGTAAGAGACAGCGGAGAAATTGGAGCATTTTCCTGTTGTCTTGTAGTTCTTCGGGCCCTTGTCATTGACACGCGATCTCTCTTGCCTACCAGTAATGTGTTCGAATTACGCGTAGGGAGCAGACCACTTTCATGGCGCCGGGCATTAAGGAAGCTCGGTACAAACCTGGTTCCTGCAGCCAGAGAACGCCGTTGCTTGCTATTGTAGGCACGGTCGCGTTTGCACCTGCCCATTACCTGCGACTCCACGGCCTCAACAACACACCATCACGTCATTGCCAAACAATACGAACTGCCGCTCTGTCTTTCATCTGTCAACTCACACATGCAAAGTAACAACGGCCAGACTCTCCACCAGGCCAGCAGCCCTAAACTACAACCCGATCTCAACAATGTCCTCCTCCCCCAAACTATCATCCATGATGTCTGGCGCCACTGAGAAGCCGGGTTCTATGCGGACATTAGATTTGCTCAAGAAGTCGCAAGATGCTCCGGCTGACGACCCCTTGGTCGGCATCGTTAAAGATGTCATCCACAAGCTCCAGAACAACCCCACCAGCATCACCACGGAAGATGCTCGCCGTTTATCCGAGAACACCGTTGTCAGCGACTTGCAGACGGCGAAGATCATCTCTGCTGTTGAGGCTATAGCTTCTAGCAGCGCGATCATCCACCAGGTTGATCCCACACTGGGCCAGGCTCCTCGCACTTCTCTTCCCACGATCATCACCGACTTGAAGGCTGCGGTCGATCAGAACCCTAACGATGTCACAACGGAGGTCCTCAAGAACGCCCAGAACGTCGTCAGCAGTAAGTCCATGGCACTTCGCCGAATGGAATAAGTGTACTGACGTGCAATTAGAGATGCAGAAAGCTGTCGGCCACACAAATGCGCCTCACCCCGAATTACAGGCCCAGCTCCGAGAGGAAATCGCTAAGATCGAGCCCAAGGTTGCCGAAGGCACCGTCACCATTGAGGAAGCCAACCACCTTCACTCTCTCGAGGCCCGTGCCCATGGCCACACCGAAAAGGGCGGCATCACCTCCATCGCGCAGTCGGTCGCTGCTAAGCGTGAACGCCAGCTCTCTCTCAGCAGCGGTTCTGGCTCCTCTGGCATCCGTTCACGTGCCAACAGCAAGACCTTCATACCCCAGGATCAATCTCGTCTTGACAAGGAATCCAACCCAAAGAATGCCGAGGATGCTATCAAGCCCGGGATTGAGCAAGGTACCGCCTCTGAGGACGACGTCAAACTCCTCCACTCATGCGAGACACGGGCTCATGGACATACGGAAAAGGGTGGTTTGGCTTCTTCTGCTCAGTCTGTTGCCGCGAAGAAGCGCCAGGACTCGCTCAGCGACCAAACCAATCTCACACCCGAGGCACGTAAGAATCTGACCAAGCACGAGCATGAGATTAGCCAGAAGCTTGCAGACATGTCCGTTGGCTCCCAGGCCAAGGTTTGAGCTGGGGCAGTCATCTAGGTGACGTGATGGCTGCACGGTTACAGTCCGAACGTCAAACTGAGGAAGGACATCAGGGATGAAGCATCGATACCATGAGCATGTGTAGTCAAATGTATAACTAAATGTATAACTAGATATATAGCTGAATGTATGAGGAATTGAAATGCGAAATGACAGTACAGGCAAGTTCAAAGTCACACAAGCAGCATCGTTCACTTTCTTTGGGCCATGTGGCATGGTCGTATACGTCATCATTACTGAAAGTGTGGTTGATACACATCTACAATGTTTTACCACTCTGTTCAATGCAAGCCGAAGCCATTACGTATTAATTCAACTGTTCACTTCAAAGCTTCTCTACTTGATCTCGGCTTTTGCTAAAGCATTTGCCAGGTCGTCAACCTTCTTATCCTTTTGCTGCGCCACGTTGCTCTCTTCGGCAAGCTTGTTGTCGACGATTTGTCGTGCGGTCTTCTCTTCAACCTCGACACCCTCCTCGTCGCTGTCCTCACCATGCTTCGCCTCTGCGTCGCTCTCCTCGTCTTCCTCATCATCGTCGAGCTCATCGAGCTCATCGAGACCCCAGTATTCCTCATCGTCCTCGTGTTCGCCGCTCTCCTCCTTCCGTGCGTCGAGCACTTCGCGGAGCTTGTCGATGCTCGAATCGTCCTCGCCGAATTTGTTACCGTTCAACTCAACACGGCGGAGGGCGGGGAGCGAGCTAGACGCAGCAGAAGTAAGACCAGCAAGACCCTTGGCGTTGATGTCGTTGAACTGCAGGCGCAAGACCTCGAGCTTCTTGTTCTGGCCCTTGGCAAGGGCTGACGCGAGAGCAACACCACCACGACCGCCCAGCAAGCAATCACCAACGCCGAGCTCACGCATCTCTGTCCACTTCCCAACGACGCTGCCAAGGGCGTTTGCACCCATGGCTGTGAAGGTGTTGTCCTGAAGATCGAGGGTTTCGAGCTTGGAGAGATGCGAAAGACCATGGGCGAGGAGATGTGTGATACCTTCTTGCCGGATACCGTTCTGTGTCATCTTGATGGTCTTGACTCCGCTGTTCGCTGCGTAGGCCTTGGCCCATGCCTGCATACTGCCAGTCTCGAGGCGGTTGCGCCCGCAGATGACGAGCTCGAGGTCAGGCACCTGCTTGCCTTCCTTACGCGCAGCCTCCTTCTTTGCGGCAAGCGCAGTGAGCGCGTCGGCCACGAGGACACCGGCAGCGGGGCCGAGACCATTGTTGTTCAGGTACAGGTAGCGCAGTGGCGTGTGCTGGGAGAGGAAGTCGACAAGTGGGGCTACAGTGTTGAGACCGAAAGCATTGTCCGAAAGGTCGACGGTGTGGAGTTCGGGGAGGGAGAGGAGAGCAGTGACGAGGTGGGAGAGCGCAGGTGGGATCTCGGACAGGAGACGCGATGTGAAGATGTCGGCGAGGTTCGCGACCTGTCCCGCACGTCAATCACGCTCGTCCTGGATAGAGGGACTACTCATGGCGATTTGACATACCTTGAGGCTCTTCTTGGTCTCGAGTACCTTTGCCAGTGCCTCGCTAGCTTCCACACCGAGAGTGTTGCCCAAGAACCTGACCTCCTCAACCTGGTCATGTGCCTTCAGGTCCTGAATGTGTGGCTCAATGTCCTCGGCCGTGGTGAGTTTGAGGCCCTTGCCCTCGATCGAAAAGATTTTAGATCCCGACATTGTGCACAGAGACTCGTACAGCAGGCTGTACAAAGGTTCCAAAAGTGAGGTATTGTATTGGCAGAAAGTTGGGGGCAGTTGTGGTGCGGCCGGACTGTTTTGGCGTGGTGGGGTTTATTTGCACACGAACACGAAAGGAAGCGTGGGCCTAGAACATCCCTGCAGCGAGGCTGCGAGGCTGCGACTGCGTGGGAAAGCGCAGGGACTCGACCGAGTGGCGCCGCGGGAATGCCAAGCCAAGTCGACTGATGACATGCGAGAGCCGCCTCGAGGAAAGTTCGCGCATGGAATTGTGGATTGCTAAGCAACAAACTTCACTTCACCACCACACCACCACCACCACACAATGTCGTCAGGTATGTACACTTTTTCATCCATGTGCTTAGAAGATGTGCATATTGCTAACCGGGCAATCTAGCACCACCAACCGCGGCCAACATGGGCTCCGACTTGAAAGACAGCACCGCACCTCAAAAGGTACGCCAATTGAGGCCACGCAAAGATCGTGCACTGACGCATAGGTAGGTCAAGCCGTGTTGCGTATGCACCGAGCAAAAGGCAAAGCGCGACGAGTGCATGTTGTTCTCCACCTCCAACGACGCCCAGAAGGAATGCGCCGACCTCGTAGGACAGTACAAGCAGTGCATGGCCGGATACGGCTTCAAAATATAAGCTCCATTTTGACAGATGTATGATACGATACGAGGAACGATAATTGTACAACATCGAGCATGGCATGGCGCAATACTTGGGGGCTACATGCGACATTGAATGTACAGTATAGGAACGGTCATGCTTCTCTCTCCAAATCTAGATGGGTATCTTGTAAGAATGTCGAAATAATGCAACGTGATGCCATCACACCTCTACAACGTCTTGCTCTTGGCAGCGCCAAAAAGTTCGCTCTTAGCAATCAATCGCCACAAGCACCAAAGGTAGCACAGGCCGAATCCGCCGGTCCCGACAATAGCATTTGCGACGATCCAGAGATCCGGCTTGTCGGCAGGAGGCGGAAAGAAGGCCTCCGCAACGTGCCAGCCGACCATGGCCATGTAGATGTTGAGGTGGAGTATCTTGCTGATCAGATTGAGTCCACTCCGGCTTCCTTCGTGATATGCCGAGAAGGACACTGGGGGCAAGCCAACTAGGTAGGCCCAGAGGAGGGAGATGACAAAGTATGGAACGCGAAGTTCGTCTCTCTTGAGCAGCGGGTACATAGTCCAGACACCGAGCATGTTGGCTAGTCCGACCCAAGCGCGAGTAGATGGTAACAATCCCTCTTTGCCACTTAAAAGAAGCGTCATGGGCAGCAATGGAAGCAATACGTTTTTCTCGTGAACCTGATACGAGCAAAGGAAGAAGCCCCAGGAAACAGCCGCAAAAGCAAGAGGCAGTAGTGACCTCTTGGGCTTGAAGAATATGATCAGACATGGCGGCAGTATAGCTGCTGAGGTTGCACCCAGAGCCAAGCGCTGGAGGAGTTCGATAGGGTATCGATGGAGCTTGTGGAAAGTGTGGACGGTGCACCAGATGTTGGCGACTTTGTCTTCAAAAAGACCGCGCGAGAATGGGAAGATACGATGGACAGACTGCGCCAGCTGCAAAGCGAATGGGTAGTACCAGGCCTGCGCGTCCCAGTCCATTGGCAAAGACTCCATGAGAGGCGGTAGAGGAAGCTTGTCGTACGCGATGCCCTCGTAGACATCATACGCAACGCCCAGCATGAATGGCAGATACAAGACAGCGAACGCGGCCACTGTGGTCAAAGCAATGGCAAGGAACCGCACGATATTGATCCTTGGAAACAGACATATGCCGAGCAGGTAAGCAAAGACGGCTGGCGCGTAGAATAGCGCCATCTGCTTGAAGCCCAGCGCACCGACGAAGAAGACGCAGCCCCACAGAGGCCTGCCAGCTATCATGCTCGACATGGTTGCGACTGCAAACCCAAGCATGACCGTATTGTATTGGAAATGTCCATGGTCGATCAGAATGGTCGCAGGCTGCATAAGGATTGCTACCAGGGCAATTGAGGCCTCCCAGATGTTGACGCCCTCGAGGCGGGAGTAACGGCGAAGGAAGATGACGACCGCGGGTATGTAGGCGAGATATTCGGAAACGAAGACAGTCGCACGCATGAAGACCTTGAGGGAGGGATCGTCGAGAGCTCGCGACTCGTAGAGCTCGAACCATTCGGGGTTGATTGCAGAGCCACTGCAGGAGTCAGCCACCATCGTTCCAAGCTGATGTAGGTATTCCACTTACATGATGCCTAGGATCCAGCTATGGTATGCCGTAAGTGGAGGGTAGTCCAGTCCCCACCATTGCAGGTCATAGAAGTACCATTGAGACACGGGCAAATGCTTCGTAATCTCCATCCAGTGACGCTGCGCTTCAAAGTCCCCGTGCATTGGCGGCGACTGGAAGCCAGAGTAGCCCCATAAGCTGGTGGTCCATCGGAACAACCCCACGACCATCAGCACCAGAGGAATCGTGACCCATTGCGACACAGTACCCTTCGCGGGCCAGAGGAATGCAACGAGCGGAAAGGCCGGTTTTCGTACGTTGGTAGATTCATCGAGATCGAGTGTCCCGTGATTCACGTGCGCGAGGGAGCCTTCTTCAATCTTTCTCCTCCGGCGTGGTTTGTGTGCTGGCGAGGCCATGGCCATGTGGGCGCGACGGATGGCGTTTTCTCTCTATGTACTCGTAGCCGATGAAGTCTTCTTCCAGAGTCACCAAATGTAACACCAGGCGGCCTTGAACATATGGTATACAGTCCGCTGCACAGCTGCAGAGTCGTCAACGTCCGGATGGCTCCACTGCGCACTCCCGCTGGCGCACTCGAGGACCCTCTCCTCTTGAGCTAGGGCAAAGCGGTGCATTAGCGCTGGAGCACTGGCCACGGGTCCACTAAAAAGTCGAAATCTTGGCGTGAAAAGTGCGCCGCAGATAAAAGGTTGCGACAGCCACCCATCACTTTTCTCTTCCACCACCATCATCACCACCTTTGTCGCCTTTTACCTCGCACATATTCAGTTCGAGATCTACTTGAGGGCTTTCCGAGGGCTTCTAGTTACAACTGAGGGCTATACACAGATTTCATCTCTGCATCTACCAGAACACATTCAAGTCAGTGGGCATCGCGTTGAGTTTCCTTAACACACACATTCAGCGGGGCACGTTCGTCGCTCGTCAGAGCACAACAAGATCAATCTGAGGGCTTTTTGCTACTATGAGGGTTATCGTCTTGTCTTCTCGGCACTTGTGGGAACACACGCCTTGAGGCCAATTCTTCTGTGGGCTCTTGTGGGCTTTCCGTGGGCTTGAGGGGACATCCGCTTCGGCGGTCTCGAGAGATACCAGTGGGCTTTTCGCAATTTGAGACATCCAGTTGAAGCAGGCTTCCGGCGCATTCCATCTCCTTCGGGAGTCGCCGCACGAACAGAGGGCCTCGTCCCGCCTTTTCTTTCTTCTTTCCCCGCAACATCGACTCATTGTCGCCATTTGCACCATACTGATTCTATGTAGATCTAGTCAACCACCATCACCATGGGCAAGACCAAGGTTACCGACAAGTCCTCCAAGAAGGAGAAGAAGCCCGAGGTCTCTGGCGTCAAGGCCGGCCGCGTGACCAAGCCTGCTCAAGCCACCAAGGCCAAGAGCAAGGACATTGCCAAGTCTGCCGTCAAGGAGAAGAAGAAGTCGAAGAAGGCCAAGACACCAACACCCGAGCCTGAGTCCGACTCTGAGTCCAGCGCCAGCGAGGATGACGATGAGAGCTCTGCCAGCAGCGAGGACGAGAAGGTTGTGAAGAAGTCCGCCGCCAAAGATTCTTCCGACTCCGACAGCGATGACAGCAGCGACAGCGAGGAAGAGGCCAAGCCCGTAGCGAAGACCAACGGCGCTGCCGCCAAAGACGACAGCTCCGACTCCGACTCCGACAGCAGTGCATCTGAGGATAAGAAGCCTGCCACCAAGGCCGCGAAGGCTGAGGTCAGTACATCAAATCTTTGACTCATCGATCAAAGCTAACTTCGGCAGACCTCTGACTCTGACTCCGACTCTGATTCCGCCGATTCCGACAGCGACAGCGAACAGGAGGCACCCTCCAAGAAGCGTAAGGCTGAGGCCGCCGCTGAGCCTGCCGTCAAGAAGACAAAGACCGAGGCGCCTGCATCAGAGGGAATCAAGAACCTCTTCGTTGGTAGCTTGAGCTGGAACATTGATGAGGACTGGCTCCGCCGTGAGTTCGAGGGCTTCGGTGAGATTACGGGCTGCCGTGTCATCACCGACCGCGAGAGCGGCCGCTCCAAGGGCTTCGGCTACGTCGAGTTCGCCAGCGCCGCCGATGCTGCGAAGGCCAAGGCTGAGATGCACGAGTACGAGCTTGACGGCCGTGGCCTCAATGTTGACTTCAGCACTCCCCGTGAGAAGCCTGACCAGAGCGCTCGCGCCAACAAGTACGGCGACAAGCGCAGCGCTCCTGCCAACACCCTTTTCCTCGGCAACCTCTCCTTCGACTGCTCCAATGAAGGTATCCAGGAGATCTTCCAGGAGTACGGCAACATTACCCGTGTTTCGCTCCCTACCGACCGTGACACTGGCTCCCTTAAGGGCTTCGGATACGTTGACTTCGGCACCGTTGAAGAGGCTACCGCTGCTCTTGAGGCACTCAACGGACAAGAGGTTGAGGGCCGTGCTATCCGCATCGACTATGCCGCTCCCCGCGCTGACAATGGCGGAGGTGGTGGCTTCGGCGGAGGTCGCGGTGGAGGCCGTGGAAGCTTCGGCGGTGGTCGTGGAGGCGGCCGTGGTGGCTTTGGCGACCGTGGCGGCCGTGGTGGCGGTCGTGGCCGTGGAGGAGATCGTGGAGGTCGTGGCGGTCGTGGTGGTTTCAGCACCAACCGTGGTGGCTTCGGCGAGTTCAAGGGCCAGAAGAAGAGCTTCGACTAAACTTCTCGCCCCTGCGCCTTACTGCCTTCACATTCCCTGTATCTGATTTGATCATTTCGATGGTAAGTTATGGGTCGTTGAATAATGCCCTTGTGGCACGGTCAATGGCTCTGGGCTTCGGCTGTCTGTTGATGATGTTACGATACTATATGGATGAGATCTCTCTTTCTGGATGGCGTTCATGGTCTCCATAGGTAAAAGTCTTAGTTTCCTGTCACCACTCGCTCTCTAGTATGAGTTGAGCCTGGTGTATGTATATAGTGTCCAATGCTATTTTCTCAAACATTTTTCGCTTTGCACGCTGTGATGTCTGGGTATGTGTGTTTGTAAGCAGTTGCAAGAACACAAAGATAATGTCCAATATCCTAGTCTATCCTTTTCCTGTGGCGGCCCAGAGGGTCGCGCCTTGTCGCGATGGCTCTAACTAGTCCACAAACACTAGGTATCTTGTGGTACTCCAGAAAAACTCCAGTGCTCGCTTGCCTCCACCGCGTTTCATACTGTATCTATCGCCATTGCAAAGCAATATGTCTCGTGATTCACTTTGAGTGTATACACAACCAGACCGGTGTTCAACATCCTCTTAAGCTCCTCCTGAATGAAAGTTGCGGCCTTCAATCCTCGAACTTGTTATCAACCTTCGCTGTCATATGATATCAATCTGGACAGACGGCCTACACAGTCACATACGGAAGCGACAATGGTTCAAGCTCAGCACAACAGCTAAACTGTTCGAGTCGCAGGCCTCACTGCCATTGACTGAACAGGCCAAAGCTCATAGCGCCAGCGACTATGATCAAGTCAAGACCATTGTTGCACCCTGTTGACACATATTCAATGTGTGTCTCCAGCAATTTGAAGTCGCCATTATCGGGCAAATAAACTTCAGGAATCCACCAAAAGCCAACCCCGATAAGCCTACCATCATCACTATTGACTTTATAAGGGAAAAGGAGAGGAACTTGTTGTTCGCAACGGGGGCAGATACACTCCCTCCACTTCTATCACCATGTCTGCAAGCCGGCATATCGAAACTCAACATGTGCGACGCGAGCATCCATCTTCTCTTCGACCACATACAGCACGCACTGTAAGACATCGGCGCTACTGTCGAATGGCTCACGCCTACGCCCAACTCGCGCATAGTGTTTCACCATAGCTCCGTACAGTCAGATCCTCGAGTCCGGCATAGTATGTTTGCCATCACAAGTCGACACGGCAACAGGTTTGCTGCAGACTCCACGATCGAGCAATTCGGCTTCAAGCCGGACATGTGGTTCCAGACACAAGGGGAGTATTTGGACAAGTGTACATGCGATAATAAGCACAAAACAGCAGATATGAATGAACGAACTAAGAGAGATGAGAGGTGCGGTGTTGGTATGGATCGGGTTGTGCAGTCACTTTGCAATGATTTTGACATGGTCGAGTGGAAAGGGCTAGATTCGGAGTTAAGGGTGGGATGGTCGGAGCAAATTGTGAGGTAGGCATGTAAAAAAGCGTTTGAAGACGATGAGGGAGAGAAGAGGGCACCAAGCTGGTCGGAGGATTGGTTAGCTATGCCTTGAGATTCTTTTGAACAGGCAATCCCGGACATCAGCGGTCTCGTATGTATTTTCATCATCCTAGACAATTGAGCTACAGTTGTTACAACTTGCCTCCTACTTCGCGAGAGTCCGCATCTGGCATCAACAAATTGGCAAAAGAAAAGGCGGAGCAATAGAGGGGAGAAGCCGAAATATTAGATGGGGGACACGTGTCCACATATCACAGATGTGCTCATCGAATGTGATCAGTAGTGTGCAATACTTGCGGACGAACACAGTGGCGACAGTGGGAGGCCTTAAACTCTCAAAACACTCAAGCCTCACATGGTGTCGTCCCAGATCCGCTTCACCCGGAGGATCGGGTTTTGATAATCAAAGTCCAACCTTCCTCTAACCACCGCCCTCAACATCAGCCCTCTTTAGCCTTGTCAATCACATGGAGCACGATGCTGGTTTGATAAGTTTCTAGCCCCCACTGCTACCGGTGAGAAGTTGACGTCTCGGCTACCCGCTCAGCAACTGCACTACGCGTACGGCACAGCTATTGTGACGTAGTCTGCACAATGCAAAGGGCCGACAGCGCGCAGTTTAGCAATGTGTATACTGCAGGACAGTGCTCTTTATCTCATCGCAGCGGGAAGTGAGTGCGCTATTGACTGTGCCGCTCACGACGGAAAGACGGAGCACACATCGCGGCGAAGTCATAAGCCACCACCCACATTGTTAAGCATTTCTTAGCGTGGCGCTTCCCATTCGCTGGACGTATGATGGGACTTTGACCGGTTTTCTTTTGGGCGTAGCGGCGCCCTGCGCAGTGGATGGCGAGCGTGTTCCCGTCGCAGAGTGACCGCTCGTTTGGGGGCCATTTGCGAGCGATAGCAAACTCGTGGGTGAAGAAAGAGCGGTCGCGGTGAAGTGCGCGCTGCAATACCCCCGCTCCGCGCGTCAACGACGCAAGTTCCTGCGTGAAGCAGAGTAATTGCACAATTGGCGTTGCAAACCTCGACCTCGGGGCGTGCTATTGTGCGAATGCTGGGATAGTTCGTATTCTAGGGCGTGCACGCGTGTTCTTGGCGTAGGCAGCAGCCCTCATTGAGGCTTAGCACGGCCTGCAACGTGATTCCTCTCAACCTCACTCCCGCCAACGTCGACGTCTCTTCTATCCCCTCTGCCCGCAAACCTTTCTCCATACAAACCGCTTGTCCCACCTGGATCTTGTCCTGAGGCTTCAACCCCTCTCATTTCGACGTCTCTCCGCCCTTCTTGCGTCTTTTGCCGCTTGCCGCCCGTCTTACTCCGACTGCTGCTGCGCCTTCTATATACTGCTCACTACCCCCGCCAGGCGTGTGAAAGGACCGCCGCGCCCTTCAACTTACAGCTCTCCATTGTTGCCCATTCCAGCCTATCATTGCACGGCACTCCGCGGCCGCCAAACCGCTTCCCTTCTGTGGTCAATGAGAAAGTGAATCTGGATCCGCTTCAATTCACGCTTGATCCAAAGGATCTCGGGTTCTGTAAAGTCTACAGGTGCAGTGACTCATAGCCTGAGGCCTTCCACTCAATCCGAGCTCAGGTGCGACCAGTCATCGACAACATGTCTGCACCCCACGGCCAGAACAGCCACCCCCGTCGCCGGCCTATTAATGGCCAGACCTCCCCTCTCAACACGCATGGCATGTCTCTTCGCAAGAGTGACACTTTCTCTTCGCCAAAGAACTTGTCTTCCGACATTTGTGGTCTGGAGAATCAACCCTTCATGCCCCGTCGGTCGCCAACCAGTCCGGAGAGCCTAGTAGCGCTCCTCGACCAGCACTCCAACGTTCGTCGCATCACCAACTTGCTCGAGGGCCTCGACAAGCAGCTTTCCGGACACAAGGCGGCCTCAGCCATCGCTGCCAACATCCTTGCCGACCCTGAAGTGCTGCCGGTCCCCAGTTTTGTTCTCGACAACGCTACTCTGGACACCACCCCAATGGAGCTTGACTCAAAGCCATCTGCAGTCCAACGCAACACCCACGAGCACGCTTCTGATAGCGGTCTCGGATCCAGCATTGGTGGATCAAAATACGGTAAGCGTCCATCGCAGCTACCCGTCTTGGGAGCCCCGCCTTCTGACATACTTAAAGACGCTGCTCGCACTCAACCCTCCAGTGTCAGTGATTCCGTCAACACCTCCATCACGTCAACCCACTCTGCTATCACCCGGTCCATGTCGTCATTGGGCGCTTCGGAGGAGAAGCACACCCTTGGCGAGTACGCGTGCCAGCAGATTCACGATAATATTATCAAGCCTATCCTCGCAGAGGAGTCTTTGAAGGACTTTCACCCCCTGATCCAGGACGTTCCACGACGCATAGGTGAGAAGAGTATTTGCAACCTCCGCGACCTTGAGAAGACCCTTATATTCTTGGCACCGGTAAGTGAAATCAAAAATTCCCCCTCTCTGTATGCAAAAGCTTATTGCATTCTTCGTGGATTAAAGGAGCTCTCGGCCTCGGCGACTTCTTACCTCCAATTCTGCGAACTATCAATTCAACTTCTGCACGCAACCGTCGAGCAACTGTCCGAACAAGACCAGCGCCTACCATCCGACCGCCCGTACACTAACAACTACTTCCTTGATTTGGCTGAGCAGATCCAACGATACGCCAGAATTATGGCTGCAACACGACAAAAAGAATCCAAGGGCGAGTCACTAGACGACATGGATTACTCCCGGTATGATCGCGCGGCGCCTTTTCTCTTTACCCGCACTAATCAAGCATTCAATAGCGATGAGAAGATCACGCTCCGCGGCGGGTTCAGCCACGATGGCCGCCCCATGCAGTTGGTACGTGAGAAGAATGGCAAATCCATGTCTCTCGCAGAGGGCATCGACAGCTCCTACAAGGTGTCAAAGCGTCCTCTCTCTGACGACGAAATGGATGAGGATGAAGCTACCCGCTCCATGGCACGCCGAAGGAAGTCCGACAAGCCTGGTGATGTAATGCACACCTGCCGCGACTGCAAGAAGGAGTTCAAGCGACCTTGCGATTTGACCAAGCACGAGAAAACTCACTCTCGCCCATGGAAGTGCTCCGAAGAGAAGTGCAAGTACTTTGACCTCGGCTGGCCAACCGAGAAGGAACGCGATAGGCACATGAATGACAAGCACTCCGCCCAACCAGCGCAGTACAAGTGTCTCTATCCTCCATGCACATACGCATCGAAGCGTGAGTCGAACTGCAAACAGCACATGGAGAAGGCTCATGGCTGGGAGTACGTCCGCTCGAAGAGCAACGGACGCAAGAAGATGCCCACCAGCAGCGAGCGTAGCCCTACCACGCCGCTCACTCCCTTCCTTGGAACTCCTATGTCGGCAGTTATGACGACACCTGTTACACCCTATGCTCCTTCACCTCAAGTTCCCATGATGGATAACTTTGCCGAGTTTTATGGTTTCAACACTCCGGCCGTGAGCATGCATGGCTTTCAGGATGACTTCCGACGCGATTCCATCACCACTGACGGCTCTCACTTCACATACTCGTCCGGACATTCGCCCATTGAGCCAACTTCATTCGATGATGCTGTGACACCGGAGGACACCGCCATCAACCATAACGATGTCTTCAACACCTGCGCCTTGGGATCAAACTTCACCACCGGCTTTCAGCAGCAGCCAACACCGGCGCTCAGCACTGGCTTTGACTTTGATCCTCTTCCGTTCACCAACACCATGTCGAACGGCATTCCGCATCTCTCACCTCTGGCTCAGCCAGATGTCACTCTCTTCTCCCCACATTTGCAGATGGACGAGGGCTTTGGCGACATGGATATGGACATGGACATGCAGGCCTTCAGCCGGCCAGCTGCAGACTTCACACTGTTCGACACGATGCAGCCAAGCAGTATGGCGATGAACAACACCGCGAACTTCTTTCCCGAGTTCAACCAGCTTGGAGGACAGTTCGACAGCTTGTACGCCGAGCCCTCCACGACGCTGGACGACCTGATGGGCAACAACTACGGCGCTTAGTAACTTCATTGCATTGTAAACGATCACGAGCGGGCATTTGTATAGCGATTTCACCCATTTCTTGCTTTTACACGAGCAACAGCTCCCTTTCTTTGCTGGCGTTCAGGTTATAGCAGCACATACAATGATACGTAGAAAGAGGAGGTTCATGTACTGGGCTATCACGATTATGATTTTCCCCTCCCTGCTTTGCCCGGCGCAGCGCCCTCGATCTTCAAGAACAGAAAATCCCAAAAAAACAAACGACCTTTGTTTAACCGGATTTCTTTCACGGGCAACTGATTTTGATCTCCCCCCCTCTCCCATTTAGAGTGTCAGGCTGGGTTGAGGTCATCAGATAGTGTATTAGTAGAATACGATAATGTGGAGGAAACAAGCCTCGTTCCTAACTGCTTGGTCGTGACTGTGACTCCTACCTTTGATGCATTCCATCATGTATGACTCCAAAACTCCTTCACCCGCTGATCTTCGCCACCCGCACTACTGCACCCCCAACTATCGAATGCGGGGACCGATCAGTGGCAGCCAACGATTGACATCACCTGCGTGCCGTCTGGGCGGCTTGGTTATCGTTAGCGCGACGCGCTGAGACCAATAGCCCGATAGGCGTGCACGGTGCGTTTCAGGGTGCTGCGAACCATGCCATCCCCCTCTTGTTTCGCCATGGCAGTTGGCGCCCTCACACTTGCAACCTCTTCTCTCCAGGCGGAGTCTGTCACTCCCTTGACAGTGTCGAATGTTTCTTGTCGCTCCCTCTAGCACCATTACCACATATTATTAGGCACTCTTCGGAGGCCGTTACGCTCACTGGGTCCTGATTGCGCCGGTCGTGATCTGCCTGTCCTTCAGCTCACGCGTCATCGACATTGCTGTTTGTGTTTTTGTTTGGTTTCGAGTACTTCAAGATGTTGGGATTTCACAGAAGGACGAGGTCGCTCATTCCGGTGAAGGAGTTGGGCAAGTACGACAAAGTGCCAGCGCAAGAGTTGGAAGAGGAGCTGTATGCCGAGGAAGAGGCGGATAATTTCGATATCGCGAGTGGGCAAGACAAGTCGAGGAGCAGGCAACTGATGCTGGTCTACATTGTGTTTCTGGCTGAAGCGTAAGTTCTGCATTCAAGTGGTAGTCAGGAGTTCAAGCCATGTTTGCTTACACTCTTGTTCTGCAGTATCATGGCTTCTAGCCTGCAACCCCAGCTCCAAATGCTCCTCTCATCATCCGACTACTGCGGCAATCTCTCCACGTCCTACCTCCGGAGCATACTTGACTGCGCATACGCGTTTGGCGGAACCAGTGGGCTCTTCTGGGGCTACCTCACAGATCGAATGGGACGACGACGTGTCACGCTGCTTGGATTGTGGACCATGTTCGTTTGCTGCTTGAGTGGAGGCTTCGTCACCAGCCTCGGAGGATGTGCTATATTCCGTTTTTTCGCAGGCATGGCCAGCTCAACGATTGTCTGCACCAGCTTGACCATGATTGGAGACCTAAGCACAAGTGCCGATGCCAGGGCCAAGAACGTTGCGAGACTACCATTGATCTCGCTCTGTGGCTCCCTCGGACCTCTCATGCAGGGAATGGTTTCAGAGAGTCTTCAAGCTTACGGCATGGTATGGGAGAAGTTCCCCACCCTGGGTTCCGAACTCGCATGCGGTACTGCTGTCTTTGCCATCGCACTTGTAGCGTCTATCTTCCTCAAGGAAACACTGCCACAACAGTCTTCGGTGGACAACATGGACTGCGAGAAGGCCGCCTTTCTTGCCCGCGATTCATCGGACACAGGCATTACTCTCGTCGACGTCATCGCCCGCCCTGAGCCTATCAAGATCGCACAATTCCTTCAGGCGCCGTCCTTCATTGTCTTATTATCTTCGTTTTGCTTGCTATCTCTCCACGCCGCGACTTTTGATGTTTTGCTCCCCCATCTCGGTCATAGCGACTCGCAACATGGCGGTATGGGCATACCATGCGAGTGGCTTAGCATTGTCGTCTTGATTGTCCGAGGCATTGCTGGCGTGGCCGTCTTCTTCGCTATTCCATATGCGATGCAGAAGTACGGTCTTGTCAAAATCTACCGCTCCGTTTCCCTTTTGTTTCCCGCGATCTACCTTGTAACTCCTCTCCTTGCGGTTCTGGCCTCGTCATGCGTGGCTTTGGTTCCGGTGGTATCTGTCTTGAGCATTTTGGTCAAGCACACGCTAACAGGAGGTGCACTTGTCTGCGTTGCGCTGCTTGTCCTGAACACGACGCCTGATGCTTTTTCTGCAGGCACTGCAGTAGGCATGTTACAGGTCGCTAGCCTGTTTAAGGCTTTCGCTGTTGCGGTGTCTGGCACAAGTTACTACTTCAGCGACGATGTGAGCGTGCAGACGACGAATCTGGCACTTTGGTCTTGTTTGGCCTTGTTCGGAGCTGTTGGTGCGGGCCTGGCATGGTTCGTGAGAGAACGGCCGAGTGTTGAGATGGACTGGCCAAGTGAGGTTCTCAGGTGGGAGATGTGCTTTGATGCAGACGCGGAGAAAGGAGGCGTCGAAGAGGATTTGGAGAGCCTCCTAGGAGACGATTAAGTGCAGGTGGTTGATCTTGTTCATATGTCTTCATGTCCATTTGTTTTGTCTCGTAAAGTCTCAGCTCGTCATTCCAAGCGTACTATCGTTCCATGTTGTATGAGTACATAGTGTAGCGCGTCATCATGTTCATATAATACCAGTACTTGTGAGTATGCAAAGCTATTCTGAACATTCGTGCGGCTCACACAACGTTTGGCGGGTCTGTGAAGCATCGGAGCAGCGTGCAGCCTCGCTATGATGAGGGATCAATGGCAGCGCCTCGAGGCGAATCTCACGGCACGTGACCAACAGACGAAGGAGGAGCACTTGAGGACGCATGGACAGGCAATCTGAAACGCGCCAGGCGGCATGGACGTTGTCGACACGAGCATGTGAAGACGCAAGACGCACTCGGGCCGGCTGATCAAGACATTGTCGACAAAATGCTCATGAGATGGCGCAGGCCTGCGAGCATCGATGAAAGAAAACGCATATTCCCCCAAACGGTCTCCGCAACTGCCAGAGCTTCGGAATCTTAGTGAGGGCAATATGGGGACTAGGGCGACGTTGCGGCAAGCTAATGCCTGTGATGCAACGGCGGGAGACCCCTGCATGGAAACAACACGGCTAGAATGAGCAGGACCGCGGGTCGTTTGCTGTCGCGACCATAGGGGCGCCTTTCTCTCCAGCGTGCTGTCGTCGTCGCTCTTTCCCATCACAACACGCGCAACTGTTTGTTTACCTCGCCCGCCTCTGTACCACCAACACGCGCCACCACCACGACCCCCGCATCAACACTCGCATATCCCCACCCAACCACATATCTAGCAACAACAGCAATATCCCCACTGCGCCATGTCACTCCGCGACATGTATGCGGCCTTCCTGGCCAATCCGTCCACGGGCGCATTGGCTGCCAATGCCACGCTCCACTACATCACCACCCTCACCAGCATAAGCGACGCGACGGCCATCATCAAGCACCTGTCCGTCCAGGAGAAGCTGCTGAAGAAGAAGAGCGAGAAGATTCTCGATGCCATTGCGGGCCAGCATGCGCTCAGCATCGACGTAGACACGACCATCGAGTTCCAGAACGGCGGCGGCGCCTACCTGCCAGGCCTGGACGACAACTTTGTGTCGGACCGGACCGTCACTTTCCCAATGGTAAAACCGCACTTGCACTGCCATGGCGGCTCCAGCACGGCTAATTCCCCCAGATCCACAAGGTGCACTTTGACGGCGCGGGCAAGATCACCCGAATCCGCCTCTACTGGGACCAGGGCGCACTACTCAAGCAGATCGATGTCATCGGCGCGCGCTCGCGCAACTGGCCGATTCGCGAGAGCCAGGAGCAGTCCAAGCTGATTGCTTCCACCGCTGCCGCCGTTGCACAGCCAGACTCGGAGCCAGCCTCGCGCCGCTCCACCACCTCGCGCGGCGCAGATGAGGTCTCGATTGCCTCGCGCTCGCGTGGATCCACCAACAATGCGATGAACGACCCGCATGCCTCCCTCTCCCTGTTCCAGAACCGAAGCATCGACGAAGACGACGAATCGCAAGACTCCAGGCCGATAGCACCGCGTGCCCAGTCAGCGAAGCCGCCTCCTCGCGAGTACTCGGAGCTGTTCGTCGGCGAGAACTCGGCCTCTCCGTCGCCGTCACCGCAGAAGATCCCCGTCAAGGCAGGCAGTGGCAAGAACTACAAGGCCAGCCGTCTGTTCGAGGAGGACGAGGACGACGACACAGCAGCAGTCAAGGGCCCCGGCGTCAAGACGAACCCCAAGAAGTACGAGCACTTTACATTCGGTGACGGCCCAGAGGAGGACTCTTCAAAGGTGCGGAGCACAGCGCGCGCTCAGTCCCAGTCCAAGGGCCAGGCCAACTGGAACTTTGAGGACTTTGCGACCCCAGCCAAGACCAAGACCAAGACGCAGCCCCAAGCCGTCCGGCACTTCGGTTGGAGCGACGATGAGGTCGGTCCTTTCTATCAGCCAGAGATGCTTGAGGTTGCCTCCGTATCTCTGCTCCCCCTCGTGTGACTCCTTGCTGACATGATTTGCTACAGGAGACTTCCCCAGTCCGCCGCCCCGTTGTCCACAAGGCGCGCCCCGACGCGGACCCCCACTTTGAGTTTGTCGACGATGGCACACCAGAAGGCCAGCGCAAGCTTGCCTCGACTAAGGGTCGCACTTCTAACAAGGGCATGGGCTTGTACCAAGACCACGTCATGGGCACCACCGCAGGTGACGCTGACGATGCTCCGTATGACGACGACCAGCGCCCCTTGAGCGATGTCACGCACAACATCAAGAACGAGAACCGCAAGAAGGACTTTGGTGCACACTGGGACATGAATGACGAGAGCCCCGCAGCCAAGAACGCGCCACCGAAAAAGCCATCTGTCGACCACAAGGCTACCAAGACTAACTGGTCTCTCTACCAAAACTCTCCTGAGACTCGCGCTGGCATCAACGTGGCCGGTAACGGGATGGGAACTCGCAAGGGTGCCGAGTCATTCTCACTCTTCGACGAGTCTCCTGGCAAGAAGGAGAACAACGCTACCAACAAGCAGGGCACCTCGCGTGGTATTGTCACTCAAGGTGATGGCATGGGCGGCAAGAAGGGTACAGAATCGTTCTGGGACTTCTAGATTGCTCGCAGCGGGCTATCTGGACTACGGTCGCTGAATAGATCATAAGCATGGCGCTCACGACGGATCTGATGCTACGATTGAGTTACCTTGTCCGCTGGTCTTGCAAAGCGGTCAGGGCTATTGCTTTTGCCGCTCATGCTTAACGTTCCAGCTTGTGTTGAACAATTGTGTCTTATTTGTGTCATTGGAACAAGTTGGGTTGGAAAACTACGGCTGGCAGGGTATGCTCGCTATCGTACGGCGTTGAGACACAACTAGCATGAATGAATAACTATACAAAACCTGCGTGTTGTGCTGTCGTGCGAAGACATCGAACTACATGTAGCTGAGGCATGTGCAAACATTGCTAGAATCCTGCCACAGCAGTCTTTGTCAAAGCCATTCGTCCAAGCATTGTCCGAAAAGCTGATACCCAACAACGAAGTTCGACTGATAGATATTACTCACGCAGAATCAGGCTTTCGCGCCATGAGATATACCGTCGATTCGGTCAGCTCTCATTACTCGCAACAATATCGTGCACCAAGGGGAATTGCGTTTTTGACATTTCGTCTCATTACTCATTTGTTACTCATTAAATACTCGGAGATTGCTCCATCCAGGTTATCGTCAGTCCTCTTTGCTGAAAACGACTTCCAACTCGTCTCCGACGCGAAACGCATCCACGTTACCATCCCACTTGATATACTTAATCTTTGCCTTCAGTCCCATCCTCCCTCGATATCCCTTCTCCCTCAGCGCACTCCAGATAGCGCGGAATGCTTCGCCCTCACCTTCTCTCTCATCATCCATGTCATCATCAAACCATACGCCCATGTTGGCAACGCGACTCAGATCGTCCGCAGGGCCCATGGATGCCCATATATCCCACGGCAGATATCTCACAACGACTTCATCGAGCGTACATGTAGCATCCATTAATACCTCGAGGGCATGCACGCATACTTGTACCCAGTACCGTATTTTCAGTGGTAGTGTGTACCCAGGGCGCGTGATGCTGCGGTGGTGATGGGACTCGCGGGATATGAAGTAGAGGGGGATAGTGATGCTGGTTAGGTTGAAGGTGTGGGAGGCAAGGTACGTGAAGAGCGGGGTGACTTCCATTTGCACGAGCAAGTCGAGCTTGGTTGAAATGTCTTCTCGAGATAAAGATGGGGCTTCATCGGGGTTTGGATTGCGAGAGGGGTCAGTAAAGGGATAGTGGCCTCCGAAGCCGAAGGGGTCGTTGGGATCCGGCGGTTGGACTGCTGGGGGTTGTTGGAAGGATGGATACAAGGTGGCGTCGGATGGGTCATAGAAGTTGTCGTCGTAATGACCGCCCTCGTGATCGTACTCGTCGTAGTGGCCGTTGTATTGGGCGCCACGGAGATAGTCGACATCGACTTCCTGCTCGTCTTGCTCCCAGTACCAGTCGTCTCTACCCTCTTCACGATCGGGCGGGTAGTGAGTCAGGTTGGGAAAGGTGACCCAGTCCAGCTCGATCTTCTTCATCCACTTGAGCCACTGTCGGCCCGGCCCATTTTGCTCCTCGATCTTCTCCAGCAGAGATTTGAGCACAAAGGGACCGCAGCTGAGAAAGACGGTGTGGTCCTTGAGCAAGACTTCGAGGGCTTCGCGGGCAACCTGGCGGTTGACGAGGAAATACTCATGGTGAAGGACCAGCAGGATCGCAGCCGCGCTGGGCGTGAAGTATTTCAAGTTGCGGCGTTCAATGCGCAGAGCACGCAGGCTCCGGTCATCGTCTATCCGAAGAGCATAGTCGTAGATCTGGGCCAAGTCAGCCCGCGACCAATTGCAAAAGCCGTGGAAGTGCTGGGTACCAGGTCACGGAGTTCGCGGGGCAGTCTCAAGAAGGGAAAGGCGGCTTTCAACGGCACCGCAGCAATTTGTTCCGTTTGGGCGCCAACCCCCATTTTCGGAGATGCAGTGGTCTCCGTCCTTACCTCTCTGGTCACCGACGCGTTGTCTTCGTGTTGTGTCGTGTGTCGTGTTGCATGCAGCGCACAGCAAACTCAGGCCGGCCCGGATGTTCCCACTCTGCCGCCTTGCGCCCCGCGTCGCGCACGTTGCAAAATCTCCGGTACGCTAGCACGTGACGTGATGATCCCCAGACGTCCTGATAGGGTGCGGAGGATCGACCGTTGGCTGCGCGGGCCGAGTCTGGTCCTGCAATGTCCACGTCCACACGCGCAGACTACTGCAAACCTAACGCCCATGCAGCCTTTGATGGCTGTCTACAATTCTTTGGGACCGAAGCTCAATAGCCGCCCCATCGTAACAGCCAGCCTGGTCCTAGGGACAATGAAATTTCTATGCAGTCAGCAGGAGAGCCGGAATAGCACGTCTCAGAAATATTTCGGTTGCCAATGGCACGTTACGAAGCAGTACCAGCTACGTTGTCTGGACCGAAAGGACGCGACGTAAATCATTGCCTGCTTCAGCTCTCGTACCACATGAGCAAGCGTCTATTCCTGCGGTGTCGTTCGATTCCGGTCCTTTTGTATATTGCTTCTCGAAATGCAACCAGCATTCCCTGTCCTGCACGAGTCAGGGGTTGTACAGTGCAATTGTACCTACTGCTTCGGCGCATCGCCCCGTAACAAACTGGGTACTCGACAACATGGGACACATTAGCTAGGTGCTTCGGCGGCTTTGTTCATTGCAAGCGCATGAGAGTCATGCATGCCGTCATGCCATTTGAAGTCGTCAGTCCATTTTCGGCACATGTTACTTCACCGTACGCTAGAGAAGTTCCAAATATCAACGCTGAGCGCGTAACGACCTACTCGAACTAGCAATACACCTGTGACACAATCAAAGCCTCAACAGTGGCACCTGCTACCGGCTACCGACTGCTGGCAGTTAACGCGTCGATGCACAGCATCAGTACGCAAAGGCTGTGTCTCAAGGTGAGATGATGTACTGATAACGTGTCGTTTGGTGGCACCACAGAATCAGCTGAGATTCTGCGCGTCGGCCGGTGGCTTAGATCGGGCAATACTGGCGGTGTGCCTACGTGCATGGAACAAGTGTAAATTCCGTAAAGGAGCCATGTATGCGGTAGTTGATACCGACGCACTAGACGCGACGTGTGCCGTTGCTCCAACAACACCGGGTACAGCAGATGGGGTTTCGCGGAAGAAAACTCTTGCGCTAATAGCTGAGCAAATGTCGTGTATCTACCTAACGTTTCAGACTCTGCATGCTGGCGTAGTGGCTGATGGTGAATGGACCGGTTAATCCATTTGACATGATGCGAGTAGGTTTCCGAGTAGACTTTGGTCAGAAGTGGATGAGGGCAGGCTCCATGGTTCGAGACAGCGCTTACTGCGGGGTATGATATGCCTGTGTTGTTGGATGATTCTCGCAGAGTACAGAACATGCATGTACAGAGGCCGTTTTCCTACAAGACCTGGTTGCCGGGTCTGCGTCTTGTTACACGACTCAGAACTGTGGCGACAGTGAGACGCCATGTGGTAAGTAGGGTACGTGGATTGACTGCAGGCTTCGCAGAGGAGCAGCCAGGAAGTCTGCAGATGGCGGTGAGATCGAAAACAAACATGTCAATCTCGAGAAGGCTCTTCAAGTGGTAGCTCGAGAGCTGGGGTTGTGCACAGGACATTCATTTGTCGATCGTGTAACCGAATGATCATATCACAAAAGGGTCGCTCTCCTACTTTGTCTCAGATTACGAAATTGCGAAGAAATTTGGCTCGTTGGGCATTTGGAATTGTTGATAAGATGGTCTGAGCCCGTGGTCGACTTTGAGCGGCCGGCTTGAGAGGTATGTTGCACGGTAAGAGGACAGGGTGCTCGAATGTGTGGCATTCTGTCTGTCTGCTCAAGAGGGCAGGCCCGAACTGCGGCTTGGCGTGAACAACACGCATGAAATTGTGCCGGGAATTGCTTCCACATGCTCTTGCTAAGAAAGAGTGCTTTTGCTTGAGCGTCGCCATGGCTCCAAGGCACGCTGATGGTGCTAGTCTGGCTTCAGACAATGTCGTGCTCCTCCCTGAAGAGACCAGCACAGACCGAGGGTGGGCCTATTCGTCGGCTTTAAGCACTCTAACTCTGCGTATGTGGATTCCAGGGTGGTTGCTGGAATGTCACCGTTTCGCCACGATGTGTAGGGAACACGAAATGGGACAATTGAGCCGAAGGATCTCGAGACTAGGCGCGGAGATGCGCCGTGGATCCCATTGCGAGTGCTGTGCGCTTGTGCTACGGCCGATCAAGACGGCCCATTGGTGGGCAAATCGAGCACGGGAGAGGAGTCGCAGATGATCTGGCAGAAGTCGACTCGCAGTAAATCGCAGTAAATCGCAGTAAAGCGCAGTGAATGCGGTCGGTCAGTGGCACGGCTCAATGCGATGCTGCAAGATTCAGGAATCAACGTGTTCTCTGCCTGGGCGGGCGCGACGGGGTTCTGTATGTTGGGCATGGGGAGCCCGCTAGCGGACCGAGTCGATGCAGGTCAACGGTGTTGGTCCGCTATGCAGTATGCGATGCACGCAGCTGCCCGGTGGCTGAATGAGGCTGCAGCAGCATACATGGCACGTCACCAGTCTCGCGGGCTGTGATAGCGATCAAGACAAGGGCAGGCGGCGGGCAGTGGATGGGCAGTGGACGGGCAGTGGGCAGAGTTTGCTTTTCTCGGCGCTCTCGCCGGTTGGGCGCCTCGTGGCGGCGCGGGCGCCAGTGCTGGGTTTGGCTAAAGTGACGATGGATGGCACCACTACTCCTAGGTACCGTGCAGCCACCGCGCACTGCACGGCCAGACGGGACGGCTCCATGCGCGCATCTCGTGCCCTCCCCTCTCCGGCTGCGCCTGCCTGGCTGCCGATTTGCATGCGCGCAGCATCGGCGGCGCTGGAATGCTCGCAGTGATGCGACTGCGACTGCGACTGCGACTGCGACTGCAACCCTGTCGTGTGTGCGGTGCCGTCTGACGGTGGAGCCGTTCATGTTGGTTCGCGCGGAGGCAGGGAGACAGGGAGGCCATACTAAGTGCAGCTAGCCGCCGCTAAGACGGCTGGCTAGATACACGAGGCCTCGATTGAACGATTCCCACGTGTGGCCGGCTCAGGCTCTGGGCACCACCATCTGCTGTCTGCAGCAATTGGCTGTCCCCCCCCCAGGCCCTTGCTGATCACAGCCCACAGTCTTTTGCAACCACTCTGTGCTGTGCTCCTGCTCCTCGACTCCACGCAGTACGCAGCGTAGCACCAGCAGTCCGTCCAGGCCCACGGCTGCCCGTTGCTTTCTTGTGTCGCCTCCTCGACGCCCTTGGACCACCAGTGCTCGCAGCTCCGCCCATGCAAGGCACGCCGGCGCTCACTCATCCACCCGCAACCGCAACCGCAACCGACACTTTGCTGCTGTCCCTTTGCCATCCCGCCCTCGCCAGGACCTGTACGCCGTCCGGATGTCTGCCGAGATTTGTTGAACGCTGAGCAGCCTCTTGTCCACGCGCACTGCACCGCGGCACCGCGACGTCTGCTGTGCCTTTATTTCTCACGGCCGAGAAGCATTCCGAGAAGCCTAGTCGGACCTCGCTCGCCGTGTACCACGACGAGGCACCACCCACCAGGAGCAGTTCCCACCACGATCCCCCTCCAGGCCCGTCTTCCTCCCGTGGCCAGCAGGAGCAGCACTTTCACTGCAGCCACGTCTCGTTCGGCTGTCCCCTCACTAGCAGCCCCCGTAGCTCCACACGCAGCACGCCGTGCCGCCATTGCCAGTTCGGCTTGGAGCGCTGCTGCACGCCAAAAGAGGCCTTCTCGGCATCGTCATCGGCGAATTTGAGCTCGACTCCCACACTGGAAGCCGCTCCAGGGCTGGACCGCGCGACCACAGCGACCACAGCGACCACAGCGACCACCCACTTGCGCCTGCCCTGGGTTTCCAATCTTGGCGCGCCTCGAGATTTGTTCTGCCCCGCCTCACCACCTGGAAGCGTCCCCTTTGGGTAGGAGCCGTCCAAACACGCTTCTGTGCGCCCTCGTCTCCCACACCTCGCACTGCATCTCTCGTTACTTCAGTCACTCTCTCTTTCTTTCGCTCTTTCGCTCTTTCGCTTTTTCGCTCTTTCTCACCTTTTCTCACGCTTTGCACACGCTGCTGCCATTCTTCACCACCGACCCGGCTCGCCTCTTCTGTTCTCATTGACCCGTCCACCACCGTTGTCCTCCCTTCCGACTCCGCTGCCCTATCGCTTCGGTCCGCTCTCGCACGTCATTGGCCCGCTCCCCTTGCTGGCGCACTGTCTGCATCACCCACCCCCAGCCCTCTTGCTCCATCCCCAGGTCGCTCCTCGACCTTGAGGTTGTGCACACTGACCGACGCTCCTTCTTGCGCTGCGCCATGGACTCTGTCTCGCACCAACGCCCTCCCGCGTCCGGTAGCGTGTCTCAAGGCCCTCCGTTGCCATCTATTGCTTCCTTGACCGGCCAGCTCCCTCCCTCCGAGCAGAGCCCGGTTCACCCCAGACATCAATCCGACGCCCGCGAAGCCCGCGACTCGGGCAACTGGTCTGTCTCCCAGAGTAAACGTGAGTCTTACTGCCAGCTGCCAGCTGCCATTCGCATGCGCTGCCCACGTTTGCATCTTGACCGTCTGACACGTGCCCTAGACTCGTCCACTGTCTCCAACAATAATCCCAACATGAGTCTCAATGTGCACACGCTCCTCAACCCCGAGGAATCGCCTTCGCGCAGTTCCGTTCCAGACACGCCGTCCTCAAGTCGGCATCCATCTGGGTATTCGCAGCAGGTATGATGGACTTTTTCCCGTTATGTGACCACCTTGTAACCACACGAACAGCCCAACGCCTTTCCGCCAATGAATCCAGGTTTTTCGGACCATCGGCTCAGCGTTGATGCGAGCTCGCAATTTGATTCGCGTCGCAGCAGTGTCGACAGCCGTATGAACGCCGGAATGACGCAGCTGAACATAGCGAGCCCATCTTCGCCGTACGAAAGCCAAAATCCTTCACGTGTCTCATTAGTATCCAACTTGCAACATCAGCGAGGCATCCCAGGCGAGCAGCGGCTTAATGGCACTTCACCGCTATCGCCTCTCGGTCGCAATGCTGCGCCTCGAATCATCCACCCCCCGAAGAGGGCTCCCGTCATCAACCCAAACCCCCGCAGTGTTTCAGGCATGCCAGATCCAATGGCTGCTGCTCCCACCAAAGGTTTCGCTTGGGCTTTCCCTGGCGACGATTATCCAATGGAGAGGAGGCAGTCCAGCAGTGGTGAATCTAGCGTGGACCGCTCCAATGTGCCATCGCGGCAAAACAGTTATGCCACATCGATTACAAGTAGCATCATGACCGCAGACTCCAAGATGCCCTATGGGCAACAGAGACTAGATGACGGTACGCGCGTCTGCTTTCATCTCATCTAAGTACACACTAACACTGATTAGACATGGTACCCACACACCACCACTCTATGCAGCACCGTAGTGTTACGAGCCTGCAGAGCACCGCCGACCACGCCGCTGCACTCGCTGCTGGTAGCGGCAATTATAGTCGTACTCCAGAGCTCCGTGTAAGCCACAAGATGGCAGAAAGGAAGCGAAGAAGCGAAATGAAGGGTCTGTTCGACGAGCTGAACGTGATTCTTCCAAACTCTCCAGGCAGCAAGTCCAGCAAATGGGAGATTCTCACCAAGTGTAAGTCGATCGCTTTCAAACATACGAATGAGACGTTGACTTGCAGCAGCAATCGAGTACATCAAAAGTCTCTCCAGATCACACGAGGCTGTACGCGTCGAGAACGCACGTTTACGACCAGAGGCTGAATACGCCCGCAGGGCTCAGGAAGAGAATGACATGTTGCGCAACGAGTTGACCACTACTTGGAACATGCTCCGCCGCGTCGACCCATCTCAGTCGCATATTTACGGAAATGTGACGGCCTCGCTGGCACAAGCAAACAACGCTGCGCCGGCGTCAGCTAACAACGTGCTGCCACCTCTACAGTCGCAACAAGCTCCACATCAACCTCAGCCTCAGCCTCAGCCCCAACCGCAAGCCTCGCAATGGGGAGGTCCCGCACCAGGGCAGATGCAAGGGGTCGAGTACGGCGGCATGCGACCATACGAGCACCCGCATCGCTAAAATCTGCCAAGGCTCACACCGAGGACGTTGCTGCCCCGTATCATCAGCACTCCGTGTACCATATCACCACTAATTTTCTACCATCCGAGGACATTGTCATATATCTCATCTTCAAAAACGACCGGCGGCGCTAATTTTCCGAATGCCTCGGCACAATCTAGCGTGCTCTCGATGCTCTTCTCACGAATTTTCTTTCTTCATCTTTGCGAGGGGGTACTCGTAATACTCTCGGGCGTCACCGCATACCCAAAATATACCACACGAATCGTGCCTTACTACCATCCCTTGTTTGGGCGTTTCTCGACCCAGATCAAAGTGTTTGATCTCAGTCATACGCAGCTTCCTGGGTCGCTCTTCCGCCGAGGATGAGGACGGGACCCACCATCATGAGGAACTTCCCCATAGAGCCTCATGCTATACGGGGCACACAAGTACGACCTAGTATGGCCATTCAGCAAATGTGGTTCATTTTCGTCGTATTGTACGTGGGATGATATTTCGTGGCTTTCCGGTGTGAAAAAAAGTACATTGTGGGCATGGCATTAGTACCGGATGCACGGGAACTTTAGCCTTGCGCCTACAGGGAGGATGTTGTGTATTGCGCTTTCGTCCGGTTTTGCAAAGGCATTGTCCCTATGTCGACATACTTAGCCTAGTAAGATATGTGCAGTCATGCAAATCCAAGCGAGTTTACAGTCACACTATGTACTGGAAGCCTGAAGTGCCATGACACAACTTGAACCAAGCATTTGATAGCCACTTAGACCCGGAGTGCAACGCTCAAAGCATGTGAGAATCGTGGCTACCACGTCCCATGTTTCCCATGTTTGAGATGTGACCTAGACCGTCGATCTCATGCGGGCGAGTGGAGAAGACGCAGAAAAGGCCCTTTCCCGTATCGGTGTGTGCGAGTGGACCATGTCGCACCCATGACAGGGCTCGTGAAAGCTTCTTTTGCTTTTTCTTTCCGCATTGTTCGCGAGTCAGCTTTGCCAATCCATCGATCGACATGTCAGATCGGAAATAGGCAATAATGGCGATTGGGTCATGTCGTCGCAGGCTGACTCGTGTGCGTGAACGGGTACGGTGCCCACTAGTCTATGTGGTAGGAGATGGGTGTATTGGGCACGTTTGAGGTTCAGTGGTATGGCTGATTCAAGGTGGGACGAAGTGAAGTAGTCAAGATGGACAAATGCATGTCTGAGATTTTCATGCGTGGCATTCCTAGTGCTATCAAGTTGCCATGTGCTTGTTTGTTGGTGTACGGATCGAATCGTTACTAAAGTGAACCTCAATTTGCCTTTTACTACTACGTCAAAACATGTACAGCGAGCCGACTGTAGTCAAGCTCGATAGTGCGGATATGTGTGTATAGCTTCAAGAGTTCAAATGGTATAGACTAATGATGCATACATAGTAGTCGAAGAGTAGATACGCCGCTCGATTGCGGTAAATGTGTTGAACAGTTCGATGCAACTTCATGACGTGCGTGGTTATGGACAGGGAGGAACGACTTGGCAACTGGTGAAGTGTATGCTTGCATCGAGGTGCTAGGGGTCGGCGAGATGAGGTAGTAAACATTATTATATTCAATCTCCATTATCCAACACTACCCACGATGCAAAATAGTGTCCAAAGGATTCTTCTTCTTCTCGCCCATCTGCTTCTGAACATGCTTCTTCTGGCCCTTGGTCATGAGGCCTCGAGCCTTCAGGCCTCGTTCCTTTCTCAGCTTCTGCAAAGCCTCCTCGGTAATCTCTTGCCGCAGGAGCTGCTCCACAACGAGCTTCTTGCGACTTCGCTTATCGCCTCTGCCAATGATTATACCGGCGGTAATGTTGCAGGTAAGGGAGCAAGACAGAATGACAGCGGTCAAAGCCTTTGGTCGGTGCTTGTAGTAGATACCCCAAGTGGTGCCTCCTAGAGCGCATTGGAACATGGAATGACAGTCGAGTAAGACGATGATTGTGATGAGAAGTCTAATGGAAAATGCGTTGTGAGTGTACGTTTCGGTAGGTCGATAGAAGGTATGCGATTTTGCAAGTTTCGCTTGGTGGTATTCGAGCTTCTTTTGCTCTTCCTCGGTGAGCACTGGCAGTTCTTCTTCGGCTTCTTCTTCGATCTCGGCTTGCACGACCTCGTCTCTGTCTACGGCCATGGACTGCCGCGGCAATTCGTTGTGGTCTTTCAAAGCAGCCAGACCTCGTTCTTTCCGTATGCGCCATGTCCTGTGTGCGTAGAAAGCAACATAGGCCATGTGATAAGTGTCGACTATACGGAATGGAAACATGGTTATACCAACAACACAAAAGAGTGCGGTAAGGACCTGATCGCAGATTTCGACAAAATATTGCTGTCGCCCTTTGACATAGATCCAGCCGATAAGGAAGAGGACCCAGGCGGCTCCCCAGAAAGTGATCAAGAAAAAGTAGAGGGTGACAATGAAGCCAAGGGGATTGCGCACGTAGCGGCCAAATCCACGCATGGTGCGCTTGAACTTTGCGCGTTTCGAGTGCAGAACATGGCGGACATGGTCGTCCAGGATAGCCTTCTCCTCATCGGTCCATCCTGGTAAAGAAGCGCCATGGGGAAGAACTGCATAATGGTGCTCCGGACCTTCCTCCATGGTAGAGAGAATCGAATCAATGGTGTTGGTCCGCGTGAGACCCCTGCCCTGTGCAGCGCTTTCTAATTCTCCATCTTGCGTCGTGTGTGGCAGTTGGTCCTCGCGGGTCTTCTCACGGGACGCCGATCCCATCTCCTCGTCGGACGAATCTGACGTCGCCTGGCCTAGGTCGTAGGTTGGCTGACGGTTGTAGAGCCATGGGAGGTTGGGAAGAAACAACGAGTTTTGAACGTTGTTCAGCGTGGTGAGAGCAGAAATCTCGGGATCTACATGGCAATGTCAGTCGAGTTCGCACAGCCAGGAGGGCGGACTGACCAATGACGTCCAACACATCCACCACATTGGAGTCCATGGTGTTGTGCTGGTGATGATGGGCCTGGTTGTGATTGCGCCGTATGTTCAATGCAGAGATCTGCCTCGATAAACCCTGCCGTCTTGTGCTGGGCCCTTGGGATGGCGGGGGTCCAGCCCTCGGCGCAGAAGCATCTCCATTGCCGGTTCGCACAGCGTCCTCGTACAGCGGCTGTAGAGGCGTGGCTGTCATCTGCCGGCGCAACTCGCTGTCGTCCTGGAACAGAACGGAAGACGGCGGCCGTGGTTCCGAGCTGCTCCTGCGTCGGCCAGCCTGCCATGCATTTTCTTCTGCGGATGTTTGCGGAAGCTGGGGCTGCGGTGAAGGTGCGGGCAGAACACTCTGCGACGAGGGTCTCCGTATCCTGATCGAGGAGCTGCGCACTCTTTGCGAAATCGAGGAGCTGCGCACTCTGTGCGAAATCGACCGCGATGGATTCGCGGCTGGTGTCGGCGGCTGCGGCGCAGATGTTTGCGAGGTGGTCGTGACTGTGGGACTGGTGACGGTCGTTGAATGAGGCCCAAAGTGGTGCACCGAAGTCCCGTGTCCAGGTGTTGTGGAGTGTACCGTTGTCGAGGTATGCGGGCCGTGTGTTGTGGTAGTGGTAGTGGAGGTCGTCGATGGCCCGACTGAGTGGCCCTCGCTGCTCCGGCTGGGATCCATTGGGCTTCAGCTGGCCACGAAATAAAAGAGAAGAAGAGAAGAAGAAGAGAAGAAGAGGCTGTGTTGGAGTCACAGTCAAGGCGGATGCAGCGCAGGTGGCCGTACGCGCAGGTGGCCGTACGCGCAGGTGAAGAATGCGACGCCTTAGTTTTGTTTCTCGCGTGGACTATGTCGTATAAGGGGGGCTCGCGCCTGTGCCGGCTGCCGTGCTCTACCGAAGGATACCTGTGGCGATCCGACGCGCAAACTCTAAGGCTTCTCCAATTTCCAGACTCCGAGCAAATCGCTGTTGGCGTATTGCCAAGTGAAAAGGCTTGTCCAGCCACCGACTCCATCGCTCCATCGCTCCATCGTTGTCCAGACAGCTCAGCGAGGCGCAGGCGGGTGTTCTTGGCTGACGCAATGTTGGACCCTGAAACCGCCCTGAGCTGAACTGCAGGTCCGCCTTGTGCACGTGGGTGGGCGCGACTTTTGTTGTCAAACTCCTCCATCTGCCATTATTCTTATCTCCCCATCGCCAGGCCCAAAATGAAGGCCATTCGAGCTCTCCTCCCCGTGCTACTCGCGGCCAGCCCTGCTGCGGCAATGCCCCAGAGCCTGCTGTCCAAGCAGAGCGTGTTGGGCGCAACAAGCAAAGCGCAGCGCCTGGGAGTCGGACACTTCAGCGAATGGAGTCGCGCAACCAAGAAAGCATTCCTTGTCGACTGGCAGGCCGGCAAAGCAGCAGAATGGACCATCGTGGAAGGGAACGAAGGTGGAGACATGGACAGCATGACGGCGGCGTTGACGTGGGCATACCACCTTGGGCACTCGACAGCAAACACGTCGCATCCCATCAAAGCCATCGCACTGCTGCAGACGCCATCGCATGCGCTGGACCTACGTCCCGAGAACAAGCTGGCCTTGGATAACTCTCAGATGACGCCCGGGCACGAAGACCTGCTCACCATGGACGAGCTGCCAGAAGACCCCGAAACCCTGAGCAGGAAGCTGAAAGGAATCGTCCTCGTTGACCATCCTGAGCCGCTGCGCAAATGGAGCCATGCAAACATTGTCAGCATATTTGACCATCACAAGGACCGCGGCACCGCACCTGACGCCAAACCGCGCATCTTCGAAATCACTGCCAGCTGCACCACCATAGTTGCCCGACAAATGCTCGATGAGCTGGAGAAGCTCGACGAAGAATATCACATGCCTCACGAGCTACTGGAGCTGATTCTCGGCGCCATTGCCATTGATTCTGGCGGCTTGACGAGCGACAAGACCACCAAAGCCGATATTGAGACGTCGAAGCGCGTACTCGCGAGGAGCGCATGGGCGAAGAAGGACCTGGAAGATGTCATGGAAGACCTCGACGACAAGCTCTCCGAGGCACAGAAGGACATCGACAACTTTGACTTGCGCGACCTATTGCGTCGGGACTGGAAGGGTGATCTGATTGACACTCCGTCTCCACGCACACCTACCGTCAGCCTGGGCTTCGCTTCAATTCCATACTCGATGGATGATCAGATACTTAAGACTGATTTTGCCGAGCTCTTTGATTGGTTCGCCGTACATGCTGTATACACCCTCATTCCCCCTCTCTCTCGCCCAAACACTAACGTTCCCTTCTAGGCCTGGACTGCTGAATCTGGCGTCGATATCTCCATTTGTCTCAACAAATACAAGAAGCACTACAAAGACGGCGAAAAGGAGAAGATTCGCGAAATCGTCCTTACGGTCCGTGACGATGTGCGCATCGACCAAGACCAAGCCGACTCGCTCTTCAAGACCGTCAAGGAAGCGCTGGAGAACAATAAGGAGGGCATTGAGTTGACGCCCTGGCATCGTGTTGATGAGCTGAGTAACCGGCAGATGGTGTGGACGCACAAGAGTGGTGCGGGGAGGAAGATCATTCGACCCATCGTCGAGGATGCAGTCATGGGCTGGGACTAAGGCTGTAGTTGCACGTGTGTGAATAGTGAGCTTGTTTTGTATGATACTAGTAGATGTTAGACAGGCTGCTGGAATGTCTAGCTTGAACGCTTGTCGATTTGAGCTACTGTTGGATAAACGACTGCATTAACAAGTACAAAAACTGCTTGACTATGCAGGCTAGTCTCTTCCGATTGGCATATCAGATTTCAAAATGTGAGGCCACATATGATATATATGCAAACACAGACGCGACAATCAAGTACACGTGCATCACATCACCATTGCAAACACCATCACGGTCAAGTGGACAGCTGAGTTATCGTCATTTCATTGATTCATCTCGTTCCTTCGTAAAGCCCATCATCCTCCACAACCACCTAGTAAAGAAATTTCGTTCAAAGCAAAGCAAAGCAAAACAAAACAAAACAGTAACACTCTGGGAATGATCCGTCCAGGGAAAACAAACAAACCAAAGCAAGTGCACCTGGGAATCGTCCGTCCAGATAACTCAAAATCAAAACCAACGCCATCTGGGAATTGCACTGCCAGAGAAATCAAAACCGAACCAAAAACCATCACGTCTGGGAATCGTACGTCTAGAAAGAAACAAAACACGAGCCGCGTCTGGGCAAAACTCTTCCAGAAAAAAGCAAACAAAATCGCAAGCAGAGACTTTTGCTCAGTGCTCATCGTCCTCCTCAAGAACCAAGACGTCCGCTACTCGACCCTTCGGATTCTACCGGGCGAGCGACCCGAGGGGAGTCGCCCTTACGGGGACTGCAACCCAAGGACAGCTCAAGCCCAGTCGAAGTTTGGGGAGGGCAGATTGTCGAAAGCAGATGAATGTGAAAGAAGAGCAGAATGAGTCGGAAAGGATAACCAGAACGCCGTCAACGAAGGGGTATACAACGCCAAGAACCATGCAATAACTAGAACCCATACACCTAGCGTGGGCGAGTGTTGGTTTTCGTGCCCTTTTGTCGAACGTTGTCATTTTTGGGCGAGAGGATCTGCGCACTCTGCTGGCGAGAGGCTGCTCGAGTTGCTCGGGTCGTAGGTGCCGCCTTTGTCTTGGTTGCCGTCTTGGTGACGGCATTCGTGCGGGCGCGTTTGTTGTTCACGACGGGAGAGTTTTCCTTGTTCTCACTGGAAATGTCTTCGCTGGTCCTCTTCTTGGACCTCATCGCGGTGTGCCTGCTAGGCGGAGGCGATGTAGAGGTCTTAGTGACCGGCTTGGGAGCCGGCTTCGCTTTCGCAGCAGTCGGAGCGGGATTGGCCTTCCTGGAGGCATTCAGGGCCTTTTTGGCAATTGGCTTTGTTGTCGGTTTGGTACGCGAGACCGACGCTGAATGCGTGGCCGACGAAGAAGAAACCGCGGGAGCACTGGCAACAGCTGTAGAAGGTGCCGTGGCGGGAGATGGTGCCAGAATGTCGATGATGGGTGTGGCGCGTAGAGTGGCGGGAATTCGGTTCACGCGACGCGTCAGGCGGTCGCGCGTGCTTGCGCACAGCGTGTCGCACATTGCCTCCAACCTCGCAATGCTTGCTTCAACTGTGAGGAAGGCGTTAGCAGTGGCTCCTCCGGTGCGAGAAGGAATGACTTACACTCCAGCTCCATGTTCGCGGACCTGCTGGCCAAATCCAGAGCGGAAATCATGTTCTGAGACTGCATCGCGACGCGTACACAGGTGAAGTTCGACGTGTTTTTGGTGTCGTAAGGAGGAAAAAAAGTGTAGGAAAGACGAGATGTGATCTTTGAGAGCTTGTGAGACTGTTGCGGGTGTTCCTGAGTGCTGTTGATCGTGGTTGTGGTTGCCTTGAGTCCTGGGAGCGGGTTGTAGAGAAGTGGAAGGAGCGGCCGCAGAAACTGGCTTATAAGGCAGCAGGACCGCCAAGACCCTACGCATCAGACCACTACGACACCAGAACATCATCAGAGGACTTCGAGAGATGGCAAAATAGACCAGAAATGTAATGCGACTTCATGCGCAACAATTTAACACACAACTAAGGTCAATTGCTCGAATGTTCACCATCGAAGTGAGGTTACTAGACAGCGAGTAATGCAATTCAATATAACTGCATATCACGACTCGCGCATCCGCCGCTCCACGTGACTCCACTCTTAGCTATCCAGTCTGTGCGCTGCGGCGATTGCTTGTAGACCTCCGACCTCCGCCTAAGCTCATCGTCGTCAATCGCCCACTCACCCACTCCGACATCCACTCTCACATCCCCAACTCGACCCTCACGATGGTGTTAGAAGCTTCCATGATCGTGTACGCAGCTCATGCCCGACCTCCGAATACTTGCTGATGTGAACAGTGTGGACAACAGCGAAGCAAGCAGAAACGGCGACTACGTACCCTCTCGGTGGGAGGCACAGCAGGATGCCGTGAACCTCATCTTCTCTGCCAAAACCGGCGCCAATCCCGAGTCATCAGTCGGTCTAATGAGCATGGGTGGCAGTACCCCGGAGATCCTAACGACCCTGACCACGGACATCGGCAAGGTCCTCGATGGTCTCCACAGGACGAAGATAAAGGGCAACTCTCACTTCGTGACGGGCATCAATGTTGCAGCTGTATGTGATACATTGGTAGCTCAGTATACATGTACTAATAAAGCGTTATAGCTCGCCCTCAAACACAGGCAAAACAAGTCGCAAAAGCAACGGATAATCATATTCAACTGCAGCCCGATCGAGGAAGACGAAAAGAACCTCATCAAGCTAGCCAAGAAGATGAAGAAGACTGGCATAAACATCGACATCGTGGCCTTTGGTGAACTCAGTGACGACACCACCAAGAAACTCCAGGCCTTTAGCGAGAACGTATCGAGCGGAGAGGGATCGTATCTTGCCACCATTCCCCCGAGTGCAAACCTCCTCAGCGACTCTCTCATCTCAACCCCGCTACTCGGCGGCGACGGTACATCTGGTGCAGGAGGAGTGGGCGGCTCTGGAGGCGAGGGCGGTGCTTCAGGCGGCAACGACTTCGAATTTGGTGTAGACCCCTCAGTAGACCCTGAGTTGGCACTAGCCCTAAGGATGAGTTTCGAGGAAGAGAAGGCACGGCAGGACAAGGAGAAGAAGTCAAAGGACGCCGCAGAGGGCAAGACGGAGCTCGAGCCTGTGGCTGAGGGCGACGAGAAGCAACCGCTATTAGACAATCAAGGGCAGCCCAGCGGAAGCGGAAGCAAGGGCAAGAAGGACGACGAGGATAAGATGGACACGGCATGAGCTTAGGCAGCGGGGGCACAGCGCTATGAGACAAGTCGATGGAGGCTATGAGCCATGGATAGAGCATCTACGGCTTCTACTGTACCACTAGAAATGGCGTGACAACAGCGTCTGGAATGACCACATGAATTTAATGAGCAAGTGGGAGTCTCTTCTTGGCCATACACCGCGAGATCAAGTGCACATCATGCTAGGTGGCCTGCTACGTCTTTCGCCTGCCGGGTGTGCTCACTAGCTACAGACGCGGTGGTCCTCGGCGGAGACAGGCACATTGGCGCTACACGAACAGTTCAGACCAGTCCTTCATCTGCCTCTTAAACACAGCACCCCTACAGCTATGTTCGTCTGAAACTCGATCGAGCTGTAGAGGTATCGGTATTACTCCTCAGCGCCTTGGGATAATGCGTGGTGTCTTTGACTGTTCCCTTGGTCATCCCCTGACCTTGACGAAACCATCCAAGCTACGATCAAACTTCTCGCATCTGATGGGCATCTCAACCGTGTAGAATGGGTTTTTCATGACGTAGTCGGCGTACAACTCATAGATCTTCTTCATCGTGGTATCGACGTTGGGTTGTTGGGGTTCGGTGAATAGCAGGAACTTGGTGCCTGTCTGTGTCTGGAAGCACTGTATGCGGAAATGGCTCGATTCAAGCACTTCGAGGCCTGTCGGGCGGTTTATAAAGGGCGAGGGCGCTAAGGAGGCGGGAAGAGGATTGGGCACTGGCGGGGCGGGGGAGAGACGGGCGGTGATGGCGTGCATGCTATGACTAGTCAGTGGTAGCCGTGAAAGCATCGCAATGCGATCACGCACCCGTGGAACGACCCGGCGAGTGTGAGGTAGTCGTTGCTGGAGAGTTTGCTCATGCCCGTGTGGAACTCGCGGTTGTAGACAAGGCCACCGGCCTTGTTGATAACGAAGAGCGCAAAGACGACCCTGCAGTATGTCAGCGTATTCGCGGCGGGCAGGGGAATCGTGCCCTACATGGTGAACCGCGGAGAGATGGACGGAGCTTCGTATGCACTATGATTGTCCAAAACTACGGGTCTAGTGCTGAGCGAGCGCGTACTGGCTCCGAGATCCGAAGTTCCGAAGCGGCTGGTGTCTCGCGACGCAATGCGACGTGATCAAGGGCTGGATTCACGACGGTGGATGGTGTTGGACCCTGGCAGGCTTGTGCCCCACTTGCAGCGCAGCGGAGGTGTACCAGATCAACAGCTCATCAGCAGCACATTCAGGTCTGAGACACTACCTACAGCTTTGTGAAGCTCCGCAAGCTCGTGTGAAGCTCTGCATCGCCGCGTCTGCAGCTTTCTATTGACCTGTCGTCGTCCTAACGCTGTCCCTCCACGAGCAGCGAGCGCAGCCTAGGTCGTACGCGCACCTGAGCTCAAGCTTGTTGAGCTTCCTCAACGTCCATTCTTCACCTCACTTCACTCACCAGCCCACGGCTGGCTGCCCTTTCCTCCTGTTTGCTCAAACTCCGCCCGCGCCCGCGCCGGCCCCGCCCCTCTCTATCACAAACCCAACCACCGCCAGCTCCAAGCCCGCACTATCAATCCACCCCGCACCAGCACGCCTCTCACCACGCGATCCCGCAGCCTGAAGGCCCCCACGGCATTATCAGATGTCGAACCAGTCCATCCTCCGCATCACGCGCGAGCTGAGCGAGATCCAGAGGGGCTCTGATCTCTCCATTGCAGTCGCGTGCCGTGACATTGATGTGCGCCATGTCAGGGCGCTGATTATCGGTCCGCCCGACACGCCCTACGAGTTTGGCTTCTTCGAGTTCGCTGTCAAGTTCACCAAAGAGTACCCAACCAAGGCTCCCGGTGTCACTGCCATCACAACGAATGGCGGACGCACACGCTTCAACCCCAACATCTACGCTGCCGGGAAGGTTTGTTTGTCCATACTTGGGTGAGTCTCCCTCCCGGTCCACTATGCGGGCTTCTGTAACAAATCCGAACAGAACGTGGCGAGGCGAGCGTGGCGAGGAGTGGTCCTCAGCACAGGGTCTTGAGTCTATCCTCATCTCCATCCAGAGCCTGATGTCGTCCAATCCGTACGAGAACGAGCCCGGGTTTGAAGACGCCAACTCGGACTACGATAAGAAGAATCAGGCAGCATACGTCGACAAGATTAGACACGAGTCATTGAGAATTTCCGTTGTAGAGCGCCTGGAAGAGTACCTCGGAATTCACCAAGAGCGCCCGGGCGTGACCGTTTACAACGCCGAGGAGGACTACAAGTTAGGCGGAGAAGACACGCCGTTTGAACCGTTCAAAGATCTCTGCAAGCGACGTTTCCTTTGGTACTACCCATCCTACCTGGCAACAGTGGACGAGGCTGCCAAGAAGCACAAGGACGGGGATCGTTTCGAGAAGATGCCATTCGAAGGCCCAGGAAATACCATGGAGGGCTGTTATCAGTACACAGCTCTCCGAGAACGTCTTGTGAAGATCTTCGAGGAGCTGAACAAGGAGATGACTGGCTGGGCCCAGGAAGGCATGGCAGCTGTACACAAGGAGATGGGCATCGCGAGCAACCTTCAGCGCCAATTCGAACAAATTGTCGAGAATTACAAAACGGACGGTTCCGTCACACTGGACCTTAACCTTGTCGAGAGGAATCCGTTCGTTTGGCAATTGGTCCTTTTTGGTAGGCCCATGACCAATTTAGACGGCGGCATGTTCACCATCATGCTCTACATCAGCCCTAAATTTCCAGACGTTTTACCACGCGTCAAGTTTGCTACCCCTCTGTTCCATCACCGCGTGTCGCCCGACGGCATCCTCTGTTACGACGCTGCCCGCAAGGATGACATGCGCTCCCACATCGAGGCCATCATTGCTGCTGTTGAGGAGGAGTCGCCGGCATACGATCCTCGGACACTAGTTAACCCGGAGGCTGCCAACCTCTTCTGGGGTACTTCTGACCAGAAGAAGGTTTACAACCGCAAATTGAGGAGATCGGTCCAGGATAGTGCAGAGTAAGTCACATTCTTTGACTGTAGGAGTTTCATGCGGGATCATGTCAGCCATGGCACCACTTTGGGTTTTTGATTCCACGGCGGCTAACATTGGCAGGAACTGTTTCTGAGCAGCCTCGTACTGTGCAGGATCATGACATTAACGGCCGCCACTTTCTTTTCATTGATCGCAAGAGTGACTCACCGATACCCACAACTGGCCTCACGGCTTGCATACATGGCGTACTGGGAGTGACAAGCATAGCATAGGCTGCTCATAGCACGGCGTTGGGTTTTATGATGGTCATATCACAGACATTGCTCAGTAGCAATGAAAAATATTGCTTAAGGTCGCGCTTTTCACATTCGACTCTTGGCGTGACTGGTGTGTGCATGATGGCTGTGACATGTTGGAGTAGGAAGTATGGAGTGAAGATGCAAGCTTGGCGATGTTCCAAGGCGCTGGGATTGCGGGAGCCAATTACCCCTAGGCGCGGCAGCTGCTCGACCGAGCTGTTCGTGTCGGCCGCAGAACAATTCGTCGCCGAACAGCACACGTGTGCGATTGAACACTTACACGACACAATGTCGCAATCACAAGGCCCAGCATCACTAGGCAAGGTGGTTGTTGTCGGCGGCTGCGGCTTTCTGGGCAGCCACATCGTCAAGTACATCGTGGAGCGTCACCCGCAGACACAGGTCGAGGTGCTCGACCTACGAACCAACTCGAACCGCAATGGCAGCCCCAACGTATCGTACCATGACGGCGACATCACCGACCTGGCGGCCATGACGGCCCTCTTCTCCAAGCTCCGGCCCGACGCAGTCATCCACACGGCCTCGCCGCACTTCAACCTGAAGCCTGAGATCCACGACAAGGTCAATGTTGGAGGCACCAAGAATCTGGTCAAGGCGGCGCAGGACACAGGCGTGAAGGCTTTCGTCTACACAAGCTCGGCCAGCGTCATTCTCAGTGCCACGGAGCCATTGGTCAACGCGGACGAGCGGTGGCCGATTGTCGCGGGCGATGCGCAGCCCGAGTACTACACCACCACCAAGGTAAGGACGCCCCGGGCAGAGATGATAAATGCAGACGGCCACTGACGTGCACTGATGTGTCTAGGCATACGCTGAGACGGCGGTGCTCGCAGCAAACCGCACGCCCGAGACGTTCCTCACGTGCGCGATCCGGCCCGCTGGCATCATCGGCGAGGGCGACGTCCAAGTGCTGCCGAAGATGGTGACGGCGTACCGCAAGGGGCAGACCAAGTTCCAGATCGGCGACAACAACAACCTGTTCGACTTTACATACGTGGGCAACATTGCACACGGCCACGTGCTTGCTCTCATCGCGCTGCTCCAGACACACAAGCTGATGCCGACGCTGCCGCTGGACACGGAGCGCGTCGACGGCGAGGCCTTCTTCATCACCAACGGCGAGCCCGTCTACTTCTGGGACTTTGCGCGCGCCGTCTGGCACGAGGCAGGCGACCGCCTGCCACTGTCGAGCGTGTGGCATCTGAGCGCGGACACGGCGTGGGCCATTGGCACCGTCCTGGAGTGGGGCTTTTGGCTCGTGGGGAAGACGCCCAACCTGACGCGGGCCCAGGTGCGCTACAGCTCCATGTCCAAGTACCACAACATCAACAAGGCGCGGACGCGGCTGGGCTACGAGCCCATTGTCACTCTGGGCGAGGGCATCCGGCGCGGCGTGCAGCACATTCTGGCGCAGGAGGCGAAGGAGAGCCAGAAGAAGGGGCAGTAAGTCGAGTCGGCTTGATGCTTATACATGCTGTAGATAATATAATATTTGAATGCCTCGTTCTCGGCCCAGAGCGGCTAGATCCTCCATGTCATGTCGGCTCCACTGCATGAGCCAAGGCTGGAACATGGCGACGGGCGCTGCTCAAGTGCGCGCGACCTCCAGGGCTCACTAACCCCACGCACCTCGCACCCTCGCCCTCGCCCTCGCCCCGCCAACATGGCGCGTCCTCATGCAGTATGTCGCGCCCCATACTGCCCGAGTCGGCGTACGCAGCCCTCGGGCTCGACCCTGAGACGATCAAGATCCTGATGAACCCCAAGCCCCCAGACGACCCCGACATTGCCGCCCCGAATCTGCTGCAGAGCGACGAGGACAATGCGCAGCCCATGGCCCCCAACGAGACGCTCATCACCATGTACGCCGAGCTGCTGCTGCACGTGCGCACCATCACCCTCTTCGCCTCGCTGCGCACCCACCACAACCGCGAGACGACGGCGAAGCTGTCCTCGGACGGCATCTGCATCACCGTCTCGCACGAGGGCCGCACCGCCTCCATCCGCATGCCCTTCGAGGTCAAGGGCGGGGGCGAGGCGGAAATGACGCTGCCGGCAGCGCCCAACAGCAAGGACATCACCCTGCGCCTGCAGCTGGAGGAGCTCGACGACAGCGACGTGCTCGGCGCCCTGCAGAGCGAGGACCGCAAGGCCAACGTCGTGCCCTGGGACGGCGCGTCGCTCGACAGGCAGTCTGGCCTCGAGGTCCGGTGCAAGGGCTGCAGCGCAGCAGTCGTGCCGTGCGATAGCATCACCCAGTGGAGAGACCTGCCGAACGAGAACTGGGCCGAGATGATGGACTTTTGGCATTGCCACAAGCCCGACGAGCACCATCTACACCACCATGCCCACGACAGTGCCATTCATGGCAAGGGCTACGCCGCGGGCAACCGGCTCCAGGCCACGCACCATCTCGGCTTCGTCGACCTGACCAGCTTCCTGCTCAAGGACCAGGACTGCCAAGGAGCACAGGTAAGGCATGCTTTTTCCTTTGCGACATCACAGTGCCGCTACAGCACGTACGGGTGCAAAGAAGGCGATCTGGCCTTCCCCATGGCATCATCGTCGATACAATCGCCCTAGAATAATACGCTCATACACGTACTCGAGGCATCGGACGCATCTTCTTCCCTAGGTCGACGGATCGCCGGTGTGTCGGGTCAGCGGCCAGGCGTTTCACTGCCTCTTTACCCTCAGACTCTTGGGATTGGCAGGATATGTCCAGGCTACATGACACGACCGCTTCGTGAATCGTAACGTCATCAAGCCAAGTAGCAATGCTGACTTCGCGTAGAATATGAATCAGGAAAATACTCAAGAGGGCTTCATTGTCTGCAAGCAGTGCAATGCCACTCTAGGCACTCCAGACGACACCTCTGACGGATGGCGGTTATGGAAATGGAACGTGGACATACACTCTGCTTCCTGGCCACAAACGTCGTCGCCCATGTATAGCACCCAGAAATGGATAACGGCTCGGCTACTCTATCTCATAGAAAACACTGGCCTCCGCAAGTTCCACATACACCCCACCACACCAACCATAGACAGAGCGTCAGTGCCATCAACACCGTCTCTTCTTGTATGGGTCTTCACACCGGACCTCCTCTTCTCATCCTCCATGCCATCACCGGGTCGTCTCGATCCGACGCGATCAATGAAGGTATTCTATCAGCCGCAAAAATGGCAACCACTCAAGCCCGGTGAGCCAGAGAGCACGAGTGTCGAGGATGTAGAGTTTCCGGAAGAATTGTTCTTGGAGCTCCGAAAAGCTCTCCACGAGAGCCAGAAAGTGCTACCACCCACTGCGAGGAATTTCCAGGGTTGGGAGGTGGGCTTGCTAGAAAGATTCGATGGGCGAGATCTTTTAAGAGGTGAAGAGCAAAGAGATGAGAGGCACGATGGAAAAGAGGCCGACCTAGCAGACGTGGAAAGTGGAGGGTAATACTGGTTGTGGGGACAATGCCTTATCTTGAAAGAGACAAACAAATACACGTGACATTCCTCCAGACTTAGTGTGAGGAAACAACAATACTAGCGAGTAAGCACGCAGACTTTATCCTATGTTTCACCTCCTGCTGCGGGTTGACTTGAGCGGAGGTGATAAAGTGGCCGTAGCGCCTGTTGTGCGACCAAACGGGAACTGGGAACGGTCAAGCTAGTTCACCCCAGTAGAACGACCTTCACCTTTCCTCCACCAGACCCTCATCCTACTCTACTCAAGCATACCCTGATCAGCTCAACCTACACGTATCAAAACGTGACGATCACACAATGCTCATCCTTGGCCGCCCAGGGTGGTCGACGGCCGCGCCACGTCGTCCAACGCCATCGCCCTACACCTCACGCGAGACCTTTGACATGACGCAATTGCTGCCGATTGCGGACAGCATTGTCGTGTAAGTACAACTTCCCGTGGCTCAATTGCGCCAATTAAGCGTCTGACCACCTTCGCAGCAGCGATCGCAACATACAACTCTCGCCTCTCCTACAGCTTCCCGGCGAAGTCCGTACTCTAATATTCACCTTTGTCCTAGGTGGCCACGACATTCAACTCAACCACCGTATGCGGAACTTTGAGATCCGCCCCTATCACACCGCGGCATGTCTGTCCAGTGGCGGGCAAAGGTCCTTTTTGAATCTCACTCTTGTCTCGCGCCAAATTTATATCGAAACTGCCATGTTGCCCTTCGTCGCCAACACCTGGGTCTTTATATCTGATCCGGAATTGTGTCAAAAGGGCCTTGCCCAGCGACTTTTGCCACAGCAAGCAAACGCCATCACGACAGCGAAGTGTAAGCCTGAAACCATCTTCTACGAGTTTCGCGAGGGGCCCATAGAGAGCCGGCACTGTCTCAAGACGTTCGCACATCTTCAGGGGTTGATGTGCTTGATCGTCGATTTGCGGGATGTACACTTGACTGCAGGTGAGAAGGAGTGCATGTTGCAAAAAGTCGCAGCTGTGCAGGGGAAGAAGGACTTGAAGTTGGTTTGTGAGGGGAGCATGCGTTTGGAATACGTGAGTCCGTTTGACTGAGGAATGAGATATAGCACCGGGGTGGATCGCTTGGTGAGGCCATCGTATGCAGCCGCAACTTGTGCCCACTATGTCCCAGATTCTGGCCTTCTAATAGTCAATGTCTCGTGGTGTGTATTAGTCGGTCGTCCATCTCGTGTCAGGACGTCATGATCGAAGCATGGATAATTGCTCCGCCTGCGAGGCTAGGCAGCGCGATGACGTAGGTAGAACGAAATAAATAGACTTGTAAGACAACCATCTGCTATCTATCATACAACTTTTACGTGATTGACTCTCATTGCTTTGTTCTTAAAGATACACACGCGTCCGGTCAAAAGATCAAGTAAAGTTGACCGCATGGGCCCGACAACAAGAAAGGGTTGTGCTTCAAAGGAGTTACCTGCGCCTGGTTGTGTGCATTTGGATCGACAAATTCATGCAACACACGAGGTATGATTTGCAGAGCTGATAAGCACGTCACTAAAGGCTTACGACGCGTATACGAACCTGCACGTGGCTCTGACTCGACGTGCAGGTGAGTGACCCTCCAACTGTTGAGGAAAGGCGGATCAGCATGCACCGCGCCTATTTTGTCGTTTGCATAGAACATCGACTGTAAATTCATGACTTAGCTAGCCTCGCAGCTCACGTTCGAGTGCCCTCGCGCCTAAATGGAGCTCTCTCAGAGTCTCCATCTCCATCACGATTGGTTATGAGACCTAGTTCGGACGACCTGTTACTGCTTCTTTTCCGGACCGCATACCTGACGATGATTCTTGGATTCGCAGCATTCACCTCCCTCGGATTCGCTCGACTGGGTACAGCCATTGCCTTGGTTGCGACCGTCGTTGTCGCCATTGGTTCCGAGACCGCGTTCATGTTCAACAAGTGGGAACGTGAGATCGCGCTCAAGAATGACCGACATATGGTGTGACAGTAATCCATCTTACACGATTAGGAGCGCTCCATGATATCTCAACAAAAACACTCGCACTACAGCAAGGATTGCCATTCGGTGTAGAATTGCCAAACACCCTCTCGACCTTCGCATCGATATAACGTCTCTCTATCAATTTACGTCCCACACTTTCGGCCCCGGCGCATTATAGCTCGTTGCTATGGGGTAATTGCTCCATCGAAAACCTGGGTCATTGACAGAGTATACGCCCGGAAAGGAAACAAGCGGTGCCGGTTTCCCAGTCTCTCCCCCTGTAACTTGGACTTGTGCGCCACCGACATTTTGCGCTTGGTGTAGCGCGATGGATTCGATGCGGACAAAGTACTTGCCCGATGGCGTATTTTTGGGAATGGTGAACGACACATTGGTCTTCTTTGTTCGTCCTTAGTGCATGTACCGCGAATCGAAAGATGGACTATAAGAGTTGGAAATACCATAAGCCGGCCACGTCTCTACCCCACTCGTCAGAGGCCTTCCTCGCGCACTTGTGCTTGCAGCTTTGAACCAAATATTGCCGCTTGGCTTCCAAGTGTTGATGTCTGCTGTCTCTGGTACCTTCGCCATATAAAACTGCATCGGACCAAAATGCGTAATTTGCGACTCGACGACGAAGCCTCATTCCGTGCCAGCCGTCGCTGTTGCAGTGCCTGTGCCTACTCGGTTCTGGAAGCAGCGCATGTCCTGAGATGTCACTGAAGTCACACCCGGTTGCTTTGGTAATTATTAGTTTGACGGATGGCTGTCCATTCTTTAGTCTCTGGAACGCCATTGACGATGAGCTTGGAGAATTGGTCTAAATCAAGGAGATGGTTCTAGGCTGTGCAAAAACCTACTTACAATGCGCGTGGACGCTTCCTATGAGAATAACGATGGGGATGATCAAGTGCATGCTGGATGAGACGGTTTCCTGCTATCTCAGTTTGACAAAATGCAGGTACCTTTCCTACGAGCGCTATAAATACGCTTGGATATAAAGTGATCATGGAGACCACCGTCGTACATCGGTAGTTTACTAATATTTGCGCGGTACTTTCGACCAGGATGGGATAATTAAGCCAAGTAATGTCCATAAGCACCCCATATATTGTGACCCTTTGATTGGCCCAACCTTCAGCCAGAATAGTGGACATGTAGTAAAAGACGCCATGAAAGGAATGTGAGCAAAGTGACCTTGAGCCAAGATCAGACTAGCACAAAGGTTCACTCACTTCGGAGAAACCAGTTATCCTATCTATATCTTAGTCAAAGGTAAAAGACTTTCTGCAGTAATGAACAAATTTCTCTGATAGTTTTCTCTATTTCTTTACATTATTGTAGCAATCTTGCTGCATTAGATATATCTCACTCATCATGCAACTTGAGAAAGCGTTCACTTAAGCGAGAATTGTTAGCATCGGGTATTGCACAAGATTGTAAAGCTATACATGTTGACGAAGCCAAGGTCACATACCAAAGGTGATCTGGTGTCTATCAACACACAAAACAGTTCCCCGCTAGGCTGCTGACCAGAGGGGTTTCAGAGTCTTCATCTTTCAAAGCTATTCAGAGTGCAACCTGTGACTGATCGCCATTTGGACTCTGACACAACTATAAATGTGAATCACTAGAAGTCTGAGCATGTCACAACAAAACACATGCAAGAGCCTTAGAATGGAGAGCCCAGTGGAGGTTTACAAGCTCTGTGATGCGTAATTATAGTTCTATGTTATAGGATGAAGCCGCACGGTGCTCACCAACCGTCATCACCAAGCTTGAACAGCCCATTCTTCTTCTTGTCGACCGCCCAGCGATCGCACCAAGCTTTCATCTTTTCCCTACTTTTCGCACTTCCAACGTTTACCGTAGGAATAATTCGGTCAATTCTCAGAGCACAGCAGAACATTGTCAACTCTCTAAAGCTACTATGTTCACTGTATGGCACACCAAAACAACTTGCGCGACTAGTGCTTCCACGTTGAGGAGTGAGGTCTTTCATGGAGAAAGCGCTCTTCCAGTTCTGTGAGTGCAACACAGTCTGTACTGCTGGTGATTCTGTGAACCGACTATTCGGTGGGCGGTAGTTCCAGCCAGAAGGTCGGAAGCCGACGCATCGGGAGAAGGTATCGGCATAGTTCCGCATATAGTCGTCCAGTGTGTCGGCGCGGATCTCGAACAGCGGTGTCATATGGACTTGCGCGGCCCGAGGATCCTTCGTCAATAGAGCATTGAGTTCTGGATCTTCAAGTGCAGCGCAGATACGCTGCTTGTTAGCGGGAGCAAAAATCTTACTCCCAAGGGCTTTGGCGATGCCAACACATATACGCTCCTTGCCGATGCTGTATGTGCCAACGACGACCAGAAGGCGGCCACGTTCAGGGCTTTTCGGCTGCTCTGGATTATCGGCGTTGGAATCTTTGCGTACGAATTTGACCATGCCCTGACCAGCTCGCTCCCGCTTCATTTGCTCCCAGCCATCCGCGTCGTCTGCACGACCCTTATTCAGACTTACGCACATGTCCGCGCACGCTTGAATAACCTGCAGCTGCGGTGGGAAAGCGTATTTTGGATTCAGATACGTAGTGTCCAGATAACAAACATCTAGCTTTTGCTGTTTGTTCCTGCCACTCACGACGTCTAGTACATCTGGCCGAAGCAATGGATGCTCGATGTGTGCTTGACACGCACGAAAGTCTCCGCAATGTAGGACGCGTTGCAATTTCGAAGGTTTTCCATTACTGGTTTCTTTTTCAAAGAGGAAAAGTGAGCTCCCGGGGCAATGGTTCGCTGATATCATTGTGACGAAGACGCCTTGCGTTCCAGGCACCTCTGTCCTCGCCTCGAAGTCCAAATCCACTACCCAACTAGGATCGACCCGTAGTTGTTGTCGGACGAGGTTTGCAGTGACCTTGCTGCAATATATGGGTCCATGTGACCAAGTGGATGTAAGGCCAATGTAATGATCGCTGTGGAAATGGCTGAGGAAATAAGCTTTCTGGCCCTTTACTGCTCCATAGCGAAAAGCATCGACGGCGATGAAGAAACCTGGCATAATTTTATAGAATGGACATGTGCGCTGGTATGCGGGTTTGCCACGGGCCGCGTTGTTCTCGGCTGCTGCCGATGCCCATGCCGCGTCTTCTGCGTGTCCTGCCATCAGCTTCGAGAAAGCCGAAGTCGGTGTGCTGCTGGCAGCTCCAAGCTGAAAGGGATTCGATTGTCCCGATTTCGCTGGCCTGATGGGGCGCTTAAACGCTTTTGCGTTGCTTGTAGGTGTGGTTGTAGCCTCAGGCGAGGTTTTTGCGTGTGGTAAAGGGAGTGGATTTCCGTCCAGGCAAGCGTTGACATGTACCGAGACTTCTTGTTCGGTCAAACCAGGGAGACTGCCGTTGCATATTGGACACAACGGCACGACCGAGTCCGCCGGCTTTTCCCTGTCCATGTGCGTATCATCGTCCCCCGGAAACATGTCTGTGGCGCCAAAATCATCTGGATCGCCTTCGAAGCCCGCCTCTTGCATCTCCAACTTCTGTTGTTCGCGCATCCATCGCCGTTCATCGTATTCTTCACCCTCCAACAGGTCGTCGTCCTCCAAGTCATCAAAATCTTCGTAGAGCTCGCCCTCAAATCGTGGAGTGCCTTCGGATCTCACGGTCTGGGGAGGCTTGACCATGGCTGGTGCGGTGTCATCTAAAGGAATGGGCTCCTCCGAAAGTTTAGAGATTGGTGATTGCTCAGTCGGTTCCAAATTTATCGTACCTCTTTTGATGATAGATGGTTCAACTCTTTCGTCTTCAGATTCCGAATCATCCACAAAGGGGCCTGATTTCTTGCGCCGCCCCGGAGCATCCTTGACAGCGGCAGGCGCGAGACTTTGTAATGTGGCGCTTTCCATGTCCGCTGGCGGCGGTGGAGAACAAGCAGACAAGGGACCTTGCTCTGTGAGTCCTGCTGAGCTCTCGCTTATTCTTCTCTTCTTGTTGCTGCCGCCGTTCTCGTTATAGCGATCTTCGCGCGCCTCTGGAGTCATGACGCCATTGGCACTTTCGTCGCTCCAGCCGACATCCTCCTCCACCTCGTCCAGCACGATCGTAGGGTTCGCACCTCGCTCTTGGAGAAAAATCCTGTTGTTGATATCCTCGGCCTTTTTAAAGAAGGCCAAGATGTTACCATTGGGTGTGCCCGCAGGCTTCGACTTGTTCTTCGTGTGGTTGGCAGGCAATCTTTTCGCCCAGTCGGATCCGACCAGTGTGGTCTGACCTGCCGGCTTCTTCCCGGACGCGGCCGTGGTAATCGCTTTAGGGGTGACTTTCGATGCGCCTTTATTCGTCGCTGCCATGTTCGCGGCTTTCGTCGAGGAGCGAGGTGGCGAAGGAGCACGACCGGTTGAAGGCGCTACATGCGACGATTCGGGTAGGCAATGGTTTTCTCTAGGGTTTCTGAACATCGGGAGAAGCTGTTCAGAACGTAACGGGGGGCGATGGGGTAATTACGTGTGGGGCGTTGAAAGGTCAGACGAGTTGGGACCAAATGGATCGCGCCAAGGCATCGCGCTATCACGTGTTCTTTATCGGAGCAGAAATTGCAGTTTTCATGAATGGCAGGCTGTGAATGAGTGTTTCACATGATGCATGTATTCAAATTATGAGCGCTGGTAGCTGTACGAGGCCATGCGTCCTGTATATGCATCACTAGGTGCTGCGCTAGTTATCGTACGCTGTTTGAAAACCGTAAGCACTGTTAAAGCGCGACCAAGTTAAGCCATACAACTTCAGGGCTGTTTTAGTGCTCTATCGCGTACTAGTCAGGTACTAGGTCTCCCTGAGCTTACGTATGAAATGACTGTTGCTCTCTAATAGTAAGTGAAATTTGATAAGAGCGCGCACAAATCATTGCTGCAACTGTTGGCGTCTACTGTACTTTGTCATCATCCCCATGGAAGAATCGTATGACAGCCTTCGCAACTATCTTGCCGTCGTGCATCCAGTCCGCCCGTTCACTCGCCTCGTCCGCATCCTTTTCTGAAAGAGTGCCCGACTTCACTCGCATCTCCAGTTGCCTCTTCACCATAGCCTCGTTGAATTCCATGTGTCCCTGTGTCGTGAATAGCCTCTTTTGTATGTACACACCCTGCACGCCTGTATGCTCGCTCGTGCCCCAGGTATGTACTTGAGTACCTTCTGGTAGCAAATCTGTTGAACTCACTGATGGTGCATTCACCACATGGTCGAGGTGCATCTGATGCAAATGGATACGATCTGTTTCTTCGGGCAGGTCAAAGAGCTGGCGGCCAATGTTGGACAGGATGATAGGTGAGTGGGACAATTCCCATTCCCCGTTGGCTTCTGGTGCCACCGTCGACCCTAGCACTCGACATAGAATTTGGTGACCGAAGCAAATTCCAGTGAATCGAATATCCGGTCGGTGGATCCATAGGTCTACTTGCCTATTAGGCAATTTGTCAGATCGGGGATTTTGGAAGACGCACGTTTGATCAAGTCCATGAGTGCATGAATCCACTCGTCGTCGCCATGTGCATCCCACTCGCTTCCTGTGATCAGAATGGCATGTATGTCTTCTGTGATTTCATCCTTCTTCGGTATCTGACCCCCTTTAGGCTCGACAATGTACTGCATTGCTGTTTCAATGGCAAGTTTGGGACTATGAGCTTCCCCAGCATCAACCAGCAGCTCATTGAGAATCTCGCCAAAGGAGCCTTTCTCCTTTTGTGTATCCGGATGCGGCTCGTCCGTCTCGAGGACCCAACTATTTTCGTGTAGCGTTGCTCGGGTCGCAGCGACCGCAGACCTCAGCGTCGTCCCTTAGTTCGTGTCTCGTCCTTGTCCCACTTTCAGCATTTATGGATGAGGGCCAATTCTGTTGTGCGGGCGCATTCCCTCGCCTCCAGTTGTCTTCGCATTTCCGCTCGTTCGGCGTCTCGCCTTCCTTCACGATGCGCACTCCGTACCGCTGCACTGTCGCGGACACCCTACACTAATGGCACAAAGACTGATGCATGGATATGATACCAGAAGACCTTTATGCAGAGGAGGTGGCAATCTGCAGCTGTGTACCTGTCTCACCTCACCATCACCGTCCTGCTTCAATGACGCTGTTTGGGGTGAGTTTATTTCATTGTAGACGACTACATTGGATCCATGGATCATATAACGTAATTTAGTGCGTCTTGGTAAAGCTTATGTACCGACAATTCCGAGTGCTCGGAACTACGGACAATTACTTAGCGTTATTCATATCAAGCCCGACTTGCTTCGTATCGTCTGATAGTCAATCACGGCTTTCATTAAAGCTCATGTCGCGCCTTCCTACTCAATCCCCTTTCCCTTGAGCTTCAACAGTTCAGGGTCATGCTCAGCATGTTGCGACTTGCCTGGTGATTCTGTGCCATGAAGGATGTCTGTAAATATTTTGCGCAGCCTCTCAATTGCTTCTTCGCCAACTTGGTAGTGTACGACAAATCTGCCACCACGTACCTTGACACCGTACTGTTCCGAAAGCTCAATGAAGTGATCAATGTCAATGCCGTGGGCCTCGAGATCGAGCCATACCATGTTCGTATCAACAGGGTATTGTAGCTTGCCTCCCAAGTCGGTCCAGATCTTCTGAATCTTCTTCGCATTTTCGTGTGACTGCGTGAGCTTACCACCCAAAAAGGTCTCCTCGACCGCGACACGTGCAGGTGCTGCAACGACACCTGCTTGTCGCAAGCCGCCGCCGATGGACTTTCGAATCCAGCGGCTGCGTTTGATGAAAGCCTTTGTGCCTACAATAATACTGCCGATTGGCGCTCCGAGCCCTTTGCTGAAACACAGACTTATGCTGTCGAATTCGGCGCAGAACTCTTTGAGGGTGCCGGCACCAGCGGCAACCGCCTCCCATAGACGAGCTCCGTCCAAGTGCATGATGATGCCGCTCTCCCGCGCCCAGGCAGATATGCGACGCACCTCGGAGAGAGGCATGATGGCACCGTTGAGCGTGTTCTCTAACGAAATAACGCGTGTAGGGCAGGCATGAACGTCGTCAGAGATAACGGCGTACTTCTGCACCTCTTCCAGTGTGATGTATGTACCGTTCTTGGCGTCGATGGGCTGCAGCATGGCCTGACTGAGACTCGCCACGCCGCCAGCCTCGTAATTTATGATGTGTCCACGTCGGTCACATAGAACAGCTTGCGGAGGGGCAGTCAGATGCGTGCGCAGCGCAACCTGGTTGCCCATCGTACCAGACAGTACAAGCAGGGCGTCTTCTTTGCCTGCTAGGTCGGCAATGAAGCGCTCCAGGGACAAAGTGGTGGGGTCCTCCATGGTCACATCGTCTAGCAGTGTGCATTGCTGGATAGCTCGCAGCATCGAAGCTGTGGGCGTAGTGTGAACATCGGAACGGAAGTCAAGGGGCGGCAGGGTTATCTTCAGCACCCCATGTTATGCTATTGCTGCTGCCGTTGGTAGTTGGGCCATGTGCGGACGCGCTCTTAGTACCCTTGGCTGTATACGCTGCAAATTCCGACATGGCAAGGTGCTTGGTCGATATGCGAAATGAGCGTGAGCGTGAGCGTGAGCGTGAGCGTGAGCGTGAGCGCGGGGTGGACAAGGCAACGAAAGCGTGTTTATGCACGCGCGGTCGTGTTACTGGGAAGTGGTGAGGTCAATTGAATAGCAGGTCGGTCACGCGACGTACTGCAGAGGCGTACAAGCGGAAACAACTGTGTTGACGGCATTGTGGTGCCTCAGGGCTGTCGTCGTCCCGAAGGGCGCGCGGAGCAGAGTGGGAAATGTCATTCCGAAGCTATGCGTCGCGGCTTCCCTGCACTATCGAATTAGGAAGGTGCACGTCACTCCAACACCAACTTCTGCCCACACGACCTGTTGGATTGGACCAGCGTGCGAACAGACGTTTCGGCCTCGAGCTGTGAGATTTTGCTACACTGTGTCCGCGATTTTGCACCGCAAGCCCGTCACAGCCTGTTCCGGCGTGAATATGCCTGGCCATGGAAGAGGGAACGTTCCCTACTGCTCATCAGAAAGAGCCGGGGCGTCAACTTGGGACGCAAAGCGAACTGCACGTGGAAAAAGAAGAAGTAAAAGCAAATGTGGAGATATGACAGTCATCGATACTGCCATCGTTCGCCCTTACCTCCAGCATTGATGTACTATGTACAAGCACACTGAGCCGCCAATAATCCAACCGCAAGACTCCTCGGGCTTTCTCGGAATAGTTCCGGCAATTCATCAACTGCCACCCCACGTACTTCTTCGCTAGGTCTCAACGGCTCGCATCGACTCGTGACATGCACCCCGCAACATGATCCATCAATCGCGCTTCATGTGGCCACTCGGTTTCAACCCGCGGCAGAGATCCATTCTTCCATTTTACGCGTCCGGCTGCTCTGTCTCGGATCGTCCACACGACGCTGCCTCGCCACCAATTCACAAGAACGCCGTACGTGCTCGAAATGCTGAGGTGCGCATATGCTTATGGCGGCGTTTGCGAATTGTGACGTGAGTATGCCAGCCACCACTTGGGCCGGGCCACTCCTATCGTATGAAGCCCTTTTACAATATAACTCTGCTTTGGGACACGGTAGCAGGGCCTAAGAAAGATTCTTCCGGTGCAAAAGTATGAAGCCCTTCATGTCCGTGTACTCACTGACAGGGATGGAGCATTTTACCTCTTCCGGGTTTCTAGAAGAAATCGATGCCACCACCTCGGTTGTTAAAGGACATTTAATCAAAACAAGCTTTGAGGAGACAGGACCCAAGGGTGGAAACCGGGCGAGCACAACTTGGCGCTCTGGGCAGTAGTACATCACCCGGTGGGTTTCGACAGTCACACACGCAATCACGTGCTTTCATTTCCGCCCATAGTTCCCAAAATGGACACGGTTTGGTTCACGCATCGGACATGGGCCAAAATTAGCTACTTAGGGCCTGTCTGGTACGCCAGTTTCGCCGGCCGTTTTGCTTTGAAAGAGGTATAGCGTTCACGTGAGCCTGCTCCTAAAAAACTACTATGACAAGTAGAGAGGCAGTAAGAGCTCTGTTTTAGCTGCGCTAATTCTTTACAAATTAGGCTTAAAGGTTACCCCTTTAAGCGCGTCTACGAACTGGAGCCTCTGTTTTAAAGAAGCTATTTCATATGTCAGTCAGCAATCTGGAAGCTCCGTTTGCGCTAAAATTCTGCCCGATTCTGCCACGGCAAAACTGGTCCCTCCAGTTTACCAGACAGGCCCTTATCAGTGCAGGTGGATAGGGCCAAGACTGTCTGGCCGACACCCGGCGGGCTTGTATCCTATGAGGACGTGCTAGGGTAGGTATCTCATGTCAGTCATGTGTGCTCTGGAGTTCTTGTGTGACCTAGGGCTCATGCTGATCTCCCTTGTCTAGCTTCTGCACAAGTTGGCATCTCCAAATTAATTGTGCTGGCGAGATGGTTTGAGACATTTACACCTGGAGATTTCTTCCTACACATCAGGCTTAACTAAGCCGAAGTGTCTGGTATAAAGCTCACGTCCCCTCAATGGGGGACGGTCAACAGCTCCAGCAAGAACCAGCACATTCTACTTCACAATGGTCTCATTCAAGTCCATCCTCCTCGCCATGACGGCTGCCACTGGCATTCTGGCTGCCCCCTTCGACTTCCTTTCTGAGCGCGACGATGGCAACGCCACTGCGGCCCTTGAGAGGCGCCAGAACACTGCGAACAGTGAGGGCTACAACAATGGCTATTTCTACTCTTGGTGGTCCGATGGTGGTGGTTCTGCAGTATACACGATGGGCGAGGGCAGCAAGTACTCTGTAGTCTGGCGCAACACTGGCAACTTTGTTGGTGGCAAAGGTTGGAATCCTGGAACCGGGCGGTTTGACACACTTTCTCCTATCCTCTCCCGCATGCTGACAATATCGAAGCACCATCAACTACGGTGGCTCTTTCAACCCCTCGGGTAACGGCTACCTTGCTGTATACGGCTGGACTCGCAACCCTCTTGTCGAGTACTATGTGATCGAATCCTACGGTACCTACAACCCCAGCAGCGGTTCTCAGCGTAAGGGTAGCTTCCAGACCGATGGCGGCACCTACGATGTCTCTGTTTCCACCCGTACCAATCAACCTTCCATCGATGGCACTAGGACCTTCCAGCAGTACTGGTCTGTACGTACCGCCAAGCGTGTTGGAGGTAGCGTGAACATGCAAAACCATTTCAACGCCTGGGCTCGTTACGGTTTAAATTTGGGAACTCATTACTATCAGATTGTTGCGTAAGACCAGCCACCAATTCACTCCGTTGGTAACGTATTACTAACAATAGACAGCACCGAGGGCTACCAGAGCAGTGGCAACTCTGAAATCTATGTGCAAACCCAGTAGTGAGTGCACTGTTCTCCCACAGGAGAGCCCACCACCGACGCATATCAGGAGCACAAATATGCCGACACGTGTTAGGGAGCGCTGAGATCGCGACTCGGTCATTCCCGATCAGCTTTACATAGCTAGGCACACAGCCATCTTGTTTGCACTACGACGGTAGTGCTTGGCCTTTGGTTCATTGTCCTTCACTTCTGCCTCTCGCTTTCTTGTTCATCTTAGACTCCGAATGAATTCATTACCCTAAGCTCATGACCTGTGACTTGTGTCAACGTATTCAGATTTCAAGAGCATTTACTATACACAACAACGTTGACAGTGTCTTTTTCGTACTTGCCACATTTTCTACGAAAAAAGCCATATTGTGAGTGACGGAGGTGCATATCCCTCATGAAGTGTTGAGTAATTATCGGCATCTCGGGCGTGCGCGGAAATAATTGATGTCACGACCGCGTGTGTATTTCCGGCCTCGGAGCAGCGCCACCACCCCCCTGCCTTTTGAATACCTACCCATTCTTCGGCGGACAATTTGGGCTCCATATCGTGTCGTTGGGAATGTGGTTCCCTTTTAGATAGGGCGTCCTGACAGAATCAAATTGCACGTTTCGATCGATGCGACGTTGCCACAATGCGCAATCGTCATCACCGAGTCCACACCTGGCAGCTCTCGAGCTGTTGGGCGAGGAAAGGTAGTGTGCATTGCTCCACCTACCGGCGTTAGCTCATTAGTTGAACGGGCGGCAGAGTATCTAAAAGGCTCTGGGATCCCAGACTTACTTGTTGTCGGTCAGTTTGCGACTCTGAATCTCTAATCTTGTATCTACATCACAAACATTCTGTACTTTGCTCAAGTCGCCCCGATTCGCAGAAAACCAAAGCATGGTTGTCGTAAAATTGGAATCGCATACATCTATCAATGGTGCCCCTGCGTCCGCGGACCTTTCGAATGACCAGGACGCTGAGAAGAATGGACCGCAACATGGAAGATTACAAAGGCAAATATCCGAGCCACCATACACGATATGGGGTAAAGGAGCCAAGATATGGATCCTCTTTTTGGTGTCAATCTCGGCTTTGATATCCCCATTTGGAGCAACGACATTTTTTCCGGCACTCAATGTCTTGACCGAAGTGCTCAATATCTCGCCCACACAATTGAATCTCTCAATAACTACATACATGGTGCGTCCCCACCTATTCAGACTAGAAGCAGATGCAGAAGTCTAAAGTTTGCTGAATAGATTGCGCAAGCCATTGCTCCAGCGTTCATCGGAACGATGTCGGACAACAATGGCCGTCGCCTGTCCTTCATTGTATGCTTCGTTATCTTCATTCTTGGCAACATTGGTCTTGCGTTGCAGACAAACTACGTTGCTTTACTGATTTTGCGGATGTTGCAGGCGATCGGTGGAACTGCTGCAATTGCGTTGACTTACGCAGTCGTTGCGGACATTGCCACGTCCGCTGAAAGAGGCAAATACATGGGATATGCTGGAGCCGGTATTCTTTTTGGCCCTGCGTTTGGCCCCACAATCGGCGGGATCCTGGCGCAGTACCTTGGATGGCGAGCGATATTTTACTTCCTCGCCGTCTTTTCAGGCGTACTGCTAGTGTTGTTTATATTCCTCTTCCCGGAGACTTGCCGGAACGTCGTGGGTAACGGCTCGATTCCCGCCAGGGGCGTCAATCAGTCCGTCTTGGGCTGGTGGCAGCATCGAATGCAAGGGCCTGATGCTACAGGAGGAGGCCTCAAGCCGCAGAAACGCAAGGTTGCGTTTCCAAATCCCTTTGCAACCTTCAAGATTATTGCAGAGAAAGAGTCTGGCATCATCTTGCTATACAATGGCTTCTTCTTCACAGGCATGATGGTCACTGTCAGTGCGATTCCCGCTCTCTATGGTAACGCATACCATCTCAACGAGCTCAATCTTGGTCTTTGCTACATCGCCAATGGCATGGGTTCGCTGCTTTCGTCGCTGACAATGGGCCATGTTGTGGATTGGAATTTTAGACGGCATGCAAAGGCCATAGGCATGACAATTGAGAAAGGAAAACAGCAAGATCTGACTTACTTTCCCATCGAGCGCGTAAGGATGCAGATTGTTATTCCAGGTCATGTCATTGGTATTCTTGGTCTCATCGCGTTCGGATGGACAGTCAAGTTCCAGACGCATATTGCCGGCCCCGAAATATCTCTCTTTGTGATCGGATTCGGCATTAGTACGGCATTTAATATAACGAATGGGTTGCTGATTGATCTTCATCGTGATCAGCCGGCTGCAGCAACAGCTGCAATCAACTTTGCCCGTTGTCTCATGTCGGCAGGTGGAAGGTAAGTACACTACTACGTGCGGCTATGGTAAAAAAAAAACATACACTAAAACTTGACAAGCGCGGCGATCGTCCCTATGTGCAACGCGATGAACCCTGGGTGGGCATTCACCTTCCTTGCCTTGGTATACGTGGCGTTAATAGCAGTTGTGCTGCTTGTCATGAGAGACGGCATGAAATGGAGACAAAATCTGGAAGAGAAGAAGAGGATCAGAGAAGAGAGGCAGGAACAGTCTTGAATTGTAGAATTCTGGATGCATCATCTAGGCTTACTCCGGGTGACGACATTTAAACACGATGCGTTTGAAGCGGCCACTTCCGCAAAGTCATACACCAGCCTTGAGCAGTACGCGATTATAACACTTCAACTGGGTTGAATATCAGCTGTGTCTGCTTGTAATCCGTTGATATAGGGCCGTGGTAAGCATTCAGACCAGTCTTGATATTATTCGGATATAGGTTGATTCAGTAGCAGACGGTATCGTGTTGAAAGTGAAAGTCCGGCTCCGCGAACAAAGTGTGCTGCTTCTGTCGAACGATGAACGAGACGCAAATTTTCTTCTCATGGTCATACAGTTCGCAACACAGCCACACCTGCGCGTTCGGCGAGATCATATACAGCACCGACTATTCGGTCGACATCTTTTGTCTTAATGGCAATGCGATGTGCACCTTCCCATTCGACCAGCGTTGTGGTACCGTCCTCACAATAGTCGTGCAGAAGTTTTTGGTGCAGGTGAAGCCCCGGGTCGGCAGTTCCGTGCACATGCAGCGTCGGCTTGCGCAGTATTGCTCTGTCGTCGACTTCCTTACAGAATTGGAAGCCCTCTGAAATGCTTCCGGCATCGACCAATGCCTGGCTCTGCATAATGGTCGGGTTCAGGTTGCTGGGCGGCGCTCGACCAGCGAGCAGGATGCCAAACCGCCAATTGATTCCGGGCACTCGTATCAGGCCAGGCTCTATTGGTCGCTGTCGCGCTCTGGCTTCTTCTTCCCTCGCTTGCTGCTCGAGTAGGAGACTTGCAGACACCTTTGCACCCTGGCTGAAGCCCATCAGACCAACCCACTCGCCTGTGCCCCCATCTCGGTCATCATCCTCAATGGCTGTTCTCAGCGCATAGCCCATCTCGTCGATGCAGCTCTCGGCATCGATCTCAGCATGTTCGGGCAGCCATCGTAACCAGCGACGGAACGGCGAGTAGGAGCCGTAAACGCCGATTATGTCCGGATGGGGGTCGCAGAGAAACGGGCCGTCTGCCCACACGAGACGGAATGAATGATGCAGATGGCGAACGAGGGATCGCGACTGCACCTCGAAGATTGCAGCGTTAACACCACCGCCGTGCAAACAAAGGATCCGCGGTAGGTGCTTCGTGTCAGGCGTGTCGGAAGGCATTGACGGCATCGCGAAGAATGCACGAGGCTGTGAGTCTTATGCAGGGAACCGCGAGGGTACGGAGAATGTCAAGGAGCCAAAGGACACAGAAGCGGGCGGACAAGAAATGATGGAGCTGACATTGACGGAAGATGACAAGTCACACAGCCTTACCGGGAAGCGACCATGACCCGGATTCCGAAATGTTCATGACATGCTTGGAAAACCAACATGGCTGACAACTGTCAAGTGGTGCCACACTGTTGCTGACTAAAGCTGCCTAGTGAGTGCGTGTAGCTACACTCATACGTCAACCATGATGTTCGAAGACGCTGCATTCTTATCGCCTGTGCTGCAATGATTCGCGCGTGCTGTGCCTCACGATCATGAGCACCATGCAAGGGCAATTCAATTAAGCTGTCTAACTTCAAGGCTGGTTTAGCTCTTCGCGATACATTGATCAGCTGGCAAGTCTGTGCAGGCTTATAGATAAGATAGCGGTAGCTCTCTCTCTTAATCAGGTCGAGTTTAAACCGGGCACCCACCGAATTGTTGCCGCACCTGGCGATGGAAACTGGAGCCGAAGCACCCGCATTCACAGCCTGTCCGCTACCAGCTCCCTCGACATTCCCGACATTCCCGACATCCCAAGCTACTCGATAGTAGAGCAGTCCGCCGACGCGTCTCGAGCGCTGTGGCGAACACGAGTGCTTCTGCTCACTTGACTCACGCTTTACCGCCAGCAACGACGCCCACCATCGTCGCTCCTTGTTCGACGTCTACATCGCTGCCGGACCTTTCCAACTCACCTTGCTTACCTGCCAGTTCTCGCATTTCGAAGACTCTCACCACAACAACCCAGACACACATGCCGACCAGAAATCCTAAGCTCGCCTTGAACCCCTTGTTAAATCTCGGTGCATCTGATACTGGATACAAAAACTGCTGGAACACAGTGGTCAGTGCAGCCCCACAGCTATTCATAACGGCCAACGTCAATGCTCGGACTTGTGCGTCTCCAGATGTCAGAATGTTTGCCCAAGCATAGAATATTGGCGACAAGGGTCCGTCTAATCCAGCGAACATGTATGAAGCAAGCTTCAGGCCGAGAGGAATGTCCCAGGCGACGAGACAGGCCGTACCGAAGGCGAGAATAGCTAGGTTCAGCACTACGGCATTCATCCGACAGCCCGTACTATCAATGTAGGTATTTAGAAGCAGTACCATGACGATGTTGAAGCCATTGATGGACGTAGGGATGTTGTTGACCTGGCAAAAATTCAGCGCTGGCGATCATGCCACGGGTAGAGAAAACGCCACCTCGTAGAGAGACCAGTCATGATCCGGATCGTTCTTGAGAAAGAGCTGCGCCACCGTATTTGCGACTTTGCCGACGGTCGTATTCCAAAAACTAGGTCGATTCAGCACACTTCGCTGGGTAGTCCAAGGCTAACTCACCACCACAGGATCGTCAGAACATAAAGCTGCCACGTCAACATCGTGCGCTTGAACAGATCTATGCTCAGTCTTGTTTCCTCCTTTCTTCCATCCTCGACCAATCTCGCTACGCATCTCGTCTTCTCCTCTGCTGACAAGTAAAATGCTTTCGTCTGGTTCGGGGTATCCGGAAAGAATACAAAACCATATGCAGCGATGACAATGGTGATTATACCGTCGAAAATGAACACCCAACGCCTCCATTCTATGTCAGTCGGGCGCCTCAATACCGTTTGGGTAGAACCTACCAGGCGGCCAATCCACTTTTCCCGTTCATGCCCGCTATCATGGCGGACTGCATATAACCCGAGAACATGGTCCCTACGTATGCCGCGCATGCAAAGATTGCAGTCCTTTTCCCTATTTCTGTCCTTTTATACCAAGAGCCCAGGACATACTGCACGCCTACGAAGCAACTTCCTTCCAAGAACCCAATAAGGAATCGAATGGGATAGAGCTGGTGAGTGCTGGTAACAAAGGTTGTTCCAATTGTGAGGATACCCCAGAGAAGCTCTAGACCCGGAAGAAGTATCCGGGGAGGAACCCAGGTTAAGAGCAGGTTGGCTGGGATCGGCCCAAGAATTTGACCTCAAAGACGTGAGCAATACCTCGCCGGTGTCCATGAGGACACATCTTACCAACTTGAAAACATGTCACTGCAAGATTGTACTCAGTCCCCATCATGCCCAAGTCCTCGCGCATTCCGCTCACATAAGCGTTGCTAAGGTTGGCTTGGTCTAGCCACTTTGTGAAAAATGCCAGACAGCCATATGTGAGGATGAAGAAGTCTATTTTCTGAAGGAGTCTGTGCACCATGCATCAGTACACAATATGTCGCTGAGACTTTCATACACACTTCTTTTCGGTGGAAGGTGTTCCTTTCGGGTGCCAAATAAAGAACGCTGGGCGATTCTTGCCATAGGAGGAAGCGAACAAGTTCTTAACATGATATGATAGTGTGAGAGCCATTTGATGAGCACTTTGAGGCACGAAATGATTCGAGGCCGATCAGGCAGTCTACGGGCAGATTCATGCAATCTTGTAGGTCGAGTATTCACCAGACACAGTTGAGCTTATCGCATGCCGCCAGGGTTAGACTCTCCACTTCTGATTGCTGTAGGATGCCTAGCTCTTTCACTATCGATACTACGTTACAAGGATTATTAATCGTATCGCGGTGAGTGACCCTGTAGAGAAGTATTGATCGAACAACTAGATGGCACCGCAGCTGTGGTGGACCCAACATAGATTGTGCAAGCCCAATCAATGGTGTTATTCTCAATGCAATGTCGGCGACACGTTACCGCCTTGGCGCACATCGGATAAGTTCGTCCGATGGGTTGTACACTACTAACAATGCTCATTGACGATTTGAGCACGGGCAATGCGGTGATCGCTCAAATACCAGGAGTGAATGCCATTCGTACGCTCTTCATGAAAAATGTCAATTCCAGTATCAGCGGCGGAATTCGCGCCCACATCCGTCGAAGAGGTTAGTCATCAACGCTTGATTTACTCATATTTGCATCTTACAGGCTACCTAGAAAGCTATCAAGTACGTTTACTTCCATTCCGGATCGGATGCCACATATCGTAAAGTAGCCGAGACACCCAGGGGCTTCACGTCCATTCCCATAATTGATGTGAGCAACATCGACGGTTCCTTGGCCGATAGGAAAACCATTGCTGCAGACATTCGCAGTGCATGTGAGAGTTGTGGGTTCTTTTATATCGAAAACCATACGATTCCACAGGAAAGTGTTGATGAAGTTTTCGCTCTGCTCAAGCGCTTTTTTGCGCTTGATCTTGAGGTGAAGATGAGCGCGCATGTGCACAAAAACCCTGCTATTCGAGGCTACGAGCCTATGCTTGAAACTCGGCTTGATCCACGGACACGAGGTGGTAAGTGAAGCTCTTCAACCATGCTGCCCTCGGACTACAAGCCTTAACTTATACCAATAAGATATCAAAGAAGCCTTCACCATGGGCGACTGCTATTTAGAGCCCGAGCAAGCATACACAGCCAAAACTGGCCGACAGCCTCCAGAATACGTTACCAGGCCGCAGAACATTTGGCCTCAAGATACGCCATGGTGGCGTGAGGGCTTGTACAAGTACTATAAGCAAGTTTTACCACTGGCCATGAAGCTCGTGGGGATCCTGGCCATCGCATTTGATCTCGATGAACATGCTTTCGATGAAAAGTTCCAGTTCCCCATTACAGGGATGCGTCCGGTTACACTATCCTCCCACACCTACAGGGAAACATGAAGAGAATGTGGGCCTAGGAGCGCACGCTGATTTTTCATGTATGCCCTAAACATCCGCAGTATTCGATTATCCTTAGAGCTGCTAACAGCGGTATTCTAGGGCTTACACTAGTCCTCCAAGATTCCATTCCCGCTCTCGAGGTTCTGAACCAGGATGGTGTCTGGGTTGACGCGCCACCAAAACCCGGCACGCTTGTGTGCAACGTAGGACAATACCTAGAGAAGCAGACGAACGGGAGATTTCCGGCTACGGTTCATTCGTGTAACGAACAAGACCGGACAGGAACGCTATTCCCTGCCCTTCTTTCTAACCCCAGATGCGGATGCAGAACTAGAAGTACTCAATTGTTGTCGAGACGATGATGCACAAGGAGAACGAACGAAGAGCTACGAGAAAGTCAATGTAGGAGACTTGTATATCAGAAGGATTCTACCGGCTCGAAGAAAACATCCTACTAGTATCAAGTTTGCAGATGTCCCTCAAGAGCGCTGGTCATATAGAATGCTATTAGGCTAAGATAATTTTACTGTATCTCTTAGCTGCTTAGCTTCTTGCTCTCTAGCTACTATTCATAAGGTAAGTTTTAGTTCAGTCGCTTAGCAGAGCGGCTGCGCCTTTATCTTCCGAACGACTCTCTATTACAACTGCACTCTGCATAAGCGTAGCATACGTCAGGAAAACTGTTTTTTGGTATTTTGGTAGTATCGCCACGATTTGCTGTCGATTCGACAGATACGACGATTCAATAAAGTCGCTCTGGTCTCTTTTTTTTAACGTTAACTTAACGTTAATTTGATAAAACTAGTTAAATTGCTCTACCTACCTAGGCTGATAATTATATAATATATAATATTAGAACTAGAATTATATTTTCTAGATATATTATATATAGAAAACTAGATATTAAAGTATAAAGTGTAAAATTAACTAGATAATATATTCTTATAACTAAAGTATATAACATACCTTATAGATTAGTAAGCTATATAGGTTAGCAAGCTACTTTTGCTAAGCCTCTACTAAAACTATCTTATTCTAGCGTAAAATAGCTTATTTTAGCTCTATATAGTATAAAGCAAAGTATAATATTATTTAGAGTCTACTTCTACTACTTTCTTATATATATATATATATTATATCTAACGTAGTTCACAAGCGAGCTGTCTAACCTAAGCGAGCTATCTATTCTAACTATAATAGCCTAATAACTACTCTGCACTACTATGCTATTCTAACGCAACGTGTAATTAATCTATACTAAAGAGACTTTATAGCTTGCTATCTAAGCTATAATTAAAGATTATAATAAGAGTAAAAGATGCGTTATTATAGCCTTTAGCGTGCCTTAAAGCACTCTTAGAGACTAACGCTAAGGAGCCTTCTCTTAACGCAATTATAAGCTTAATTTAAAAAAGCTAACTAAGCTAAAGAAGGAGGCTCTTATCTAACGTATACTTAAGCTTTAATATATAAGGTATATCTACTATAAAGGCTATAGTGCAAGATATAGCTAATAATCTACTTACTAAGCGCAGTAGAAAGCCTATTAGTAAGTACTAAGTAAATAACTTTAAGACGTATACGCCTAAGATTAAGCTTTAAAGAAGTTATCTATATAATTATTAGTAAGCTCTTAATAAAGATCTACGCATTATAACGCCTTAGTTTAAGCTAGTTACTAATATAAAGGCAAAGTATAGCATTATAGATAAAGATATATATAACTTTAATAAGATAAGCTTTATAATAGAGGTTATCTATAGCTAGATAGTCTTTATAGGCTCTAAGAAGCGTAGTATAAAGAGTCTGCAGCTAGAAAACTATAGTTAGGTTACTAATATATAAGAAGTTAATGCTAAAGAATAAGCTATTCTACTCTTTCTTATCTTCTCTAGTAAGGTTCTTATAACTTTCTAGTTCTATAATTTACTCTAGAATTAAGTAATTAAGGTTAGTTCTAATAGCTAGACGTTAAATAAGCTTAGTATTACTTTAGTTAAAGCACTTTAATACCTATATAAAGGACTAAAAGGTAAGTATATATAGGCTGCTAATTATAGATAGCTATAAGAGCTATAGCTTATATAAATTTAATAAATACTATAAAGAAGAGAAGATTATTATTCTCTATATACCTGCTTACTTATTGCACCTATTATAGCTACTTAATATAGATTACTTTTTACCTTTAAAGCAGGTATATAGTAATAAGATTAATAGCTTAGCATAGTATAGCTCTAAGCAGATTAAGAAGAAAGCTTTTCTACTAGCCTTTAAAGCAGCTTTTAAGAAGTTAATTATAAAGAAGAATATCTATATAAGCTTTAGAAGTGCTAGTTTAGTTCTATATAACTTAGAAGCTATGCTATTAAAGCTTAATATAGTCCTTTATACGCTAATACTGCCTAAGCTAGAGAATACCTTATAAGAATTAAAAATACTAAGTAACTTTCTTAAACTAAAGGCTTAATTAATCTTAGTTTATAAGCGTATATAACTATATAGAGACTCTCTAGTCTCTCTACTTCTTAGAGCTATTATATAGCTTAATAAGAGAGCTGCATTAATAAGTTATAAAGTAATCTTAGTAAGGCAGAAGATAGCAGAGCTTTAAAAGATAGTAGAGATAGTAATAGAGGTTAGAAGTTAAAAGAAGAAGTATATTTAGGCAGCAGAGAGCCTTATAGTAGGTAAGATAGCTAATCTAATAGCTAAAAGAGAGAGTAGTAGCTAAAAGAAGAGTAGAGAGAGTATAAAGAGAGTATATATATAGCGTTATTGCAGATGTTATAAGAAGACTAGCTATAATGCTTATACCTGCAAAGTTAAAATTATAGATGCATCTAATAGCAACGCGTCTAAATAATATTTCTATTACCTGCAAATTGCATATAGTAGTAGTAGTGTTATAATAGATATATTATAATTATCTTAACTCTATTAGATAGACAGCTTGCTTAGGTTAGATAGCTTGCTTATAAACTACGTTAGTCTTATTATACTATCTATACTATCTTTAAGAGAGCTTATCTACTTTAGCATATACTTACTTCTTTGCTTTCTTTTTATTACTATATGCACTAAACTTCTTTAGAGTTATCTATTAAAGACTATTCTTAATTATTAAGATCTCTTCTTTCTATATATGCTTTCTTTTATATAATTTATATTATATAGTAGCTTTATTAATTACTTAAAGCTTAGTAATCTCTTTCTATGCTAATACTAGCTTAATATATAATAATTACTATTCTCTTTAAGACTTTCTTAAAGGCCCTTTACTATAGGCATTAGTAAGCTATTTTATATACTTCTAAATTCTTACTTTTATAAAGCATTAATTATAACTCTAATTTAAGAGTATTACTTAGAGTTTATAACTACTAGAGATAGTCTTTAATAGTAAGTAATAGTAGAGTATAGATATAAATATTAAGAGCTAATTATTTAAACTTAGGCTTAAGAGGCTAGAGCTAACTAAGCTTTAGATATAAATATCTATTAATTACTACTATAGCTTAGTAGTAATTTATCTCTAGTCTTATAAGATAATATACTCTTATTTCTATTATTACTATATATCTAGTATCTATTAATGCTATATTATCTAATATTTAAATTACTTTTTCTATAATACTCTTATATACGTTATTCTAATACTATAAGCTTATAAGCAGGCCTATTAAGTTCTATATATTATAGAGAGAGATAAGCTACTTCTACTCTATATATAGTAGATAATAACGCAGAGAAGATATTCTCTTTATTCTCTAGTATAATAATACTACTCTTAGAGAACTAGTCTAGCTTAT